TACTCCCCTGATTTACATTGCAAACAAGGCTGTTTGGTGTGGTTTTGGGAGGCGAGGGTGGTATATCAATCAACTCCAAAGTTTTTCTCAAACCCCTGTGACCCTAGAAAGCCGTTTGCTCAAACATCAAAGGAGAGAGTAAGGGGTGAGTGCACGGCGACAAGGTGATTGGGCCAGAGGCCAGTTCGTGCACTTGTGGAAAATACCTTAAACTTGATTTTTCGTATCGCGCTTCGACCTCTTTCTGCCGTCACTCTCTTTTTCTTAGTTTTTCTTGGTTTGCCCAGACCGAAAGGAAAAGGCATTCTGTTCGCTTTCAACGATGATTATGATGGATCGGATGAAGCCGATTACAGGATTATGAAAACAGTGAGAGCCATTCAAGAGCCATTTGTCGTTCATATCAACAGCAACTGTCATCCCTCGCTCTTTGTAAATTGCTTAGTTACAGTCAGAATAAAAGTGGTGTGGGACAGTTAAGTTTATCGTACATGGCGATTGAGTATCAATTCAGTCAGTCCTTCGCTGCTTCCTTCGATTCCGCTAATCCCACCTCCACTATTTTTTCATTTTCTCTCTCTCGTTGTCATCCCATTAAGTATTTCTCTCAGGTGCTTTACTTACCAACTTGACACATGAGCCATGGTTTGAGCCAAGTGAATAAAAAAAGAGCTTTTTGCGTAAAAGGAAAAGACTGGAATAAATAAAGACTTAACGAGAAAAATGCAAGAGATAGTTTTGTTGAAGTTAATGGGAAGAGCAAAAAAAAGTGAGAAATGCAGGGCAGAATACAAAACACCACCAAAAACAACAACAACGGAGTCACGGCCGTTTCGTAGTATCCACGAAGAAAAAGAGAAGGCATTCCTCAGTCTTTCTCCTTTTTTTTCTTTGTTCCGATAAGTGGGGTGGTACATGCCACGGAATCATGTCCAACCTCAGCTTCCCCTTACTCCATTCATATGTTGCACCATACCGCTGTTTGTTGTTGATTTTTAATGTTTCGCCGTTTGAGGATGATGATCGAACTTGACGGCAGTGCATCCGAAAGTATGAGAAAGAGGAATAAGTAAATAGAATATGTTTAGTACATATATACCATAGTTTCATCGAAAACTCAACCGAACAATAACATAATGATCGTTTTTGTCATCCTCACCCACCCACCCGCCTCAACCAATTCATTCTTTGTTTCGCTAACTTGCTGGCTTGTCTCTTACTCTGCTTGCTCTTCTCTTGACCCTTTTTGTGCAAGCCGTTTGTGCCAATGCCGATAGAAAATGAAAACTGTCAAAGGCCCAAGGCCCAACAACAAGTCCAACATGTCATTTAGTCGAGATGTTTCTTTTTCCAGCCAAGTTGCCCCTATTCATTGTTCTGTAATTGAATACTAAACCATTTTCAATTGAATGTAGGGCTCATTGTAATTCATTATTCTTTAAATTAAAAACACAACTCTTTGTCGTTTTGTTTGTTTGTTTGGCTGTCGTCGTCGTCGTTCGAAGGTAGTGGTGGTCTGTCCCTTTATTACTGATGTTGGCTTTGCTTGTTTGTGCTTGCCTTCCTTTTGCTGCTGTTAGTTATTATTGTTCGCGCATTGTCAATTTTCATTCAGCTTGCTTTGTCCTTCACCTATTCGCTGTCCTCTCTGAGCAACTTACAACTGACTGACTTGATTTGAATGACTGACTTGCCAATTCATTGACAATTGAGTGAAGGTGTGCGTGCGTTCTTGTTTTGTTTGTGCTCAAGATGGGACAGGTACGAGGTTACAACAAAATTGCAAGTGCGCAAGTCCTTCCTTCATCCTCAATCCTCATCCCACCCACCGTCCTCCCCAAGATGACGATGATGGATTTAAAAAGGACACTGTGGCCCCTCCTCTCGTCTACTTTCTCTCTCTTCCAGTCCTTTCCTCTGTTTCACTTCTCTTTCTCTTTTACTCTCCCCTTCTTTCCTTTATCTTTATCTTTATCTTTCTCGATTTTTAATTTCTTCTTCGTCCTTTCAGAATAACCCTTCGTTCTACCTCACTTTCTTTACTCACAACTAATCCCTGAAATACACCCTTGCTCCCTTTTCACCCGCTTGCACTGTAACACCATCCTTCTTCACAAACACAAAGCACCCTCCCTCCCACCACTTCTCTTCCCTCACATACTCCACTTCACCCTACCCTCTCATCCTGTCATCTTTTACCTTTTTCAAGAAGAAAGCAATTGTAAGCGACCTCCAATTGTCCCTCGGACCCTTTTCTTTTATTTCTTCTCAAACCCATGGGAATCCCAACAGCAACAGCCGATAACAATTTTGCGTCGAACAACCACAAACATACATTTAGATCCTATCCTTCCGCCCCTCTCTCGTCCCCTCTCATTCTCTTTTACTACCCCACAGCATCCACGTGAACAAAGTAGCTTACTCTTTGAATCACTGAACATCCCGTCCCTTCTCTTCAGAGGTGTGCGCTGCTTGTTTGCTTAATTACCAAACACTCTTTGTCCTTTCATTCCCATTCATCTTGGGTCCTTGCCCTCGCCTGACACCGTGCTTAGACACAGCCGTATTTCTTTTACTCTTTCGTCATGGTATTCTTCCACGACGCATCGACACATACTCAGCGAGTCAAGCACACACATACACACATACACACATACACACACATATACACGCAACTACGATTTAAACCTTCAGCCGGAGTAAAAAGTAAACAGTCCAAACGAAAAAGAAATGAGAGCACAACTCTACCTTGTCCTTTTATCCTGTCGCGAGCGGCATTTTGTCAGTTCTTGGCCAATTTTTTGTACCTCTCAATCGTCTCTGAGCTGGATCCAACTCGCTTCCTCTCTCTCCTTCCTTCCTTCCTTCCCAAATCTTTTCTTATCCTCTCTATGACTGGCTGCCATTCAGTATTAGCGTCTTGTTTTACATATTAAAGTTCTTCTTTTTTCATTGCGACCTACTTACGATACCTAGAACCAAAACAAAGGGCAAGAAGGCACCACGAAAACGGTAAGCAAACACACTCACACAAAAAAAATCCCCAATGGCCCTACTCACTTTTTTTTGAGTTGTTACATCGCCCTCGACTCCCTGCTCGCATTGGGCAGCTTGTGAAGAAGAAAAGAGGAAAGCGGGTGCATCTTCCCGGGTGCATGTGTCAACTGTTCAACTCTCGTAATCTCTATACAATGTTGACTCTTTTCCTTAGTACGTTTCGTTGTGTGCAACCTCCTTCCCTGCATTGACTTTTTTTCTGGCCCTATCGCCGTCTCCCATTGGACCGTCATCATCACTTTTTTTATTGCTCCAAGACGAACACGGCAGGCCTGGTTCTCACCCTCTGCTTAAGGCTCCCTTTTCCTACCTTCCCTCTTCCTTCCTTCCTTCCTTCCTTGCTTTATTCCTTCTTACCTTTCTTCCCTCTCCTGTCCCCTTCTTCTTGTTTCTTATCCATTCCTCTTTCTCTCGTTCATTCTCGCTCCTATTCCTCTGGAGTCGCAATGTAAGATGGCCTATATACCTGCTTGAACAGAACAAGAGAAAAAAAATTGAAAAGGAGGCAATGGAAAGCGAATGCTACCATGAACTTGATAACCGATGGCATCGTTTTGACACCACCATATCCTCGGAGACTACCCCTGCCTCCGATTGATACTAGTCTCGTCACCAGAGGCCGCTTTCTCACCGAGCCCACCCTCCAACGACAATGCGTTGCCAACCAGGATAGATTTTTCCCCTTTGATGTTTTCCGTGCAATACTATTCCTTTTCCTCTACATTCGCTTATCTGGCGTGGGATTCGGGAGTGTCGGTGTTGGTGCAACATGTTATGTCTTTACTGCATCCTCCTCGCTGGGTGCTTTCCGTGCTAGGTTGTTATCGCCGTCCTTGCCAATTGTTTAGTAAATACTTCCTTGTTTTCTCTCCCTCTCCCGTTTTGAGTTTACAAACAGGCCTCTATTGCTACAGTATGGGTGCACATTCAAAAAGAAAGGCGTGGATTCAATTGGGATCGATTATTCATTGCAAGTTCGCGAGCAGTGTTTGTTGAACCGATATGACACAATCCAGAACCAGCAAGTCGACCCTTGTTCTCGGTCGGGTACACCTCTCATGGTTACTCCTGCTCATTCGCCCTTTTCTTTTGTATTCTTATATTGACCAATCATTATTCTCTGGTGCAAGACATCCATCCATTCACGCTTCAGTGCTCTTTCCTTTCCCCCAGCACGTCCCTTCTGCGATCGATTCAAAGTCTACTTCTGTTACTCTTCCCTTCGTCTCATATAAAGGGTGTCAATACCCCGAGTCGAGGATCATTGCTCTCTTTCCTCCTTTTTTTTATTTATTTATTTATTTCTTTCTTTCGTCTTCCTTTCTCCTTGTCACTGCTCGCCTCACCCTGACTCCTTCGTTGCAGGGTGCCTGTTTGTTTCTTCTATCATTCATTACTACCATTGAACGGGCATCTTACACTCCTACCTTTCTCCTTCCATCTTTCCCCCCTTTTTCATACATACCCTCGCCCATATTCTCACACTCACCTTCAACTCGCATTGTTTTTATGCCTCACCAAGAACAACCAACTAACCGTTAGCCCCACGCTCTTCTTCTTACCTTTCCATTCATCAGTCGCTCAACCACATCGTCAAATTTCATCCAGTACCAAGACTATTAAGGACCATCAACGCCGCAGTCCCATTCTCTTACACTAGCCCTTCCCTGATTTCACACGCTTTCTGCACCTTTCTACACACACAAACATCGTACAACCCTGTCGACTCTCTCGTCCTTTTTTCTTCACCCCCTCTGTTTTTTTCTTTTGTTGTCCCTTCCAACTCTTCACTCACTCGTTTGCCCTTTCATTTCTAGTTTCACAAACACAGCTTGGCCCTTTCACCCAATAGTCCACCCTCGCCGCCCTTCTTCCTCTTTGTTTTCCCTTTTATTATCACTGCATCTGCGCAACAATAGCACGGATATAAGAGAAACAACACAATGGTCGCATTCCCTCCCGTCCCGTCGTCCTCTCCCAACGCATTGAATGCGCCTGGTCTTATGGCCACCCCTTTGGCTCATCGATCGCTCTCCGCCCCATCCCACCTCCAACTGTCGGAACTCGACCAGGACAGCTTTGTCTCAGGCCAACTCATGGCTAATAAGAACTACACCACCCAAAACGACAATCTCTTCCAGCAAAGCCAGAGCCATCAACTACAACAATACCAACAACAGCAACATCAACAGCAGCTGCTTCAACAACACCTAAATGCCCAATTTCCTGCCACACCCACTCAACAAGCATACGACCAGCAGCAATACTTCATGCAGTCACAACTTCACATGGGCATGCAACAGCAACACCTGCAACAACAACAGATGGTCAGCGACTCCAGCATTTACACCTACCAGCAAGCTGTTCACCCTTTCCAGGTGGATGTGCTCCATGCTTCACTAAATCAAGTCGAGATGTCCTCACCCGTGCGCGTTAAGTTTGAGTTTCCCAGCGACTCTATGCCACGACATCAATCCTTTGCGTCCCAAGACATGGACGACGTTCAGGGCTCCACAGGTTCCATCGCATACTCTCCTTCGTCCTCGTCGATGGACAGCTCAAGTCCCACGTTCAGCGGTGCTGCGGCTATCCCACCCACCTCTGGAGGCAACCCATCCGGGCTCCGATCGACTAGCAGAGTCATTTCGATGCCCTTTGAAGACTCGGCCTTCTCCCAATTCGAGCTGCCGGAGGAGTTTGCAGGGTACGCTTTCCCTCGCCACGGTTCTCTTGGGTCACTATACCCCATCACGCAATCTCACGAGCTCCTCGACGCGACATCTCCTTTTGGGTCTGCGGCGCACCACCATTATCATTTCCATGGCCGCCGTCGCTACGATACTGGCGGCACTGATATGGTCCCTTCTACCTCCTCCACTTCCATCTCGTCCGTTTCGTCTTTGCCGCCCAGCAGTGGCGGGTCGATGAACGGCGTTGCTCCACCTGCTGGCGCAGCCGGAGCCAAGATAATCAAGCAACGCCGAGCGTCGCTGAGTCCAGACACTCCGAGCAGGGTCTTTAACTGCCTTATTGACGACTGTGGCAAACTCTTTAAACGCTCAGAGCACCTAAAGCGCCATGTACGATCTGTGCACACGCTGGAGAAACGTAAGTCCACCCAACCCAGCAGTCGGGAAGAACAATTGAAAAAAAGAGTTTTATGAATACGAAACCCAATTCTCCCGCACGCCGTCTCTATCTATTTTTCCTGACTCTCCGCTCCTTTTTTTCTCTTTCGCCTTCGTCTTTCCCGCAACATATTAATAGCGTTCATATGCCCTTTCCGGGACTGCCCTAAAAGCTTCTCGAGAAGCGACAACCTGAACCAACACATCCGTGTGCATCGACACGACAAAGAAAAGGCGGCGGCGGCAGCAGCAGCACCGCCCAAGCCGTTCACTAACTTTACGCCCTTCCTCGGACCCACTGAGAAGACCGCCAATCTGTTGTAGTATGCCTGAGTAAGAAAGAAAGTCTCTTGGACAAGCAAGCAAAGGGACCCAGTCCTCCGGTCATGGACGGACGCCTATTCTTTTCGCCTCCCTCCTTCTCGTGCTCCTTTTTCCTTTTCTCATTTCTTGCTCTGTGTGTATACCCTTGCCTCCTCCCTTCTCTCACCCTACTTGCTAGCTGTACTTTAACAATTGTCCTCTTACTAACGTCGTATTCCTATCGACGACTTTATACTCGTATCGCTTCCTTGACTTTTTTTGTTGTTCTTCTGTATATATTGTCTTTTTACTTCTGTTCTCGCGTCTTTCTATCGAATGAAATACTTTGTTGAATGGTATCTCTGTCTTTCATAACTGATAAACAAACACTTGTGATGAATGATGATGATGATGGGTGTCGGATTGATATTTTTCTCCACAAATCAGCAGCCAATCAACGCGCCTGGATGGATCGTGCGTGCGGGGAAAGAGAAGAGAGAGGGAGGCATCGGCCAGATTACAATCTTTAGTTGGGTGCTTTTCAGCCTTTCCTCGCCCTCCCATACTTTTATTCTCCTTCGTATTACTCACCCTCTCTTTTTTCTTTGTTATCTTTCTTCACCTTTTCTTACAGCATCCTTTCCCTTCATCTCTCCTCTCGCACTCCTAATCGCCACTTTTCTAAAGCGACAACCCTTCCTTCCTTCCTTCCTACAATCTACTGCCTGAAGACGAAACAGCTTTTGGCTTCCTTCATTGTTCCTTCCTTTCTACTTTCTCTCGCAAAAGAAATCGAATATACTCCTCCAAACGATGTTATCTCTTACCACCGCAACTGCTCGTTCAATGGTATACCCATCCACAACTAACAACCATCATAGACCAACAATCACTTGCCCCCCCCCCCCCCCCCTCTCTCTCTCTCTCTCCCTTTATTTCATCTCCCGTATTTCTTATCCTTCGCTGCTTTCCTATCCTCTCAACATGGACTTGCAATCATGATTTTATGCTTACTCGCATTTTCATAAACAAACAACAACCCCGAACAACACAAAAAACAAAAATTCACATGTAATCAAATGCTCACTCTCATGCCCACCCCTTTATTTTGTTTGTGGGTACCAAAACATTAGGCCCAAGAAGCAGTGGATGCTCTTGTTGAAGGCCGATATCACGAATTGATGTCATGGCCGTCCGGACGTCTCCAACAGCAGCAGCGTATCCTATCTTTCACCGAAGGCCATGGGCAGCAGCCTCAGGACCGACTCTTGGACTATCTTCGATTGTCGTGCGATGGCAGTGTTGCAGGCAAGCAGGACCAACAGGGGCAGAAGGGGCAGGAGGAGCAAGAGAGACATATCTTGCAATGGCTCAAGGAAATGAGGAGCATTAGGTCACAGGATCATGGTCGCAGTATGATTCTGGATAATTGTTGTGAGACATCTCCAGTTTTTCAGAGGTCTTTCGACTCGGAGATGGATGTGGAGGTGGAGAAGCAGACTACAACACTGAGCCGGACTCTGGTATTGGTACTTGTTGGACAAGTAGGGGCGCCGGCAAAGTTGTTGGACCGTTCTGTTGGCGTGGTGTTGGTTGTTGAAGATGAGAAGGAAGCGCCCTGGAAGTTTCATGGAGTCGTCTGTGTGACTGTATCAGAGGAGCGTCTCGTCTCTCAAGGATGGAGGCGCATGCAGGGAGATACCAGACAGTCCGTATCCAGTATGACCACCACCGCAGCACCCGTCGCCTCGACAAATTACAGTATCCAGGAACAGCAGTACCAGAAGTCCGGGGGTAGACACTGCGACGAGGAGGATGACGATTCGGACGACGATTATTGGGGCCAGTACGGAGACCCCGACAGCGACCATGACGATTCTGCCAGTGGTGAGAGCAGCAACGACCGTTCTCCGACAGAAGACGTATCATCCCCCTCGTCTTCCTTGGTAGATACTACCTTCACACTTGCATCAACGTACCACTCTCCAGCAACCACAGGAGCCGTGAAGTCGTCGACAGCTATCTCAATGGCGGTCAATACCATATTCACCACGAACAGTGCCGCATACACAACAAGTCTCACATCAGGACCCAACAATTGTCCTTGGGAAGAAGTGGACGAGGTCGATGAGGATGACGATGATGAGTACTGGGGGAAATACGGAGACCACGATGATCCAGAGCCAGAGCCAGAGCCAAAGCAACAACAACACCGAGGACAAGGACAAGATTCCGAAGTTCCTCCCAAAGATTCCTCCCACGCCAACCATGACAACAACACCAACAGTATTTATGGCATGAAGGCAGAACGGCAAAAAATCGACCCCACGGTTCCCACGGCACAAAAGGAAGCTCTCCACATTTCCTCCGAAGCAGCTCTTCCCGATTCAGCTTTTCCGACGTTGGTCGCACATGTTTCTGTTGTACCTGAGCCGGGACAAGTCGACCCCACAGCTTTGACCCTCCGGCTCATGAACCTCATCGTCCACCATACCGATCCTACGGGATATTCAGGAGCAGCACGGGTGCACAGAGACCAACAGTTCTACACCTACGATGAGGACGACGATATCGATGACCAATTACCTGATAATGAGGAGAGCACATATGACAGCACCAGCAACAGGAGTAGGACGAGGGGCGGGTTCCTTATCCGCCTTGACAGTCGTCTCCAACAGGACCACGTTAGTGCAGCAGCAACTCCCCTCGAGTCCGAGCACCAACCCCACACCAATCACGCCAACGACAAGGACGGGCAGAGGGAAGGGGAGAACGGTGTTGATACCGAAACCCCGAGTACACTATTCTCCGCCCCTGCATTAGCCTTTGCATCCCACTCTCACCAAAGCAACACCAACAACATCAAGGACAACGAGGCAGGCTCTAGTACTTCCCCTCCTTCCCCCTCCTCCTCCCCACAATCAAGATCCGAATCACAATCGTTATCAACCACCATCTCTACTTCTGGCTCTTTAGCTCTTGCCCCTGCCTCGTTACCAAATCCTTCTATTTCGTCCTTCCCTCCACCCACACAACACTCACCACATTTCACAGACAGACGCCAACAACAACAAGAGCAGGAGCAACAAGACCAACAAGAATCCTTATCTCCCTCCTCATGCACAGACTCGGCATTTCAGGAGTACCTCGACCAACCCTGCGATAACAACAACCGCACCAACAACAACAACCACACCAACAGCAACAACAACAACGACAAGAGCATCAACAACGCCTGCACAAGTATATCCGAGCGCGAAAAGAAATGGGAGGATGAGCGAGAGCAGTTCCTCAGTTCGTTGAGGTCAATTGCTCAGGAGGCCAAGGCTATACTTGGTCTCACAAAAGCAGATTTCTTGGATATGCTCGACCGAGCCTACGACTCTCCGGTCGCCTTTACTACTACTACCACTACTACCACTACTCATTAGTCACCTCTCTGTCGCTCATAAATAAAAAACTGTACACATTTCGTCGTTTATTACGATTTTTTTTTTCGTTTACATAGGAGAGCGGAGAGAGAAACATAAGACCATCAATCTAGTGCCCCTCTTGGAAGAGCCTAGTTGCAGCAGACATATAAAGCTCGACCGCATCAAAAGGCGACCCTGTCGTGCTAGAGGGGTAACCAATTTTCAACCGCCAGCGATTGTTGAGATCCCAATGATCGCACTCGACCGTCTCGATATACTTGCCCCACCGAGCACTGGTCACCGAGACTAGTCCATCATTCTCCCCTTCCTTGGCATTGATCACCTCCCATGGAAATCCCAAGGGTGCCCAGATGGGCAAGCGAGGGATGGAGGCTCCGTAAGAGTAATAGGCCACTCGTGGGTCGTCCGGCGTGTTGGGGTTGAACACTTGGTTGCAGTATTCCGTCGTCAGGTTGGCATATGCTGGCGTATCCAAAAAGGGGATCAAGAATCGACTCCACAGGGGGGCCTGGACCTGTATGTTCCTCGAATGTTGTGCTGCCTCCTGAGCTGCAGCGGCCTTAGCTTCAGGGGTAGATGCAGTATCAACAGCTGCAGCAGCAGCTACAGCTGCAAGCCGGGAGGCCTCCTCTCCCAACTTGCGCATGGCTTCCTCTTCAGATTGTTGCAAAAGACCGACACCGATGTTGTCTCTGAACCAGTCCATCATTGGACTGCCGCGATGGGGTGTCGAGAACGTCGTGAGAGATTCGACGTGGTAGTTCTTGTCGTGGATATGGCTAATCAAGTATCTGCTGTCCAGTCCTCCCTATAGGAATAAAAAAATACAAGTATGAATGTTAATGCTTGAAAGGATGCGGAAATAGAGGAATAATGCGCTCTCGCTATTGTGGCACAAAGGGCCTGGAATGAAAAACTACCATTGAATGGGCTACAAAATTGACAGGACTGCCCTCCATGGTGGCCGACAATATCCTGTGCAAATCCTCGGCGCGCTTGCGGATACCTCCAGTTCTACGACCATGTAAGAAGGAAGGAAAGAAGAAGTAAGTGCTTCTCCTTGACTAAGAATTTGAGGTTGATGGAGTAGTTGTCCCCTGAGTTCAAGCAAGACAGATTGAAATCATTTTTTTTTGACTTCGCCCAAAATACAGGTGATTCCTGAATCCTGACAGGTTTGTTGTTTGTTCAGTTTGAGGTCGGGGACTGGGAGCGGAAGGGGAAAAGAAGTGAGAGCAAATGTAACGGGGAATGTTTCGACTGCTGTCTCAATTTACCTAGGCACCCCGGCGACGACGACTTTGGCACCGAGTTTGGTCAGGGCCTTGTGGATTCCATTCCAGTAATGGATCTGTAGCGAGGGTATATTCTCTGGCCCCATCTTGTCGAACCCAAACAAACCTGTTTGTTTATTAAGCATCCACACAAAAAATAAGATCAAAAATCAATGGTTAGCGAGGGAGGAGAGACACAGAGGAAAGACAGTGCAGTGCATACGCCGCATAAATAAAATCCTGGCCCTTTGGTCATCACTATTTCATTCCACGTGTCTAATGTATGCAACGTATACGAGTCAGAGAGGGGCGTGTGGAAAGAAGTTGAGACCAAGTTACTCACCATGACAGAGGACGATTGGATGACGCGGAGCGATGTAGGTAGCGCTGACAGGCATCGATAGTCCAAAGTTCTTGATGCGCCGGTCAAGGTTCTTCCAGGGTTGGAGTGAAGGGTACTGTTCGTGCGTCAACCGAGGAGAAAGGGGAGGAGGGAGAGCTCCCTCTAACTCTTGGTGGTTGTATGCAGAGGCTGACACGGTCGACTGCCCTTGGTGATACTCGCGGCCGTTGGACGATAAAGACTCAGAGTGGCCCTTTCTGTGATATTCTTGCTCATGCTGATGTTGTTGTTGACGCATCGACGAGGAAGAAGAGTCGTCCTGGTGATGGGTCGTTTGTTCACCCGAGAAACCGATCTTAGACCTAAGGGCAACAGTGAGATTGACCGTTGAGTTGATGGCTGCAGAGATGGTTGAGCGCAGATGCGTCGCGAGGAATGAGGTTGTGTTCATCAGCATCGTCGCTTATAAGTAGTAGTCCTGAGGTTGTTTTTGTGGCGGTTGATGTGTGGGGTGTGTTGTTGTTTGGGCTCCAAGGAACCGTGATGCAGGGCTCGTGCGTAAAAGGCGTTTTTAACCAGCCTTGACAGGGATGGAGGGTGAGGGTGTGTGATGAGTAGTAGAGAGGGGAGAAGTGGTAGAGTGGAGATGGAGAGGAGTGTGGGAGAAAGAAAAGCAAAACGATGTTGAATCGGAACGAGACGAACCAACGGAAGGGAGAAAAAAAACAACCGTGAAACGTGGGGAGTGAAAATGAGCTCATTTCTTTCAGGGTCGGGTCACATGACTATTCACACCTGGTGGCATAGGATTTGCTTGAAGTCCCATGGTGCCTTGTCGCACTTGGCCACTGTGTACAGTAGCTAGCCTCAACAAGGGGCCAGTACGAACTGAAGGTCAGCTGAGCAGACATATGCTTTCTTCATGTATGTGGCCTGTTACATGCGATTGGATGTCATTTGACATCAAGCAAAGACTGGTTTGAATACGTGCTTGACATAATACCATCGCGATCCACACTGCAAGTGTTAGCGGATTATCATCGCATTGAAGAAAGGCGTCCAGGATCGAGTATCTGAAAGATATGGCTTTACGGTCAACGCACTCGTACCAAGATAATAGGAAGGGGTATTTTAGGCTTTGACAGTAGACATGGCTTTTTTTTGCCACCAATCTGGACATCAAATATCTGTGGTACCAAGTCGAATGTCGTGTCCATGGTCATCGTTCGTTTGGATTCACAGTCATCCAAGAAGAACGCCTCTGCTCAACATATGAAGAAGAAGAAAAGGATCATAGGTTGTGCGAGTGTCGTCATCTTGGTGGTGCCTTTACTGCCCTCTTCGAAGTAAACGTGAAAAAGACAAGCTCCGCTCGTGCTACTTAAAGTGGCAGAATATCTCCTTCTCCTACATGTTATTGCAAGCGTCTGATGATAAGACAGAAAGAAGTGGTATCCCAGTTGGCTCTCTATTCTCGTGCAATTATTATTAATTATTTGTTTGGGTACATGCGTAAAGTGTATTTATTCCTTCCATCATGGCTCTCAAGAATGCGGCATCCATCTTCATAAAGAGAATAAACAGATGAATGTTTTGGTTTGCACATGAACGTACAGCACGAAAGTATCCTCAGACAACGACAATATGCCAGGGATGGGTGGGGTAAGGATGATATGAATGACATTTGCCATGATATCGGTCGTGAAGGATGTTTGTTTCTTGGAATGGGTTTAGGTGGTGATGGTGGTGGTGCAGGCGTACTTGACTACAGCACTTGTTGTGTGTGTTTTGACATCAATGCGTTCGCAGGCTGCCGGGTGTGGACCGCCTGATTCCCACTCTGAAAGAAGAAAAAATAGACTCTACCTGCAAAATTTGTTTCAACCAGCCCACTCCTCTCTTTGTTCTCTTCCTCTCCTTTACACTTTGCTCCTGTTCACTCACACTCTCCACCTTCTCACCCACTACTTCATTTACGTACACACACAACCATGTCCATTGAACTCGAACCCTCCAGCCAGCTCGCCTTCCGCAGTAAGCAAACGCTGATGCACACCACCACACACTATCAGCGGCAGTATACAAACAAGGACTGACACCATGACGAACAATCTCTCACATAGGGCCTCTCACCGAAGCCATCAAGGAGGTACTCATCATCCGCAACCCAACCCAGTTGCCCATCGCATTCAAGGTCAAGACCACAGCACCCAAGCAGTATTGCGTCCGCCCCAACTCTGGACGAGTCGAGCCCGGTCAGGAGCTGGAGGTCCAAGGTAAAAAGCTCTTCTAAGACAGTCTGCCAGCCAACCAGCCAGTCAGTCGCCCCTTCTTTTTACGCTGTCAGCCTTTTTTTCGACACAACCCAGGTTCAGAAACAGGGCAAGGATGACGACAGCCATTCAACATACCTCAGCAATGGAAAAAGTCCCTTTTTTTTGTTCTTGCATGGAAACAAACTCAACCATTCACCAGGCAACTTGACACTAATTCAAAAAACGTTACTATTCTTTTTTTTTCCGAATGGCGTGCCACCAGTTCAAATGCAGGCCATGAAGGAGGATCCTCCAGTCGACTTCAAGTGCAAGGACAAGTTCTTGGTCCAGAGTGTTGCTATCACTGCAGAACGCGAGCTATTGGCGCCCCAGGACTTGGTAAGTTGGAGCTTGCTCTGTCACTCTGCTTTCATATGTATTCTCCTTCATAATGCTAGTCTGTACAGTAGAGCAACAATAGCTCCTGTACTCTGAGAGCTTAGTCCTTTTCTAACCAGAAATATAATTACTATTTTCTTTACAAAAACTGTAACCTCATACCATCGGATCGCCTGACGACTGACAACGACAAAAAAACAGTGGCCTACGATTGAAAGGGATGCAAAGGATCAGATTCGGGAAAAAAAGATTCGATGCGCGTTCTTGCCACCGCTGGGCCACGAGATCACCCAGATCAAGGAGGAGGAACTCGAGGCCACACCTTCGCCTTCGTCCCACATCACCTTCAGCGACTCCGTCAACAACAATAACACTCTCCCTGCATCACCCGTTCGCCAGGCTGCCCAGCAGCCCCTCTCTGTTCACACCACTATCACTACATCTTCCTCGGCAGATATGGGCACCTTGAAGCGCGAACTTGACTCAGCACAGGAGACCATTCACAACCTCCAGAGCTCCGTGGAGAGGCTTCAGCAGGAGGCCACCTCTGTAAGTATTATCAGGATGTTTTATGCTGTTTTTCTTATGACACCGTCATATATATTTGGTCGATCTGATCCATGTTATTCTTTCTGGCGTTGTATTTGCAAATGCCGCCATGCACCAATTACTGTCATTAATTGCACTCCAACTCACTAAATGCTCTCAAAATCTCTCCCTGTTGTGATCCTATTTTAATAACTACACAGCTGCGTCAACGCAAGCCAGAGGCTGGATCTTCATCGGCACCCACCATGACCGCCGTTCACTTGAAAAACAACCAACAAGAGGGATATCCCGTCACCTATGTTGCAGGAGCAGCAGTTGTTGCCTTCTTGTTTGCTTACCTCTTCTTCTAAAGCCTCCTCCTCCCTCTTTTTTCCGCATCATCCGACAGAACACGCATTTTCCTTCTTTTCAGTCCGATCAACCTCTTCTTTGCTCTTGCTGCAATTATCAGGAAAGGGCGAGAATGAAATACAAACATACGACGAGAAACAAGCACACCGATGGAGCCACAAACACACACGTAACGATATCCTTTTTTTTGCCATATAGTTCCCCCTTAATGAAACACACAAACTCATGTTCATGATCTATACTTTATTGCTTTGTCTAAATGGTGTGAAAGGTGAAAGATATTGGTGAACGATGAGAAGGATAAAGTGACAGAAAAAATTGCAAAAAATTAGATGTTGAAAGAAATAAGAAACGATGCAGGCGGGGTGGAGGCTGGGACTGAGAATACTGGGGAAACGAAACAGGTTAACAAGGTTTGGCGAGATAGCCACGATGGAGACCGTCGGTTGAGCCCTCTGCAATCTGAAGCCCGACCGTCCGTGCAATGATCTCGTACAATTCGACGTTCTCGAACGGTGGCAAACTAATGTTGTTACTCTCGGATCCAGTCCTGTTGGTATCCTCGCCATCTATTGGAGATTCAGGGTTGGCTTGCAGTGGCGGGAAAGAGGGTCCAGAGGCCATAAAGATCGCCCGCATATCCTTGGACTCATGGTCCCATCCATGAACGCCCACCACATCCAGTCCCATATCCCGTCGAGTCATCACATATCCCGGGTCAGCCATGACCACCACGGGCGCGATCCTGTCATTGTCCGAGTAGTGATACCGAGTGGGGATCTCTTCTCGCTTATACACCTTAAAGGGCAGGTTGTCCCTCAATTGAGCGCGTTTGAGTTGATGATAGATCTCCATGGTCCGTTTTGTGGTTTTGGTGCGGATGCCGAGATGGGGTTGGAGGGATTCTTCAAAGAGGAGGTCGGAAGTGTCGATGTAGTCGTCGTAGTGGATACCTTGGGCTGGGGTCACGTAGGACATTCCATGGTCGCTGACTAACATCAAGTTGATGATCTTGTCCAGGTTCCGGGCTCGTAGACCTTCCAGAAGGACTCCTAATGCTGCATCAACTTCGCCCAACGCCCTTTGACCTAATAATTAACACAATTGATGCCGCGATTTAACGTTAGTTATTTTTTCACACACCGCAAGTGTTATATATTTTTTTTTCCAGTTGATTCAAATCGCAAGCAAAGAAAGAAAACCTACAGCGCTTGGAATCGGGTCCATTCAAATGTCCAGCATTATCGACCTCCGAGATGTAGGCTGCCATGACGGTCGGGCGTTCCTCCCTTGGAAGATCGATCCATTTCAGGAGGGCTTCGACTTTCTCCAGGACGGGGTTGCTAGATTTGAATCGCATATGGTATGTTGGTCGAACGGGTCTTTCGGATTCTCCACCTGGCCACATGATAACGGCCGACTTTTGGTTTTGGAGCACTGCTGTCTCCCAGATCTACAAATAACCATAGAATAGTGAAAGCGAATAAATTAGTGTGTCGGGATCGAAAGAGAACCATCTAGACCAATCAAGAACAAAAACAAAGAGAGAGCGGAGCGATGCTTACTGGTTGACCGCCCCACCATTTGAGGTCCCAGCTCTTGTCGGGGATCTTGTAGTTGAAATCCTCGTTGAACTTTGGATCATAGAACATATTGGCGACGATACCGTGACTGGAGGGGTATAAACCAGTGATCATCGAGTAATGGTTTGGGAAGGTCAAAGTCGGGAATGAAGGTTGCATGTATTCTGCGGCCAGTCCGTTGTTGGCTATTTCCGATTGATAGGAGGATCAAGAAAAGCAAGTGGTTAGAATCGACCGATGGCGAATGTCGGGCGAGTTGGAAGAGTAGAAACAAAGCTCACGTTTTTAATTAGTTGACCGCACAATATACTTGTACATACCGACGCTCAGAAAGTTAGGGGTAATCCCTCGTTTGAGATAATCCGCCCTCAGACCATCAAACGATAGAACAATGACAGTAGGATCAAAGTCGTGGGTACCATTCGACAGGATCCTGGGTGGTAACGGGATGGCATGTTGTATCCTTGGGCTGCAGATCTGTCCTTGTTCCCGCAGATTGCGTGTTTGATTCCCGTCAATGCTGCTGCTGCTACTTGAAGCACTTTTATGGTGATCCTCGTCATTGTAGAAATCATTGTCAAAGTGGCGCAGGTGGGTGTGGTGGTGTCGAAGGAACCCTCCAGTCCAGACGAGGATGTAAAGAATGATGAGTCCTCCAGAGATGGTCAACGATATCCTTGTGTTCCTGGATTGACGTCTGAAGGTCTGCTTGATTCTGGGCCATGACCAGGGCTGTATGAAAGAAGAGAGATCGTTGCAAGACAGGTATGTTTAGTTTTGTATGTTGTGAGTAAACAAAGATGCACCAAAGAAAATGAATATGATGTGAGCGTTTTTTCTTCTCTCTTTTGGGTTCCGAGAGTGGAAGAGTGAATAGCTTGATCGGGAATGAATGCATCCAAGGGTCACCAGGACAAAAAAAAGAACTGACAATGAGCACTTTTGCAGTGTCGCTTGAAAGTACCTTGCGAGCGTTGTAGTTTTGAGTGAAGAGGTTTTCTTCAAGGACATAGCTGGAAGGAATGTTGATGAACGAGGATGATCTTGCTCGTGGGTGATTTGCTGTTGCTTTGGAAGAGTCCCTGGCGGTGAATGAGACTCGTTTTTCGTTTGCCATTGCGCCTGTGCTGTTAGACCGCAAGGACCAGATGACGGATGTAGGTCGGCTGGAAGTGGAATTGACCGCCATTGCTCTGAAAGGAACTAGGAAGGGTGGTGAAAGGTAAGGGAGAAGGAGAGTGTGTGTTGGGGTAGATCCGAAGGTGATTGTCGGTGGTGGTGTTGTTTGTGAATTGGTTCGGTGAAGTTAAAAGAAGAGGGTCATAGCCATGGAAGACATAACGACCGTTTAATGTACTAAAAAAAAACCTAATATAAATGCGGCGTACATGAATGTTCCAATCCCATCCTCCTATCCTTCCCTTGTCTTCTTTCCTTTCGTAATGGCCTGTAAAAGGAAAGAGAGAGAGAGAGAGAAGGATCCTCTTATCATTCGCACCAAATGAACTCTTTTATCTTGTGTGAAAGAAACGGCCAATGTCAATCAGCATAGAGAAAGTAAAAGGCTGTACTGTACGGAAGAGAAAGGCAATAAGAGAGAAGAAGGACAGAAGGGTCACCGCAACTTGTATTTATTCTGGTGGCACATGCACTCAATGCACTCACAGGCCCCAACCATAATGAAGTGTATCTCCTTCTTTGAAGCCGTCAATTCCTTTGTAAACAGATCACTCTCTAAGCAAACACTCTCACGTTGCTTCCCTCTGCTTTGCTTTTAACCACCTTCTCTCCTCTCATGTGCGTTACTCATTGTACTCATTGCACATTCCAACCCGACTCTCTCATTCACTGTCTCACCTTTTCTCTCTCATTCGCACTTGTGCTCACGCTACCCTCTCCTTTGTTGGCTCGTCCTCCTTCTTTCTCTTTTCTCGTCTCTTCCAACTCTTCTCTCTTCGAAAAGCAGGTCCCGTCTCCTTTCATTATTTTTTGTTTGTTGTTCGTTGTGCAGGTTCCCCCTCCTTCATTATCACTCAGAACAATCGGCACTTGTAATTTGTATTCTTCTGATATCATCCTCTCACTTATCTCATGCAGGACACACAACCCGGAGTACCCGGCCCGCGACAACCACCACCCCACACCCACTCCGCTCACACAAACAGCAACATCCATCCTTTCATAATCTCTCCTTCCGATGCCACCACTGCTGCTACTGCCTCAGTCGTTCCACACTCACCCACAACCACATCACAAGAACAACGGCATCCAACAACAACCACACTCCCACCTCTTCCCCCTCCTCTTTCATCTCATCTTCCACCCACTCAAGCCCCGCTCTCAGGAACTCAATTGGACATGCCTTCCTCCACTTCGTACCACGACAACAACACCGCTGACACTGGTGCAAGTTCGCTTGGTGACGACAACAACGACAACAATAGCAATCATGAACCTTCTTCATCTTCACCGCCCTTGCTCTTCACCCTTGACGCACTGTCCATGCAGTACAAAAACAACAATAACAACGACAACACCAACCAAAACAACAATAACAACGTGGACACAGATGCAGATCTGCTTCCCTCCATACTCTTATCTTCAAGTAACCCTCCCCCTTCCCTTCCCTCCGCATCTATGTCGGTCTCTGGATACAACTCTCATCCCACCACAACTCCTAGCAACAGTTTCCCTGGCGCTACTGCACCTGTGACGAAAACCACAACTCCAACACCAGGACAACAACCGCCACAACCGGGACGCCCTGCTACCTCGTTCAGGATAAATACAAACAACAATGACTTGGCCATCAAGAACGCTATTGCCGGAGGTCTCCTAAGCTCACCCACAGGGATGCCTCCTGCGACATATATCTCCAAGTTCATGACCTCCTCAGCACCCAAGATCAACTCCAACCCTTTCGTCAATACCAATCCCTTCATCAACCCCAGCAGTAGTGGAAATAGTGCAGGAGGGGGCAGCAATATCAACAAAACTCATTTGGTCAGACGATCCTCAAAACGGAAAAGTATAGGCGGTGTCTCATCCAGAGTAGGCGTTGGTCCTGGAATCAACCCGACTTCAGCCCTCACCGCGCAGATTGCTGCTGCAGCTGCTGCAGCAACCGCCAAAGGAACAAACGCCAACAATGCCAACAATCGCGTCAAGGCAACCGGAGGTGACAGCGGTGAAACCAACGACAGCAACACTGGGAGTGGAACTGTCAGCGGGAAGGGCAGGGGAAGCGGATTCAAGACGCCGGACCTGCGACCGTACTATCCGTCCTTTGGATCCATGGGCTTGATTCCATCGCCAGCAACGAGTCAGCGATCGCTTTCTTATGGCGGTCCCAGCACCACCGTTGCCGCAGAGACAGGGACCATGGGCGACAATCAGAATATCGTGCAGGACCCTCCAGAACCAGGACAGCATGGATACCATCCAGTCTATGGCCTGCGCAGGAGTAATAGTGTGGGCAAGTCCAGTGGTGCTGCGGGAGGATCTGGTGCGTCGGGAAGTGGAGGGGGCAAGACGGGATTTGCTACACGGTTTCGCAAACTTCGGCACCGGCGTGGTTCGCGCGATAGCACCAAAAGTCATCATTCAACCAGCGGTGAAAGTGATTCCGATTTTAGTGCAGGCAAGCCTTTTTTTTCTTGCGCCTCTTGTCTTCCTAAGATAGAAAACGTAACCAGGAGACTAACACGTTGATTGCATTCCTTTTTTTCAGTAGAGGGACCGTTCAACAATGCAGGGCTTCCGCCCAGGATGGCGTTCAGCATGTCACCTTCGAAACCACTACCACTCTTCTTGGACCCAACTCTGCCACCTCCACCGCCGATTCGCACCAACAGCAGTGTCAGTCTAAACCGAGACAGCCCCACAGCAACAGGATCTACTACACCCACAACAGCCAACATCGCATACTCAATCCCCTTTGGATATGGAGGGATGGGTGTAGCTCCATTGTCGGTGGTTACCAAAAACTCTGGAGTTGGCCTATCGTCGTCTTCAGGCGCAGGAGGACAATCAACTGGTGCCAGCACACCCACGACAGGACAAACTCCACGAGAATCATCTTCAACTGCACGATTCAGGAAAATGATCAAGCGGAATGTGGGTCTCTCGACACCCACGGCCGCAACACACAACTTTGCACCAGGATATGGAGGAGCCACGGCGTCGACCAATTCTTCGCCAATTGTAGGAGCTACGGGGTCCTTGTTGGCGCCCAACGGTGGCTCCAAGGTCACGTCTATGTCGACAGGAGCGATCGTCGATCTTGTGTCGGGAGATGATCAACCCTCCAAGTTTAGAGTTTCACGGATGAAGAGACGGAAAAAGAAGCTGACCAAGAAGGCATTGAACGACGGTGGATCACCACTTTCGGACGAGGACGATATACCCCTGAGCATGCGGGTTCCCAACCTAAAGGAGCAACAACTAGCGCCATCGTCCCGACACCATCGTTTCATGCCTCACCTTCACAGTCACCATCACCATCGCCACCGGCAACTGTACTCCCAACTTTCTGGACAACGGCAAGGGCAAGGGGAGCGAACTAACCAACCCATCGTCTTCCAAGTCGCCTCGCAGGCTTTGAGAGAGGCACGAGAGTCTAATCAGGATCCCAACGTGCTCCTGGCAGAACTGGAACCTTTACCCGCCAAATCTGTCGAGGCCATAACAGGACTCAGCGGCGACACTCCATTAAATGCGACCCTGCTTCCATCTGCTGCCTCAACGATGCAATCGACCACCTCTGCCGCTACTGCCAACTTGATGATGTTCCCACTTATACCCATGATGGCCAGTATCATCCCTTCAAGCTCTATGGGCTCTGGAACCGGATCGATCAACAGTTCCATGTTTATCTCGACCCAACAGGAAAAGCAGCAACAGCAGACTTCGCCGCGTGGGAACATGACATCTCTCTCAATGACTTTTGCTTCTCAGGCACAATATTCACCACGCCGCCCACTCCAAGTCGCCGGCGCGCACCCACTGAGCGAACGCAACTTTTTATTCAAGTCTTATCAGAACTCGAAATTCCAGGGCCATTACGCGTTCAGGATTCGTGGGGACCAGCTCGAGTTTGGGAAACTACCAGTGGCGTACGAGCAGGCTTGTGCGCAGTACTTTCGAGAGGTCGATGTCTCGTTTCGACTGTTGGAGAAGAAGGCCAAGGACTGGAGGGATCAGCGCAAGGAGGCTCTGGCGAAGAGAGAAAAGATGCAGGAGAGGTATCGTCGACGGCCGGTTCGATCTGAACCAGGTCCACCTGCTTATCGTTCTCGTCAGACATCTCTGGATCAACTGAAGCAAGAACAACCAAAGGAAAAGATCTTGCGTGACACACCTTCCAGTTTGGCGGAATATGACAGTACTATCGGCAGTAGTGGAGTGCCTAGCAGGAGCAACAGTCGTGCAGGAACCCGATCGCGAAGCAGCAGCGTCAGTCGAATCGAGACCGGATCTTGCTCGTCTCTTCAACTCTCCTTTGGAATGACCAAGGACGATCCTAATCAACCGCAACTAGTTCATGCCGACTCTATCAGGAGAATCCTGTTGGATCGTCACCCTCTGTTTAGTAGCGAGAATGTCTTGACTCAAAGCCCCACCAACTCTGTCAACAACTCTCAGGAAGACTTGGGTCAGTTTCCTGACACCGCCACAGCCACCGCCAACAACAGCAAACAAGATCACCGATCGAACAGCGCTAGTGGTGGCGGAAGGGCTCGAGGATACAGCGAACCTGCCCACCCTGACGAACTACTCCTCCTCCTAGACGACGAAGTCGACAATATCAACAACCCGCCCATTGTCTCAGGAGCCTACTACAACGAACTGGACGATCTCCTTATTCAAGATGTCGAACACTACCGCAATCTCCCGGCCTGGCGACAGCGAGAGCTTCGGGAACAACAGGAGAGGCAATGGGCGGTTGACGATGACTACTGGCAGAAGGTCGAGTGCGAACATTCGACCGAGGTTCGAGCTGCTCAGTATGGACTGGAGCTATGTCTGTTGGAACTTATCAAGCCTGTGGACTATGAGCCATTCGATTCTATCCACCAAATCGAAATCCTCAACGAGAACCGTGCGTCAAGCAATGTTTTAACTGCAAAAAAGTGCCAATCTTGACAAATATCTTTTTTTTTAAATGCTCACCAACTCTTTTTCGTTTTCTTTCTTCTATTGTACATAGGAGATGCGGCATTGTTCTCGATCGCGAATGCCAGCAGGACGAACGTGATGTGGCTTGAATCACCCTCCCTCAAACTCAAGTACGAGTTCTTCAACTGGATCGCCATCAGCCTCATGGACCACGGAGGTAACTATAGCCATCCTCCTCCTCCTTCAGCCCTATTTTCCATCCCACACTTCACACACTTGCAAAAAAAAAACGCCACTAATTCACATTTTCATTGGCTTTGCTTTGTAGAACCGGATCTTCAGGAAGAAGCGCGTCAGGACAATAATGAACTCGACATCAACTCCAAAGAAGAACAACGATGTCGTGGCAAAACGTAACGTCTCAACATCTACCTCCCATACCCCTCCTCCTCCTCCTCCTCTTTGTTTTTTTTTGTCGGACCCCAAAATCAATTAATTAACCTTTTTCTATTTTCTAACCCCCCCCCACACACACACACACACACACACACTTTTTCTTCCTACAGCACAATGGACCTCCTCCTCGATCTGATAGAAATCCGCATTCACCTCCTCGAAGATAACCTCCACGCCCAACGCGATCAAACCATGGAAACCATGAAATCCATCGAAGATGTCCTCGCTCAACTCGACAACCTCGATGAATCCGCCAAAAGACTCTCGACAACTTTAATCCGAGCGATCGAGAGCGATGAAGTCCAGTCGGCTCTGCACCCTTCTCCGGTGACTGGGTTGACGTTGGCAGAGACGGTGGATGGAAAGATTAAGGATGTGAATGAGCGGATTGTTGTTTGTGCGCGGATCATGGGTGCCGCTCGGTTTAATGTAAGTCCATTGAGGGGGGGGGAGGGAAGGCGTAGAAAGAGTGTATCTACTGACAAAAATAATAATTGTACATGCTGGATGAACAACACGAGAATCAATGCACTCAAATCTTGTCTTTTCTTTATATCGTCTTTTGTGCAATGGGGGTGATAGCTGAACCGGTTAAAGTACGAGATTGAGTTGGAACAACGATCGATCCGCCTATTCCGACAATACAAGATCGCGATCGCGATTGTCACAGTCTTAATCCTGCTATTTTTCTGGTACCTCTATAACTGTCGCCATACAGCTGCTTCTGCTGCCGCGACTGCAGCACAAGAGGCTGCAAAGGCTACAAAGGCAGGACACGGGTTCACACACTGGTCACCCTTTTCTCTCTTCGCTAGCCGCGACGAGCCTCAACACCCAGACCTTCCACATTCTCATCCTCCTCCTCCACGTCCAATGTCATGATCCACCCTATCCCCTTGTAAATACATATATCTCCGCTCATGTATCAATAAAAACGGCTAAGCGTAATGGTTATGGTTGCTATAATACACGCGCTTTTTTATTTATTTAGGTGGAGGGATTTTGTGATTGAGATATGTATAGTTTTTTTTTGTGCAATGGGAGATGATGTTATAGTTCTTTTTTCTCACCCTCCAAGGAGAGAAAAAGAAGTTGAAAAATTACAGAGAGGTTTGACAAAAGAAAAAAAAAAAAGGTAACGAAGTGAGAAAGTAATGGCAAGCGAAAGAAGGAAAGGGGGGGATGGTACAGAATAATGGTGGCAATGAAGAGAAGTAATGAATGAAAACTAATGAAAACTGAATCATTGAAAAGGATAAAAGATAAAAGGTAAAAAAGAAAAAAGAATCAACAAAGGGAGAAAAAAGAAAAGGGAGCGAGCCTTACGAAAGGATCGGCAAGAAGTTCCCCACGATGGCCAAGGGGATATCAAAGATATCCCTCTTGATCGTAAAGCAGAACGTGCACGGCACAACCCTCTGCGTCGGACTGAGTAAGATACATGTCGTCATGACGGTCTGCTCCGTATTCTCAAAGGCATGGGTCGAGAACTTTTCCCAGTACTCGACTGCAGACTGGTTGTCCATCAGCTCGTAGATGTAGGTCTTTTTGTTGAAGAGTTGGTCACGCGACCACTGGGTGAGCAGCGAGAACTCCTTGCCGACTAGTGCAATCTCGCCCGTCCTACGCCAGACGACTGTGGGAGTTCCTGAAAAGCTGATAAGCTTCTCGAATTCCTGTTAAGGGGGACAGGCAAAGACGAGACAGAGACAGGGAGGAGAAATGAGAAAGGGGAAGAAGAATAGAAACAGTGCATGGGATTAGTGTCTCTGTGCATTGTGTTATTGTGTTCGTGTTAAGTTTTCCCGGTTTCCCATGAGAGTGTAAGGATGGATGGTGACACAAATGATATCCAAAATAACACATTGGGCGACGAAATAAGAGAGATAACTTACGAGGACGGTGCGTTGGAAGCAGGTCTCCATGAAGATGAGGTCCTCGGGGGTGAGGTTCATGATCAAGGCAATGAAGGAAGGGCGGAACATGGCCATGGCACGGCAGACGCGCATCATCTCCTCCTTGTCCATCCTATTTCGATCGTATCATTGCAAGAATAGGAGGATAAAACGAATATTAGATCGATACAAAATATGATTGATAGGGGTGCGTCTGTGTGTATGTGTGTATGTGCTGTGTGCTGGTGTTGTTGGTTGTGAGGTCGTTCTTTGTTGTTGTTCGTTGGTTTGCGCACCAATTATATTCGACTGTGGAGAAACACTTGATAAGAACAAGGGGTTAACAGGGAGAGGTGACAACGAGGTGGAGGAAAAAAAGCTTTTTTTTTTTTTACCTTTCGCGGACATATCGCAGGAGATAATGGAAACCCTCGGTGTAGTTGAAGGGCGCCTTGGTGTTGGCATAGACATTCTCGGGAGTATTGCTCGGGAACTTGCGCTTGCTGACACGGTTCGAATGAGAGTTGATGTTGTTGTTCTGGTTGCCAAAGAGTCCAGTGACACTCTGTTGCTGCTGTTGCTGCTGCAGGTGGTTGTTGTTGGTAGTAATGTTGACCTTGCTGTTGTTGTTGTTGTTGTTATGGTTGTGCGACAAAGCAGCAACACGCTGCAAATGACCATGCTGTTGATGCTGCTGCTGGAGCGAATTGGCCATGGCTTCAAGAGCACCCTGGCGCTGCCAGTTCTCAACCATAGACATTTCCGAAGTCATCGACTGAAGCTCGGCTGTTGGAGAGGAGAGCATCGTCGACAGAATCGAGTACTCGAGGTTCAAGGCTTCGGATTCAAAGCCGTAGTCGGGGACGAGGGTAGAAGTAGAAGAGGTGGATGATATACAAGAGGAAGAAGTGGTCGAGAGTGTGGGGGAGGAGGACCGACTGTTGGTGGGTGAGGAGAGTGAAAGAAGTGGCAAAAGAGGTGAAGTGGCCTTGACAGAGGCAGCAGCAGTTAAGGAGGATAACGACGACAAGGAGGCAGTGGTGATAGACGAAGTGACATGAGGGAAACCGAACAGTGCTTGCGCATCGTCCAGAGGCGATTCTAAAAGGAGTGGCGTAAGATAGAGGGAAGGAATGAAGGGAGAGAGAGAGAGGAGGAATAAGTGAAGGAGGAGAGGAGAGAAGTGAAGAGATTAGGATAAGAAATAACAGTCGCCTTCTTTTCAATGTGAAATAGGGGGGAGATGCCCTTCTACACAATCCAATTCAAAGGAAGATATGAGAGAAGGGGAAGGTAAAAGGAGTGGTGTGGTGTATGCGAGTATGTAGATCGAATGGACAGAAACAAAAAAAAAGGGGGAGACATTTCCAATTTCATTGCAATTGCATGAGTTTTAGTACTCACCTCGAGTAATGGTCGTCGTCTGGGCCTGTTGCTGCTGCTGTTGTTGTTCAAGCTTGGCCTGCTCAGCAGCCCGCTGCTGAGACTCCTGGAGGTACTTGGCCTTCTTCCTCACCCCGTCAGTGCAGGACCCAGCCAGATCACGCTTCACACACCGTTGGCATGGACGCGCTATTGTTCATAAATAAAGTATAAAAAAAAGACAGATGGGTGAGTAAGAAAGATCTTGACAAAAAAGCAAGATTGTGTGTAGGGGTGGTGGGAGTGTGGAGCTCGCAATGATTTTCGACGGTTTCGAACCCATGATGAGCGATGGTGCGAATGCGGACATCCCTCCGCCAAGGTGAAAACAAGCAAGCACCACTTGATCTCCTTTCTTTTTTGGCAAAGAAAGATATTGCAATTCCCCCTTTCTCCAATTTTTGCAGAGTAAACATGTGCACGCGTAGTTCTGTCGACTCCACTCCACTTGTTGATGTGGATCTGTGTGTGCACAAGAGAGCGATTGTGGGGAGAGGATGGGATAGAAGAGGGGCAAAAAAAGGGACAGCAGGGAAGGGGAGGGATTGCTTCACAAAGCGCCCACCAAGTCCAGGCAGGCCCAATAAGAAAAACCATGGATAAAATATTGTTATCGCCACCAAATGCACAATGGAAGAATGAAAGAGGCACTTACCGTCATCGCAAGTCAAATGGGCCTTCTGGCAGTGGAAGCAACTATCACAACAAAAGAATACAAGCAAAAGAAAATTAGCCCATGGAGCCTTCCAAGAACCAAAAGCGTGCCTTGGCTGTTTTGCCTCGATCGCATTCAAACTTACGCTCGACTGGCCTTCTTGCGGCGGTTGTTGGTGGGCTGGGCATTCGAGCAATCGTCCGACGAGACCTGTCCGTTGGGCCCAACTGTGCCGTTGCGATTATGGTTGTGGTTGTGCATGGGAAGGGTACGGTTCTGGTGAAGCTGCATCAGGTTGATGGTGTCGACCGTCTCGACCTTGGGTCGGTCCGCAATCAATGACACTTGGCTGTTGCAGTTTTGTCGTTGTTTTGGTGGCGGTGGATTGTGTCGAGTCAAGGTGGAGGTGACGGCGTGCGCGATAAGATAGTGAAAAAGAAGGAATGAAAAAAGAAAGAAAGACGATTTCATGAATGGGCGTGAAGAGGTAAAACGGTTGTTGAATGACGGCGAGGAGGTTGTTGTGATAGTCAACGATCTAGGAGGGACGGACTCGCGTCTTCCTTTCTTTCGTTGTCGGCTCGAGTTGGTTGACGTCGTAGGATATCATGGTCGCATGTTCGTTCGACGAAGCACAAAAAACAACACTGCATATTCAGAGCGCATGGAAGCGAGCGAGCGAGCGTGGGACAGGCAAGACCGCTTTGTCGTCTGGAGACAGATGCACAGTAAAAGCGTGTCGTCGGGCAGAAAGTGACAAAAAGGTAACAGATGTCAAGACGATGACAAAGACGCGCCACCATTGCTCATAAATATAATAAAATAAAATAAAATAAAAAAAAAAAAAAAAAAAAAACGGAAATCCGTATAAAGAAACAAAGCTCTCGCCTCATGCAACAAATAAAGAGATATGAAAGGAGAAAGAAGGCGAAGATAGAACGGAACGGGATGGTCACAAAACGCCAGTCGATCGGGTCAGGAAAGAATGAATACAGCCAAACCAACCAACCCAACCAACCCAACCAATTAACCAATCCATTCGCCCACGGAGCGTTTAGGAGAACAGCCTTTACGAAAGTGCGCGCGAAGAGGGTCCAACTCTTTCAGCTTGAGAGCCCTCTTTTTTTCTCTGATCCGTCCGTCCGCCTCACTTATCCTCTTTTTGTGTCCTTGGCTTCCAAGCCGCCACAGAGGACGACCGACCAAACAGCAAAAATAAACATCCAGCTCTGCTGTCCGTATGTTGGAAAAGGTGTTGGGAAGAAAGAAGTGGCATCCAATCCATCCTGCTCCTGTTTATATTGCTCCAGTGGTCGCAGTTACTGTCCTCATCGTATTTGTTGATCCCACTTGTTGTTGACCTTGGCAAAGCCCAATACCATATCCAATGTCGCCATCCATCCAGTCCAGTCCAGTCTTGCTTGCCTCCCACGAGAATAATAACCCACTCCCCCCAAAAAACCAGTTTTCAGAGCCCTTTTCTTACTTGCAGTCATTATGAACGCCCGCAAGGGCAATTCAACCTTCTTTTTTGTCTGTTGTTCGCCCAATATTTTCTCACAAAAAACTCAGATGGTCAGTCATACGGCCTGTCGGTCCGTCGATCTGGTTCTGGTCTGGGGGTGTCGGCGCTCCTGCTGCTTCTTCCTTGATCCGGGATCTCCGCTGATTCCAGGTCACCGTTCAGAAGAAAAGAAATACAGAAAAGGGATCGTTCTTGGCCGCCGTGAATCACAATAGAATAATAAGCAGACTGAGAATCGACCGGCTGCGAAAAATGAAATAAAATAAAAAGGGGAATGTGGATCTCACTTACAGAACACCTGTTTTCCAAGGAAGACGAAAAAGAAAGGCATACCAGCCCAAAGGAACAAAAGGAAAAATAGGGTGGGGTTGAGAGAGAAAAGAAATATAACAAGGAGGAGAAAAAAAAACGCGATCATGGCGTGTAAGAATGAACAAAACACCATAAAAAACACCAAACACACAGATCAATGAGGCGAGAGACAAAGGGAAAAGGAGGACGGGGAGGAAGGAAGGACGGGGGTGCAATAAACAACCACAAGGCCCAGCAAAAGGGTGAACACACAAAAGGGAGAGATAACAATGGGAATGGCACTCACATAGGGTTGGCCTGACGAATATCGGCCATGGTGCGAGCGCGGATCATGGCCGAGGACGAAAAGTCGTCCTCCATATCAAGATCCATCTCTGGATCGGACGAGTAGTCCGAGTCATAGAGCTCCGGGTGGTTGTCAAAGAAATCGTGGTACAAATCCGGGAGCGATGTTGTTGGGCTCAGTGTCAAAATATTGGCTGGTGGTTGAGGCGCATTGATCATGTCATCGAAGAACGTTGTTGCTTCCCCAATAGATGAAGATACCACAGGCGCAGGTGCTGGTGCAGGCGAGGGTGTCGACACTGATGCGATCGGGGTTGGTGCTAAAACAGCAGTCGCCGATGAACCAGCACCGGTAACCTTCGTTGCCGTAGTAGGCAAAGTGGCGCCGATCGAAGGAGCCGCTGTTGTCGTCTTTGCAATAGGAGGTGGCGCTGGTGCTGTAGGCTTGAGGAGAGTTGCAGTGACAACAGCAGGAGCGGGGGTTGAGGGAGCCGCCTTGATCGCCGCCGCCGAAGGTGCCGAAGATGCCGACGGTATCGTGGGTGATGATTTTGATGAAGAAGCGGCTGTCAGTCCTGCTGCCGCCGCTGAGGTTGCCGCCGCAGATGATGAAGTCCCAGCTGGGATGGAGTTCAAAAATGAGCCAGCGATTGTCTGACCCGATGCAGATGAGGTGCTGCTGCTGTTGTAGGAGGCCGGCGAAGATGAGACACCCACACAGGTGGCTCCACTACTGCCGCTCGTGCTGTTGCTGTTGTTACTCAAGCTGGTGCCAAGATGGCTTGCAGCTGAACCCAAGAGACTAGAAGCCCCGACAAGGCTCATGGTCGATCTGCCCACCACAGGAAGCGTCGTCGAGGACGAGATCGTCGCTGTGGCAGCCATGATGGGTTGATTATGTACTAATTAATTGATCCAAAAGAAAGTGAACGAAAACGAAGCACAGGAGCGAGATGATAACAAGGCGTCGAAAGGTTGGAAGAGTTGGAGATTTGTGTGGAATAGAAGAAAGAAAAATGTGAAGGGAAGGGAAGGGAAAGCTTCAAAGTGCAAGTAGATCAGAGTAATAAGACGGAAGGAATGCGCGGCAAAAATATGATCAACTGGAAAAAAAGGGCGAAAGGGTCTTTTGGTTGCGGCGAGGATAAAGAAAGAAAGAAGGGCTAATTAGAGGAGCAAATGAGGCTAATCAAAAGTGCAAAGAGAGGAGAGTGAAGAGAAGAGAGAAGGACAAAGAGTAAGGGTTCAAAAAAGGGAAAAGGAAAAAAGGCAACTTGAGAAAGTGAGGAAGGAAAAAAGGGACAAGTGAAAAACGGCAGAGGATCGGCGGTGAACAAGAGTCAAGAGAAAATTTTTTTTTTTCAAGGAACGAGAAACTTGACTAACAGGGTAAGCTGACTTTTTGGAATGCAAGCAATGGGTCAGTTCTCCGAGAACTTGACAATGAGCTAATGACAAGTTGGAATGAGGACGTGATGGAGAAGGAAGGTGAAAGTGAAAGAAGGAATAGACAGTGTAAAGGAACAAGGAAAGAAAAGAGAAGGGAAAAAGAGATAGAAAAAAAAAGAGATAGGGAAGGGTCAGGACTGGATTATGTTTTTCCTTTCATTTTTACCATTCTGTTTTTTTGTCGTGCAATTGAATAATAGTCAGGGCAAAGAAAAACAATTACAGGTTGATTATAAGACGTTTGTTTGTCGCTTGTGCTTGGTGTTGGATCGAGAGCGAGAGATAATGAAGACCGTGGGGAAGATTGGCCAGGAGAGTGGACGCGGGTACTGTGTGTCTCTCGGAAAGCTGAAGGAGGAACAAGTGATGACGAAGGAGAGAACAGTGGATGCTTGTCGTACAGGTAAAAAAAGAAAATTGAGGATGGAGGGTCGATGCGATGCAACGGGAAAAGGAAAAAGAAGTAAAAGATTGGATTCAGGTAAAGTGGAGTGAAGGAAGGGAAGCGATGCTGGACGGAGAAGGTATGGAGTGTGCAGCAGATTGAAAGGCGAAGGAGGTGTGTGTGAGTAGAGGCGTTTGTTGAAAGGACACGCGTGACGATAGTTGTTTGTAGAAGTAGTTGGTGTAGATGTCAGGTCAAGAAATGGTAGATAGGTGGAGTGGAGGGGAGGGATTGGGTCAAGGAACAATGACCAAAAGAACAAGAAGGGGTGAAAAGGGTAAAAGGGGGGAAAGAAGGTAAGGAAAGAAAGAAAGGAAGAGAGAAGAAACGAAAAGGAGAGGGAGAGTAGTGCAAGAAACAAAGTGAGTGTGATCGAGTGGAGTCAGCTAATGAATCAGAGGTGGGGTCAGTGTCAAGTCAAGTCAAGTCAAGTCAGGGCAAGTCATGGCACCAGATTGAAAGGAGTCCATTGAGGCCAGCATCCAACCAGCACAACCCCGCCCAACAGCACAAAGAAAGGCCGACTCACCTCGTCAAATCAAATAATGAATATCATCTCAATTCAATCAGTCTCACCTTCTGCTATTCAATCCATCATCAATCAATATCAATCAGTCGGGCCAAGTCACAAAGGACTTGAGAGCCAGGCCAGACCAGGCCACGGCCACTGACAGGCCGAGTCATAGTCAGCAAAGGGCGGATCCCTATTCTAACAACACGCAAGTCACCCCTGTACTGTACCTAAAGGATAATGGTATTCAACCAACGTCCGAGGGTTTTTTTTGGTTTACTTACACTTTAAACTATCCACCCTCTCGCAATGTTCAATCAGAGGGGCAGGATCGCGATCATGAACGATGACGTTGGAAGAGGTTTACAGACAACAGATGCAAGGAACGGAGGAACCAGGATCCACATCAAATTAGATTTTATTTTCAGATACCCCGCACTCCTGACCTTGATGAGGGAAGGGCTGAAGAGGGACAGGGGAATGAAGGTACGGGGCTGAAGGACCTTGTTTAGTGGAGTCTTGGAGTCTTTGATTCTTATTGTTCTCGTCTGAAGATCTCCCCTGGATCCCTGATAGTCAAGTGTCCGGACTGGCTGACTGGCTGCTGAAAAAAGGCGATGGTGTGAGAACCTCATTCCGGTTCCAGAATCAACAACAAAAATATCATTTTCCGTGGATCTGAAAAAGTAAAGACACAAACGGTACAAGATCGCTCGAGAGATTGTGAATGGATGGGCTTTGTCTGACACCTTCCTTTTGTGCTGGCATTTGAGCAAAGCCGAAGAGGGGTGGTTTGTGCATGTGTCTCCAGTAATCACACACACATAAACAAGGGCACTTGTTTGCTTTGCCGTAGAAGAGACCTCGTTTACATACATCCCCGATGGTAACATAAGTGAGATCGATAAAATAAGATACAGTGTTCCTAGACTTTGCCCTCCTTCACCCTTCGGACAGTTCCCGTTTTAGTAAAACGCCCAATTGGCCCACAGGGGCGAAATTCCTGTGTATCTCCACTCTCTTCTTTCTCTTCTTTCTCACTTCTCCTTCTCCGTCTCTTCTCTAGCTCTCTCTGGCATCATCATCATCATTCATGGGGTTGAACACAACCTGATGTCAAGTCCAGAGCTACTTTCGCACTCTTCCCCTCTCCGCCAGGCAGGTGTATGTAACCCCTCCACTTACCCACGGCGAAACAAGCTAGCAGCCATACCCCAAGGCCATGGCGTTTTATTTCCCACACACGTTTTTCTTTTCTTCTCTATCAAATGTTTTACATTTCGACCAACCTCCGCTCCTTGCTCTCTTCTCTTCCCCCCTCTCTCCTTTCTAACGGTCTCGGTGCATCGTTTCTCTTTCTTTCCCTCATTGCACAAGAAGCTCCACTAAAAAACCCAATAACAGGAATATGTATAGGGCGTATCGTTCTTCGACAAACAAAGAAAAAAAATGCCGATACCCCGCATGTGGGTATGCCGAGAAAGGGTTAACTTCGCATTATAAAAAAGTGGCGTAGTATGTATGTGCGCCTGAACTAAGATCAACAAAAAAAAAGCGAGAGAGAGAGGAAGAAATGCCGGAAAAGAACGCAACGGAGAACGGAAGGATGTGGGAGTGCGAGTGGAGCGCACACGCGTAAAATGAAACTTGGATTAGATGGAAGGGCGACTAGACAGGTGTTGAGCTGGGCAAAGTTGTAAGACGAAAATAACGCCACATCGTGGGAGTTGGGGGGAAAGGAGGGAAAAGGGACCCTTTTTCTTCTTTCATCCGCCCTAGTGCGTGGTGTGTTCTCAATTCATCTATGGGCTGCTGAGGATCCGGAAAGAACGGGAGGGGATAAGAACCGGCGGCCGGGCGGGAGTACTGCAATTGAGATAAAAATGCCTCCTTTTTCAATTTTCGGATAATTATTATCCATGAGATGCATTGGACGTTTTGTTGCAAAAAGAAAAAGGGATCGGATCCCAGAACGGCGCCATTGATATGCGGATTTTTCTTGTTAGCATGTGTATTCAATGCAGATTCAAAAAAAGGGGGAGGCTTGTAGGAAGGAAACTCTTTTGATCATCGCCACGCGAGAAGGACGGAAACTTCGACTGAAAAGTAAAAGCGACCATCCAAAAAATCATTTTTTTTCTCCGGGAGCGTGCAAGAGAAATAAAAGAGTCAAAGGACGAGTTCACTTTCGTTTGTTTTCAACAAGGTTCAAGCACATGAACAAAAAATGGGCGAAAAAAACGCTCACTGTCAGCAAGCAGGAACATCATTAGCATCACAACCGCATTTTACCACGTTTCTCTTATATCAATCTCAAGGAAAGGGCCATTTGAGTTTTACTTGCGAGAAAAGTATAACAAGCATGCTGTCACAAGCAAACTAATCATGTCTTGTCATTCCCAATGGACATGCACAAATATCAATTAGCAAAGTGAACAGAACAGCACCTGAAAAGAAGGATAGATGGAGGTACGCATACTTTTCACGTCATTAGCTCTTTGTTCTTTTTTTCTTTCGGAGAACAGTTAAAGTAAGAGTCCGTGTGTAAAACAGAGCACATACAGTACATACGTCTCGAAAACAACAATAAACGCCCAGAGAGATTGTTTATCGCGAATGTCATCATTGCTCGTCCCCCAAGCTCACCTCCCATTCCCTTCCATCCTTCATCCCTATATCTGTCGTGAACACCATGCACTCTTGTCAAAAAAAAAAACACAGATACACAAGGATAGTAAGAATTTCTTTTGGTTGTTGAGCAACAAGGGAACACACACATATCCTGTATTGCAATCTCTGAAGCCCCAACCACCCAACCACCCAACCAACGTACCCAACAATATAAAAGATCGACTTCCTACGCCGTCTGTTCCAAGGTCGTCTTTTTTTTTTGTTCATTGACAATTTTTTGCTCACACTTCCCTCCATCCCATCCCTTTTCGCCATTCCCCTCATTCTTTTCAATGCGCGCAGTTTCGAGAGTGGTTGGGCACACACGCAACAAACCAGAATTGTTGTACCAAAGAGGAAATCCCGAGATCGGACTCTAGAAACACCTTCGTTGTTTTCTTTTCCTACTGTACACTTCAATTCAATCGAGTCAGAAATTCCCCCTCTCTCTCGGCGGAGTTTTAGTTTTTTCCTTTTCCTCAGCAAAAAACATGGCTCGGAGTGCGGACAAAAAAAAAATAAAGGTTCATAGCCATTTGCACATCGTGAGAAGTGACTAAGTAATCACTCGAATCACTCGCTGGCAATGGACGGACTTTGGGCTAGGCTTGTTGGACTGCTATTGTAGGATCTGGAGAAACAGCAAACCGCAAGAGACCCCGCAAAAACAAAAAAAAAAGTTTTCTTTTCTTTTGCTTGAACAAACACATGCACAATTTTCAGCTGTCAGCCATCGAAAAGCTCGTGCTGGATGTAGCTCCGTGGATAGACAACCTCCCCCTCCTCCTTTGCTTACGCTTCCCTTGAAATTGCAATTGAACGTTCAAGTCCTGATGGGTTTGGTTTGATTGGATTCAGGAGGAATAGAATGGTTTCTAACTGGAGAATTTTAGTGGCGTGTTGAAGCTGATTCCAGGAAAAGAGAAGAATCTGATATCTGATGCAATACTGCTCGTGATGCAGTCCTTCAGATTACACAGTGCCACCAGAAAACACGTCCTCGATCCTTTCTGCTTTCCTTCCCGCTCGTTTTGCTGATCATGAAAAGAACACTCAATGATACCCAAATGAAATATCCATGCTGCCGTTCGTTCGTTGTTTCTTTTCTCGTTCTATTGTTGTTGTTTTCCTGTATCATTGCTAAAAAGTGCTAATGGCTGTAAGATTTGCCGGTTCTAGCGTTTTAAAAATACAAAAGTGAGTAAAATGTCACGATAAGAGGAAAAAAAAAAAAGAAATCAAGGTCCCCGGTTGGTCGTTGCTTTTGTCGGTCAGTCCGGTCGGACCGTCTAAGAAAAGTACTGGATCTCAAGTCCGACAGATTTGACGATCGGTGCCTGAGCATGTGGTGAAAAGACATGTCCCACAAACCCAAGACTGAACAACAACTTGTTGAATCGGCCCTCCCACATAATCGCCAATCCAGAATGAACGCCCAAACGCGCCTTGATCACACCGACAATCGGTTGTGTCGACAATTCTGAAGTCCCGGACGTTGATGATGACGATAACGATCCTGTTCCTGTTGTCTCGGGCAAGTCAGGCACGCCAACGGTTTTAGGGAACGGGTCCGTTGCTGCCTGCTCGTTGCTGTTAGCACCTTTCCGCTCCCGAATCCACCATTCAACTCCTGCGGTCAGCTCACTGTCGTAGCTGTAGAGATTAAAGTCGAATCGCGAGCAAAGTCCCAGATCTGGGTGAACCTGTGCAGCATAGCTGCTCGAGACATGTCCCATGATAGGGTTCAGAGTCTGTGTGATCGTGATGGGGATATAGTTTTGGTGGTGCTCGGGTGCTGTCGAGGTCGGGTATCGAGGTATTACTCCTGAAGACTCCTGTGACGATTTCTCCTTGTCCTCAGATGTCGTAGCTGGTGCCAATGGAGGCAACGTCCTGTATCTCAGACCCGTCGACACTAGTAGTATTCGGAAACACCATGGAGTGTCATATTAGTTCCCTTCGAAAATAAACGCAGAAACACGAAAATGCAATATTGACAAAAGCAAGCACGGAGCACCTACGTCCTCCAAGTTTCTCGGTTGCACTGTAATAGACCTCTGCGCCAGCTGACCAGTATCCTCGAATTCTATCAGACGGCACCGATTCTTCATCTGCCGCCTCCTCGCCCAAATACCCCGCACGCTCCCGCAAAAGATCTTCCGACGATTTCAGGTCTAGTGTTACAGGGCCACGAGTAGTAGAACCAGTCTTCTCAGCCGATTCCTGTTCCAGATCGATCGATCCACTGTCCGGGTTATTCAACAACGTAATCTCTTCCTCATCCTCCAATCCTGCTTCCCGACGGCGACGGCGACCCTCCTTCTGCATGTCATCGTAAGAGTCATCAAAGTCCTTGCCAAAGTTGTAAAGACCACGCACTCCAATCAGTCCATCGTCCGTTGTAAATGACATTTCTGCACAGTATTTGCCCTTGTCGTACTGGAACTGTGCCGACATCTAGGTGAAACAGCAAAACGAGTGCAGAGTCAACAATCGCGTTTCACCTACAAGTTCAAGAAGCAAGGTGATATCGTGTGAAAAGAAAATCGGCTTACATGAGATGCACTCCTGGACGCAGGGTCGCTGATTCCTGAAAGAACATATTGCCGGTGCTTTGAGATCCGTCGACTGTACAGCATTTCCAGCCTTGCATTCGCCAAATTCATCCTCCCGCACAGCAGGTAATCTAAATGTGATATTAACGATTGTTGTGCGCTGTTAGGTTCCAGTGTTCGCAATTGACTCTGCTATAGCATTGCTGCTAGCAGATCTATCCCTTGCTGTTCTCCTGATGCTTTCCCCGTCAGTCTCCTTATGTTCTCCTGCTGTTATCCAACGTCTCACAGACACGATCCTCGTTTATCCAGCGTGCCAATCAGTCGTACTACATGATCCTTCCTGACCTCGCACGTTTTCTAGCTTGTCCGTCCATCCGCGACTCGAATTGCTTCCAACTTTTCATATCGTCAAATACACCTGACTCCTAATCCGTGTATCTCTTCCCATGTCCATGTCCGATCGCCTTCATTCCGACGCGATAATGTCCTGGATCCAACATAAAAGTTCACAATTCATGCCAATCCTCCCTGACAAACCCTCCCCATGTATACCTTTACGTCGCTTGCCATCAGCATCAAACTCTGTCCACTGATCCGCCTCCCGGATCGAATGGTCCAAACAAATAATCCGGAACCGATCCACCAAATGCCTAAACCTCACCGACGCCGAATCATCAATCATTAATGCCCGCGACGTGAACAAGTAACCGACGGAGCCCTCCAGGATCGGTAACGCGTTCATGGTTGTTGTGGTCTTGAAGACGGAACTTGGGAGTTTTGATAGACGGAGGGATAGACCTGTGGGTGCTTGAAAATCCAGTAGTGCTAAAGTGATGTGGGAATATGATCGATGGGGTGGGGGGTTTGTTTAATGTTAATAATTTTTGGTTAATTAATCTGACGGAGGAGGGAGAGGAGGAGGAGGAGGGGGAGAGATTGGGTACCCAGACGAGGGTACCTGAACAAGTCAAAGGGCTGGCTGTAAAGACGACAAGAAAAAAAATTCCCTTTTCCATCCACCTTCCTCCCCCCAATTGTCAATTGGTATGCGGACAAAAAGAAAAGTCGTACCTCGAGAGGTTGCGCAGAGGTGCGAGTATTGGTTATCTTCGTTCCAGCCTGAGGCACGATAGTACCGCCTGAGGCAGTACTCCATAAAATCATACATGGCGTGTGAAGCCAGCTTTTTGTCGTTTCTGGTGCTATGTGTCTGTGGGATGTGAGGGCGTGTCGGCCTGTGCTTGTTTAAGGGATGTGGATTAGGTAATTGGTGTAGTGGTATGAAGGCAATTGAAGGTGAAGGAGGTTAGAGGTGAAGGGTATAGGGTTCGGGAGGTATGGAAAGGAAGGGAAGTGAAAGTTGAGAAAAGTGAGGAATGGTCAGGGTTTTGATGTCGGAAGTGGAGGAGGGAGAGTGACGGTTAGCTAGTAAGGTGTGGTCGTAGTGGTAGTGTGAGAGAGAGTTTAGTGGTATGATGCACTGGAGAGTGAGAAGTGAGGGTGAAGATGAGGATTAAACGGTGTGGATTAGGAGTGGAGTGAAGAGAGAGTGAGATGCGGTTTTCATTTTCTTCGGATCCGTGAACAACTTCGCGACACTCGGAAGCGGATCCTGCCAACTTGTGACGGCTATTTTTTCACTTTTGGCCACCAATTCGAACTCAACATTCACATGGGTGATTGAGCAAAAGATATGTATTTTTCATTAGAACGTATGTGGTGTGTGCATGCTATCGTAAATTGTGCGAAAAGAGGGTCGTTATGAAGGGGATCCAAGGGTGGAGAAAGAGTCAATTCATGGTCTAGCACGTCCAGAGCTCCGTCCAGAGCTGGCACCAACACCAGCTCCTGCAGTCTCCCTGTCTCCTCCCCCTCCTCCAGAGGTTTGGTTGTGTCTTGAGCGAAGAGCTCCCGATCCTGGAGGTGAGCGGCTCAAGAGTGCAGCTTCTGAAAAGTCGTCCTCTCCGAAAGTCACATTGCCATCATCATCTTCCTCATCATCATCCTCAACACCCTCCAGGTACTCATCATCTTCCTCAGTATACTCGGACTCGACAGCCGTGCGGCGGCGGTTGCCGCCACGAGACATTTGAAATTCAGATGAGCGCTCGGAAAGAAGGGAAGGTGGGGGCGGAGGTGGGGGCTGCAGGCTGGAGGGAGCGGTCATGGAAATGTCCATGCCGCTCCGTCCAGTGCGTCGTGAGCTAGTGGTGCTACCTGTTGTCGAGGTATCGTCATCATTGGTCGTAAAAGTGCTGTTGCGTTGCTGTGGTGTCGTAATCGTGGCTGTTGTTGTGGTTGTCGAGGAAGAACCTCTCTGTTGTTGTTGTTGTTGTTGTTGTTGCTGCTGGTTAGATGTCGAGCGCTGCTGGCGCTGGCTTGGAGTGGCAGGTCTCTCTGGGACAACGGCATCATCCTGGAGAGAAAAAGCAGGTCCGTGGGGTGCATGTCTCAAGTGCTGATCCTGCTCCTGCTCATCATCGTCATCCTCCATCTCGTCGTGGTCAAAAATAAGAGTCTGCTTCTGGCCGCGCGAAGGAACGTACTCCTCTTCAAACTCACTGTCAGACTCGTTGTGCTCGCCCTGCAACTGGGGTTGACGAGGGTTGCCAGACACCGCATCATATTCCGCGCCAGCGTCAAGCGCTCCAGCGAGGGTAGGCGATCGAAGCTGTCCTCGTGCATCGGGGTTGGGACGGATCTGATGGGCAATTGCCAAAGCCTCCGCATCGCTACCGAACCACCCGGCCAAAACCTGCCAGGTGACAACTGAGAAGATGATCTCCCAGAAGATGAACACTGCCATGAAGACCAAGGCCGTCGAGACCTTGTAGTAGTACATGAAATATCTGTAGTGATGGGATGAAAGAGAAAACAGGTTAACCAAAAGTGTCTGATGATTCAGGGTCGCGTTCTTAAATAACGATAGAGGCTTGCCTGAGGCCGTGGAAGTGAGCGTCAATGTGAATGGTGCTCCTGTAAACTTGGAGGTCGGGTGTGGAGATCTCGACAAAGGCGCGGGCGACAGGATTAGACGAATCCTCGACATAGTTCTCGATTAAAGGCAGCTTGATGATCTGGTCTTCCTTGGACCAATCCAGTACCAAGGGCACGGCCTTCCATGCAGTCTTCATGAGCTTCAAAGGGGCGGAGTAGTATGTGAGAATGCCCTGTAATCAAATGGAGGAATATGCTCAGAGTGTCAGTTAATATTGTATCAGAGGGCCACTTCCTATTACCGCACATGCAAATCCGTGTGAGATACTCACAGGTCGGCTGGAGGTCATGATGGTCTTGCCGTCAGCACGGAGCAAGGTGACAACGACCATGAAGTTGCCAATGGCCACGTTCTTTTCGGAAGTGGGCACAAGCAAGTTCATAGAAATATCGTATGCCTGGTCTCCGCGAAGGAACTATAGTGATAAAGACGGGTCATTGTTCTGTTGTTAGTCTCCATATATAAATTCTGGTGTCGCTGCAGTCTACAATGCCTTCCGCTGTTGTTGTTTTTTCATTCCTGCAGCGCTAGTGTTGAGTAGGTACCTGGTCGAAGCGTCCTCCTCTGGTAAAGTCAATCTCGGCAGAGGGGCCATGTCCAATCACTCCAGGGACACTATGAGAAACAAAATTCGGCACAACATCAGTTCACAGGATAGGACTAAAACGTGTCTTGCAAAGTGTCTTGTAAGGATGACATCTGACTGCAACTCGTTTTCAGCTCCTGAAAACGAGGTTTTGCATGCAAACGACAAAACCTCCGTTGGCACAAAAACCAACAACCACAAAAATAGAAAACATACGTGGGTCGGTCATATTGAAGGTGGACCTGTCCAACATGCCCACGCTGAGGGATATAGATCCAGTAGAAGCTCAGGTACGCCGCCAGGGAGACGCCGACGAGTAGCAGGAGGACAATGAGACCTATAAAGAACTTGATGATCTTGCGGTGCAAGGCCGAGGAGGTCAACCACTGGATAACCTGCTGGACGTAGGGTTCCAGCAGAGCCAGTAGCGGGGTGATGAAGAATTGTAGAATCTAACCCATGCAGAATCCATGAGCGAAAGAGAGTTAGCAAGAAAGTAAGTCAAAGGTGGGAGGAGTGGCATTCGAGACTAAAGGTTGTTGAATGTATGCAGGAGGCGAATGAAGAGAGGGGAGCGAAGTACCTCGAAGACGGTCATTGGTTATGATTGGGACCCGAGGGGGAATGTGAGCTGGAGGGTGATGTTAGAGGGCGTTTGAGTTGTGTTGGGCTAGGTGAGAGTGAGTGGGGGTCGTAACGAGAGAGTGAGTAGGATAAAAGTGGCGTAAGTGAAGAGGAGGGAAAAGAGAAGAAAGGGAGGGAAGTGTGAAGAAGAGAGACGAAAAGAATTGATAAAAAAGAAAAGAACCGTGCGTGTCCCATGAGGCAATTTCTCTCTTGATAAATGAAAAAAAATGTCGTTGGGGCGAACCTCTCCCATCCAACATCAGCAATAGTTTATTTCTTCTTGCGCCTCTTGTCAGGGCAGCCGCTGTCATTTACGTTCAATGACACCTTTCATCACCAAATACTCTCTCAAACTGTAGCCTACTTACGACTTGGCAAACCTGGCATGGCTCAAGGACTGTCTGGTTGACTGACTGGGTTACTCTAGCATGCCCTTGCCTCTTGCCCCCTTTCGACCGATCACCACCCATTGGGTCATTGACCATGATCAAAGCAAAAGGCATGTCATCCCGCCTTGCCCGCCCACAGTGCATCCACATGGCTCTCATCCCTGTAAAAAATATCACAATCAACAAAAATCAAATTTCCACCAGACAGTTTTTGACATGTGAAGCCTATCACTTGCCACGCCTTGACCCGGAAAACCCAAACCTGCTCACACTCTACCCTTCCTTGCCTTACCTGCCCTGGATGTGCTCTTTTGTTGTCTTTGTTATCATGTTGTCGTTGTTGTCGCCTGGCTCTCTTGGCACGCTCTTTTTTTCGTCTCACAACCACCATAAACAACAATTCGACACGACATGTTCCCACATCCACTCCATCCTCTAGTGTCACATTCATGTGTTGTCAAACAGCAAACGTGAAATAAAAAAAAAACACTTGTATTTTGTTCAATGGGTAAGTAATGTCTTCTGTCGGGGTCTATCCCATCCTGCGCGCATCAACATATGCATCAAACAGCTTCTTTTTTTTTCCCTGCAAGTCAAAAAAACAAGGTATTGATTGTGTTCTCTGATAGTTGTTTGTGAATATATGTGCGTTTTGAGTGAGTTCCAACCGGGTGGTTTGCCTAATCAAAATCAACTTTCTTGTCGTCTTCATCATCGTTGTCGCGTCTAGTTATCATCATCACCCTGGTCCTCGTCAGCTCCTGCTGCCTCGCCATCTCCTCTGCTGGCTTGGCGTCCACGGCCCTTGCGATCACGCTGGTAGAACTCGGCCAACAACTTTTGGGGAATACGGTTCAACATCTCCTTGGGGAAGATGCGGAGCAACGACCAGGCCTGGTCAAGGGACTCGAAAACAGTACGCGACTCGTAGTTTCCTATATTTGATGCGATATAATTACAGTGTACATTAGTTCCAATGATCCTAACCTTTTGTATGTTGAGCCTAGTAAATTACAACACACACTTGAAAACACAACATACCTTGAGCGATGTAGGTCTTCTCAAACTTCTCCAAGAACTCAAGAGAGAGCTTATCTTCCTGGTTCAGGGCTTCCTCTCCGACGACGGCCTTCATGGCAGCAGCATCACGACCGATGGCATACTTGGCGTAGAGCTGGTTAGAGACATCTCCGTGATCCTTGCGGGTCAACTTCTCACCGATAGCAGACTTCATAAGACGCGAGAGCGAAGGCAAGACGTTGATTGGTGGGTAGATCTGACGGTTGTGCAACTGTCTGTCAATGAAGATCTGGCCCTCGGTAATGAATCCAGTCAAATCGGGAATAGGGTGAGTAATATCTATCAAAAGGTGTCGTCAGTAAAGAATATAAGGGTTAACACCGTGAGAGAGTAGCGCCAATGGAATCGAGACCGCAGAGACATGACAAATCGATAGCGATGAATTTACCATCGTTGGGCATGGTAAGAATAGGGATCTGGGTAATGGATCCGTTACGTCCATCGACACGACCGGCACGCTCGTAGATGGTCGACAAATCAGTGTACATGTAACCGGGGTAACCACGACGACCAGGAACCTCCTCACGGGCAGCAGAGACCTCACGCAAGGCATCGGCGTAGGAACTCATATCGGTCAAGATAACCAAGACGTGCTTCTCCAACTGGTAGGCATAGTACTCGGCGGTGGTCAGTGCCAAACGAGGAGTAATAATACGTTCGATAGTGGGATCGTTGGCCAAGTTGAGGAACAGGGTGACACGCTCGATCGAACCGTCCTCCTCGAAATCCTGCTTGAAGAAACGAGCAGTCTCCATGTTGACTCCCATAGCGGCGAACACAATAGCAAAGTTGTCCTCGTGGTCATCGAACACTCCCTTGGTCTTCTTGACCAAACCAGCCTGTCTGCAAATCTGGGCAGCAATCTATAATAAAACAATCGTTCAGAAATCCGCGCAATGGATTAGTCTCATCCGTGCTGATATGTTATCTCGACCCTGCAAAATGAGCAATTGACAAAACACAAACAAGCATTGAGCTCTTTGTGGATCGTAGGAGCATAAAATACAACATACCTCGTTGTGAGGAAGACCTGCGGCAGAGAAAATGGGGATCTTTTGACCACGAGCAATCGAGTTCATGGTGTCGATGGCAGAGATACCGGTCTGAATCATTTCCTCGGGGTAAATACGCGAGTAAGGGTTGATAGGAGAACCTATAATTCAGTTGAAAAATGACGACACTGGTGAGTCTTCCTTGGGCATGATTACTTGGAGAGTGACTGTAGCCAACATATACCCAAGACGATAACACAGCCCTAAGATGTTGGATCCTGAATGGGACTAATGGAGACCATGCCACCACACGTCGTATAAAAGATGCTTACCGTTGATGTCGAGGTAGTCCTCAGCAAAGACCTTGGGTCCCTTATCGATACTCTTTCCTGATCCGTTGTAAACACGTCCCAACATGTCCTCAGAGACAGGCATCTTCAAGACATCTCCCGAGAACTCGGCGTGAGTCTGCTTGGCATCGATTCCTGTGGTGCCCTCGAAGACCTACAAGTGGTAATGTGTTGCATTGATATTGAGGTCATTGAAGAAAAATAAATAGGGACAGGGGTGTAAAGAGAGGTCATAGGTTTAGTCACTAGCACGAAGCGTATGCGTGCTCAATGCCTGTCCCGCGTCAGAAGCACAAAGTAAAAAAAACCCCCACGACGAAGTGCTGTGTGAGGGGAGTGATCACATCACGTCCCCTTCTCTCTCCCTCTCGCTTCTCCCCTGTGCAGATCGATAGTGTCATTTTATCGTATTTTCTTCTTTTTTCTGAGGCGTACCTGGACGACAGCACGCTTGCCCTGGACTTCCAGGACCTGACCGGCACGCTTGGTACCGTCAGGAAGAGTAAGTTCGACAATCTCGGAGAACTTGGGGAACTATTGATACAAGGAGAAATAGAAGAAAACGTGCGTGGTTGTTTGATTGGTATATTGTTGCAGCCCTGGAAAAGCAATGCTGAAAGCGATGATGCAACGACAGCGAGTAGTGTCGTGTATACCTTGACATTGTCGAGCATAACCAAGGGTCCATTAACACCGGCGACGGTGCGGTAATCTGGTAGAATATCAGTCAACGAAAGCAATAGCGAAAGGGTACAATGGGTCCCAGGTGAGGAAAGACAGGTCAGAGAGATAAGAGGCGTGAGAAGACATTCAACATGTGATTAAGGATTCCACAGAAAAAGAGAGCGATGGGTGTGGGTGTATTGTCGACGTTGAATAAAGGTCAATTACCGAGACGGGGCTCGACGGCGTAGTTGCGGGTGACGGCGGCGGCATGGAGCACGCTGGCTTCCCTGGTAGAGAGGCGAGGATCCATTGAGGGGAGGGTTGTGTATGGGTGTGTTGAGTAGAGAGTGAAGAAGAGTGGTGGAGTGTGCGGGGAGAAAGGGCGATTGGGAAAAAATAAAAAACGAGGACGGATTGAGCAAGCGCGCTTGGGGCAGTGAGAGAGGTGAAGAAAGAATAAAAAAAAAGAAGTTCCAGGGCGTGTAAGGGAATACTGCGAAAGGACTGCGAGATGTCACCTGGATGGCAAAGGGCTAGTGTGCCCCTATCCACCTCAGAAAGGCAGAGGTTGACGTCACGCTCTAAGTGAAAAAAATTCAACCTCAATGTCGCGATACCGTTGGAACTCATACAACAAGACGCGTCAATTCTTCCATGCCCTATCGACACTCAAGACTAAATGCGGGAGAACCCACAAGGCCACAATAAGAGGAGACACAGGGTACCAGGACAAGCAGGAGACATGACAGGTTGCTATTTCTTCGATCCGCCACCATTTTAAGCAAAAATAAATATCGTTATCCTTGTCCACCTGTCAGCGCCATGAATCGGCTCACAACCAGTGACAGGCACTAAAAAAATAAAAGAAACGGCACGCCTCTTTGCCCTTTCTCCCCATCTCCATTCGACTGATTCACATCTCCACCATGCCTGTCTTGAATCACTGCAAAAAAGTCTGGTAGGAACAAGAAGAACTAACCAACACCAGAGGGAGATCCTTATCCGTATGAAAATCTAATGTCCGCCACCAAAACATGGTGTCTTTTTAACCTCCACCGAACGAACGTACCCTTCACATAACTACCATTAGGACGACCTTTTTGAGTGCCGGCGGATTTGACATGCAAGCACTGGGAGGAGTAAGCATCAATACCTGATACCACTCTCTCTTCTCACGCTTGGCGAGAGCGATAGATTCTGATTACCCTAATATTTTCTTTGGTGATGTTGGTCGACGATTAGCTCAAGCTTGTTTCTGCCTCCAAAGGAAAGATCCTCTGTGAACTCCAAGTCGAGAAGCAACATCTGGTAAGCCATCAAGCAGGAGGAAAATGCAAAACGTCCGTTCAATGCAGGACAAGGCATCAAAACCTCAATTGCATAAACGAACATACACCAATAATGTTCAATTTAATATGACACCTCACTAGAATCGATTAGGTGGTTGCCATGGTGGTCTTCTGAGCACCATCGTCGACGTCGGTGGATCACTTGCTATTGCTGCCGAAGACATGCAAGCGACAGGAGTCTCCACAGGTGAGGAGGAAAGCCACGTATCTCTACTGCCAATAAGCAAAGTCGTAACTATGTCCCTCTAATTCATGCAAAACGCTCAATTTCATTGACGACGTTTCAATGCGATAGATCTCAACATCTCGTTCGTTTCGGGGGCAAAGATTGGCGAAAAGCTCTCCATCGTAAGTCTTTCATTTCATCCTGTCGATGGTGTACATTGGAAGTTATGTCATTTGCAAGACTATTAACGAACTCGCTTTGCCGTTCTTTTTTTCCCACTCTCTAATGATACCAAGAACTCTCGATGTGACAAGATTGGAGGGACACTGGCGTACACGACGGTCGAGATCAAGGTAGATGACAAAATTGTCGCTTTAGGTCGACACACCAAGTATGTTCTCCTGGCGCACAAGACAAACGCAGAATTGAAGCGTGCACAAGCTTCAGAGTAGAAGGGGCAGGAGGTATCATAGAGTAGCTAGATCGACGTTGTGCATATCCAACATGACTGTTTTTGAACTATCGATTTTCCATAGTCGTGTTACGATCTGATGAAGGGGGCAAATGCGAGTTGACCCCCACAGGAGCCGAAGGAAGGTGTCGATAGGACCAACGCAGGTATCGAGTAAGGGATGAACAGAGAAGGAGATAAGAGCCGTCTATGAAGGAAAAAGTAACCAAATGTCGTTCAGAGTGGGAGGTTGCAGCTGCGTCTTCTTTCTTCCTTTCCTTTTCTTCCTTTCCTTTTCTTTCCCTTTCCTTTTCTTTCCCTTTCCTTATTTCCCTTTCCTCCTTTACCTTACTCTCCCTTCCTCTTCATTTACCCCTTCACTTTCACTTTTCACTTTTCTCATCTCTCTGCTGCTTCTTCTGTATCGACACTTCCCCCAGCTTCCATCACACAAGACTCTCCAAGACGGGCTTTTTCCACTCTCCTTTCTCTCATCTTCTCACTCACTCACTCTCTCACTCACTCTCTCACTCACTCAGCCTCATTCGAATCAAACCATGCGCGAGATCATTCCGATCCATGTCGGACAGGTAAGCTGTGGATCCTTGTTCGGACCTATAACATCAAGCATAAACCTACTTTGTGGCACGCATCCCTTCTTTCTCACGCGTCCTACTCACGCTGTTATCTTATTTTGCTCTACATTCACTTTTTCCACCGCCACAGGACGGTGTCCAGATCGGCAACGCCTGCTGGGAGCTCTATTGCCTGGAGCACAGACTATGCTCTTGGCAGCAGACCGTAGGCGAATGAAACCAGCTTGTACCTTAATGAACAAGTATATTGTGTACCTAGGACAATTTAACACGTAAACCACGTTCCATGCACTACTATTTCGTATGCCAAGGACATATCCGTGGCCCACGCTCCTACATCTCACGCTCCTGAATGTTTCTCCTCCGAGACCGGCAGCAGCAAGTATGTTCCCAGAGCGGGTAAGTTACACTCTTGTTATGTATTTCATAGACTAGGACAACTCAAGATGAGGCTTTCGCTAACATGGACAAGCGTGTAAACTTCAATGTTATCGCGTTTCAGCGACTGTCATTATTTTGTTTGCTTTTTTTTGATAGTTCTTGTCGATCTCAAGGATAGTGTCATCCAGGATGTCCGCAATGGATCCTATCGCGAGTAAGTCATCTTTCCGATCGTCATACCTGACTCTTTAGTCACTGGACGTGAACGCTTATAGCCATCGTCTCTTCTAATCTTGACCACTTCTGCCTACAACCTCGATAGCCTTTTCCACCTTTAGCAGATGATTAGCTGTCGAGAGGATGCTGCCAACAACTATGCCCGTGGCCACTACACCATCGGCAAAGCGTTCGTTGAACAGACTCTGGATAGGATTTGCAGGATGTCTTACAGCTGTCAGTCCCTTCAAGGATTCATGGTCTTCCACTCACTCGGTGGTGGTACCGGCGTAGGGCTCAGTGCCATGTTTCTCGAGCATATTTCTGCTGACTATAGAAACTAGTCCAAGATCGAGTTTACGGCCTACCCTTCTTCCTCTCCCGAGATAGCCACTTCCGATATAGGGCCTTACAACTCCATCTTGACCACCCACGCGATTATGGACCATGTCGATTGCTTCCTGTTTCAACATCCTGAATCAGATGGACAAGCGCGTCGCTCGCCAGGGCAAGTCCATGGCCTACTGTCTCATGTCCCGCGGAACTGTCACTGCCACGAACATCGGTGCAGCCACAGTATCGATCAAGACCAATAAGACTGTCCAGTTCGTCGACTGGCGCGCCACTGATCTCCAGATCGACATCAACGGCGCACCCCTGCCGTCACCACCCAGCAGCGAGTTTCGCCTCAGTCGGCTGCGCTGTTTGCGGGTTGTCGAACACCACTGCCATCGGTGAGGCTTGGTCGCACCTTGGTCAAAAATTCGACCTGGAATTTGCCAAGCGCGCCTTTGTCCAGCTGTATGTGGATGAGAGTATGGAGGAAAGCGAGTTCGATGAGGCCCATGTGGATCTGGTCGCCCTCAAGAGTGAATACCAAGAGATTTTTTCAATGAAGAGTCAACATGCCCTGCCGGGACTTTGCGTTACCTTTGCTTGCGGACAGGACTTTCGCGTCTACGCTACCGTTTTTCTCTTCCTCCCACGTGGAACACATTCTATGCGTTCTTTCTTTCTATTTATCACATTCCTCTACCATCGAAGCGTGATGATTATGTTGCGCATAATGTCAATAGCAACTTTTTAATAGGAGCAATACAAGAAGACATTGTCGCAAGCTGCGACCCGATGAGTTTCACTTTTTTCTACAGAATGTGTTGCATGCTATCATTGCTTGCGACTTTGTCAAGACCTTGATATTCTACTCGTTGTAGTGGAGGAAAAAATGGATGGGAAGAGTGGAAAACTAGCACGGACTGACTCTGGCTCAATTGCCCTGTAAATCAGTTGGTGATGGGAGCCCGGTGGGCGAATTGCTCAATGTAACAGTTGGAAGGGAGGGGTCATGGGACTACTCTAGAAGTCGGCAAACCGTAAAAACAATAAACCAAATAAACAAGCAGAGAATGCAAGTTAAAGATAGGATACATGCCACAAAAAAAGGAACTCGCAAGGCAAGGGGTTGAGAGCGGAGGAGATGGAGGGAAGGAAGGAGAGGGGAGAGGGCTGGAAAGAGGAGAGAAGGGGACGGATGATGTGCAAGTAGCCAACAGACGCACACGGTACGGGAAAATGGAGGGTGGTAAAAGTGAGTGGTGAAAAGCGGAATGGGACAAGATGAAGATGGACAGGGTGGATGGGAGAGTGACGGGAAGTGAAATAGAGGCCATGCAGCAGGTGTACCGTCCCATATGATTGGTGAGATTGATATTGGCTTTGTTTTTTTTTTTTTTTTCTGACATTTGAGTCAAAAGCATGGGGGGGATTTAGGCTGGTGGTGTTTTCTTTTTTCCTCTTTTCCTTTTTTCTTCTTCTTCTTCTTCTTCTTCTTCTTCTTTATCGGCCCCCACCCCAGTCTCCCTAAACCAAGACTCGTCAAGACCGGCTCTTTTTCTCTTTTTTTTACACAACAACAATAATCAATCACCACCACCACCCTTTTTCTTACTCGAAATCACCATGCGCGAAGTCATCTCTCTCCACGTCGGACAGGTATGCTACTCCTTCTTGCAAGCAACCCATGCTACCCATGCAACTCATGCACCCCCATGCACTCAACAACAAAGAAAGACACATCCCAGCGGACTACCTTCGTTGTGGCGAGTACTTTTCTTTTTGTCCCTTCTCTTTCACAGGCACACTCACCCATCCACGTTTGTTTCTCTTTTCGACTCTCATAGGCCGGTGTCCAGATTGGTAACGCCTGCTGGGAGCTCTACTGCTTGGAGCACGGTCTTGCCCCTGATGGCACCTTGTAAGGACATATACTCAAAAAGAAAAACCTCCTTCCCTTTCACAGCAGAACAATACGCCGAATATCTTGTTTGTTTCGAGGGCGACTTTCTGTTCAGCTTGAGAAAGAAGGACTGACAAGGGTTGGATTGTTTGAAATATGTATATGTCATAGGAACCAAACCGACCAAGTCGTGAACGAGCTCTCGTCGCCCAGCACCTTCTTCTCCGAGACTGGCGCTGGCAAGCACGTTCCCAGAGCTAGTAAGTCACTCTCACTTTCCTCGCCTTTTTCTCTCCTTCACTTGTCCCGTCACATTTTGGGAACACTCTCGGAACGGACTGCGACCAGAGAGACCAACGCGTGTCGGTAGCCCCTGAAATCATTTTCCACTTGTCTTTTTGTTATTGCCCTTGGACTTACCCAGAGCCACGTCTTTTTTCATTCTTTTCCTTTTGATTGCACACAGTCTTTGTCGATCTCGAGGAGAGTGTCATCCAGGAAGTCCGCAACGGATCCTACCGCAAGTAAGTGACCCTTTCAAATACTTCTCCCTCCAACTTACAATGCCAACGCTTCTCTCACCTTGCTCACCTCCCCATTTTCTATTCTATTGTCCTTCTCCGCTAACCGGTTCTTGTGAAACCTAATAGCCTCTTCCACCCCGAGCAGATGATCTGCGGCAAGGAGGATGCCGCCAACAACTACGCTCGTGGTCATTACACCATCGGCAAGGAGCTCGTTGACAAGGTTCTGGACAAGGTTCGCAAGCTGGCCGACAACTGCTCCGGTCTTCAGGGCTTCTTTGTCTTCCACTCGTTTGGTGGTGGTACCGGTTCCGGTTTCGGTGCCTTGCTCCTCGAGCGTCTTTCCGCCGACTACGGAAAGAAGTCCAAGCTCGAGTTTGCTGTCTACCCTGCTCCTGAGATGGCCACGTCTGTTGTTGAACCCTACAACTCCATCTTGACCACCCACACCACCTTGGAGCACACCGACTGTGCCTTCATGGTCGATAACGAGGCCATCTACGAGATCTGCCAGCGCAACCTGGATGTTTCTCGCCCCACCTACACCCACTTGAACCGCATGATTGCTCAGGTCGTCTCCTCGATCACCGCTTCGTTGCGCTTTGCTGGCTCGTTGAACGTCGACTTGAACGAGTTCCAGACCAACTTGGTCCCCTACCCTCGCATTCACTTCCCCTTGGTCACCTACGCTCCCATCTTGTCAGCCAAGAAGGCCTACCACGAGCAGCTCTCCGTCAGCGAGATCACCACCGCCTGCTTCGACATCCAGAACCAGATGGTCAAGTGTGACCCTCGCCAGGGCAAGTACATGGCCTGCTGTCTCTTGTACCGTGGAGACGTTCTCCCCAAGGATGTCAGCAGCACCATTGCCCACCTCAAGACCAAGAAGACTATCCAGTTTGTCGACTGGTGCCCCACTGGATTCAAGGTCGGCATCAACACTAATGCCCCTGCAGTTGTTCCTGGCGGTGAGGTCGCCAAGGTCCACCGTGCTGTCTGCATGTTGTCGAACACCACCGCCATTGGTGAGGCCTGGTCTCGTCTTGACCACAAGTTCGATCTCATGTACGCCAAGCGTGCTTTCGTCCACTGGTACGTCGGTGAGGGTATGGAGGAGGGCGAGTTCTCTGAGGCTCGTGAGGATTTGGCCGCTCTTGAGAAGGATTACGAGGAGGTTGCTACCGACAGTCTTTCTGCAGAGCAGGAGGAGGAGGAGTACTAAACGCTGGAAACTGAGCACACGCACACAGGATGCGTCCCATTCCTTTCACCTTAAACCACAATCGATACTTCTCTTACTCTTTGGGAAGCCATCCAAGCGCTTTTTCCAAAGTAACCAAATCAGTTTCTCTGGCGTTCTCTTGCAGTGTACATGCTATCCATACCACAAGTTGCAGATTCCAATAGCGATTCCAAAGAAACCACAATTAAAAAAGGAAAAAAATCTTTAGCTGAGTTGACTATTGTATTGTTCGTTGATGTTTGATGCTGTTAATGTTCTACGTGTGGGGTGTTCCTGCTTCTGGTGCTTCTACAAATTACTTGGTGTATGATTTGATGTTCTATCAATGTCCAGATATAAGAGGAGGCAAGAGGAGTATTAGTAGGCATTTTCAATTAAAGCGTTCCAGACTACCCAGGTTTTCATCCTCCTTTCACAAGAAGAATAAGAAAGACAAAAAAAGGACGTACGTTAAAGTCATCCCTCTCGGCAAACTCGGCGGCAACCTCCTCAATAACAGGCGTAAGGTAGCGGATATCGTCTTCAGGCTTGAGGGCGGTGTCCTTTGTGGCGATGGTGTGAGAGAGCGAGTATTGGAAGGCGACCTTCATGCGGTAGACGCGCTCGTAGCCCACGTTGTCGGGAAGGCGGTTGACGGCCTCACGGATGATGTCTGTCTCCTCGCGGAGGACGTCGTCGTAGCGGAGACCTATATATATATTTTTGGATGGAAGTACGGGATGGGTGTAAGGGGGTTATGCTGTGGGTTGGGAGGAGACACAGTCGGGGCTCAGTTGGTCCTTGTGGTGTTGGTTGGTTGCGGCTGTCGGTATCCTTTGTTGGACTCGGTTGCTCCGATAAAAAAAAATCGAAATGTATATGCACGAACTGAGATTTTTTTTATTTCACGTCACCCCCAACGGCGGCCATGTCCGAGCTCTCTCTTTTCTGAGAAACCATTCGCTTCCGGAGAAAGCACGCGCCTCATCCTAAAGCCATTTGACTCCAAAACATATAAGGGTGTTCAGGGTCGTTATGTATGAGCCAGCAGCCCTGAAGTCATCCATTGAAAAAAGAGTTGTTGAGAAAGCTGTAGATGTCGGAGGTTTTGGGAAAAAGGATCCGGAAGGTGGAAAAAAGGGGGTGTGAGAGGAAGGGGGGGAACGCACCAAGCTTGCGGTATCCGGAGGCGTTGACGAAGGCGTTGGCGACGGGCTGGAGGATGCCCGAGAGGAACTTTGATGCCTTGACCTGGTTGACGAGAGTGATGCCAGACATTGCGAATGTGCCGTGTGGGGAGTGTGAGAGGAGAGTGGAGAGGGGAGTAGGGAGTGAGGGACTGATTCGCCAGTGCTTGGGCGTTTCTCTGAATATCAGATAGCCAAGAGCGAGATCTGCACGTGATTTTAGGAGGAATATTGCGTCACTGTAGAGTGAGAGAGTCGCGTCTGCTGAGGACGAGTGAATCGACACGCAACGCACGCACGCGTCCCTCACACACGAACTGAGAGACAGGGACAGGGAGTAGCAGAAGAAAAGTAGGACTGGCATCCAGAGACTCGCTGCTGTCTTCGACAAGGGGACGAGACGAGGTTCAAAAGTAAAAAGTACTCCCTTTTCTTCACTGGACACACATTCCCTTCAGACCTCCAACAACCCAAGCAACAACCGACGACCGACACCATCGCGACCATCACATACCCTCAACGCCCCACAACAACCGAACAAACAGGAAAACAATAAGTCATTATGAGTCGAGGAGCAGGTTACGATCGCCACATCACCGTCTTTTCGCCCGAGGGACGTCTCTACCAAGTCGGTACGTTTTTCTGTTAATACCCTCTTCGAGTTTGACGCATGCCTTCCATGTGAATGCATTACAGCAGCCTTTCAAAAGACCCCAAGAAGAAGAAAGAAATGCGTCGCGTCGTGTGTGTACCGTGTTTGTCCAAGCGCTTATATCTAACTCGCGTTTCCTCTTTCAATGGTGGACAATGGTGCGTATCTAGAATATGCCTTCAAGGCCATCTCAAACTCGGGAATCACCTCCATCGGTGTCCGCGGCAAGGACTCTTGCGTTATCGTCACCCAGCACAAAGTCCCTGTAAGCTACACCACCAGCAACCACTCTGCCGCTACCTCCCCGATATCACATATTCTCAACAAGAAAACGCGCTCCAATGTCCCTACGTTGACACTCAACCTCAACTGACAAAAATCTCCTCCTCCTCTTCTTCATCTTCACAAAAATGATCTTTCAACAAATAGGACAAATTGTTGGACGCGTCGACGATCAAGCACATTTACCAATTGACGCCCAAGATTGGATGTGTGATGACAGGATTGGTACCCGATGCCCGATCAGCCGTGAGCAGGGCACAGCGGGAGGCGGCCGAGTTCCGGTACAAGTTTGGATACGAGATCCCCCCAGATATGCTTGCCAAGCGCATGGCCAACATTAACCAGGTCTACACCCAGCACGCCGCCATGCGCCCTCTTGGTGTTTGTAAGTCCATTTTTTTCCCTGTTCACTTTTGTTTTTTTTCATGCTGGTGTCTTGAAGGGGATGTGGTCAATGTCCGATACTTGACGAACAATGACAGTTAACTAACTCTTTTATTTCCGTTGAAACAAAATAGCTATGATTCTGATTGGATTGGATGATGAGCGTGGACCTCAGTTGTTCAAGATTGACCCTGCAGGATACTTTGTTGGATTCAAGGCCACCGCTGCCGGAGCTAAGCAGACGGAGAGCTTGAACCATCTGGAGAAGAAGTTGAAGAAGGACAAGGATCTGAACGAGGAGGAGGCCATCGAGGTAAAGAACGACAATGTGATCACTTGGAAGTCTTTAGGAAAACATTTTGGTACCGCGTTGAGATTTGTATTGAATGCTGCAATATAGGCAATGTGTATTGACCAATTTTAACGTTTCGTTATTCATGACAATAATAGCTCGCCATCACAACACTGTCGATGGTGCTGTCCCTGGATTTCAAGGCATCCGAGATTGAGGTCGGAGTGGTCTCGGCCAGGGACCCCAAGTTCCGTACCTTGGACGTGACCGAGATTGAGGATCATTTGCAGAGAATCGTCGAGAAGGATTAAACAAGCATGGGATGCTCACAACAAGCAAGGAGTGAAGTGCAAGGGGGGACAAGAAAAAACTTTGGTCAGGAGCAACCACCATTTGACAGAAGTTTTCACTTGGCTTATCTTTTTTTTTTCTTTGCTGCTGAACGGATACCGACACGGAGTGAGAGAAAAGGGGAACATGGTCTTCGATCTTTCACTACGCAACAAATCACACACACACACCTTGGAACAAAAAAATAAACACCACAATATTTTTCGATGTATTTGTGAATAGCGTCGCTGGGCTTGTTAAAATAATGTGACTAAACCAATTAGCCCGCCTTTGTTTCAACTGGAGAAAGTGTGTACTAGAAAACCGTTTGTACAGTCAAAAACCCTCCCCCTTTTCCTCCATCAAACATCCAATAAGGGTTCCTGGTGTTTGGGGAGAGGTTTAAAGCAGACACCAAGTTCCTGCCAATACTGGATCAATGCATTTGTCACCGCTTCGGGGTCATCCTCTTGGACCGCATGTCCCGCCTGCAAGATCCTCAAGAATTCAAACCTCCCTTCCAAACGGGCCGAACTCAGTTCTGTATCGAGTCTTCTTGAATGTTCGGCAAAGATTAGCATTTTAGGTATCTTTTGGGGGTTGTTGTTGGGGGTGGGGTTGAGGACGGAAGAGAGGAATTTGTGATTCTGGTTGCGGAACCAGGAGAGACAGTGGTGTTCGGAAGCAAGAAGGTCTGTTCGCCAGGTGAAGCCGCCCATTGTTGGTTCGGGTGGGTTGTTGGGGTTATGGGTGGGGTTGGTGGCAGGGATGAGGGCGGTGGGATTGTAGACGATCATGCCTGGGAAAGAGATGCGGGCGGAGAGGGCGTTACGAACTGTGCCTGACTCGACTCTATTTTTTTTTTTTTTGTGTGTGTGTTTGTTTTGGTTGATGTGGACGAGAGGGTGGAAATTAGAATGTTAATTATTTCTGTGTCCTGAGTAAGAAGGAGGGGTAGAAAAAGATTATAATATTCTTGAGTAGTTGGTCCATACCCCCATTGAATGGCTTGGGTGATGGTCCTGCAGACGGGAGGACGAGCTTCGCACCATGCTCGGATTGATCCTGGAGCTGCATGGATGTTTGCTATTACATTTCCAAAAAAAAACAAAACCCCCCCCACAAGAAGGTAAAAAAAAAAAAAGAAAGAAAAGAATCTCACTCGAGACGAATGAGTATTTTGCTTTTGCCCAATTACACCTGGCCCTCTTCTTCCACATTATTTAGTCCTTTTCATCCCTTCACAACCTTTCCCCATCCACCCTGAAAAGCTTACCTTCAGCCATATCAAGGACAAAAAGACTCGAGATATTCGGAACCCGGTTCCGGTAAGCGACCTCTGTAACGATCGACCCGCCCATGCTATGACCAATCAAATGGATATTAGGTGGACCTCGGCCGATTTCTTTGCCGGTCTTGTCGAGGTACCGACCGTCGTTATCGCCGTAGAGGGATAAGAGGAGGGTTTCGAGGTCCTGGGCGAGGTTTTCGAGATCTAGGTTCGTCTGGTCGTCTGATGTCGTCTCTCCTACATAAATTATGGGAGATGACACAATTAAGAAGGGGACTTTTGTATGTGAATTCTCCTGTTTGTATTGCAATTTTCGTTGTCTGAGAGAGAGGATTAAAAAAAAAAAGATAGCGTACGTACCATGGCCACGAAGATCAGGACAGAGGATCCGAGCATGCAAACTCAAATTGGGAGACGCATGGAGAGCCTGGGCAACGAGGGCAAAGGAACGAGCACAGTGTCCGGCGCCATGGATGAGGACGATGACGGGGAGGTGCTTTCGACCGGCGTTGGACTCGTAGAGAGTGTAGACGATGTTTGTTGGGTCTTTTTGGGGAGGGATAGCGTATCGACGCTTGGATTGGAAGTATGCTGGCCAGTCCAGCGGTTCATAGTCCGTCATTTTCTCTGAGGGGAGTTATATCTTTTGTTTGTTGGAAGAGAGGAAAGGTGGATAGTGAAGAGAAATACAACATGTGGTGTGACAAATTGCGATCATGACGTCTGCTGTTTTTTTTATTTGGCACAAGGCTTTTGTGGTCTGTGCAAATTGAGGCTTGGGTGGTTGATCACTAGAAGTCTGATCTGATCTGATATCTGATCAAAGTTCAAAGCATATTTTCATTAAGCAAAGCGACCAAGAAGAGCCATGACACCAGCACCGGACCAAAGGGCAAAGAAGCACCAAGACTTGACACGGGGGGTCTGTCTCAACAGCTCACGGTTCAAGTTAAACTCGACCGCCAGCAGAGTCACATACCCCATGTACAGCAGGATCCCTGTCGAGATCGCATCGAGTACTCCTTCTACCAGGAGAGACGTGGCAGAGTCGGAGTGATATGCGTGTCTTGATATGATGGTTCCGATTATGACGCCGGCGGGGGTCGTGAGTGCAAAGATGAGTGCAAGAGCGTAATGTGTTGATGTTCGTTCTGGATCTAAGTCTGCGATCCTTGCACCCAACGCAAAGCCTTGACAAATGGGAGGGTATATAAAAGTGAAGAACATGGGTTGCTGTTAGTTTGTGCTATTTTCCAAGAAACCAATAACGAGGGGGCTCAATATTAACGCTAGTCGTGGTTTGATAAGGTACCTTCAAAGAACTGATGAAAGAGGAGGGCGATAAGGAGACCGATAAACTCGGACCCTGAAGAGACACCAAGGGTGACGCCGATGATGACCGAATGGGTTGCCACGCCTGCTTCAAGGATATAAGTCGAGATCCGCTTCTGGGCATCGCTTGGCAATGCCAGGTTTTGTAGATGTGAATGAAAGAGGGCGTCGTTCTGGTCCAGGTGTTGGTCGTGGTCGTGGTGGCGAGATTGCGATTGAGAATGAGATTGATGATGTGACAAAGGACGAAGTGGAGTAGGTCGAGCATGGGTCATGTCTGAGACGGCACCATAGAGTACAGAGGACGGTGGGGTCATGGGTGGACGGTGGTGGTCATGGATGTTGTTCTGTGAATCGACAGTCGAACGAAGGTCTTGACGGACATGCGCCACTGGTGCTGGAGAGTGATGCTCAGGCAGAAGAGGAGCTCGCTCAGAATCCTGATCCTCGTGGTCGCGGTGGCATTCTGACTCGTCTATCACTGTTACTGTATGGCCAGGGCATCTCGAAACCACGACATCCACCGGATCAGACTTCCAACCTGCTGCATGTCCGCCAGCTGTCGTCGTTGGAGCCACGCCCGACCCAACCGCAGCAGTGGTGGAGACAGGATCACGGACCCGAGCCTGATTAACTTCCGTAGCCATAAACTCAATCCAGTGCATCACTAACGAAGACGTCAGGACCAGGAGCCCTCCCAAGCTGGGATAATCCTTTGCGAAAAAGTCTCCGAGACAAGGCGACGAGAGGTTTGACATTGCGGTGGGCAGCATGTGTATCAGGGCGGTGGCGAGGATAACACCAGTTCCGAACTGACGCCCCAGCGTTAGGACTAGTGTTGGAACGAGTTGGAAGGAATGGACTTTTGTGGCGAGGAGGGGTATGAGGACTCCGAGGGAGCTTGTGGCGAGGAGTGTGAGGATGCCAAGGATGTGGATGCTGAGGTTGTGGCCGTCGTCTTCGTTGTTATGGAGAGGGAAAGTGGTTCTGTGTTGGCAGGCCATGGTGTTTTGTGTTTTCAGTTGTACGGGTGAAATGTGTGGGTTTGTAAGCTAAGAATGGGATTGAGTACGCAGCAGCGATCAAGTGGGACTAGAGAGAGGAGAGGGAAAAGAAGAGAAGAAGAGGGATAAGAAGGAAAAGGTACGAAAAGAGTAACCGGTGAGGTACTCGTTTTTATATTTGACTCCAGAGGACCCCTTGTCAAAAAACCTGGACGGTGTTTTTGTCTGTCTGTCTGTCTGGCTGGCGTGGGAGTATGGGCATGTGTGGTGTTGACCATTGTTCCCTTGATTCACAGCGGCAAGAAATTGGTGGCGGGTGGGCAGCATATGGGAGAGGGCAGCGCACTTTTAAACTCTGTGAAAAAAGAATTTATAGCAGTCTGAATGGCCTCCACACACACTACAGTACTTTCTCATTCTGCCCTGTCCCAAAGCGGGTTGAGAAGAAAGGTTTCGTAATTAGGCACCAGGCATCTCGTCTCCTAGCCACGCCTAGGTCGTTCGCTCGTACGCGCCATGGTCTGACCATTCTCCTTGCAATAGACTTTGGTAGAGTCCGTTGATTTTGATAGGGTGAGCCGGTTGTCCCTGGCCGTGCGCTCACGTACAAAGACGAAAGTGTGCGTGCACGTACACAATCGTTTATTTACCTCTCTGGGCGTGCGCCGACTCGTCCGTTTTCTCTTTGCCATCCTTGCCATCCGCAGTTTCCCCACTCGTTACTCATTCACTCCCATTGCACTCTCCAGCCTTTTCACTTTCATTTCACTGCATAGTCTTCACTCCTCTCTCCCCTCCAACTCCAGTAACTCCTCATACATATCACTGCAAGCATAATGTCGGCACTATCCGCATCCAAGCAAAAGCGCCTCGCCGCAAAGGCACTCAAGGACGCCTCCAAAAAGTCCTCCACCGCCTCTTCACCCGCCACCACAAATGGCCGCAACACCCCCGCCCCTCCAGAGCCCTCGGCCGATGATGTCGATGCCCTCATCCCCGGCCTCAACGCCATGGAGGTCGCCCAACGCAAAGGCGGTGACCGTACCTCGACCGGAATCCTGACCTCCCAACCTCTCTCGCGCGATATCAAGATCGAGTCCTTTTCTCTCCGTTTCCACGGTCGCGAGTTGATCTCCAACACGGATATTGATCTCAATTTCGGACGTCGCTATGGACTCATCGGTGCCAACGGATCTGGAAAGTCGACGTTCCTCGAGTGTCTTGCTGCCCGTGAGGTTCCTATCCCCGAGCACATTGATGTAAGTTTTGTTGAACAATTATGACGTCTGTTGTCAGTTTTCTTTTCCTGCAGATTTATCTTGAGGAGAGAAAAAGAAGAGAGGTCAGAGAGTAGCGTACTATGGTTATGATTGTCTCTCGAGATTGGTCGTCAGACATCATTTTTTGCACCTTTGGTCTTTTTAGCCTTTTTTTCTGCTGCTATATTGGATTCGAAATAGGTCGTTTGCTATAGCGTCCCTGCCCTATGCTATTTCCATTTGCTTGTTTTTTGTTTGGGATAGTTCCGCTGGTCCCTTCTTCATTTTTTTTTAATATTGTGGCACTGGTTCGCCTTTTGTTTTCTCCCTCTGTTTCTTGTTGTTTGGTTACTCGCGTGCCACAGGGGTAAAAATGGATGAAGGGGTCACCTTTTCCCCTGCTTCATCGTTTCTAGCCGCCCATGTGCATGTATTACTTGATCATTTGTGTGCGGACGGGACTGACGGACGGACCGACTCCTGACTTCATTTCCTTTTCTTCCCTTTCTTCCATTGCTGATGTTTACCGCACCATTTATATCAATCGATCCCTTCTCAAACAACCAAGCACATGAAAACAAAGAAGACGAATGAAGTGTTACTGACAATGCATGTGCATGTTTCTTTTCTTTCCTTTACGTCTTGATTGTTGATGAATTAGATTTATTTGCTGCAAGAGGAAGCTGCTCCCTCGGATCAAAATGCCATCGAGGCGGTCATGACCGAGGCGAAACACGAGGTGGAGCGTCTAGAGAAGCAGGTCGAGGATTTGTTGGCAGAGGTCGACGGAGCCGATAACCCACTGTTGGACGACATCTACGACCGTATCGAGCAACTGGATCCTGCCACCTTTGAGACGCGTGCTGCAACGTTGCTTCACGGTCTTGGATTCACCAAGAAGGATATGCTCAAAGCCACTAAGGACATGTCTGGAGGATGGCGTATGCGTGTTGCTCTGGCCAAGGCTCTGTTCGTCAAGCCCACGCTTCTTTTGTTGGACGAACCTACCAACCATTTGGATCTCGAGGCGTGTGTGTGGCTAGAGGATTACCTCTCCAAGTACGACCGTATTTTAATCCTCATCTCCCATTCCCAGGATTTCTTGAACGGAGTCTGCACCAACATCATGAACCTGAACCACAAGCGCAAGCTGGTCAACTATGGTGGTAACTACGACACCTATGTGAAGACCCGTGCCGAGTTGGAGGTCAACCAAATGAAGGCCTATGTGAAGCAGCAAGAGGAAATTGCTCATATCAAGAAGTTCATTGCTTCTGCCGGTACCTACGCCAACTTGGTCAGACAGGCAAAGTCCAAGCAGAAGATTATCGACAAGATGGAGGCTGCTGGATTGGTGGAGAAGGTAGATCCACCCATGTTGTTCAAGTTCAAGTTTTCGGACACCGACAAGTTACCTCCTCCTGTGCTGGCGTTTGACGACGTCGGTTTTGCCTACTCGGGGAATATCAAGGATGCTCTCTACCGGGGAGTTGATCTTGGTATCGATATGGATTCGCGTGTTGCGTTGGTCGGACCGAACGGAGCAGGAAAGTCGACTTTGCTCAAGTTGATGACCGGAGAGCTGACGGCGACCGAGGGCCGAATCCAGCGCCATATGCAGTTGAAGCTGGGCAAATACAACCAGCACTCGGCCGATCAACTGGAGATGGACCTGTCACCCATTGACTACCTGCGCAAGAAGTTCCCTGATTTGCAACAGGATATTGATTACTGGCGCCAGCAGATTGGTCGTTATGGATTGACTGGATCGCATCAGACATCGCCCATCGGACACCTCTCGGATGGACTCAAGACACGCTTGGTGTTTGCCGAGCTGGCATTGTCGAGGCCTCATATGTTGTTGCTGGACGAGCCTACGAATCATTTGGATATGGAGTCGATTGATTCGTTGGCGGAAGCGATCAAGAACTTTTCGGGAGGCGTCGTGTTGGTCTCTCACGATTTCCGTCTGTTGAAGGAGGTTGCGGACCAGATTATTGTTGTCGACAAGGGCGTGTCTGTCTTTGACGGGACCATTGCTGAGTACAAGAAGATCCTCCAGAAGAAGTCGCGTGAGAGCACCATCAACTAGACGCTTAGCATCTGCCCGTCCGTGTCTGCTTTCCTCCAGATCGCGCCCTTTTCTTTTTTCATTCTTTTCGCTTATTTTTCACACCATCTTTTAGATGTCTATCATTTTCATGACTTTTGTAGTTCGCCTCTCCTCCTGCTTCTTGCTTCTTACCCATTACAAAAAAAAAAAAACTCCAAATACAAAATACAATCTCAACTTGAACTTTCATACCCTCTTGTCATTGGGTTACTGCTGAGCACTGCAAATATGATCGTGTTGAGTGCAGCGTAGGACGGACTGAGGGACGGAGTAATAAGTAGATCATCGATGAAGAGGATAGGCCAAAAAAAAAAAAAAAAAAAAAAGTCCAGATGGACAGGATAGAGGCGGAGAGGAAAAAAATACAAAACAAGACGAGGGCACGATGAGATGGCATGGGTTGCTATTTGAGCTATGATTTGAGTTACTTGGCTGTTTTGTGCAGGTGTGTGCGTCGAGTAGGGGGAATGGGATGATTGACATTCAAAGGGGTAAGGTTCGATCTGAGTCTGAGTGCTTTGATTTTTGACGAGAAAAGAAGCGGCCTATGGGAAAGCGTGGTCAGTGAACGTGCGCTAGCAATCGAATCTGCAGGCTGTTGCTCAGACATCCATTGGGATTTCTTTATTGCTTGGTTAAGAGATAGATAGAAAGTGATGTTGATGATGATGATGATGGTGATGGACAGGAGCAAAGATGGCGAGAAGGAGGAGGATGGAGAAGAGAGAATAGAGGGGATGGTGGTATAGAGTAAAGAGAGAGAAATGGAAGAGACAAGGTCTATCTTTCAATCTCTCGTCGCTCCTCTTCAGATCCTGTGAGGTGGCCGTGTGAAAGGGTTAAGAAGAAGAAGGCCGGGTTATTTGACGCTGTTTTTCCTTTTCTCTTTTTTAACTTCTTTACGTCTCTTCTTCTCCTCTTCACTCCCCACTCTTCTCTCATTCACTCCCTACTCTTCTCTCATTTACTCCTCTCCCTCCCTCCTGATTAGGTACAATCCATTTGCCCACTGCATGAGAACCATTCACCAATCCACTGCTGCATCGCTGTTACCCTTCTGCGATCATCGTACGCTGCATTCATTCCCAAAGAGAAAATCAAAATATAACAAAGTAGCTAACTCTCTTGGACTCATTTCTTTCCCTCGGTATCATCCCTAGTTCGCTTCTCGCTTGCACACGGACAAATCACCAACTCAACCTTCTCGTAACGACCTCCAGCCTCCGAACCACAAACACACACTCAGGAACACTTACACTACATACATATACATAATGTCAGGACACATCCACTCAACCACCATGCCCGAGGCCTCCGCAACCCAACCGCTCCTCCAAGCAGCCCCCGGAAAGCGAATCGCCCTCCCCGTGCGCGTCGAACCCAAAGTCTTCTTTGCCAACGAACGTACTTTCCTCTCCTGGCTCAACTTTACTGTCCTTCTCGGCTCCCTGGCCATCGGTCTCTTGAACTTCGGAGATCGGATCGGTCGGATCTCTGCTGGTGTTTTCACATTCGTGGCAATGGTGGTGATGATCTATGCGTTGGCGACCTTCCATTGGAGAGCAGATAGGATTAGGAAGCGCTTGCCTGGACCTTACGATGATCGTTTTGGACCTACGGTTCTGTGTATCTTTATTCTTACCGCTATCCTGATTAACTTCGGATTGAGATTCAGTGACCATCAGTAGAAGCCAGAATATAATTATTTTTTCTCGTTCTCGCTTCTTTTCTTTTTGTCAGTACAGACGCTTTGTTAGCTTCTCCTTTTTCTTATTCAATTCAGCATCGATACCTTCTCCTTTTCCTCTTTCTATTCAGCATTAAAGGCCATTCAAACCATTCGAATTCAGAACTCTGAAAGCAAGAGTGTTTATATCAAGGGCATGTTGTGGTACAATTTTTTTTTTTTTTTTTTTTTTTTGGTTCTCCTCCTTTCTCCTGTTTTCTCGGACGCTCAAAAAGTCGGTCGAACAGAACCACAGAACAACAGAACACGATCGGAGGAGAAGAGGAGGACGGGGTCAAAATGTCTCATCCTCCTCCTCCTCCTCCGCCTTATCGCACAACTAATCCACCAGAAGAGCGTCTCAGGCACACTTGCCACAGAAAACCTTTTCACTTTTTTGCGGAGTTGAGTTTTTACTAAGTTTCTAAAACACCAAAAGGGAAAAATAATCTGATGATACTGTATGGACCTTTGCAAAACGCAACCAGGGGCAGCGCCATCTGAGAATGAAGAATAGATAAAGAGAAAGAGTAAAAGAGAGCATTGGAGTGGGAGGACGGAGGAACGATGGACTATGTGCATATGCCCGATATATGCGGTGTGAAAAGAAAAGTGTGAAGTGGGGGTGTGGACTGATATTCCACTTGTCCATCTGGTTAACCTTCTTTTAGCTATTGCTCCTTGGGCTGCATGTGAGAAAAGGACGCCATGTACCTTTTTCAAGCTACATGCACACATGAAGCAAGACAATTCATCCTCTCCACCATTTTACAACGCTAATCCCTAATGGGTTGCTGTTATTAGGGTTTATTCGTTTGGTGTTTGGTTGTACTATAGACTAAGCCGTGACAAGGCGCGCAAAATCTGCCGTGGGTCGTCTACGCTATCAGGACCAAAGCCACCGCCACCACTACTACTACTAACAATGCCACCTGCCCGAGAACTAGATAATGCCGATTTTGTTGTTGGTATAGAGCCATCCTTAGCACCCGCAGCCGAAAGAAGAGAAGAAGAAGTAGATGAGGATGCCTGGATCCCCGCCAGCAGGGGTATACTACTCTCCGTCGTCCGCGGGTGTTGCCGTTCGTCCAATGCCAGTGCAATCTGCTCCAGTACTTGGTCCGTATACTGTTTAGCCATCTTGTCGAACCGAGACGCAGAATACAGCGTATCTCGAAGACTATCCACCTATTATACCGTTAACAATGAATCAGGTCGTCAGTCAACGCGCATCCTCAAATAGGAATATACTTCGGACAATAAAAGGACCCGTGCAGCACTACAAAGAGGCTTACCTCTGTTTCTAGGGTGCTCATCATTTCGGTCATCCACTTGTTGCTATCGCGCCTAGATTGTCCAGCGCCGTTAGCTTGAGTCCCTGCTTTCAGCGACTTGCTCGGTGTAGAGGTCCCCTCCTTGGGTTTGCAATGCTTCTCCCAAAGACTCCTCTCATCCGCCGTCAGCAGATTTAGGTCAATCTCTTCCACAAAGGACTCTGGCATGAAAACTGGTTCATTACCCGGCGGAAGCTTCGCCCCGCTATCCACCAGCGCCGCATGGAAGGTGTTGAAGGAGCTGATCACCTTTGTCCAATCCTCGTCCTCCTTGCGTAACTTTGCAATCTGGGCCTCACATTCCCTCAGCTTCCGCATGTTCTCCGTGTTTTGTTGATGGGGCTTTTTGGGTGCCGTCCGGATGGGGTCTTTGTCCAGGGGTCGGCTGTACCATGAGACACTAAACTGTCCCGATATCAACATTGCCAACACTTCCTCCTCCACCCCCTTGGCAATCCTGAGAGCTGTCTGAGACTTGCTCCGCTGTTTGTCGATTGAAATTCGCGCACACCATGCCATCAATTGCTTCATCCGAATGGGAGCCGGGTCGTCTGCAGAAATATGTCGGAAGAACGTCTTTGGGTCCAACGACGGATGTGGGAGAGCTAATCAAAGAAACATGATAGTAAACGAATATGAAGTCAGTTATTGAGATCATGCCAACAGGTCTAGTATCCATCTCTTACAGAGCTTGCCCACTCTTTATGCAATAGAAAGGACCCTCAGAGACAACTGTGTACAATGACAGTGAACATGATGTCCTCCGAGGTACACCCATTGTATTATTACGCACCTGTGAATCCGTTTCCAATGGAAGAAGCGCGTTTACCGCGCATGGTCAAACTTGACCTCCTGTTAGCGCTCCGTAAGTCCTTGTTCTTGTTGATTGTGGGCGTCTCTCTCATAGGAATGGCGACGTCCGTGTCTACAAAGTTATCGGGCGTCTGGAAAGTAAGTCGGCGCACATTGCGAGGTGTCGATAGGTCCGCAGAAGGTACTTGGCGGGTCGATGAGGCTAATGCTCCTCGGCGGGTTTTGTCCTTGGAGGGTGTCCGTTCTGGTGTCGGCGGTCGGAGGGGTGTCGAATGTGCGAGGTTGTCGTCGACGACATATCTACTGCGAACGGGTTTTGATACTTCTGGCACTGCTTCCACTGCAATTTTCTTTTTCCTTGTGAACACGAACCCTCGGTCGTCCTCCGTGACTAAAGATATCATGGGCGAAGCGAGAAACAGGGTTTTAGTATCGTTATATCCTGTAAAAAAAGTCCTCCAACAAAGCCTAAAAGAAACAGGCGGTGACAACGTACATCGCTTGGTTCGCTTCTAAAAGAGTATAGTGAAGAGTAAGATGAAAGAAATAGTGTGAGTGTCGGGCTCTTTCAACTTTAAGTCCCTTGCCAAAAGAGAGTGAACAAAAAACAAAAAAAGCATCGGTTTGCTATTCCATCGCGGAAAAAAGAAACGTTGCGCTGAAAGAAGTGTCATACCATTTCGGAAAGCTCTGCTCTCCAGCCGTCGGCTGGAGGCGAAGGACTGTCTGATGCCGAGAGTGAAGGGACAGCGTGTTGCTTCTGCTTGTGGGAGGAGCGGACGACTTGGACCTTTGAGCTATGTTCCTGGCGTCCCTGGCGAGGCTTTTGCTTTGAGGTGTTCCTTTGCTTGGAGTGGTGGGTATAATCAAAGTCAGAGTCAGACTCATCGTCGCTTCTGTCCACGTTCTTCCTCTTCTTTGCGGCCCTGACGACCTTTGTGGTGCCTCGTGGGGGCATGGTGGCGAGAGGAAGGTGAGGGTATGTGGTTCCGGACGTGACTGGTGGAGGCTTTAAAGGAATCCTCAATAAAGAAAAGTAACGTGCCGATGAATCTGTTGGGGGACTCGTTCTTTTAATCTTTTTTCTTTTTGTGTTGTCTCCTGTAGGGTGGTAGAAAGGTCGGTGCGGGCTTGTTTTCTACGCGTTGATGGCGATGCTGGATAGATGGGCAGAGGTGGGTGGGGATGATGGAACAGAATGTGAGAGTGGGGAGTGGGGAGGAAATAGCGAACAAGTTGTCTTCAAGGTGCTTTCTATCTTTCTCACTTTGCAAACAAACAATCAAGAAAACGATGAAGTCCAATCTTCACGAAAATAGTGACGTCACACGCGTTCTCTTAGGTCAGGTGATCCTTCCAATTTTTGATTGGCGAATGCCTTCCTCCTTTTTTTGAGCTGACCTGACCTTGGACCGTGGACGAGCTGACTCGCCCTTCCCCTTGTCACCCGTTGCACACCCACTCACTCGTCTCCCTGCTACTACCTTTCTACTACCTTTCTACTCTTTCCTTTCATTCTCCTTCCACTTCCCTACCCTTGTCGCTGCACCACTCCACTCTTCCTTCAACACCAGCACCCCTACCTTTCTTCTCCCTTCACCTTCTCATTCGACGTCAAAAAAGGGCTCCTCACGCCTTGCTATTTACAAGTCATGTCGGTTCTCAAACCATGGACCTTTGGCCCTGACGAGCCTATTCCCCAGCCTGGCGAATGTCTCCCTCACCACAGCGACTTTGAACTCGCCCTCTCGCTCTTTATCCTCGTCGGCATGGTCGTCTCTTACCTGCCCCAGGTACCTCCATATACCTAGACACCATGTTGTCGGACTTGCCAAGGAAAACGCTATTTTATCACACATGGCACCCTTGGCATTTTAGTTTTTTAACTCCTGCCTCTGGTACTTTACCGCCGTATTATGGGACGATTTTATAGCACTTCCGCATTATCCACAAAGGAACCAGTGATGGTATCAGTCCTTGGTTCCTTTTGCTTGGCTGCATCTCCGCCAGCTCGACCTTTTTGAACATTGTCATCCTACAGTGGAAGGTTATCATGTGCTGCAAGGTCCTTGTAAGTCAATGACTCTTGTGCGAACAACACGATATCCACCTTTTTTTTCTTGGAGTGAAATGTTGCTGATGGCTCCTTTTGACTACAATTATTAGAGCCTTGGATCCTGTCTGGAAAGCACGCTGGGTATTGCACAGCTCGGAGTTCAGTTTTTGATGTTTAGTCTGGTGTAAGTCTTCCCTCTCGCTTCGACATCCCTTTTTTTCCTTGACAAAGAAATACAACGATTGTTGGGGCAACCAGGAGAACGTGGAGCAGTGAAAGTAAGCCCGGAATGTCCGTATTGATTCGAAACCACACTTCTATGCTATGACCATTTAGTTTCATTCTTTTCCTGATCTATTACCCAGCCCGCAAGAAGGTATCTGAGGAACTAGACAGGACAACCCGCTCCAAGGAGTGGACACTCTCTTTGATCATTGCCCATGTGGTTGGAGGTCACTTCTTTATCGCCCTCCTGGTCACCATCTACATGCTGACTTTTGTAGGCGGACCCGAGAATCCCTGGACATCTGGATGGGCAAGCTTCTTGGGCATCACTAGTGTCATCTTGGCGACCATTCAGTATGTGCCTCAGATTATCCGGACATTCAAGCGCAAGGTTCGTCAAACCACCTTCTTTCTCTCCATCTCTTTGTCAGAGATCTGATCTGACAAAGTAGGGACAAATGCACGTACACAAATGCATGAATACATGAGATCTTTCTTGAGTCTAACTAGTTTTCCTCCTTTGTTCATATAGTCTGTTGGAGCACTGAGTATTCCGATGATGTTGATGCAGACCCCTGGAGCAGCACTGTTGACACTGTCGTTGGCACTTCGCCCCGGAGCCAACTGGACAACATGGATTGTGTATGCAGTGACGGGATGTCTCCAGGGCACGCTCCTTGTAATGTGTATCTACTACCACTTCCGTGCGACCAGTCATGGCTATGGCGACTTTGATACCAGCGAGACCGAGCCCCTGCTGGCGGGCGATGACAATCCTGTCCCCAAGAACCGTGCCGGTCGTGGTGCTCCTTCGACCTCTTCATCCGTGACCGCCTCTTGATCACCTCATTTGCCACCAATTTTGGTATTTAATAAAAGGCTCCTTTCACAACACCTCTTCTTTGTCTTTCACTGTCATCTCCGTTCCTTCCTCCCCTCTATGTCCATACGCACCATATACCTCTCAGACATATCCAACAAACAATACAAGATGGCCTCGTCCAACTTCTTGCCCTCCTCGGCCATCAACAAATTCATCGCCTTGCGGTCTCTCGCTAAACTTTCATTACCTACTGCATCAGCACCAATATCAACCTCGTCCTCAAGATCCTCCAAGAAACCCAGGATAGATCCTGTTTCGCCAGTGACCCCATCCTCACCCTTACCCAAACAATATCCACATCTGACAGTATCAGCCTCAAGGCCTCACGTCGCGTCTACCTTTCATTCCACCAACAATAACCCAGCCAGATCAAGCTCTTCGACTTCAAGTAGCCCTGCCCCACGCACAAGGACCCCGACCATTCCAAAGCGGATCCCCCCTACCCTTTCTCTGGTCGTCAAGAAAGACCATTTGCCGAAGCATATAGACCTACCTACGTTTGTTCCTCGAGAATATGATCCGTTGCCCGCGCCAGGGTCCGAGGATACTTACAAGTGTATTGCGTCGAGTCGGCTGATCCAGAAGACTGCGCTTGTCAAGGCGCTTGTTGATCCGGACTGTGGGCGTGTCTCGCTTGTTGAGCGGGACTTTGAGTACTTGAGGGTAACCACACTATTATAATGCCTCTTTCGTCGGAGGATATATCTTACACATTCACGACACATGATTACTGATATGTTCTACCGTTCTGCTGTTACTGATGCTATGAAAGTACATGTCGCCCGACACGAGGCAAGGACTAGATGGGTCATCTCCAGTAGAAGCAGACCTGATCCTGGACGAACATACTGCCATTCTCTTCCACCCGCTCGGAGATCTGGGCCAGGCTTCTGGACTGGACGTCGAGGGAGGACTGAAGACATTTGTTGCGACCTTGGCGAGGATCGGTCCCCGGTACACGAACCTCTGGCTGATCTTTGAAGAGTATTACTCTCCTGCGTATTTGGTGACTGCGGGGAGTATTCGCACCACTGCTGGTATGCACCACGCGCCTTCGGTACCATTGCCAATCTTGGCGCGGCCGAATCCGTATACTGGACCGACGATGAAGTATCTGAGCCAATTCATGGCGTGGGTACCGTCTACGCAGACTCGAACTCGCTGGCTCTCCAGGATTCGCTGTCCCTCTGGTCACCAGTCTCTCCAAACAAAAGGGTGTAACGTTCAACAACAGGCGTTTGGTATGCAGGACCCAGGACAGTCCATGGACGAGATCTCATTCGAGACACAGGTTTTGTTCGCATCAGATGAGCGGTGCGCTGCAAGGATGGTTCGAGCGATTGGCGAAGGGATCGTGAGACGGATCGATCGGGCTGTAAGGGATGGGGTCCGAAAAGACGAGGATGGTTGGCAGGATGCTGAGGAGTGGCTCTGGAGGGATTGGTTAAATGATCAAGATAGTACGGTAGGTGTGGAGAGAGATGTGTGGATCATGTTCTGCGGTGGTATTTTTTACGTATGTGCATGGACCACCTGTGACACTACACAACGTTCTGGACATCATTGTTATTCTTACCTGTGTGTATACGTCGTTGCCATCGTCATTTATTTGTCTCTTTAGCATGAACGGTTCCTAGGCGCGTTCCGGATATTCAACCCATTCTCGATCCAATTGATTCTCTCCCTGTGCTCTCTAAAAGAGTTCTTTGCCATGGACCACCAGCAGCGTTGCAAGACTGTCGGTCGATTCATCGATCCCGATGTTCTGGTAAAGAGTAGCAAAAAAAATGAACGACGATAGTATATGCTGAGCATAGGTATTACTTTGCCGATGTTGCTCTCTACACATCATTGGTTAACATGCAACGCTTTTTTTTTTTTTTGTTTCGAACGTACCGTAGGCCATTTTCGACAAGGTGGTGGCGACACCCATGTCCTAATCGAGCCTTCAAAGAATCTTTTTCATGCCTTGCACACGAATCGACCAATTGCGATGCTGCCGGAACGCGCTCAGTCCGTTGCACGTTGCACAACGTACAAAAATAAAAATCAATGCGAAAAGGGGCTGGGGTTGGGACCGCAAACCTACAAGGAAAGAAATACGAGGAATATGAAGAAACGAACATGCAATGTAAATGAGCGTGAAGAACAAAAACACCCAAAAAGGGTCTACAAACATACGGGGAGCAGTGGAAGGGGCCACACAACCCTTTTGATAAAATCATGTTGCACAGCGAACATTCTCTCTTGTGGCGTTTCAAGCTACCGGATTTGAGAATAGGCGGCCGAGCTGGAGGCTCTCTCTTGCTTGGTATAACACCCTCTTTCTGCTACTCCTGTTATCTTTTCTCCTTCGTGGCCTGGCGCATTATTTTTCTTGTCTTGACTCCCCTTTCCTTCCTTCTTTCCTTCCCCAAATGTGCAGCCTCCGACTACCGTCCAAAAATAACCTACCCCTACTTCCTCGCGTCGAATCTCTAACCTACTTTCTTCCTTCTCGTCAAACATCACAATACCAGCTTCATACATACTTCCAACTTTTGGAGAACGGAGGCTGTTCATGACGAAACAAGGTCAATGTTTCTTTTCTTACGCTCCATTGTGGACACTCATGGCGTTTCACCGAGGCCCTTTATTTCTTCATTCTTTCTCTTGTCGAAAGACGGTAGCTCCTTTATACACTTTTGTCGATGAGAGGGTCCTGTGGATTGCCATTACATCCGCGGTTGCTACGATGTTTCGTTATATAAGCCTTACCTACCTTTCTCCCAAAAGCCTTCCAGAAAGAACCTTTTTTTCTGCTATTCAAGCATTCAGCTCTACACAATTCTTCCATTCAACAAACATCACACTGTCGAGCATTTTTTCCTCACCTGCCCCTTTCAGGCTCTAAAAAACATGGACCCGTTTAACCGCGAAACCTTCCTTGGCGATCTAATAAGCCTTGATCAGCAGCAGCAACCTTCCTCCCCTTCCACGACGAACTCGAGCCCTCTTCAAGAGATTTATACATCGTCCTCGCCCGCCGCCGCCACCTCAAACAGCCCCACTTCTAATTCCACCTCACCTGCTAATGCCGCACCTCACGTCTGGGACGTGGAAGCCCTTGCCATGATGATGAAATCGAACCTCCCTGAAGCCGACGACGTTCAAGATCTTCCCCTGGCCACCCGTCATCGCTCCATGGCACCCTCTCCACCTGCCATACCCAACCTTCCTGAATCATCTGGCAGCATTTACTTTAACTACTTTAGCTCCTACACCCCTACCAATACCACCACCAAATCTGCAGCTTCTCTTGCTTCTATATCTTCTTGTTCAGTTCCTCAAGCGCCACTGACAGAGTTCTTCATACCGATTCCTTCGACTCCTCAGCGCCGTCAAGGTCTGATGACTCCAATCGAGTTAACCCTAGACCATCACCTAGACTTCTCATGTGGACCTATAACGGCCACGAACCCCAATCCGAACCCAATGTCACTGTCAAATGCAGTCGTCGTCGCATCATCGTCCCAGCCCATGTTTGACTCTGAGGACCCGACACCCATTTACCAAGATTTCCCGCTTGAGCAGCAGCCCTTTGACCACAAATTTGATCCGATGCCGATTGAAGCTTCACCTTTCTCAGGCGCGTCGCCTATTGCTTCTCCTAAACCTGACTACCAGTCTGTCTCCCCCCTGAACATGGCTGATCTTCACCAGCAGACTTTTTCACTGTTGAATCCTGGTTTCTCCACCCCCGCCGCTGCTGCTCCTTCCGTGACATTCCCTTCTTCTGCGATTCTCGCCAGATCCTTTCCTCTCCTTTCTTTGACAACCCCGTGCGCGCTTGTGGACTTTGGGATGGCTTATGGATCGAACCAACAAACCTCGGCTCTGCTAAACAACGAGAATTCGGTCACTGCTTCCGCTGCCTCATTTCTTTCCACCGCCAACCACCACAACAACGACTACTCGATGACAGTGGCACCGGGTGTTTACAATCCAAACTCCCCAGAACACCTCTCGGATCTGAGCAATCTCGTCCAGCACCGCCAACGTCTCCTCCAACGTCAACAGCAACAGCACCTTCAGCAGCAGCAGCAGCAGAAACATCAACACCTCCGGCAAAGAGCTCTCCATCATCATCAGCAGTATATGACCTCATCATGTCCTCCTCCCCCTCCTACACCACAACCTCCCCTCCCCTGCAATCAACTTGACAACAACACCATCCACCACACGTCAACATCTCACATCGACAACAGGGCCAACGACAGCACAAGAGAATACTCATTCATGCGCCCGTTGAACGCCAACTCCTTTGTCCAATCCATTTACTGCCCTTCTCCTCACATCGAACATTCTACCTCTACAAATGACGCGTCTTCTACCTCCTTGCCTTCCTTCACAGATACCACACACCACCAGCTCACGATATTGGACTTTCTTTCAATGACCGGCCCTACAAAACGTCGTCTCGGCCGTCCACCCCTCGACCGCATGTCTCCCACATCCCCAACCACCACCACCACCACCTCTTCCTCCTCCCCCTCCTCCTCCTCTTCCTCCTCATCCTCTTCTTTGACATCCTCATCAACTAGTTCTCGTGCACCGTCGCCTGGAGTCATCATCAGCAGCAGCAATAGCAGCAGCAAGCAAACATCCTCCAAGAGATTCTACATTGTAGAACCCTATCAACACACGGACCAAAAAGTCGATCGCCGTTCCTTCAACTCCCGCAAACAACTCAGACAACTCCAAGCCCAAGAAGCACAAGCCAACTGAAAACGCGAGAAGGAAGGGGATCACGACTGTCACCAAGATCTTCATCCTCACCACCCGCCAACCTTCTTGAAATCACCCTCTTTGTATCAACACAGAATACCTTCTTAGAGCATTAACACATAGATAAAAAAAAAAAACATCCGCAGATATATATAGATATAGATATAGATATAGATATAGAATAGAATGGGGGAAAAAAGAATGCAGAAAAAAGACAAAACAAGATTCTTTAATTCCTTGGGCTATTGGGACCACTCTTCACTGCCGATGACGAGGATGAAGAAGACGTTGGCATCCCAGACACAGCTTGGTTGCCGCCATTACCATTACCGCCTCGACTGCCATGGCTCCCAATCACGTTCGACAATGAGCTGGACGACAGCGCCGGTGATGTATGGTTTACACCAGCAGCAACACCACCACCACTACCTCCTAGTCCACCGAATGGCGAATAGTCAAATGGCGACATGGGTTGTTGTTGAAGCTGCGCATGCTGGTTGTACGATGAACTTCCTGACCTTGCCTGTGAACCAAAGAAGCTGTCCACAAACGAAGATGATGGTCCACCGCCTTGTTGCCGAGTCGTCGTTGGGTACATGGTCTGCTCAAGCGCGAATCCCGAATTCCATTGACTGTACTCTGACACGCCTCCTCCCTTGGAATCTGACAAGCCTATTGAAAAACATATCAATAGTGTTAGCAATTAAATATCAATACATATTTTTTAAAAAAACCCATCGGTGAAAGAGAATATACATACCATTGGATCCATGACTGTCAAAACCGTCCAAGCCGCGGCGCGCATGTCCATTGACTGTTCCAATCGGTGAAGGCAGGCCATGATGATTCGAGTCACTGCCACTGTTGCCCCAAAGACTGCCCGTAGTTTGACCACTGGCTCCGCTGTTGCTTCCACGACCTCCACCAACAGCTCGCGATGGGGCCGCCGGACTGATGTTGTTGTTACTGCCGGTGGAAAAGCCAGAATCCAATAGTGAGTACTCGGCCTCGAACTTGGCAAACTCTTCAGAATCGATCGCGCCTGTCATTGCCAAGACATCCTTGATCATCTCCCCGTCAGCGTTTCCGAGATCCATATCCGACAAACCATAGCCCTGCAAACCGCCTAGCGTAGAACCTGCAGTGGGTGACCGAGGAAGGTGCTGCTGTTGTTGGTGCTGCCCAAGCTGGTGCTGATGATGTGAGTGCTGCTGAGAGTGTTGGTGTGGGTGCTGGGAATGGTGTGGGGCAGGTAAACTGGTAAGGAATGGAGAGCCGAACGGCGACATTGAACTACTGTCGCCTACAGGCTGCAAGAGTGGCGGTCCAGGTAATGACAGCCCAGGGGTCGCCCACAGATTGTGAGCTCCCATGGACGACTGTTGATATCCTGCGCTGATCGGTGCAGGGAGCTCAAGAGAAGTCGGTGTGGGGCCCTTGTTGCTCAGGTTCATGTCCCATGTAGAATTCGCCGTAGGGAAACTGGAGAATCCTTGGCTAGAGCCATACCCCTGGTGTTCTGAGATATCCATGCTGCCAAACTTCCTTGCCAAGCCAGTGTCGCCCATTGACCCACGCCCGGGAGTACTCCGATCTAGTACAGATGCCGATGTTGCGCCAGGGATCTTGTATGCCGAGTTTTGGTGGAGCTGACTCGTGTTGATCGAAGGCGCTGTCAAGGGCTTGGTGTGCATAGTCGACGATGCTGCTGGTCCATACGAATAGGGCGCGCGTGTTGGAGGAGCGGGCTGACCTGTCCGAGGAGCAATAAAGCTGGCAAGAGTTGTTGCAGGGTGTGTAATCGGACTCGACATGGGTGAAACTCCTTGGTTTGAGAAAGATCGCCTTGTTGCCTGGTTCTGAACGTTGATGGCTGGCTGTTGTCCATTCTGCGCATGAGGCGGTGGGCGCTGGAGAACTTGCGTCGGTACTGACCGCGGTTGGGCTTGGGGTGCCATTTGATGTGTCCGCTGAAGAATCTGAACAGGGTGGTTAACGGGGCGTTGCTGGACTGGGAACATCCCGGGAGGTCCATTGTGTGTCCGCTGATACGCCATCGGTTGGGCCTGCGAGTGGTGTATCGGCTGCTGTTGTTGAGGTTGCTGGTGATGGGGCTGGTTCGGATGTGGATGTTGTTGATGAGGAGGATGCCCAGAGTGTTGCTGTGATTGTTGTGGTAGCTGTTGTTGTTGTTGTTGTTGTGGTGGTTGTGGTGGTGGTGGTTGTTGTTGCACAGGCCTCACCGCAGGATGATGTCCATTCACAAAGGTGTCCTGTGGTCTGACCTGAGCTACTGCCTTTAGTGCATTCGCTGCATTTAGAGTCTGCTTTGCCCTGGCCTTCTCCGCTGCTAATTCTGCCTCATCTTCCGAATCATCCGCCAACTGGGCACCGCTCGTCAACAAATCAATGGCATCTTCCACACGCCCTTCTGTCTGGACCAATGCCTTGCGAGACTCGCGCAATGGGAATCCCATGTCCGTCATCCGTGTCACCACTAGCTGGGAAGGGCGGTAACTCGTTTTTGGTTTTGGAATCCGTGCTGCCACTGCAAGCGCAGGAGATTTGGCCGGTGCTGTTGGTGCTGCCGGCACTTGTCCTTTGGTTGTCGCCTCCGGTGATACTGTAGTCGCTGTAGTACGTGTAGCTGTCTTGGGGGACTGGCTTGATACTGAATCCTGTATTGTCTTGACGTTAACCGATGGCAAAGCAGGGGACGAAGCAGCTGATTCCGAAGAGTGTTCCACTTTCGAAGCCGAAATTGCAGAGTGAGGGGTCTCCTTGAATGTCGGAGTGTTGTCATTACCGCCCTTGCCCTTCTTTTTCTTCTTCTTCTTGTTGCTGTTGTTGCTGTTACCATTGGGGTCGGACGCCATCGCCTTGAGACGCTCCAGCTCCTTCTCTTCCTCAAGTCGTCTCCTCAGGTCCGCTTCCAGTTTCTCTTCCTGTTTCTTTCGAGCAGCGTTGTCCTTCTCAGCCTCCTCGCGAGCAAGGGCTTCTTCCTTTCGGCGTTGTTCCTCCAACTGGGCGTCCTTCCGACTCTGCGCCTCCTTGACAGCCGCAATCGCCTTCTGAAGATGCTGCATCGTGCTCCGATACTTTTGTGCCTTGGCGGTGTTGGCCTGTTTGGTGTTTGCCTTGGACGGTTTTTCAGACAATGCACTCTCTAATCCTGCCTTGGCTAGCAATTCGGGCGTGTTTCCTTTGAGATCTACAGGGTTGATCCTCGCGTGATGCTGCAACAAAAGCGCGACCAATTCCGCGTTGCCGTTCTGAGCCGCATAGTGGAGTGCCGACTTTCCGGAAACAATACAGGTCCTGTCGATGTGGTGGGCGGTCTTCTCCACCAGTAGCTTGCACACCTCAAAGGACGAAGTATGTTTTGCTGCAGTATGAAGCGGCGTCAACCCCTCAGCATCAAGGGCATCCAGTGGCGCGCCTATAAAGAAATATTATTGAAGGACGTTAGCATACCGGCTGCGAATATGTAGCCCCCGTTATCAACTCCTGGAATTTTCGATTTAAGTAGGCAGCCAGGCATTCCTTGAAAGTGTTACCTTTGTCGATAAAGAAAGTCGCCAGATCTGCACATCCAACACGGACAGCAACGTGCAGTAAAGTCTCCTGTACGCCTCTCTCCTCACTGACCTCGCCAACGCCTTCGACCATCGTCATATACTCCCATCCAAAGAGTCGCGTCGCAGCGGTTGTAGAAAACCTTGGCAATCCCGTCAATGAACATGAATCGTCTGGAGTAGCGCCAATCATCTGCTTCACTGTCTCGATCTGCGAAAGCATGGTGCATTGGAACAGAAAGGATCGCGCCGTTTGATCAGCTTCGGCTATTTTTCAGAAAAATTGAGTCAAGGGTACTCAGTTAGTCGGTTTGTCATATGTCTTACGAATCATGTATACAAGCAGCATACTGCGGGATCCGAATGTACTTACCAGCCTCTCGCTTCCGACGCATCTCCAGTTCAAGTTTCTCTCGCCTTTGCTTTTCCAGAGCCTCGCGCTTCCGACGCTCCTCGTCCTCGCGGCGCAATCGTTGCAGTAACTCGATACGATCTATATTGATATGCATGAACATAAATAGGAATTGTTAATATAAAAATATATACCTCAGACTATGCTGTACGACGCATCAAAACGGCGCCCAACAAAATGCGAACGGGACGGCGAGCGTACCCTTTTCCTGCTTTTGCTTGTGCCGTTCAGAAAGTTTCTTCTTGCGAAACTCCTCCTTGAGACGCCTTTCTTCCTCACGTACGCGACGAACGGTCTCGAGCTTTAGCTTTTCTTCCTCGTAGGCCATCCGTTTGAGGTTGACATCGTCATAGTGGTGAGAATAGCCGTCGATAACATCCTGCTCATCGTCTTCTTCGTACTCGTCGTCATCCATGCTATCTTCTTCCTCGTCATCATCCTCGTCTCGTTCGTCGTCATCTTCGTCGTCTTCATCTTCCTCCTCGTCCGGCTCATCCTCGTAGCTGTCCTCTGGGAAATCAAGCGCATCTTCGTCGCCGTGATCGACACCACACCCACAGGGTGCCCGCTGTTGTGGGGGCGCGTTTTGATGGTGTTGGCGAAAGTGCTGTTCGATCTGGTCTCCATGCAAGGTCATGGTTGCTGTTGCAAAGGTCTGATCCGTAAGAACCTCTCTCATTTTAGGATTCAAATCTAATCCACAAAAGGTCAGATGGAGAGAAAGAAGGAGATGGGAGTCTATTAGTTTCGTTTGCTCGACGCTTTTCGTTCCGAAAACACAATATATCAACCACAACAATCCAGTTTGTCGCTCCAATAGGTGCAATAGAAGAGCTATGTCGATGAAATGAGAGCCATCTGTTCGTTCTTTGATTCGTGTTTGTTTGAAGGCCCTTCTTTACCTAGGTTGTCACGGAGCAGGGTGGCATATAACTCCATGAGCTCCTCGGGTGAAGGAGACAGGATATGTTCAGAGCCTTGGCGCAAAAACTCTTCTGGTAGAGGCTTCCCTCCAAGTAGTCCTCGAGTCGTGTATTCAGCAAGGGCCGTCTTGACTCTCTATGAAGACGAAAGGGGTCATGGAAACGGAAAGGGGGAAAAGGGAAAAGGAAAGGAAATGGGAGCGGGTGAAGAACGAACCAGAAGGATAGTAAGGACAGGATGAATGACAGAGGGTGATTAGAGGTCGGTTATCCATATGAGTTAAATAACTCTTTCCACTGCAGTCGTGTGTAGGCCAGGTAAAAGCTCCACCAACACCGTAGTGTGTGAATCTCACTGGCACTCTCTCTCTTCTTGTTGTTTATTGTCCTCGGGTAACTGTGTTCCATGATCGCTCCGTTGGGTCCACTGTCTGTTGAAATGTATCCTTCCTGCACTGAGAGAGAGCGAATTACCCGAATGTGATCGTCAGGCTTGATGGGGCTTCCTTTCTCGGGGGCCGTCTACGATTAACAGACAAAATAGGAGGAGTAATCCCATGTCAGCAACGTAGTGGCAAACAAAACAACGAAAAACTCTCCAATAGGTTCCAACGTTGTTATTGTGTGTGTGTGTATAGTTTTTTATGCCCCGAGGAAAACGGAAGGTGGAGAGATCATGTGAGCTGAAAAAGGCGGGAACTAATCAGAAGAAAAGACGTGCATGCTGATCCATTGTCCAAGTGCCGGTCGATCGGAGTGTTGTTGCGGCTCGTTAATGTCGCTTTGTTCCTTGACGATGTTTGGGTTGTTAAGGAAGAAAGAGTAAGGAAGTCGAAGGTGCTGGGAGTGAAGGAAGGATGTATGTAGGGTGGAAAGGAAGATATTCAATCGGCAGGTGTGGCCACCATTATTTTTTGTCGTCTTCTGCAGTCCACAGTGAGTCCACCACTGTTGGAACCTGGTCTGCGTTATTGAGTCTTTCAATCATCCCAGGGACTGATATCCCAATCCATTTGCCTTTGCACTTTTCGCCCTTCTAAACCATCATGTATGTGCACTCAAATACTGCAGCTGCAAAGGAAGCGAATCGAGAAGTGGGTTGTCCTTGCAGCAAACAAACAATCGTCGTTTGAGTATCTCTTCAAAGTTGTTGTTGTGTTGCGCTGTGTTGTGTTGAGCGGTGTGTACCTTGGCATATTCACGACAGAAGGCTTGGACCTGTTCATCATTGACCTTTTGTGCTTCGATGGGCCAGTCCTCGTTTTGGAGTGAGTGGGCCAGACAGGGAGCAGGGGACGTCGGTAGCGCAGGCATAGCTCGAGTTTTGCTCTTTTTGGCCGAAGACATGTGGGGGAAGGGATTGGTGGGAATGTCGGTCTGTCCGTCGTTCTTTTTTTGGGTTGTTTTTAAATTCCTTTCGTCAGTGCCTCCTAGGTGGTGATGGTGGCAGGGTGGTGGAGGAGAGGTAGGGAGAGAGTGAAGAAGAAGGGGTTGGAGAAGAGAGGATGTTGATTCTACTTCGGAGTGTCGAGTCGTCTAGAGAAATGTTAAAAAAAAGGCGGATAAAGGGATCAACGATTCGATGAGTGGAAAAGGACAACTGAAGGACAAGCAGAAGAAGAAAAAAAAACGAGAGCAGGACAGTGTGCATCAACCAAACTATGTCCATGTGACTGTGTTTTAAAAGGCTTCGTGTCGTGGAAGTGGCCCCTGTGGCACCTCTACTGCCACTCAACCAATATCAAAAAGGGCTGGTCTCGAAGGAAAACCGTAAGCACAATTGTGGTAGATCGATAGATTGTGGAGCAAAGCACTCGAATATCTCCTCGGAACGATCGCGTCTCTTGTTGTCAGTCTGAATTTTTTTGTATTATTTGTTCTTTTCTTTTTTTTCTTTGCGGCTATGAAGTATAAGTAGTCGTTGGAATGAAGTGGCTATGGGTTCCTGGAGACCAGAGAGGCCTCGTCATCGCCACACACTCCGTGATCCAATGGACTGCTCTACTCCGACATGTCATCATCAGAATCGATGATCTCCTTCGATTTGCTATTAATACGAGTAAACGAAGAAGTGCATCATTGTCAGTGAATGTGAATCGATTGAGGCGGGGCGCAATATGGTTTTCAACAGCAAACAAAAGACTTACTACTTCTTGGAAGTGTTCCGGTGGGAGGTGGGATCACCGTCACGATCGTCCTCATCCCGATCTTCACTCTTGCTCCTGGCCCTGCCCTCAATCTCGGACTTCTTGCGAAGCTTGCCCTTCTTAGGTTCCTTTGGTTCCTTTGGTTCCTTGGGCTCCTTGGGCTTGCGCTCCTTCTTCTGCTTCTTGGTCTCGCGTTCGCCATTCTCAAACTCGCCTTCGCTCACCTCTTCATCACTGACCACCATACGCTTGCGCTCAGCACGCTCGCGGTTCAACTCATCCAACTCCTTCTGAGTCTCCTTTGCACCCAGATCCAATAGACGACGTCTCTCCAGAATCTCCCGCTCCTCCTCCTCTTGCTTCTCAAGGCGTATCCGCTCTTCCTCCTCGCGCTGTGTCTTTTCATCCTCACGCTTCTGACGAGATTCCTCTGCTTGGCGCTCCTTGTCTGCCTCGTGTGCCTCCTGATCCTTGAGCTTTCGCTCCAAAATGTTCAACAGCGAATCTCCGTGCTTCTCACGTTGGGCTGCAATGTCGCGCTCATAGTAGACGTGCTCCTTCGTTGGCACAGCTGCCAATGACTTCAAGATTCTGTTGAACAGGTAAATAGATCGAAAACAGACAAAGCGATGCATTAGTACACCTGAGAGCATAGCTATTCACCGTGCAAACCCAACAGCAAAACATAGCCCCAGTGTCAGAACAACGTACCCCTTGGCAGTGCCCAAGCCAGCCATGGCATTCTTGATGTCGGCAATGGTGCGGTTCTCGCTCTGGCGATCCGAAACAAGCTGAGCGTAGGACTGTTGGATCAACGCAATATCGTACAGGGTCGTCTTGTCGCTTGGGGCTAAGCGGAGTGCCCTCTGAGTCATGGTCAAAGCCTCCAGCATCTTCTCCGGGCTCTTCTCCTGCTTGGCCAGACAGTATTGCGCCTTGGCCATCGATAGCAACACATTGGGATCCTCGTCATTAAAGTATTTCTTGGAGGCACTGGCATACTATTTCATGAACGACAATCAATGGTGGTCGGTAGTCAGCAATTCCGTTCAGCTTGTGAAATAAACACAAAGGAACTAACAACACGATAGGCTTACCAAAGTCACGGCGTTCATGTACTGTCCCATGTCAGCAGACACCAACGCCAGGTTGAGAGACAGGGCTGGAATGGTTGAAGCGTTCTCGTGAAGCTGCAGGAACATTTCCCTGGCCTCCTTGTGACGACCGTGAACGGCCACATTGATGGCGATACCGTTGGCAGCGTAAGCATTGTGGGCATCGATCTTTAGAACCTTATCAAAGAACTCAAACGCCTTCTTGTAAAGCTCTTGTTTCTATGTGAGCAAGAAATAAAAGCAGGTACATTGGAGTGATGAGTGGCGGGTTAATCAGCGACACGTTGGTATCCAAGTTGCCTGCGTCAGAGTGTGATAACTGTCTTACGATAGCATTATCCTTCTCCTCGCGAGCAATGTTGAGCTGGATGTTGCCGAGAGCAATGAGAGCGTAAACATCGTGGCGGTTGATCTCCTTGACGATTCTCTCCATGGTCTTGCGCGAGTTCCTGATCTGGTTCTGGTTGAGCTGCAACATGCCCATCAATGTCCATGCATCCACGTTCTTGTTGTCGATCATGCCATAGACAACCTTGTAGAGCTCAGTTGCCTGCTCATAGTTGCCACGGTTCTGCTCAATCACTCCGAGACGAAGATGGGCGTCGGCATATCCATGGTACTTTTGAGCAATGTCCCTGTAAATCTCCTCTGCACGTGGAACCTCATTTCGCTCCTCATAGAGACGAGCCAGGTTGTAGCGAATTGACGTGATGGTGGCTCTCGTAGCTGCGTCCACTCCGTTCTCCTCCATCTTGGTCTCGCAAAGATCCAGTGCCTTGTTGTAGCTGGTCTCAGCCGAATCCAAACGTCCGTCCATGTGGTTGATCGCTGCAATGTTATTCAGGAGCTCGGGCATGTATTCCACAGTCTCGCCACGTTCGATCTTTTGACTGCAGATTCCAAGAGCAAACATGTACGCCTTGGTCGTCTTGCTGATGTCGGTCTGCTCGAGAAGCTGCGCCATCTCCGTGAACATGAGAGGATCCTGTATTGCGAGAGTGTTGCGTTCGTGGATAATGTTGGTTGCCTTGTCAAAGTACTCCAATGCCTTGCTCTTTGTTCCTGGTGAACGAGAGTAGATTGATCCCAAGACCTAATGATTCACGAACGAAGAGAGAACGTCAAGATGGTCAGTGTAATCCGTACATGCATTCTCAGCTAGAACTTCAAATCCTGATGAGTTGCCCTGCGACTTACAGCAATAGCCTCGACACACTTAGGCTCCTTGGCGAGGATCCTCTCGAATGCAGTGATGGCAGAGGCGATATCCTGCTTGAACAAAAGCGTCTGCCCCAGTCCAAACTGAGCCATGTGGTTGTCGGGGTTGAAGCTGACTGCCTTTTGGTAAAGAGAGCATGCCTCGGAGTAGGCGCCCTTTTGGTGACTGATCTTGGCCATAATGTAGAATCCCTCTGACTGAACATTCTTGAGACCGGTGGAGTTTGATGCCTTGAGGGCGAGTTTCATGGCCTTCTCAGGTGCGCCGATCAATGTGAAATGTTTGCCCAAAAGGAGACCAGCAACGGGGTGGTGCTTATCGGCGTCGTATGCTGCCTTGAGGTACTGGAATCCCTGTTTGTATGTATCGTGCAATTCTTCTCCTGACATATCCTGCTTCTTTGTCTTGTTGAATTCGATCATCGCGAGCATGACATAGGCTGTAGCGTCGCGAGGGTTCTATGTGGTGAAAGTGGATAGAACGTGTTAAAGCCCATATCTCCGGTGGACAGAATAATTTCCTGGATATGCACTACGATAGTGGATCAGATCAGTCCATTACCATCTCAATACAGCGTCTGAAAGAGGTAATAGCGGTATCCTCCATGCCAAGCTTGTAGAAACAAATTCCCATGCCAATTCTTGGGTTGGGTGTGCAGTCGGGAAGAAGTTTCAGAACCTGGCGGTAGGTGGTCAATGCTTGGGAATAGTTCTCGCGGATGATCTGAATACGAGCCATTCCAAGAAGAGCAGGGATGCTGCGAGGGTTCTCTCCCAGGACCTGCTTGAAGTGGCGATGGGCGTCGTCCAATGAGCTGCGAGCAAGCAACAACAGTCCTAGCGAGTTGCACCAGATGAAGATAATGTCGTGTAAGTTCATGAGTCTCCACCAGGTCATCCCTCGCTCCATTCGAACTATCTCGATACATATAATCCCGGGAATTACCTTTGCTGACCCAGGTGGTGTCGTCTTTGGGGTTGATCTTCTCGGCGGACCCCAAGTGTTTCGTTGCGTCTGAGAGATGAGTGTTGCGTTCTTGTGCGGTGACGCCGGGCTGGTATGCCTTGCGGATGTGGAGTGATGCGAGAAGATTGTGCAAGGGAAGGCGGGGGCGTGGGTTGGAGTCGTACTCGACTAAAATTATTTAGGAGATACTATTAGTCAGGAGTGCCTTCATTGCATCAAGTTGAGGCTCTTCGCCTGCCCATGGTAGATAAATGCAACAAAAATGTTGTTTTTTACCATGCAGACCGTCAGCCAGGATCTTGATGGCATAGTCGACATTATTCTGACGAGCATACTCGAGCTAAAACACATGGAAATACAAAGAAGGCAACAAGTTATTAGCTCAAGAGTCAGTTCCCAGCCACTACACGAAGCAATTGTGGCGGTACTGAACGACTGAAAAGAGATGTAATAAGCTTACCGCGAAGAGGACGTAGTGCCTCAGAGGAGCTTCCTCGGACCTCAAGATTTCAAATAGCTCCGCAGGGTTGGGAAGGTTGGAGCGAGAGATCTCGAGGACATTGTCTGATCCCTTCAGAGGAATCTCCAAGGTGCCGCTGTAGTGAGGATTGTACATGTCTCAATGATCCTTTCTTTTTTATTTGTCGCGTTATTGGGAGGTTGCAGTCAAACCGTTGTTGGGCTTGTTTTTTTTTCGTTTTGCTTGTGGTCGCCTGTCCGAGTGATGCTGGTTATGGTTCCTGTTCCTGGTTTCCTTAGAGTCGTGTTAATTCCCGTGTGGACGGATTCGTGTGTGGGGGTTTGAAACAAGGAAAGACAAGGAGTGGAGGAGTGGATGGAAATCGTTCGAACCAGACAACGACAAAAGGCGATCAGGGAAAATATGCCCTGGAAATAATGATTATAATAGCCTTTATTTCCAAAGTATATAAGAAAGTGACTGCCAATTGCATTTGTTTTCCTTCAGGCATCCCAAAAAAAAAAAGAAAAAAAGAAAAAAAGAAAAGAACCTCAGGCCTCTTTACTTTTCATCCCTCGCTCCCTCCTCACCACACACAACTCATTCATACCATGTCCTTAAAAGCCGTTCGCCATGCGAAGCAGAGGCTTGCTCCCGACCCACGCAACTTGCACTGGGCCAATGGTATGCGCCTTCTTCTTCCTCCTTCTACTTTCTCCAATCCAATATCACATTCACAAGTCACTTGAACCTTGGTTTCAACGGCTTCTTTTCTACCTGTCACAATACGGAACAACCAATTGACCACCCTTACCTCCTTGCATACGACAACGCCAAAATAGATACCAACAAGTTCGGATTCAAAATGATGGAAAAGATGGGCTGGTCTCAAGGCAAGGGTCTGGGAGCCAAGGAAGACGGTGTTCAGGAGCATGTCAAGGTCCGCCTGAAGGAGAACCAGCTCGGAGTCGGCGCCACCAAAAAGTCCAGCGACAACTGGCTCGGCAACACCGACGCCTTCAGTCGTCTCCTCGCCGACTTGAACGAGCGTGTCGAGCAGGACTCGAAGGATAACAGCGCCGACAACAGCAAGGAGAACAGCGATGACGAGGACAATAAGGACGCCAGCTCGGACTCGGACTCGAAGGAGAAGAAGTCAAAGAAGGAATCCAAGGAGAAGAAGAACAAGAAGGAGTCCAAGGAAAAGAAGAGCAAGAAGGAAGGCAAGGAGAAGAAGGACAAAAAGGACAAAAAGGACAAAAAGGAGAAAAAGTCCAAGAAGAGCTCAAAGGAGAACGACGATGATAGGACCAGCATCATGGCCGCCATCAACGGTCGCAAGGCGTAAGTTTTCTACTATGCTCAAAGGCTATCGCTGTTTGCTGGGGAACAGACTGGAGTGCAGGAAATGTTGAACTAACCACTTTTACGTTGTTCATTGTGGCTCTGAAATGATAGTTCAAGGCACAAATACCTCCGCAACAAGCACGCCGCCCTCCAGAACAGCGAGCGCCTGAACGAGATTTTGGGAATCAAGTCTGAGACAGCTTCGCCCGCCACCTCTGGCATGTCGACACCCGTCTTGGAGGAGCCCATGACCTCGACCGACATCTTTGCCGCCCGCATGCAACAAAACAACATTTCCAGCACCACAGCAAAGAATGACGACGAGCCTGCTCGCCCCATGTTTGGAGGTCTTGGATTCGCCACATCTTCAGGAATCGGCTCAACAGGATACAACGGCTCTGGGCTCCGTGGACTCGGATTTGTCAAGGCCACTGTATCGGTGATGCCTTCCACGATAGAAACCAAGGTCGAGGAGACTGTTGTCGTTGTGTCTACCCCTGCACCTGTTGCTCCTTCAGTAGAGCTGTCTGCATCTGAAGAGTCTGCCAAGGAGGACAAGAAGAGCAAGAAGGAGAGCAAAGAGAAGAAGGAGAAGAAGGAGAAGAAGAGAAAGTCGGAAGATTCTGATAACTCTCGCTCTAAAAAGTCGAAGAAGTAGACGACTATACATTTTTGCATTCCATTCCCATAAAAATACAGCATCTTTCTCACTTTAATGATATTCTAGGCTGGGTTTAATGAGACGAATGTGGTGTCATGACGCCAATGCTCCAGCAAGTCCATGAGCTTTTAGCCACTCAAACGTCGACATAGATATCGTCACACTAGGCACCATCCACATGATCCTGGCGCCCATGCCTCTCGTGAAACTCGCAAATCCTCCCTGTCGAAACAATTGAGTCGCTATCCGCCTTGTTGACGAGGTATCCTCTGTCGTACTCAAGATCGAAGTCTGCCACCGTGTCTTGACCACATCCACAATATTCGAGATCCCGGCCGCGACTCCACACGCAACTGCAGCGCAGCCCATGATTGCGAAAAATGGCAGTACGTGTTCTTCCTGAGGGTCCTGTCCTGCCAGACGGTTATTTTTATCCCGTTTACTGGAGTGTAGCTTGCGCCATGCCATGTCCTTGAGCTGTTCATATGCGGCGAAGTAGATCATCGAGTAAGGCCTATTGCGGAGCAAAAACAAAAGAGACAAAACTGCGCGTTAGCTCTGTGTCACGCAACAATATGAAAGATCGCACCTTTTCGCGATGAGGAAATTTTCGCGCGAAATAATTCCGGCTTCTCATTCCGCCTTTTTTGTTTTCACGGGCAAATCCAACGACACATGATGGAGAAAACCAATGTGCCAAAGAACTTACACAAAGACGCCCAGTGTGATAAAGTATCCTCGATAGAATCCCAAAAATCCTTCTTGCTGATAGATTTGTCGAGCAAGACTCATTGTTGATGTGTACTTTGGTATCGTCGATGTTGTTGATGAAGACGTTGATGAAGACGTTGATGGTATTGAGGACGAGACGTTGGAAGCAGCTGGTGACGATGCCGATCTTCCTGCCGCTCCCGCTGCAGTTGTTGACGAATAATTTCCCGAGGACATGTTCTCGACTTGCTGCTTCGACTTCAGAATCTCCATAGGCGTCCAAAAGAGTCCCGAGCACACCTCAGCGATCATACCACTCAGCATATGATTATGCACCGTATCAGTCCCAAAGCCCTTGAATTGACGCGAGAGTCGGTCCTTAGCAAGGTCATAGGTAGTCAAGTAAACCGACAACCCAGGTACACTAAGGACAAGAGCAATGGGTAGACCACGGTAAACAGCGCGTGCTCGAACTAGTTCGACAAAAGTTGGAATGAGTCCCTGGTGGGGTGAGTTTGAGACCTGAATCCGGGTTTTGACGGTGTCGAGAGGGTGGGTGCAGAGACGGGATGCTAATGCGGCCGTACTGGAGGCGAGGAGGTTGCTGAGGGCGACATGGGAGTCCTGGGGTTGGGAGATTGATGTCTTTGGCGGTGCCATTGGTCGAGCGAGAGGGAATGGAGGAGAGAAGGAGTGAAACGTTCAGGAAATTTGTGGACACGAAAAATGTAAATTCGACGCCATCAAAAAAATTTATCACTCAACTTTCAGGAACAAAAGTTACAAAACATCCATCGACAGCTGTCACCTCGCTGCATATCGTGCTTGAATGTATCCCTTTCACTGTAAGTTTTCAGTTGCTCCATGGACACATACTCGATCTATCATCCCCAGTTGATCCCTTCTATATCGATAAGAATGCATGCAGTGTCAAATGAGTTTCTGGTCAAAAGTAAAAAGCGGAAGGTGGAACCTTATGTCATTCATCCGTCACCTCTTCCTCAGCGACATAACCACTCTCACATTCATGAAAGAAAGATGCATGTCCTTATGGAGCATACATCAATTGGTCCTTGGAAAAGGCTGCGACCGTTTACTGATACTTCACAGGCAGGCAAATGAACAGACAGCAAGCAGTAGATCGAGAGATCGGAGCACAGCGGCTGTACTGCCATCAATTGCAGGCGCATCAAACAAGAACATCCGACCCTTTTTGATCTCGCTTCCGTGGCTACTGTGGATGTTTACCTCAATAGTACTACCGAAGGATTGGGATGGGTGGTTGTAAACTTGTACTGAATCAATTGATGATGAGGCTCTCAATAGTATGCCAGCGTACTATGTCGACATGGGAGAGAGAGTGATAAGCAGTGTCTTAAGAAGTGTGCTTTCTTATTCTTAACCCCTGATCGCATGTCCGCCTGGTTCAGAAGAGGGGGGGTTGGATGAATGGAAAAGGAGAAACGAGAGACGAAGCAAGGGGAAGGAGAGAAGGATGAAGCACAGAAAAGCGCTTTGCAGCCAGTATTGCACTAATGGGATCTCGAAGGGAGGCACTGTAGCGGACATAGAGTGCGCATACCATCCATGTCCATGTCCGCAAATGTGTATGTATGTGCAAGTGTGTTCCTGAACACCCAGTACGAGTGAGAAGTGCAAGTGAGCAAAGTCAGTCGACTCCAAGGAAAAGGATCCGTGTGTCGTTCAATTTATTTATTTTCAGCCTTTTTCTTACCCAGCTCACACTTCTCTCTCTTTCGTCTTCTTACTTTCGTCATCCTTCCTTTCTTCTTTTTCTCTCTCTCCTTCTCTCTCTCCTTCTCTCTCTCCTTCTCTCTCTCTCTCTCTCTTCATCCACTTCCACAAGTCCAACAAGTCCACCCATCAACCGTGTGTCCCGTCGTCAGCACTCAGGAAACAAGACGACCACCTGCCGACAACATACTCTCCGCCCACGCGTCCGACCACCCACCAGCAAGCAACCAAACCAATCCAAACTAAAACCAACATCACACACCACACGACACACACACGCACACCCATCCATCTAAGACTGGGCATTCTCACTCCCACCACACTCTTTTTCTTCTCTTGACCACCATCACAAATCTCCTCACACCCAACTCTCACAACAAATAATGGACAACCTATCTCCCATCCCGACTCCTCCTCCTATTCATCCGGCACAACCAGCACTGCGGCGACAGCAACAGCAACAGCAACATCCCGTAGTAGTAACCACACATCCACCATCAGCAGGACCCACCTCTTCGTCGACAACGTCTTTTGCCCAGCGTCTGTCGGAATGGCTCAAGGAGAACAAGGCTGCCAAGGCTGCCCATCTCACAGGAGCATCAGGAGCAGGAAATGGAAGAACCTTTGATGAGGATGGCAATGACAGCAATAGTAGCAACACACCATCTCTCCAGAGCCTGCCCTCATGGGTCTTTGAGGATATTCAGCCTCGCTCATCACCCACTCTTTCACCAGTTCCCTTGAGATCTGCAGGCATCATTGCAGGAGCAGCAGTAACCGGAGCGTCCTCTTCAGTCGACCCTATTGCGACACTGTTACCGCAACTTGAGCGAATGACCACCGAAGACGACAACAGCGCCCATACCACTCCCACCCCAACCCCTGCACCCACTGTACCCTTCGTACCCTTGCCACATCAACAATTGCAACAGCTGGAGCAGGAACAGCTGCAGCTCCAGGCTCTTCATGGTTACCTTGCCTCCTCAGGACCTTCGGCGACCTACCGGAGAACTCAGTCAAAGTACAAGCAACCCTGGAGGAGAACCCGTCCCGAAATGATCACATCCCGTCGCAACCCTTCCCGTCGTCAGCAGCAGGCATCGACTGCTCCTACTACAGACATCGACATACCACTGGCAACAACAGCGACATGTACAAGAGGACCTGGAAGCAGCAACAGTACTACGAGCAGCATGGGCGACCTGACAGCAGCTGAAACAGAGTCAACAAGGACGACCCTCTACCTGCCCCATGATATCCTTCTCGCTATCTTTTCGCACCTGCCCTCAAGGGCGAACGCGCAGCAGTATTACGATCGAACTCACCCCTCCGATCTGCTCTCGTGTTCTCGAGTTAACATGGGCTGGCGTATTGCGGCCCTCTCGACCATCTGGCAGACCATTCTCCTACCAGACCCTCTGGATCGCTCCTGTCGTCGCCTGTTGCACCTCTTAGCGTCGTCTCATGCCTCGGCTCAGATCACGGGCAAGAACTATGACATGACTGAGATTGTTCAGCGAGTCGAGGTTGACCTGCTGGAGGCGACAGAGCAATTGGCGGAAGAACGTATGAGGGCTGCTGCGTCTAGTATTGCAAATGCGGTCGCTGCAGAGGTGCAACCACATCAGGAGCAGCCCCGTTTGATTGTGGGACCCGCCGGTATCACTTTCAACAACAACAGTAGCAGCACCAACCCGGAATTCGAACACCACATCATTCCATTTTTCGATGACGATGGTGTTCCGATTACTGTCAGGAGCTGGAATGTCACAAACGATTCAACCACCAAACTTACTGCCACTGCCGCTCCTACCAGTGCCAGTAGCAGCAGTAGCAGCAACAACAACAACAACAACAACAACAACAACAACAACAACAACAACAACAACAACAACAACAACAACAACAACAACAACAACAACAACAACAACAACAACAACAACAACAACAACAATAACAACAACAACAACAACAGCAACAACAACAACAACAACAACAACAACAACAACAACAACAACAACAACAACAACAGCAACAACAACAACAGGACCGCCTCACGCGGAACGATGACGGACCATATCACGACCCTGTTACAGTTTATTTCGCCCTTCCGAACACTCTCGATCCAACTGCCACAGGAGATTGAATCAAGCGCAGCAGATGTGTTGACCCGGTCGGCCTCGCTCCCAGCATTAGAAGCGATCCGTCGCGGTATTCAGGAAGCCCAGATCCGCGAGCTGGACATGCCATCGCCTATGTACTGCAGCGTCTCGACCTTTCCAGGAATGCTCGATCTCATCTCGAATATGCAGGCCCTCCGAGTTCTGATCTTGGGTTATTCGAGTCGGGATTGGCCCCTCCTCAAGGCGATTATTTCCTTACCGCTGCTGGAGAACCTGTGTGTCTTTGATTCCTGCTGGAGTAATCAGATCTGGATCTATCTCTTTTCGTCGCTGGGGCCACAACTTCGAGGACTGACGGTCTTGCAGGGGAGACGGCCCCTCCAGGGGGTTGTTTTGAGGGAAGGTATTGCACCGTACTGCAACAACTTGACGACACTTTCGATTCCGTTTATCAAGTTGATGTCTGGACCGGGGCCCGTGTTGACGGATCAGGATGTGATTCCGGTGTTGAAGACCTGTCATGAGCTGCAGGTGATCAATCTCTCGGGCCAGCAACTGTTGGGCGACAAGGTCTTGGAGGCGATGACGGATCTTTGGGGCTTGCAGACGTTGGATATCAGAGAGTGTCCGTTGATGACGGGCCAGAACATCAAGAGCGTCCGGTGGCAGTCGATCCAGCGGGTCCGGATGTTTGGATGTGGAGAGATGTCGTCCGAGTTTATGGATTTGATCCTGCAAGCGTGGCGGTCGTCGCATACCAACACTGGTTCTTCTAGTACGAATGGAGCGTCAGGGTCGGGACATCATCATCACCATCACCATCATCACCATCCGCATGGGAAGCATAGTATTGGAGGCCTGGGATCGACCACGAGTGCAGGAGGTGTTGGGTCGTCGTCGTCGGCAACCATTATGCGGTTTGCGTCTGTCCTGGATTTCAATGCCGACGTGGAGGATCCGGTCGAGATGGGGTGGGTCCGTCAACGGGAAGATGAGCCGCCTCTTGATCTTGACGAGGACCATTTCTTTGCTGACTGGTATTGTTAGAGTCCTTATTTCCTGCTTTTACTTTCGCCTCTGTCCTTTTTTTTTTTGTTCTGTAGAAGTTGCACCTAAACATGCCAGAGATAAAAAGAACCCTATAATTTACAAAGCACAACGAAAGGATTATTTGAAGGAATATTTATTTTGAGAGAGGGGGGAGTCGTACCTTGTGGCCTTTAAAGAATGCAGTCGAATGGTTCACTTCTCTAGGATATTCATTTGTTTTTTTCTTCCATGGCCCTTTTTTTTGTTGGAACTTTTAGTGGTGGTGGAGACCGGAACTGGGAAAGTTCTCGTCAGGCTCGTAGGCTGACCACTTGTAAACGTTTCCACACTGGTCACAGCGATCAAATTCGTGGCTCTGGTCAATCAACAACCATTGTACCTCATGGTGCTCTCCCGGAACACCTAGAGAAATTTAAAATGATATGCGTGTCAGAATCAAAATAACAGCACTGCAAAACCAATACGAAACAAACACTAAAGATAATCGCTCGCATTGACATTGAGAAGTGGGCAGCGCAGTTTTTTTTTTGGTCTTGTATCTTGAGAAGCTTACCGGAGCAACCGACGTAGCGGACGGGATCGCGAGAGCGGATGATGGTAGGCTCGGTTTTGGTACCACGGACAAGGACCTCGAGGGGTGCAAGGTCAAAGATATCTTTTCCTTCCATCTTTCCGAGCACCTCGGCGCGTTCCAGTCCGGTGGACTGGTTCAAGTCTGTAGGGGTTGCTCCTGGGGCTGCGCCAGGACCTTGCTTCACCTTGACCTCATGGTTACCTCCTGTTGTTTGGACGGGGAGTTTCGATGGGATTGAAGGAGGGAGTGAGTAAGATTGAGGGTGTTAGTGTCGGTAGTCTTTTTCTTCGTGTGAAGATCAAGATGATGTATCAATGTGCCTTCGTTCCTGAAAATCTGATAACATTGCCCATTTACAAATAGATAAATGGCATGATGTTCTCTTCCAATAGCACAATTTCCCTTTGCCCAGTTTTTCTTTGTACTCGATTCTCCGATTCCGATGTCTACCTTGCCTCCACACCTCCTCAATATTACATCCGCATGCACACTAGAAATGTTCACCGGTCCCCTTTGTTGGAAATAATAAAACTCGTTGATGTACTTCTCTCGTTCGCTGGCTTGCCGCGTCCCCACTTTTCTCTCCATGCTGTCGTGTAGCCTAATCCATGTAGCTGTTGGGTATGACTCTTTTCTCAACTCCCGATTCCTTCCTCCCCCCCCCCCCATTCCATGCATGCACCCTTCTCCATTCTGTGACAATGAAAACAGAAACGAAAACTGAAAAAAAAAGTGTGCAAACTCGTGTGCTCCAGAAAATACTCACCAAAGCGAGTAGCACAGACTGAGAACTGGGACACTTGGATAGAAGAAGACGAACGGACGATACGGGCCACGGAGGCGGGGCGAACAGCACGAATGGCGAACATTATGTTTTGTATGGAGTTTTAAAAAAAAAGGTGATGGAATGAGTGAAAAGGGGAGAGAAGAGAAAATGGGTTGGTTGGTTGGTTGGTTGGTTGCGAAGAAATAAACATTTTTCGCGAACACCCAAAAAACCTCATCGTCTCCCTTTTCTCGCCTCTACTCCTCTGCTCCCCCCCCCCCCCCCCCCCCCCCTCCAGCTCGCCCAAGGGCCACCACACAGAAGGAGAGACAAAAAAAGTCGATTACTCCTCTCACGACCTTTCAACGCCCTCGTCTGGGTCTGGCTGGCTGGCCGGAATTCCAATTCCGGGTTCGGGCATGTATGCACGATGTAGAACCTCCCACCGTCTCCCGGTGACGTGCCTCTGTAAACTGTGCGGGTCGCATAAACCTTTATATCCTCTCTCTCTTGTCCTTCAACTTCTGAAACCAATTGAGCATGAAGAGAAACACACCTCTGAGCACTGGATGATATCACGGTGGACAGAGCAAATGTTGATTGAACCCATTGAGGCGTTTTTTTTTTTGTTTTTTTTGGGATTAATTACTTCGGTTTATTAAAGGTAATAGTATACAACTGCAGTAGTAAAAGAAACGAGAAAACGAAAAGAGAATTTGGGAGAGGGCGGATTTTTTGTGAGGCAAAATGCTTTCAATCATGAGAAAGCGTGTCTAAGGGTAGATGTAGGGGGATGGGAATAATGATATGCAGGAATTATGTAATAGGAAAACAAGAAAAGCAAAAAAACGAGGAAAGCAAAAAACGAAAAAAAGACAAAGGGAATTAGATAGGGGAATAAAAAAGTAATAAAAAGAGGAGAGAGAGAGAGTCGATCTGCGTCCAGAGGCGGAGGGTTGATGTCAGAAGAGAGAGAGGCTTGCCTTGCATTGGGTGGAGGAACTTAGAGGGTATGTACATTAGGCATGCCGTTCTATTGAAGATACAAAAAGATAATCCAAGGGTTAGCTTGCGGTTCACAAGAACAAAAAAGTATGCAGAAGAAATCAAGGCAGAGAACTTACGAAGGGCTGTCTCCATCCGCATTGGAACTGGTTCTTGTCGTAGCCATCACCGCTGGTCGAAGAGTTGTAGCCAAGATGTCTCTGGAGCAAAGTACGGCTTGTCACCAAGGTGCCAGCACAGCTAGAACAAAACTCGTGCTCGCCCATAAGACAATCCTGAAGACTGATATCTGGCGGAGGGGCGTTCAGACCCAGCGCCACCGTCTGGACATCGTTCTCGAGGATGAATGAAGCTGTCAATGCAACCGAGCGCTTAAAGATCAAGCCACTGCCACCAGTTCCGACGAAGACGCCGCAGTGATCCTTAACCTCCGTGTGAGCCCTATAGATCGTGTTGAGCATCTCTTGCCAGCCATTGTCGCAAAAAGGAAAATCGTCCTCCATCACGCCCAAGTACACAGACTCGTCGACAGTGCCAATCTTGCGGATCGCGCTGACCAAATGCTTGCGCTGGTTCTTCTCCGATCCCTCGTCGCGGACCCACTTGACGTGCTTGCGGGCCTTGGGAATGGTGTCAAAGTAGGCCTTGGCGTCATCATATCCTGGGAAATCCGTGAAATGAGTGTAGACAACAATCTGGATCCTGGAGTAGAGCAAGTCGACCTCCTCATCGGGAAAGTGGGCGAGGTAGGATGAAAGGGTTTCCTTGATATAAGTCGCTCCACCCTTCCTGGGTGCTGTCATCAAGACCAGGGTCAAGAGGTAGGGTGTCTGAGGCTCAATCGTGCGGCTGATGACGTCATTGGGGATGTCTTCCCTGAGGGTGTGAAACTGGTTGCATCCGACGAGGATCAAGAGGACAAAGAGCAGAGTAGGCAGGACATAGACCATGACCTTCCAGGTAGCTGAGAGAGAAGTCTTCTTTTCCTTGAAGGTTGTCGAGGATTCCCCGGTGACGGTCGAGTCGGAAAAGGAATCGTCCTCTGCCAACATGGCCTCGTAGATCTCCTCCTCCCACATGTTCTTCTCAAAGGCCGAAGTCTTGACCTTTCCACCCCAGCGACCCAGACGGCGCTGGAAAGAGATGGCGAGGGAAGCAAAGAAGCCGACGATCATGCCAGCGCCAGCCCACCAAACGATTGTCTTGGGGATGACGTTGACGAGGCAGAGGATGAGCTGAACGTGTGTCCTCCTCACATTCCAGAAGGAAGGCGCTTTTTCGTTTGAGGTGGGAAACAAGGACTGAACCATCAAGAGGCCAAAGAGATAAGGGGCAAGGCCTAATGGTAATGATTGCAAAAATAGATATGTACACATGGATTAGTCAAGACATTGCTGGTTAAGAATGATACACATGATGCCAACGAAGATGATGTTCCCTCTTTTCCAGACCCTGTCTCCTTTCTCTCAGCCTCCGATTCCTCCGCGTGCCCCGTTATCCATTGTCTTTGTCGAACAAAAGAAAAGAACGACAAGAAAGAGTCCAGGTATGACCCCGAGAACTATCCCAGGATTGGATAGGGGTGCTTGGACCCTCGTCTATCCCATCGTCATTCCTTTGTCTCTGATGTCCCTTTAGGTAAAAGCCCTATTTTTTTTTTGTTATTTTTGGCGAAAAGTCGGATTTGAAGGCAGTGCTGGGGATTACTGCGATCTACTGCATGAGATCGCTTGCTGCTTCTTGCTGCTGCTGCTGCAGTTGCTGCTCACTCCCTCTCTTGACTCCAATGATACATTTGACCTTAAGCGGAGGAAGAATGTATTTCTGTTGACGCAGTAAAGCCCTTCCATGGATCGCTTTTAGCTGTTCCTGCAAAACAAAGTATGGATGTTTGCCTTTGCTACGTTTGTCTTGTTTGCTACTGTTGCTGCCAGTCAGCCAAATGTGGATCCCAGTTTTACAAAAGAAATCGTTGATTCACCCCAGATCCCAGTATGTTTTCAGATCCCGGATGATTTCACATGCACACATTCACAAAGAAAAAGGGTTCACGACTTACCAAAGTTGCACTCAAACATGGAATCGCTGAAGAAGAGTTCAGGGATATGCCAGCCAGTGGCCCGGGAAAAGACAAAGCCCATGAGTGTGCGCAAGGCCATGGTCAGGACCATCATGACGAGGAAGAGGTTGCGGAAAATCCTGGAACCATCACCATTGAAGACTGTCGTCAATTGATCTTCAAAGAGAGCCAAGGAGAGGATGTTGGTCGTAGCGAGAATGACGGACGATACCAGGCCGACCTGGGCGACGGCGAGGAGCGATGGCGTCAATGGGATGACAAAGGGCGACGCAAGAAGGGAAAGGTATTCGCCAGCATAGAGAACATAGGAGGGCGAGACGCAGTGCTCAGGGAACTTTCCTCCGAGGCCCACTAATGACAGGATAACCGTCAAGAGGATTACAGCCCTTGTCACTGACTGGTTCAGGAGTGATACCAATGAAAGGCTTTGCTGCTGCTGTTGCACCTGAGGGGCGATGATATTGGGGAAGTATGACGAGGTGGATGAGGAAGGAGTCTGGGCGCCAGGAGTGCCAACGTTGATGACTGTGCTGATAGGAGGGGTAGAAGGGGCTGAGGAGGAAGAGGCGAAGGTTTTGAGTTGGAAGGCGGTGGGAGATTGTGGGGGGGTAGGGACATTGATGGTGGTGCCGATGTTCATGGATGCAGGCGAGGAGGGCCTGGATCCTGGGGCGGAGGCTATTGAGGAGGCATAAGAGGAGTAGGATGGGTTTGGGTTGAGGTGTTGGGAGGAGATAGAGGAGTGGAGCTGTTGGCTTAGGAGGTTTCGCTGCTGTGTAAGCGACGATGTGGATGAAGATGAGACAACCATTTGCGGGCTGCCGGACTATGTACGAATGATATGGATTGAGAGGGTGGAGGGAGGAGAAGTTGAAGGATGTGGAGAGGAGTAACGAATGGGTCTAATATCAAGAAGGAAGAATAAAGAGAAAGAGAGAAAGAGAGAAAGAGTAAGTACGCTGGATCAATGGTAATAAAGAAGAATGAATGTTTGGTAGGCTGTTGCTATTATCCAGTTAGCCTGTGCAGCCAGTTATCCAGCCAGTGGGAGAAGAGAAGAACTCCCGAGTGGAAAAAAAGAGGCAAAAGCGTCGAAACCCATCCGTTGAATCCGGTCAAAAGAAGAGTCGCTTAGAAACCCAGCCTGATGCCCAGTCCTCTCTTCGTCCCTTCTTTTCTTTTCTACCTCTCTGACACTCCGAAACAGCACCACCCATCTGTGGGCACAAGGGTGAGTGGCACTTTCATCATCTACACATCATATATCCTGGAACAAAGATAAAAGAAAAAACGTCCGAGAGGCATAGAAATGAGTACAAAAATGCCGACCTGGCCTTCATGTCTTTGTGAGTGTATGTATATGTGCTGTTAGGTCTGTGATGATACACTCACACTCACACTCACACAAATATAACCCCAAATAGCCTTTTTTTTTTTGTTGCATCCTAACCAGCCAGCTCCGTGAAATCAGAAGAAAGCTCCACTTTCGTGACAAGGCGATCGGCAAGCTACTGGGCAAGTTACTGGGCAAGCTAGCCTTGCTGGGTTTGCATAAGGTATGCATATGTCAAAATATAAAGACGGACAAAGACACGACAAAGGGACAAGTATTTTTTTAAGGAGAGTAAAACGAGGTGGGTTCGAGGGATAAAAGGAGGGGGGGAGCCAGGAGGGGGTGTGCAGCAGGTAGTAGTAGTAGATGTCAAAAGAAGAAAACAAGGGCGATGAGAGTAAGGTATGAATGACAGGAGGTGTGTGGTATGGTATGTTGCAATGCAAAGTGAAAGCAAGGTAGGTGTTGATGCTGGGGTTGAATGAGTATTTTGATATAGAAGAAAACGAGGCTATTGTATGTCTGCCCTGGGTGGAGGGAAAGCAGGAGGAGGACGAGGAAGGGGGTTGTTGTTGACGAGGAAGGGGGTTGTTGTTGACGAGGAAGGGGTATGTGTGTGTGAATGTGCCTTTGCTACTGTTGTTGTTGCTGCCTTGTGTTGTTGCAGTTGTTGCCTTCCCCTAGCTGTTGATCGATATGCTGTTGTTGGATATTGTTGTTGGATAGAGTTGTTGGATATCGTTATTGGATAGAGTTGTGGATGAATAAGGTGAGGGGTTATTACCTGAAATACGAAGTGGATTAGAAAGTGTGAGTGGAGGGAAGAGTGAAGAGTGAGGAGGTTGAAGAGATGAGTGGTAGAGAAAGTGAGAGTAAAAAGAGAACAGACGTTAAATGAGGTAATTAAAGAGAGAGGGAGAGGGAGAGGAAGAATGAAGTAGATGAGTACAACGGATGGAAGAGAGTGAAAGGGAGGGGATGAGGGGACGAAAGACGTGAGGAGAAAAAAGAAGAGAAAAGAGAAAAGAAGGGAGAGAGAAGAAAGAAGAAGGATGATGAAACAGCAGTGGAACTGATAGAGGGATACAGTGATGAGAAACAGGCAGAGACAGAGGGTAACAACAACAACAACAACGACATCAATATCAACATCAACATCAACATCCAGTCAGGCACAATCAGTCAGTGTGGGTTGATTACTTTACTGTTGGTTGCTGTCCATTCAATTGGCCTTTTATTATTAGAATGCGCATGCAGCTCGCCTATTCATTTTGGCACCTTGTGAACTTTGCACCCGGCAGCAGCATAAGGTTTTTTTTTTTTTTTTTTTTTTTATCTGCTCCTCCATCACTTGCCACCACTGTTCTTCTCGTTCACCTCAATCTCTCTTGGCTCTCCAACCTTTTACTTCTTCTTCCTCGTTTCGATGTTCTCATCCACCTACTCTAGCTAGACTACAACGAACATCGCCTAACCAACCTTGTCAAGGGTACGGCGGTAATCATCGCAAAATCACTACTGTCATCATTGTTGACATTGCCAGTGTCGTTGTTGTTGTTTCTGGTTGTTTCCTATCTCCCATACACAAAACAGAGTACAAATGTACACCCACCAATTTAAATTTCAAGCCAATGCGGCCATGTTCGACCGTTACTCCTTCCTCTTCTCTTTCACTCGTTTTTTTCTCGTCTTTCCTTTCCCAATCAAAAACGAGCAACAACAAACAAAAATGGACACAAGATAAACAAACAAAAACCAATTTTACTTTTTTTTTTTTCCTCATCCTGCCTTGCTTCTTCCAGGCGGGCGCACTGCCTTGTCTCTCACCACTCCTGCAAATCCTCCTTCGCATCCAGACCCCTGCCTTCTACTGCCAGCTTACTATTGTGCCTGACCAACAACCTTTTCTCAAGTGACCAGCAAGGAATCAAAAAACGTGCACCCCCCACGCAGTCATTCCCGGAGTTCAGAAATAGCTGACAAGTTCTCAACCCAACCCTTGGCCACCACGCCCCACCTCCACCTTACCCCTATCCACTCGTATAGAGGAAGAAAACTCTTTTTTTTCCGTAGGTTCTTTTTTTTTCTTCCCCGCGCCAACCTTTTAGTTCCAGCTGGTGCAGAAACCAGGCCAACCACAACTGTTAGAAAGCACCAAACTGCAGAGAAGCAAAGGCCAATGGTCGGTCTCGGTAGGTGGGGACCCCGCCTTCTTTTAACTGTTACACCTAACCCGTATCCCAGCTCAGAACAACAAGAAACCCCCTAAAGAAAAGGCTCTCTTTGCTCGGAAATCCGTGGTGAGAAAAAAACGAAAACGCTCAAGGTCGGCGCTTCGTCTCGTGCATCCACCTCTACGCCTGCCCTGCCTGCCTATCTCTTGCTGAGTCGAAGAGAGAAAAGGGCAAAAAGAGCCATAGAGATTGATGTAAAACAGTGTGTGTGAGAGAGAGAGCAAGGCCGACTGATTGGTAGTACATGAGCTAGTACCCGCTTAAGAGCCAACATCAACATCGAGAACATATGCAACCAACCCTTAGACAAATGTCGACATGCATCCCTAACATGGACGAAAAAAAAGAGGACCCACACCCATCTTCCGCTCTGTAGAGGTGTGAAGAACGTGCAAGATTGGAGAAAAGAAGGGCTCTCGCATTTTGTTATTGTTTTTTTTCTCCTCTTTTGCTCTTCATCCTCCGTCCACTTGCCCTTCCCCTCATTCTGTCCGTCCGTATCTTTTTGAGCAATCAAAGCGGGCAGATTAGACCATTGGCAGCAGGGAAACCTTTTTTTGTCGTGTTTTGAACACCAACGACCAACGGAATGAGGGAAACTATAACTCTTTCTTCTTGTTAGCTTGGAAGTGGAAAATGAGATAGAAAACCTATGATGCAATCAGAGACTACCTAACCATTACAGAACCATTCTGGTAATGGTATTGGACGTGGGCATCCCAGCCCGCCAGGTACCCCCATCGCTTTTTAATCGTGCGCGCATGCTAGCTAACCAGCCATGGAAACAGCACATAAAGTGAGGCTCTTTGTTCTTCGATTACCGTTTGTTGTTTTCTGTGTCCGCTGGTTATTTTTTAGTGAGAAGAAACCCCGTTCCTGAACGCCGTTTGGACCCAACTTTATTTTACAATGACTTTTTCTTGTTGATGTTGTCATTTTCCGAAATAAAAAACAACAACAACGACGGTAGCAAAGAAGAAAACAAGGAGCAAACAGAATAAAAACCAATGACACCTTCGCATGTTGTATGTCTCGTCCGATGAACAGTGAAAAGGCGGGTTCCCAATTCTCGAGTACTACATCTCTCGTTTTGCATTTTCATCATGTTTGTCCGAATAATTATGACGGAGACAAGGTTGCGAAGCCCTGGCACAAAACAACGACAAAGACAAAGACAAAGACAAAGGAGGTGCGAACAATGTACGTGATGTAAGATGAACTACACTTCGGAAGTCGACAACTGCAAGAGCAGACACACACACACACACACACACACACACACACGAACAAATATCTCATCCCCCTGACCTCCTTTATCTCACCTTCGTTCAACAAAGAGATGGGTCTTCTCCATCACGTCTCTCATGCCCAATGGCTACTCTTTTTCCATCTAGCAGGAGCAGAAAGGGTACCCACCACATGCAAAAGTTTGAGAGCATCTTTCTTTATCCCTTCCTGTCACTCTTCTTCTTTCTCCATTGTGGCTCCTTCCCCCCTTCAACTTATCACGACAGATCTCTTCACCATTGACCACTCGACCTTTTTTTGCTCATTGAAACATGCAGAAGCAACGACATAAACAACAAGGAAGAATAACCTTTTTCGCGTCTCTCCACCTATCCTCTCTCGCCCGCCCTCCTCCTCTACTCCCATATCCCTTCTCCATTCTCAACAATAATAATATTGGAAAGGTACAAGACAAGGTTCTCACCAATCCGTCCCCACGCTAACTCAACCATCCCCTATCCCTATTAGTTGCGCCTACACGCTAAATTAAAATGAAATAACTTGCTTTTCAGCCGTTAGACCGATTATCGTTGACCCGCTTACTTCATTTGTGGGGAGGGTCTTTTGTGGTGAGTGTAGGATGATGATGAGTGTTGCCGTTCGTTTTGTAGTTTTTCATTCCAAAACATGAAACGCCATTCTTTTCTTCCCGTCGCGCACAAACAGTAAAATGAAGGAAAGAGGGGAATGGGAAATATTAGGAGAAAAAACCCTTTGCGTTTTATCGTGTCTCGTGTAAAGAACAAACCTTTTGTCCTTTTTTTTTCTTTCTTTGGTTTCCTTTTGTTCTATGTTCTGAAGAGTGGAAGGAAGCAAGAGGCGAGGACTACATATATGCGACTTTGGCGTTTTTGAAGAAAAATGAAAAAAGGACACGTAATTCTCGATGCCTTCGCTTCCGCGACAAGCTGAACTTTTTATTGTACTTTTTCCTGGTTGGTTACAACAAAGAAGAGAAAAAAAAAAAATTGTTGAGATTTATGGACGCAGGTCTTCGTCAGGAGGCCTTGGTGAGGTTACAAACAGGATCCTTGACATCAAGACAAAACTCAGCTCATCGGGCAGGGCTGCCATCCTGGTCACTTCTTTGAGAGCCCATAACCTTTATTGTTCAGGCGCGAGTGGGCTGCTGCTTGTGATCCAATTTGCAAAGCGGAGGCAAACCCAATTCCAGCCAATCAGAACCTTTCCAAGTCACGTGCAGCACGTGATATTCGTCATTGTGAACGTCTTTACTCCTGCAAGCTATATCCTCAGAGACTGATTGGTTTCAGTCAGTCACAGGCTCCCATAGCGTAGTGGTTAGCGCGTCACTCTTACTAAGTGAAGATCGGCGGTTCGAACCCGTCTGAGAGCAGGAATTTTTGTTTTTTGTTGAATTTTTTGAGGCGTGTGGACCGTCGGTGTAGAGTTACTTTTGTACGATCGATGTTGTTCCTTTCTTTTCAATCTTTTTTCCATGTATAAATGCGCCACGCTAGCGTTCGCTTTGCTGATGTGCAAAAAGATTTGTTTTTGTTCGTTGATATTTTCTTATCCAGAAAGACGTGAAGGATTTGTGCCAGGTCCCAGACGGGAAAATATTTTCAAGGAACCATCAATGAGCAAAGCAAGACTGATTGAAACGGCCTGGGTCTAATGATATTTCATGCAAAATATTCTCCTTTCATTTAAGACGACGCTTCAGTATGTTTGTCGAACAAACGAACGAACGCTAATGCTAATTGCCAATGCCTCCAATGCCTCTTATGCTGTTAAAGATAGATTCATGAACTACGCTTGGCCTCTTGACGTGCTAAACAGCAAGGGGAGGGAGAGGGAGAACTACACCAAAGTACTGACCATTCTGTCAAGTCTCTCCTACCGGGTGAATATCCTTCGCTGGCTGTGTGATATTATTGCTGTGATCTATTTTTGAATCATAAATGTGCGATTCGTAAGAAATGGCCTGGGCACCACACAAACGCTAGAAAAATAATGTGAACCCTGGGTGAGCTGTTCATGTACCGGTACAGGTAACACTAGCGGAAGAATGTTAGCCCAAGGGTGTGCTGTAAAGTGGCCCTGCCATCATCAGCCATCCAGCTTGTCAACATTGCCAGTCTGGTCAATTGCCGATATGAACAAGGATGAGTGATACGCTAGAGGAATAGGAGATAGTTGTCCTCCCCTTTATTTTTCCGTCATGAGGGCTGTGATGGGAGTGTCTGCTGTCTCCTCCGTTCCTCCCCTTATCTCATTGTCCATGTCCGTGTCATGCCGTATGTCATGTTTGTATGTGTGTGCACCTTGTGGTCCCTGAAATGTGAGAGTGAGAGTGTGGCGAGACCGACGAATGGGGCCTGTCAGACATGACATTCTACTCCACAGCCCACACCACTTTGTTATTTAATTGACATTTCATCTCACTATTCCTTTTGGGCGTTGTTTCTTTCTTCCTTTCTTCCTTCTCTCTCTCTTTTCCTTCCTCTTCTCAAACACTTCTCCACACCCCTCTTACTTCACTTTCCTTCCTCACTCTCTTCATTCACCACCCCATCCTCATTCATTCATTCATTCATTCATTCATTCATCCATACAGCGCCAATCAATCATGAGATTCACATTCATCTCCTCAGCAGTCGCACTCGTCGCCTCAACCCTCCTCCTCAACGGCGCAGAGGCCCAACAACTCTGCAACGGCTACGCAGACCTCTGCGCAAAGACATACGACCAAGTCGCTTACGCCACCACCCACAACGCCTTTGCCTATACCCCTCCCGGCGCTCTGGCCGCCAACCAGGACAACGATATCCCCACACAGCTCAAGGACGGCATCCGCGCTTTCATGCTTGACGCCTATACCTCCCCCTCGGGCGCTACTAATGATATCGAGTTGTGCCATTCTTACTGTAAGTCCTTTTTGCTTTCTTGTTTGGATGAGAGGGGCAATTGGTTTATCCGTGGTGAATAGGAGGGCAGTGAGCCTGAGGAGAGAGGAAGAGGGGCGTGGCGTCGTTGGGGCTGTGTGCTTGCAGGGTGGAGTTTTGCGCCTTTCTTTTTTGAGAGATTGATGGGGGAGTATGAACAGGGGTATGATAATAATACGATCAAAGCCCAACACTGCCCCTCCTTCCTTCTTCTGTCTTTTTTTCTGCTCGTACTTTTCGTTGTTCCTGTGTGCTCCCGGGTATAGTCACCTCTGCAAAAATAGCGACAGCACTAGTAGCTTACTAAACGCACACTACTATCCCCTGTTACCTATACATAGGCAGCCTTCTCGATGCGGGTCCATTGTCTACAGTCCTTGGACAGTTCAAGACATTCATGGACCAGAACCCTAACGAGGTAATTACATCTTTCATCCCTTGAAGCAATGGAAACAAGGAAGCAATCAAAGAAGCCAACCAACCAACCGTCAACAATGTATACCAGACAGGAAAATTGCCTTTTCCCTAATATCGATCTCAAATGAAACGCAATTCTGCTCATGCAGGTCGACTAACCTCCTTTTTTCAAATAATTACCCGATTGACATGCACATAGGTCATCACGATCTTCTGGGAGAACGCTGGCAATCTCACACCCGCTCTCTTCCAGGTACGCAAACGCATTGCAGGGACAGGGCAGTTGTTTTCTTGAGGAACAAGGAAGCATTGGACCAGCAAGAGTGCTTTCAGCCAGACTAACAACCCATCTTTCCATCAATTTCAACCATTAGACTGTGTATCAAGCCGCGGGAATGACTCCTTACCTTTATACCCAGGCAACAGGAAACACCACATGGCCTACTCTCGCTAGCATGATTGCTAGCAAGAAGCGACTCCTGAACTTTGTCGACGGCGGTGCCGATGCCAGCGTCCCATGGTACACAACTTTCCCGTTACGATAGCTTGAGGCCATTTGACGCTTTGTGCTTCTATGAACTCTTCCCCTAACAATTATGCATTCGTCTTTGGATAATAGGTTGATGGAAGAGTACAACTTCATCTTTGAGACACCTTGGCAGATCACCAAGGGATCCGAATACCCATGCACCATCGACCGTCCAAAGGACCAGGAGCGTGGAGTAAGTTTCACTACTGTTTTTTTGTTCTACCAGTTCGCCTGTGTTACTAATAACATTGACTTTACCCCATCCAAGTAACAAAAACTAACATCTTGCTCTCTTTACCCCTTCAACTTGTAGATGTATGTGATGAACCACTTTATTTCGGGTCAAGTGACATTGGGCAACCAAACAATCGACGTCCCTCAATCATCAATTGCAGCACAGACAAACACAGCCGACCTGGCCTCGCACGCCAACAAATGCACCCAAACCTTCAACAAGATCCCCAACTTTGTTGCCGTCGACTTTTATGAACAGGGATCTCTCCTCCAAACTGTCGCCCAGTTGAACGGGGTCACCTGGAACGGTAAAGTTGCTACCCCTGCCGCTGGAACTAAAAGTAGCGCTGCCGCAGGAACGATTGTTGGTGCTTCTTCTGTGGTTGCTAGTCTGGCAGCAGCAGCAGCAGTCTTTGCATTGTAAGTACGGCGATAGAACTAGCGCATAGATAAGGGGCCAACAAACGCAAAAACCTCACACAACCAAGAATAGACACACCCCCAAAAAGCACATGTATTACCTTGTAAATAAACATTCAGTAAAACAACGACATACCTACTTACAGTCGACATTCGCTGTCGCGAGGCAGACAGGCTAAAGGCTCGCGTGATGATAACTGCATCGTTTTGTCATTTAGTCGCGTGCATGGTCCGTCGTGGAGTGGGCCAGGCACCTCTCTCTCTCTCTCTCTCTCTTTCTAAAAGAGATGGGAGACCGACCCCGTAAAAGCAGGTTCCTTTCTCTCTTCTCCTCCTCCTCCCCTTATTAGCCTGAGAGATTATTTTGCAATACTTAAGAGGCGAAAGCACCTACAAACAAAGAGACGCCAAGCGGACCACACAACCACCCCGTGGATTTTGTCAATTTTAAGAGCGTTCTCCTCCGTCAAGAAATGTCACCTCGTCCCCCTTTTGGTGGACACCCTTTCGGTCTGAAGCAGTAGATAGGCGTTCGCCTAAGAGAACGCGTTAACCCACACCACAAAGGGATAGGAGTTGCTCGTCTGACCAAAAAATAGAAGATGGCGTCCATTGGGTTCATGAAAGGGGGTGAGAGGGCTCTCTCTCTTTTCTTGGGAGGGGCCTTTGAATTGACTCAACCCCGCATTTTTTTGGTATTTGATCCGTGCGGGAGGCGCTTTCTTTCTTTCCCTTTGGCATTCTTGCTTTGCACAACTCGGCTTTTTTGCCATTTCGCTTTTTGCTTTGTATAACTTACGTCCCTGCAGTAGCTCTATGCATCGTGTCCTTTGCTTTTTTTTTTAGCGGTTAGGAAATAGGACTAAATCGCACACGCAATTACACTGCTTGTGCGTTTCTCTCTCCATTGGTATATGCAATATTCTCAACTGCAATCACACATGCATGGCTTTTAACATCGTTGAAAAGCACGCGTCAAGGTCCATTGATTTTGACAAATAGAGAGAGATAGATTCTTGGCTTGCTTTTTTGCATTGACATGGCTGTTACTGTTGCATAAGTTTTTGGAAACGAATCAATGATTGATGATGGGAAAGGAGACACGGAGATGGGTTCTTGGTTGTTGCAGTTGTTGCAGTGGCTCTCACCACTCTCACCACTCTCACGAATCAATTATCCTTTCGAGAACCCCCTTTGGTTTTCCTTTCTTGCTTCTGTAACGATGGCGGGGCCACATAACAAGGCACCTCCTTGCTTTTCCTTCTCCATGTCCATATTCATGGAGGACCAAGGGCTTACCGGCGCGCACCATTTAGCCCATTATTACAATGGCTATTTGGGAGAGCGAGGAACGGAAAATGTATACAAAGCAAAGCAAAGCCTCTTCGCTTACTTTTGTTCAATCCTAGCCTGCCTAACCGTTCTTCCAAAAGAGAGTTCGATGCTTGGGGGGAAACAACAAACGGAAAGAATGGAGAGACATGTATATTTTTGTGTTTGTGTTTTGTGAGTACACATACCCCTTCATTCAAAACGATATTCTCCTTTTGATCTGTTACACTTTGCCCTTTGCCCTTTCGCTTACTATAAACACTCCTTCTTTGTTCAGGCACTTGCCGCTTTCTCTCTCTTTTCTTTTCTTTCACCCTTCTTTGTTCATCTCACCACTTCAGGTCCCCATCCGCTCTGGCACAATAATAAATACCTCCTTCTTCCTCCCCTTCCCTCCTCTTTACTTGAACACATCCCTTACAGATCCCCAACCCCTCTTCTTCTTTTCTTCTGGTTCCTCTGCTCCTCCTCATCCATTATTCACCCCTTCCGTTTTCCCTCTCTCTCTCTCTCTCTCTCTTTCTCTTCCTCTTAGCCTTTTTAAACCTGTTCAGTTCTTCAATTTGTCATTCTCTTCTTCCTACTTTCTTCCTTGTCAACCTCGCCATCCTCCTCCTTCAACTACGCCCCTAGTGTACCCTTACAACAACCAACCTACCAAACCCCATTAAACCCTTCTATCCACCCACCCCCCGTACCTCCCACCGACACCAAACCTACCCACAATGCATCTGACGCCCCCAACACTGGCCGCAGTCCTCGTCTCGACCCTCGCCCTCCTCTCCCACCTCACACCCACTGCCGAAGCCCACTCCTGGGCCGATTGCATCGACTGGCACTTCAAGAACCCCTCCCACGAAGCCTGGGGCGCCTCCGACGGCGAATGTAAAGGCTATGCCCGCCGGTTCCCTGAAGGCTCTGAATTCGGTGCCCTCGACCATGCCAACCCCTCCCGACACTACCAACAGAAACTGGAAATCAAAGGTGATACCGACTCTGCCTTGCCTTGTTCTGATCACAAACATGGCAAAGATGTGGGAGCGGATGAGACGAAGGGCGATCCAGTCGAGAGTGCGTATGGTGGCAAGTATGGGCCCATGACACATACGCGGGTCGGTGATACACTGTGTGTGCGTTGGCCGGCCAAGAACCATGCGGAGGATAATGAGGATGATGATATGATGGTGTTGATTAACCTGGCACAGAGGGAGGGCAAGGATCCGACCCAGAAGGAATTGACCAAGAGTAAGGTGGCTGAATTGCCATACAAGAATTGTGATAAGGGCAAGAACCCGGATCGGAGACCTTGTGGTGGGTGCTTTAAGGTACCCATGAGGGCGAGTGGAACTTATTTGTTGCAGTGGAGGTGGATGTTGAATGAGGGCGAGTGGTATACTTCTTGCGCTGTAAGTTATTTTGTTAGAGTAGCTGTGCTTGTGTGTGTGTGTGTGTGTAACCGACGACGCGTGTTTGTGTAAATTTTTTAGCATTGATTGGCAACTAACGACGCGTTTTCTTATTTCTTTTTTCCTCTACCTTTCATCCGTGTGTAGGACATCCAAATCGGCGATTCGGGCCGCAAGTAAAAACAGCAAACTCCACCTCTCCATTCTCTGACGGCGTCTTAGTCCAGCCCTACTCTTTTCATTCTTTCCCCAGCAACAAACATTCACGCAGATCTATACATTTTTTTTTCTCAAAGCAATTGCATGGAGGGGATACAGAAGTGTTTCCAAGCCCCCCTCCCTCTTGTTCCCACTTTGCTATGTTCAATCAAGTATATCTATCATACTTATATCGTACGCGCACATTAAAGAAATTATTTTTTCACGTAATCTACCGGTCCATTGGCGACTCTCAATGGCTATGATGGGCTACCCATTCATATATTTTTTTGTCCTTTGGCGCCGAGTCCTAGGACAAACTTTCTTTGACTTGCAGCAAAAGTAATTAACTGTATGAAATTGAGACATGGGGAGGGCTGTTTGGTTTTGTCTGTTTTTAGGGTGTGCGTGTGTGTGTTTGTGTGTGTGTGTGTGTGTGTGTGTAAGAAAGTTTGCTGCATGGTGCAGTCCGGAAGAATGGACTACATTGGGGGGGGGGGGGGAGGGGGGGGGGGAGCACAGGAATAAGATGTGTAAACCAATTGTCCTTCATTCTTCATTTCTTGGGCGCAACACGCTCCAATGGTGGGATCTGTGAGAAGTCAATGGTTTCCCATCATGAAGATAGTAAAGAATGGCCAACTGGTGGGCAGGAGTCAAACAAGTTGTTCGAGCAAGAGGTTCACGTATGATGACGAAGATGACGATAGGTTTTTTTTAGGGATGTGTTGCTAATTGAACTATGTGTGTCTTTGTCTTTCATTTTCAACATCAGAGAAACATCCATGGGTCGGTGAAGCATAAGGTGATCGCGGGTAACATTCGTGGGGAAAGCTGAGGTATGGGTGTTTTGGGTACGCCCAGTTCGCAAGAAATCTCAATTGAGAAAAAGAGGTGGAGTTTTAAAGGCGGCAAAAAGGAGCAAGACACAAAGGAATGAGTATGTTGTCTTGTTTTGTGAGCGACGTGAGTTCAATTCGATTCAGGGCGTACAGTAGTTTTTTTTTTTTTACTGGTTGCACACAACAATTGGCCTGGGCATCACGCAGGATTTGGAAGTTGGCGTTCGCTATGGGGCGCGGTGTATGTAGAAAGAAGGTACTGTACTCTCGCGATGTGCATGAAGGTATGAACGTGTCCCAGGAGATTTTTTTTTTTTTTTTTTTTTTTACATTTCATGCGGCATGAAACCCATGCGCCCTATTATTACACGCAACCTACCTTCCCTACTTCTATCTTCTTTAAGAAGAGTCAATCGTACATAGGAAAGGTGAACCTTCTGCTCTGTAAAATGACGAGACGGGGTTTTTCCGACATGCAGTGACAAAGAAATAGGTTCTGATAAAATTAAAATGAGTTCTCTTGCTCTCTACCTGTTTATCGTCGCTCCTTCTATTTCATCTCTGTGTTCCCACTGCATGGAGGAGGTGGGAGGTGCTCTGGATAAGATGAGGAGAGGTGAAGAGAGGCGCGCCTTGACCCAGTCAGCATTTTGGTTCCCACCCTCTCGAGCCTGGAGCTCAGTTGTTATTCTGCAATTTCCTTGCCCTAAGCAGAAACTCGAGATACTCCCATTTCCAAATGTCCTGCATCCACTTTCTTCTTCCCTTTAATAACCCCCCCTCTAGTTCTACTGACCTCCCTAGCAACAGCAGCAGCACCAGCATCAAACCAAGCAGGCGAGAAGCTTGCATATTCATAGATCTGTTCCTATTTTGGCGCCGGCTAATTTTTTTTCTTCTCCTTACGCCTCCTCCCCTTCTACGCCGCAATTGCACTCTCCAGCCTCTGCATGCGTGCATTGCATTAACAGGGACATACAACAACACAGTAGTAGCGTAGACAACAAAGCAACATCAACAACAAGTATTATCTATTTTTATTTGCGATTAGAAAAAGAACGCTAGTGCGGATCTCTTCCTCTTCCTTCAGACACAGGGAATGTGACCATATCAAAGAAACCAGATTATTGAAATTTGTGCGACAAACAAAACAGCCAGCAATGCTGTACGAATGAGATGGTGGCGGTGGTGTCCATTAGGCCTGCCATTGGGGGATGCGATTCTTGAACAATTGGATAAGACCCCAACCAGAGTCCAAAAACAGATGCGGGCTAAGAAGGATTGGTTGTTTCCTTTTCGTGGCATTAGGGAAGAGGGACGGAGAGAGAGGAGGCTAAAGCATGTTACTGGTTTCTTTTTTTGGCCGTTGCTATTGCCATAGCTGCTGATGATAACCATCTTGTCCTCATTCCAACCAAAAAAAAATAACGTTTGTCAAACGAATAGGGTTTTTTGTTCATTTTTGGTCCTTCTTCCTCTGGTAGACCTCTCTTTGAGCCTTTGTTTGTGTAATCTCTCTTGTTCACAAAAGTGCTCATAAGCGAGGAAAGTGGGGTGAAAATGAAAAAAGAGGAGGAAAGGACGTTGTGCTTGTTCTTTTCCCGTCGTTCCATTCTTCTCATCACAAAATTAAAGAGCTCTTTTGTACGGACAGGACTGCAAAGTACCAACAGAATAATGGCAAGGATAGGAGGAATTGTGTTTGTTCATTGGGCCAAGGTAAAGAAAGGTGAACTTGCGGGAGGACTTGGCCACAGCAAAACGGCCTGGAGTAAATAGTCAAAAATGAAAGACCCATAGATGGCCCTTTTTTTTTTTTTTTTCCTTTGTGCAAGGGAAAGAGAATCAAAGAGGCGGCCGTCGGGCTTCACCCTTCCCTCGATCGACCAGCGAACAACAAAGAACAGCAGATTGGTATCCAATTGTTCGTCCGTTCCTGAAAAAAAATGCTCTCCTCTCTCAACAGCCAACAAAAAGTAATGAAAAGCAATTTGTGCTAGCGTTATTTGTCTTTAACCTTGTCCCCCACCCTTTGGCCCTGGGTAATCTTTTTCATCTCGGACGTTTTTTTCGTTCTTTTGTGTGCGTTGGTACTTGTCTTGTAGTATGGTATATGGCATGGTATGGTATGGTAGCCAGCAACCCTCACGGTTATCTGTCAGCGTGCCTGCCATGCCTTTTCATTTCCTCTTATTGGTACCATTGAGCTCGCGTTCAATTGATGATATCAAGGGTCTAGACAAAAACAGAGAAAGCGATCCTTTCATTGCCGCGTCTCATATCCTGAGGGTTGAATAGACCTTCGTCGACGAGCACTAGAGACGAAAGTCATGCCACCTAAGATGGAGGAGGAGGAGGAGGAGGGGGAGGAGGAGGGAACCCTAACAGCCTACTTGTTCACGTTCTAATTTCCTGGCCCCCTTTTCACTCTGTGCTCATCGGTGTCGTCGTCGCCATCGTTGTCCTCTGAATAGACGATTGATATACACGGTAACAAACCACCGCGGTGTGGTTAATTACCGAGGAGGGCAAGACCCACATACCGGGATTATCAAATTGTTTTGTTTGTGTTTGAGATTGGAAAAATTAGGAGTCCTCTTTCTCTCTTTCGTCGTGTTACTAAATAACCAAAAAAGAATCGTGTGTATGTGCTTGTGAGACGTCTGTGAGTAAGCGTTGTCGTTGGAGCCATTATTCGCCATCAGAGATGTATTTTGTCATCAAAGCGAGAAGAAAATAAAAACAACATTGGGCGATCTCTCTTTTCCCCTCTTGGATGCATGTGTCTTGAATGAGTGGCTGCTTGCTGTTGCTTGTCCTGTTTGTTTATGTCAGTCCTGCCCTATCTATTTGTTCTCTCGGTATGTTGGCATAGACATCTGGTAAAAGGAGAATAGATGAGGAGATACAAGGTCCAGAACACAGACAAGCGAAGGAAAGGGAGGTCGTTTGGATCCTTTATTATCAACAAACGCTCTCAACATATGCCCAGACTTCAATCAAAGAAAACACCACACTACCACCCTTGTCTTATGACCATACACAGGTCAATGAATTGTAACTAGGAACGAAAGGAAGAGCAGGTACAAAGATGAGAGGCACCCAAGCAGGCTTAACTAACCAGAACGAATGACCTCTTGAGCGCACTCACAACAGTTGCGGTCGTCGTTTGGAAGAGGAGGAATTTATTACAAAAGAAGTGGGTGGGGAGAGCACTCGGGTTAATATTTTGTGGTGCCCTGTGGCCCGTTTTCCAACTCCACTCGTTCATTATTTATTCCTCGGGGGCAGGGTATGAGTGTGTGTGTGGCCTGGCCGGTATTGCATGCATGCAGCTTGTTGTCCTTTTGTTAATTACAAGGAAGAAGGAGATGAGAAATGAAATAGCATGGAGGAAACAGAAGACAGATTGGGTTGCGGGCGAAAGTTATGGGCGACCTCAGGTTTTAGGCTAACGGAGTATCCATCGTTCAGGGCCCATTTCTTCTTTTATTCATGATAGTTTTTATGAACTGGAATGCTATCTATTGTCTTCAACGGGTACTCACACCATCGCATGCAACAATCAAATAGTGCCATTCGTTATTCCTCCTTGCTCCCTTTCTTTTTTTTTTTGTTATTTTGTATTGCTTTTTGTTTTTATCCATTCTCAATGAATTGCTCAAAAATAAAAACAACGCTAGAGATTTCAACCAAGGGCTGGTCCATTTTGCCTCCAACTCAGTCCGCGTATTTTCTGTTTGTCTCTTGGTACTATAACGAATGCTCTCAAGTTCAAACCACCAAAACACCCAATGAATTCAATAGTGGGTATGGGTCATCTCTGTTTTTACTTTTCTCTTTGTTATACATCTTTTTTCCCCGGGGTAAAAAAAAAAGGCCTGACTGACTATTCGATTTAATTGAATGGTTTACCAGGGCATGCTTTCTCGTTCTTTCCCCTGCTTTTGTTCCTGAGGAGAGGAGTTGAGGAGGAGGAGGGGAGTATAAAAGAAAGGGCATCCCCACGGTCATTGAAATCTTCGTTCATCCCCATTCCTGTCTTCTCACACCCCTACCGCTATACTACCTAGCACCCCAATACCCTAACCTCCCTTCTCACATCCTTCTCGAAAAACCAACCCCTTACCCCCCTACCCTCTCCTCTCTCTCCATCTACATCTATCATCATGGTTCTCAAGTCTTCCTTCACCATCCTCGTCGTCGCCACCTTGGCCGTCTTCTCCTCCTACACCCCTCAGGCTGAGGCTCACTCGTGGGCTGACTGCATCGACTGGAAGTTCAAGAAGAGCGGTAAGCAGGACTGGTCCGACAAGGGAGGCAAGTGCACCGGTTACGCCCGTCGCTACCCCCTTAACAAGGCCTTTGGCTCCCTCGACTCTGCCTGGCCCAACCGCCACTACCAGCAGGTCCACAAGAACCCCAGCTCTGCCTTGGCTTGCTCTAACCGCAAGGCTGGTGCCGAGCCCGGCTCTGACGAGACCCGTGCCAACCCTCCCTCCAAGGCCTATGGTGGCAAGTACGGTAAAATGACCGTCACCTCCGTCGGTGATACCCTCTGTGTCCGTTGGCCCGGCAAGAACCATGCTGCCAAGGGTCAGAAGAGCAGCAAGGTCCAGATCAACTTGTCCAAGTCTAAGAACGCCAAGGATATCTCCCAGAAGGAGTTGCTCAAGAACACCATTGCCCAGCTGAACTTCTCGAACTGCAACTCTGGAAAGAACGAGGATCGTCGTCCCTGCGGTGGTTGCTTCAAGGTTCCCGTCCGTGCCAAGGGTATCTACCTTCTCCAGTGGCGCTGGATGTTGAACAAGGACGAGTGGTACACCTCTTGCGCCGATATCCAGATCAAGTAAATTGCTTTCTTAGTAGTTCTCTTTTTCTCGTGGTCGGGAGTTTGAGGGGTGAAGAAAAGAGAGAGGGGGGAGCTCAACATAACCGGTTTCGAGTGTCGATTCTGGCTTTGCCGCCCTTCTCGCTTACCCCTCTCTTTTCATTCACTTTCCTACTCTTTACTCGTTCTCACATTTTTTAAACCCCTTTTTTGTACGATAACTCTACCTACCTTTTTCATTCTTTTCTCTTTGCCGGTCAATAAAAATCGAATGAACCCGAAGGGGGCATTTTCTCATACAAAAACAACAACTCTTTACCTTGTTCGCATGCATGTTTGTTTGAGTTGAAAAAAAAAGGTGGAGTGAGGGTTTTCTCTACTGGTACGCATATTTGCTCTTTTATATCTCGTTGTTCTTCAGGTTTCTGGTTCGTGTTGTTAAAGAGCTCTCAGAAAAAAAAAAAAAAAAAAAAAAAGAGGCGAAGATATAACAAGAAGGAAGCGAGGAGGAGGAATAGAGCCCAACGGTGCCCATGACTAAAGGACTCCGATTTAACGCGTGAAAAATTAAGAGGTTGCAGTGTCCTTTGCGCTCGATTTATTATCGCGCCCTTCTTGCTCTCTTCTCCATTGGACTCTCTCACTTTGCTCTTTTCTCCTCTTCTCCATTGCTCCAACAGGTGTGGACCCCCATGGAGTAGAAGAGAAAATCATTGTTGTTGTTTTTTTTTCTTTCGTTCACAAAAAAAAAAAAAGCTCTCAAGAAATCAACAAAAAACTCCCCCCGGCCTGATAGCCTGGCTGCTTCCTTGGTAAACACTCTCTTTACCGGTGAATAAAGGACACAAAGGACACAAAGGACACAAAAGGACATCAATTCACTATTGCATGTGCATCCAAACAAAAAAAAAACAAAAAAAAAAAAACAGACAGCACAAAACAGCAAAGTTTAGGCGCACCTTCTCTCTCCTTCTCCCCTATCCCCCCCCTCCCCTCTCTCTTCCTCATCCTACTACAGTTTTGTTCAATGGTTCGTTTTCTCCACCCCCACAAAAACTACCACAGAAAATGAAAATGAATTAAAGACATCAATTAGCACTCAAAAAATGGCGATTCTCGCCCGAAACACACATATATACATCCATATCAGATCGTCGTGGGGGTTTGCTCCACATTGTTTGTTGCTCTGATACAGTGATGCGTGGGTCAAAAGCACAAAGGAGGAAAAAAGAAAGGAGCGAGCGAGCGAGAGAGAGAGAGAGAGAGAGAGAGAAAGAGACCGGCAGAACAGAAATCAGAGACCGAGAGAAGGAAAGATGCAGAGAAGTGAAAGAAGGAGGGGTGCAAGACAGTCTCGGTGCCGTAGATTGTGCAAGGATCGACACCTCTCACCTGCAATGGCACATTTCACTTCAGATCCTTCTTCTGTCCCTTTCTTTTGTCTCTCATACGAGTGCTATGAGAAATGAATTAAGCAAGGAAAGGTGAAAAACGTTAATGCGAAGGCTGAAATTTGATATGCGAAAGAAGAGAACATTCTTTGCTGAGAAGAACAAGAAGCGGGGCATATGTTTCGATTCCATAATTTCACTCCGTGTAGGTCAAATTGGTTGCCCGATCCATGACCCATGATGCGTTCTACGATTCATGGAAGAAACTACGGCGCACGCTCTTTTTTTATTCATTCCTAGTCTACACCTACTCCACAACACCCTACCTGCCCTACATACATCGACACAGCAAAAAGCACTCCAGGAAGGACCCTGAACAAAAAAAACAAACCCCACTAGCAACCCTACACTGCCACCTAGCATCAGACCCTTCGTCACCCTCAGCATAACAATGCCACATACATGAGAGCAGCTGGAACCTCACCATCAAAAAACACTGACCACCACCATCCTGCACTGCCACCTTGGGGTCCTTCCTAATCACCAATGGAACGCATCCACCACCCAGCTCGTTGCGCTCAATAATTGCTCACAGAATTAGTCATACAGCCCATATCCAGGGCCATAGCTAGAGGTGCTCCTGCCGGTAGCAGTAGTGGTCCGGGGCACGAGATAAAACTCCACCGTTTCCACGCAGTCGATACAAAGTATTGCATGACAGCACGGTAACACATCTCGATTCCCACTACTACTACCACCACTAACCCGCGTCGTCGTCGTCGTCGTACGCAACTCACAACCCCGACAAATCAACAGACCTGGAAAAAGACGAGATCGCGATTCCATTGCCTCTTGAACCTCCGTCGCGTGTCGAAGCATCACTCGTTCCAACTTTCTGTCCACCCTTTCCAGCTCCGTGTACGTGTCTGCTGTCGCTGTGTCTTTGTCGGTATACGGCTCGATTGCTTCTATCAGTCCGTCAGGGGATCGGGGTGGTGATGGTGGGATTGACCATTCGGTCGTAGCACCAGTCCTAGGATTGTTGCCTGTCATCGAAGAAGTACGCCCTGGACTGGTCAGCAAAGGAGGATCAGGCTGGTTCTTGAGAGATGGGACGACACAGAAATCCCGCGCGTTGTCTTTGCACCATTGACAGAGATGCATCGCAATCCCAGGATACTCCGTCATATCGATTTCTTTATAGTTGCTGTACTGCTGCCAGGCGGGTACATCAGAGTCGTTCTGCGTCGGCATTAGACTTGACCAATGGTCTTGAGCAGCATCCTCCATGATCGATGTCACCTCGGCCACATGCCACGCGACAGTTTCCTCCAACTCCTTGTCCAACCCCATTAGTTTACTTGCACCGTTCGTCTTCCTGGTACCGTCCTGCGGTTCCTGTTGTTCCTGCATCAGTTCCCCATTCGGTAGAATCGACGGTGCGTGTTCCAATGTTCCAAAGTCCCGGACAGTCAAAAGACGTGATGGTGGTGCCCCAGCTGGAATTGTTGGAATCGGTGAGGATTTGGTGTGTGCTAATGTTGTTGTTCTGGAAGATCGCCTGGTTGAGGTCTCGCCAAGGGTCAAGGATCTCTGGATACTCGACACCATGAGATCCGACAGGCGAGGAGAAGAAGAGGAGACACTAACACCGGTACTCCCAGGAGGCAGCCGTGAAACGGGAGAAGGCGCAGAAACAGGACGAGACGACGATAAGCGACTAGACCGGGACGACTTGGGAATAGGCAGCGACGGCGAGTGGGAAGAAAGTTTCTTGTCAGAAGAGAGTTTCTTGTCAGAAGAAAGAGGCGGTGAGAGACGTTGGGCGAGCCACTCGTTGTTCTTGATCCGACTGTGAATCGGGGCATGATGCGACCAAAAGATCGCAATATCGATCGAGATGGAGAATTTGCACTTTGAGATCTTTGCACCCAACAATCCGAGTCGGCTTCGGTCATGGTCATGGTAGGCATAGAGGTTATCGTTTGGATTTGGGTCGACTATTTCGTATTGGGGGTCCGTGAAAGCTCGTCCTCGACAAACGACCAAGAACTGCTTCTCCTTGGATAGTGGTCGGTAGGGCGATGCTATTGTGGGTCCTTTGGCGATGACAGCCTCCGCTCCACAATCACAACTGATCTTGTGGAACAATTTCAGACCTAGACCTGTGTTGCTGCTGCTCTTGTTGGGGGTGACATGGGTAGTGCGGTTGAAAGGAAAAGAAGTAGGCAAGCCGGTGTTGTTGTTGGTAACAGAGGATGGGGAGATATTATTGGAACTGTTGGCGACACTGGTCTTGACTTTGTTACCCAGCCACCGGACAACCGAAAAGTTGAACACTTCACACTTTGCCTGCCTCGCCGTCGCAAGAATCTCGTCCAAGCCCACGGTCTGCATGTGGTGCCATTCAAGAGCGTGCATATGAAACCCGCACACCTTCTGCCTATCTGACGATGACAGACCTTGGAAAGTGGCCATCCGACCCAACTCTCCACCCACCGGTGCCGTTGCTGCAGTGGCTGTTGTCATTCCTCCCATCGTCCCGTTCCCGTTCCCGTTCCCGTTCCAGGTCCCCATCGGCACTGCCATCCTTGCTTCCCGACCAGTAGACGACGACTTTTTGTGTGACCGCCAAAGCTCCACCTTGTCGGCCTTCTCTGTCTGATGGAGCAACAGACGTGGCAACCCTGTCCTCAGTCCAGAACCACGATCCTCCATATAGTCCTTGGCGGTCGTCATGATACACGTCGTCGTCGTCGTCGTTGCCGTCGTTCCTACGCTATTGCGCTGTCGAGAGCAAACAAAAAAAAAGACAATACTTCGTCAGAAGACATGTTCATTCCTCCTTATGTTCTATCGACTTTGTTTCCTACGGTTGTCGTATGTCGTCCCAGAAAAAAAAAGAGAACAAAAAGCAAAACGAACATTTACCCCTTTGGCAGCACGGGCCAATACCCGCTCCTGATCCTCCTTACAGTCTTCACAGGGCTCCGGTTTGACCATCCCTCGTTGTTTCGGTGTGAAGTGGCATTCGTAGACCCAGTTTGTTTTGCGTATGTTAGTGTCGCCGGAGGAGGAAGAAGAAGAAGAGGGGGAGGAGGAGGGTTCTGGGTAAATGGAGACGGATGTGAAGCCGCAGAAGCATTTGGGGCGGGCGAAGTTGATATGGAGAGGGGATGGTTGTAGTTTTGGTTGTGAGTAGGAGGAGGAATATGAAGTGGAAGAGGAGGAAGTAGGCGTGGGTAAATTCATGCTATGAAGGTGGTGTGGGAGGGAAGAGTGTGGAAGTGGGATAAGGTGAAAGACGCGAAAAGAAGTGAAAGGAAGGAACAAATATCACCGCAAAAAGAAATTATGGGTAACTGATTTGATGCACATTGGAGAGACAAAAAAAAAGGAGTGATGTGGTGGTGGTATATAAAAATAAAACTGAAGAGATTAAGGGTAGATAGAGGTCCATCCATGCATCTTTGCATGCACATGGACGGAACGCAAAGCATCGCTTTGACTAAAAAAAAAAAAAAAAAAAAAAAAAAAAAGGACTAGTCTATCCATTCCTGCTCTCGTCGTTATTTCATCACCATCACCATCGCCATCACCACCGTTTAAAGATGATAGAGCATACGCTCACCCCTACAACACCTCATGAGGGACGACGTAAAACTCGATGCAGTCAAGACACTGCCCGCACAAAAACATGTGGCTGCATGGGAGCATATCCACATCCAGCTCTCGCAACTCGCATGACTCACATTCGAAAAAGAATGGGATCAACCACGAACGAGCCTCCGTAATCCGTTGAACTTGCTCCGCGTGTCGTGTCATCACCTCCTCCAGCTCCTTGTCAACTCGCTTAAGCTCCTGATCAACCTCCGCCTCAGCCTCAACTTGACAAGCAACTCCAGTGTCTATGTTAATATTCATTTCGACATCCAGTTGTATCAAATGAGATGGCGAAGGGGGTGGATGGTGGTGACTGTGGTGGTGGCGATGGCGTGGGATAACGCAAAACTCGCGTCCGCCTTGTTTACAGTCCTTGCACAGTTGCAATCTGACAGTCGGAGTAGCGTCCATGTCAACCTTCTTGTAGAACTGACTGCCTACATAGTCTTCCTGCATCTCGAACGAACAACCCTCCTCATCGACTGGTATCCTTGACTTTAGTACTTTGACATGTTGTGCCAGCGCACCATGCAGCTCATCGTCTAGTCCCTTCAAGTCGCACTTTTCCGGTGCCTGCTCGGTGTGTCGAACTTCTTCTATCCAACGAACAAATTGTTGGCGACTGTGCTCATCACTGATGTGGTCTCTCGCCTCCCGTTCCTGAATCTGACTCTGGTTGTCCTCGTTGTAGAGAAATGGAGTCGACCGCAGCCTTTCATTCCGCTCGAGGTATTGCGTAGTCACGAGTGGTCCTGGTTTTGATGAGATGACTGGCTGCTGCGACCTCGACCCTGTCGCCGGCAATCCCCTAACAGCCGTGACCGTCTGCTCCGAACTAGTCGAAATGTAAATGGGGCGAGGATGGGAAAGTGGCAAAGATGTAGGAGGCAAGAGCCACTGTGAGAGCCAGGCGTTGGTCTCGACTTTGGCATGGATCGGAACCCGGTTGTATCCAAAGTTGGCAATCTCCAACGGAACCCCAAACGAACACAGCTGACCCGGTAATCCCATCCCAGTCCCTGCAGGGACCACCTTCCTCCCTCTCCTGCTCGATCTTGATCCTGATCCTGGTCCTGATGTAGTCGTCGCCCCTAAGAACCCGGGGAAATTCCTATTCCCCATTTCACCACCACTTCCTCCACGATCTACAATCTCAAAAGACGACTTGGCCTCTGCGCGTGCTCGGCAAACAATCCAAAACTGCTTCTCCTGCTGCACCGAACTCGTATTGGTAGCAGCACCCCGATGACTGGAAATGGCGAGGGAAGAGGATAACGGAGTTGGTGGAGGAAGAACAGGAGCCCTGACTAGGGCAGCTTCCTTCTTGCAGAGACAGCCCATCTTGTGGAACAACTTCATGTCCATCCCCATGATAATCGACATTGCATCATTGTCCTTGCTCTCGCTCTGCATACCTGTGCTGCTTGTCCCTGTAGTTGTCCTGGCGCTGGTGCCGGTCGACGTTACGGGTTTCCTGATCTGCTCACCCAGCCATCGAACGACCGACTGGTTGAACACCGGACAGTGCGTCTTGTCTGCAAGACGGAGGATCTTGTCGATACCCACAGTTTGCATATGGTGCCATTCCAAGGCGTGCATATGAAAGCCACACACGCGGAGGTGGTCCAGTGGAGACAGGCCGTGGAATGCCGAAGGGTGATCGATATTGGCTCCGATGAGTGACTTATTGTCCTTGTTGTTTGTTGTTGTTGAGAAATGGTCGGGTGGCGATGATGATGGTCGAGGCCAGAGTTCGACGTTGTCGTACATGGGAGCCATGTGTCTCTTATACTGGCGAGATTTCTTGGCATTGCTTGCCGTCGTTGTTGCTGTTGAGTCCTGAGAGGATGATGGGAGTAGGTCGTACTCTGCTGCGAACCCCTGTTATACGTTGACAGTCCAATATATTAAGTCAGTATGTGGTACCATCCTCTGAAACAAAAGAAGCATCAAACAAAAAGAAGTGGTTGATTGGTACGTACCATGAGCTCGTTTGACCTGCGGTTTGCCCGATGTCGTGCTTCCTCGCAGTCGTCACAGACAGCCGGTACGACCATGCCCCGTTGTTTGGGGGTGAAGTGACACTCGTATACCCAGTTGGTTTTCAGCAGAGGATCCTCCTCTCCTGGTGGGTTTGGGTAGATGGAGACAGCGGTGTAGCGGCAGAAACATTTTGGTCGAGGGAAGGTAACGGTGACAGGTGTTGGCGTGTACATCATCGACATGGAGGGGAAGGGGGGGGGGGGGGGGGTGGCGGATAGTTGAAGAGAGCGAAGGTGGGGATTGTTGAAGAGAGCGAAGGTGGTGGTGGATAGTTGAAGAGAGCGAAGGTGGGGGTGAATTGTTGAAGAGAGCGAAGGTGGGGGTGGATTGTTGAAGAGAGCGAAGGTGGGGGTGAATTGTTGAAGAGAGCGAAGGTGGGGGTGGATTGTTGAAGAGAGCGAAGGTGGGGGTGGATCGTCGAATAGAACGAAGGGGAAGGTGGTGAAGGAAAGAAGAGAAAGAAGAGAAAGAAGAGAAAAAGAAGAAAGAAGAAAAAAGAAAGCTATGTGAGTGTGATCGAGGGTAACAAAAAGAAAGACAAAAGAGGAAAAAGAGGAAAAAGAGAGAGTCAAATACATCAGCCTATGAGAAAAATGGGCGATCATCCTCCCCTCCCTCCGTTTCAAATTGGCGTTCATGCATCGTCAAACAACAGTGTCGAAAAAAGTGGACTAACCTGAATACTGGTTATACAGTTACATATACTGTTTGGGAATGAAAGAAATGAAAGAAATGAAAGAAATGAAGAACAAGGGTTGGATCCAAGCTATATAAATGGGGTCATATGCCGTGAAGGATGAGGAGGAAGCAAAAAAGGAGAAATAAAAAAAGGGGTCTTATTGTCCCTCATGCCAAGCGACCTTCTTCTCCCAGGACAGACGTCCTGTTGCAACCAATCCCAGCTTCTTTTTTTTCGTTCTCTTACCCTTAACCTCCAACCACCTCACGTGCAGGAACAACTATCCCACAATGGTTGGCTTGTTGCCTCATTGGTATTTCAACAGCCAACACCGTTCTTTTTCTTCACCAACACACTCAGTCCAGTAGCGATATCATCCACACCATACTTCGTGAAATCATCAAAACCATAGCACAAAATAATTAATTATTCAATCAAGGCTGATTAAGCCACAATAAATCCTTTCTTTCCTGTTTTTTAAAAAAAAAAATCCCCCTTTTCTTTGCTTCGCCCAGCTGCTTGGCCCTCCCTGACATAACCTTATCAGTCCTCTTTCTATTTGCAAAATATCTCCTCCCTCGCCAAGACGCAACACATACACGCATAACACACTTCCTCACCCTCAGCGTCAACATCAACCAGCATGACCCCTCATCCTTTCGATCCATTGACAGCATCGAAATAAATTAGAACATGGGTTGACAGCCTGATATCAAGCCCCATGCATACCCCCCTCCCCAATTCGCATCCTTATTTCTTCTTTCCTTCGTCATCTCTTTCTTCCTTATCCTTCCCCTCTCATCCACGACAACAATAATATCAAAACTGTTTCTCCTCTGTCTCGCTCCTCCTCCATCATCCATCCTCCACGTTGTTGTCAAGTCAAGCGGGCTTCTTTCTTTGAAATAACGACAACGGTTTCCATCCAAACACATCGCCGCCGTCCATTTCTATACATTCTTTGAAATATGTTTGTATGTTTGATTCTCACAAAAGAAAGAATGGAGGTGTCGCCCGTGCTTTTGGATTTTGATCATTGTGCATGTTTGTCATGTTTGTCGTCCTTTTTTGCGCTCAGGCCAAAGAAAAAGAAACAAGGTGATGTAAAGAGACAAAAAAGAATTGCTCCTCAATCGCCCACTTACTTGACAATCCCACAAACCCTCTCTCCACAACCCACTACCTCTTAGCCACGCATGCCATGAGGCACGAGGTAGAATTCGATCTGGTCAATACACTCAGCACACAGAAAATGATGGTGGCAGGCAGGACATCCAAACCCGCCTCTCGGAAGCAGCATCCTCGGCATTGAATAAAATCAGGCACAAGACGTGACCAGACCTCCATAGTCCTCTCAAAAACCATGGCGTGTCTTGTCATAGTCTGCTCCAATTCCCGATCTGCCTGGTCCAACTCGCTGTTTGGGGCAATCAGTCCGGTCAAGGGGTCCAGCAGGTCGAAAAGTTCGTCCATTTGTGCTCCTGGCGCATCTACGTGTTCATCATCCGATCCTTTTGGTGAAGGCAAGTGAATTGATCGTAAAGTCGTGGGGACTGTCTGGGAAGAAGTAGTGGTGGTGTCTCCTTGACCCAGCTTGTGTTTGTGTTGTGAAGGTGGTGGAGGAAAAGGCGACGACGGTCGAGCGCGAGAGATAACACAAAAGTCGCGAGAGGTGCTGTTCTTGCACTTGTTGCAAAGAAGCATCGCTACAGAAGGATAATCGGTCATGTCCATCTCCTTGCGGTACTGATATTGCTCCTCACTCCGACTTAATAGCACTGATGTCCTCTCCTTGATCGACTTGACCACTGCAGCATGATGCGCCAAAGCCTCCTTCAGCCCCTTGTCCAGCTCATAGAGTCCAGTGGCGCTATTGAGTTGGTCTCGCTCCTTGACCTGTACTTCAGTCGACAAAACCATCAAACCACCAGGTCCAATATCCTGCACAGTTGCAAGCCTCTTCGATGCTAATGTCGGTCGTAGAGTTGCCGGGATCAGAGGTACTGGCAGAGCAGGTGCACCCACCTTGGAAGAAGAAGAGGCGGTCGTCGGATCCCTGATGGTCGTCAGTAACTCGTCCGTACGCTGAAACCAAACAGACTCCGATGGAAATACTGTAAGAGCTTGAGTTGGAGGCGCGAGAGTTATGGGCTTAAACCACTGGGACAGCCAATCAGTCACATAGATCCGTGAGTGGATAGGTAGCAGGTTGAATTCAAAGATGGCCTTCTGTAACCTGACCTGGAGAGAACAATTGATGAACCCCTTGCTCTTGATCCAAGTCCGTATGTTGTAGTTGTAATACGCGTCCATCCCAGACTGGGGCACCATCTCATAGTCAGTATGGTTGTCGTATACTCGTCCTGCACACATGATAAAGTACTCCTCGCTGTCGTTGTTGTTGCAATTGTTGCTGTTGTCGTTGTTGCCTCTGTTACTGTTAGTGGTATTCGATTGAGAGGAAGAAGTGGATGAGGCAACAGCTGGTCCCCTGACTAGAATCGCATCCTTGCCACAAAAGCAGCGGACCTTGCGAAACAACTTGAGTCCCAGGTGATAGTTGGTGTCGATGTTACAGTTCTTGATGGTGGTCGTCTTTGCCAGATCGTCCAAACATCGAACCACCGAGAGATGGAAGTAATCACACGACGTGTCCTTGGCCACCGTCAGGATCTGATTCACGTCCAAGGTCTGCATATGGTGCCACTCGAGTGCGTGCATATGGAATCCACAGACCTTGTATCCGTTCATCGAGGCCGCATTCAGATACTTCGCCTCTACTTGGATGTCCGCCCCGACGACTGTCTTGTGCGCTGCGCTTGTAGTCGTTGTATGGTCCGTGTGGTGGTCGTGCTTTGCTGCTATTGTTGCTGCTGTTGTTGCTGCTGTTGTTGCTGCTGCAGGCTTCTTTCTGGGCCACAGTTCCACCTCGTCGTTCTTGACTGCCTGGTGTCGCTCACAGCCTTTGCCCGAGTTTGATCCCGCAAACCACCTGCGTTCCTTTGTATTCTTCGCGAGCTACACAGGTTATGGCGCAGACATCAAGAAGTACGATCAGTACTCATCAGCCGTCTGCAAAGGAAAAAAAGGTAAAGCAAAAAAAAGAACAACAACAAGAGGAAGGCTACGTAAACCTACAAGACGACTCCGAGCAGTCCGTCGCCGCTCACAGTCCTCGCACGGGTCAGGTGCCATCATCCCCCTCTGCTTGGACGAGAAGTGACACTCATAGACCCAGTTGGTCTTTTTCACAGCAGGAGAAGGAGGAGGAGGTGGTGGTGCAGATCTCGACCAACGACCAGTGGTGCTGGGAGGCTCAGGGTAGATGGAGACGGCGGTGAAGCCACAGAAACATAGGGGGCGTGCAAAGTTGACTCTGACTTGGGATATGTCTCGACTAGACGTGTATGTCGAGTAGGATATGGAGTCCATGCTGTTATTGTTGGTGTGTGCGATTATTTTGGCGAGAGGTAGTAAGTAAAAGGAAAGAGAAATAAAGAAAGAGCGAGATGAGCTTCGCGATGTGTTTGCCAATCCAAAAAAAGTGACTGGTATTTTTTTTCATTTCGTGTCGCATTGTCTATGTTCAAGCACTTTTGCATGAAGTAGGCAGATAAACGATAGGACGACTCTGCATAAAAAAATAAGGAGCTCGTAGCTGTACAGCATTGCCAGTTGACTATGATTCCACCTTAATTCTTGCTCTCTCATCCCTGGCTATGTACCCTTCCTTTCTTTGATCCGCGCCAGATACATTTTAGTTGAGGAATGAAAGGAGCCACACAGCGCAGGACATCTATGAAACATGTCCCTGGGTTCAATTCGCCACTTACCTGCTTGCACCCTTCTTCTCCTTTCTTTTTTCCCTGCCAAAATAAGAATCACGCAACTCGGGAGATTTGTCACTATCTCTGCTGGTAGCAATGTGAGATCTGAACGATTAAAATAAAGGAACCATAGTAAATGTCGATCGTTCTCTCACGAAATGTTCAATGGGTGGGGAGTGGAAGCAGGTGTGACTAAGACAGCTGCTATGGTTCACACCCGTCGCGCAAGGGAGATCAAGCACGAGAAGAAAACAGGGGTGGTGACAGTTAGCGTTCACGAAATGGCACCTGTTTTCTTCTGCCGTGAGAGTAAAAAGTTCATCGTGTGAAAAAAGGAGGGAGAGGGCGCTGAGATAAAATTCTCGATGATACAGAGCTTCGCAACGTCCATCCCGCCCCGGTATTGTTGGCATCTAAAAACACACTCGACTACACTAACAAGCTAACAGCATTAACCAAGGTGAGCAAATTGTATCACACCCTCAGGGATAGCTCAGCCAACCAGGCAGTGGCATCTTCCTGGAGTGTTCGCTACACCCCCGAGCAGGCGCCCACTCTCCCCTTCGTTCAATTACAGAAAAGCGGCGCCCGGTTAACTGCTTCATCCTCAGAAAGAAGGTTCATAAACCTGGGAGGGTACCTTTGCCTTCCAAGGATTCTTTCTTGTGTCTCTCTCCCTCAACACTTGAAAAAAATCCTATTTTCCCTCTCATTCGGTGCTCACAATTCACAATTGACTTATTGGTGCAACGCGTACAAAAGCTGTGGTACAATCACCGCCAAACACGGGCGCCATTCCGTCACTTCTCTTTTATCGAGAGAAAAGAGAACAACTTTTAATTACTGTACATGTGGTAAGGCGAGTAAGGCTGTCGTCGAACTTTTTATTTTTTATTTTTTATTCTTGCCATGATAAAGAAACCTTAGCAATTGTCGACCTCTATAGAAAAGGTATGCGAGAGAAACAAGAGAAGCACAAGCATTTCGACTCTCCCCCATAATCGATGATATCGTTACAGGCTCTTGAATAGAATATCGCGATTTTCTTTATGAAGGAAGAGAGCGAGAGAAGGAATAGGCAAAAAAGAGGTGGTGAGTCAAAGAGGAACAAAGATCGACCTTTGATGGATTGTTGGTCAAAGTGTCTCCTCAAACCACCCGAGAGTTAACATACAAGAGGGAGGCATGGCAAAAGGAAAAAAGAAAGATGGAAGAGGCAGAGCTGGGTAAGGTGGGTGAATGGGTTGGAACATTTTAGGTCCTTTTTTTCTACCCACCTTGCTTCTCGCTTTCCTTGTTTTGTCAACCTTTGTGTGACAAGTCGTTAAAGATGTCTGCTTCCAAGAGAAACACCCATGCAACAATGAAGGTGAAGAGCTAAAAAAAAACGATCAAGAAAAGGGGAACGATTGACTCCTCTCTCTCCCCTCACCCTTCTTCACTTGCATTGCCTTCTTCCACTCTGCTTCGGCCATGCAGGTACGATATTAATATATTTATTCTCTCCGCCAGATTCATTGCCAGCTAAGGCATCTCATTCGAACGAAGGGAAAAGAAAGAGGATGTGAATGGGCGTTCCCTGGGCTATCATTGTTATTGTTGTTGTTGTTGCACAGTCGTACAAGAGGCCAATTTGGGCTGCAGGTGAAAGTTGATCCCCTATTCCTATCGAAAAGAAACCAATTACCATTCCTTCTTCCTCAGCAGAGAGAGCTCTATCCCATCCCATCCAATCCAAATATCGACACCCTTACTCTCTCTTCGCCTTTTCTTCTATTCCCCTCTTTCCGATTTCTGTCCCTGAGCCTTTCTTTCTCTTCCTCTCTTCCTTTCATCTCTTCACTCCTTCAATTGTATTCCTCCTTCCCTCCCCCATCTCCCTTCACCCTCACTTCGCATATTTCATTTTTGTTTTTCAGTTTTTGCAGATCATCAACTCATATCCTTACCCCTTCTACACGCCTTCGTCACACATCATACCCCATTTTCAATACAAACGCACAGCCAACAATCTTCTCTTCTCTCTCCACTCAGCCAATGGATCCACAGAAGATCACGCCTCCTACGGTTCCAACTGCAGAGCCAATGGTTCGCTCAGCCAGCATAGACGACTCTCCTGCTATATCCTCCTCTTCTTCATCCACCTCCCTCTCATCTATAACCAACAACAACTCTAATACAACAACTAATAATAATACCGACCAACAGCGTCGCTCGTCTCCACCTCCAACGCTCGCCACACGCCCCGCACCACCACCAGTACCATCATCATCAGACGACAATGAAAAGTATCCGCCCCCACCCACCACTCCAGGCGCAGATAAGGTCGTCTTTGACAAGGGACTCTTGTTCGCTGGTCGCCCCTCTGGAGGAAGTAGCGCTAACAAGATTGTCAGCGCCCCATTGCCAACCTTCCCACAAGCTCTCCCAAGGAATAATTCGTACCCAGAGCCCGGCAGCAGCAGCAATAATTATAATTACAAAAACCCAGCAGGGCGAAACCAGTTGAACAAGGGCAATCGACCCCACAGTCATCATATCCCCGAACCCCGGTCAGCGCCCACTCTTTTAAATCCCAACAACGCCAGTCCCAGGGTCACCTCTCCTCCACAACAACGCCAGCGGCAGAACAACCCCGATGGCAACAACGATACCAACACAAGCAACTATGGTCGCCCATATACCCCTTATTCAACCCCAGCTGCTCTGCGACCTGATTCAGTCTGCTCGTTTCCTGACAGCTCACCGGTTATGTCGCCCAATGTCTTGGCAGCGGTCGATGCTCGTCTGCGCGCGAGTGCCAGCAACAACAGTCTTAGGGAACCATCCCCTTTGCTGCGTCAGGGCGCGTTCCCTGCAAACAGTGTTCGGTCAGGATCTATATCCAAGGCGTCTAGTCTTGCGCCTGTTATCACGCACCACCAGGTCTTGCAGGGTTCTGAGGCCATTATGAGTCGTGAGCAGTTGTACGATATATTGAACAAGGACGACGATGATGAGAAAAGTAGGCGAAATGACAGTGGAGACACGGACGCTACAGGATATTACTTGCGCACGCCCCGACCTGGATTCGTGGGCGGTGGGTCGTCGACCCGGTCGTCACGACGCAATTCGATGGCTTCTTCGACGGTCGCCGACAGTGACATCGAGCTGGTCGCCAACCCCAGGAAGCAATTCAGCTCTTCGGCTCTTAGAAAAGGCGGCGCGGGCTTTGCCGCTCATATTCCTGCTGGTGCTGGCGGTACAAGGAAGGCACCCTACGAGAGCGGATCGCTTCACGACGATGAGGACTACTCGGACGTGCCGATGACGACTGAGAGGAGTGCCTGGCTCAAGAACAAGAGCAGCGCGACCAGGAAGTACAGGAGTCTTTGCTGTGTGATCGGTCTCCTCTTGTTCATCGGTGCTGCTGTTGGTATCGCTCTTGGATTCAGGGCTCGTAAGGACAAGGTCGACGGCCTCGCACAACCACCGTAAGATTTTTTTACCTTCGTTGCTGATTGTCTTTTCTCAGTTTTCATGGTAGTTTATTCTCCGGCGTGGGTTGCTTTGCATCTTTTCATAATCAGATCGCTAATCCCGCTCCCATTCGTTGTTCACTAATCCATTGTTACCACCGACGCCCCGCACACTGCTCTATGGTGTCCTCTCGTTTCCATCTTTCATCTTTCATCCACATACACACACCTACAGAAACCCTGACAAGCCCACAAACCCATTGAAGCCACCAACCCCACCCATCACCCAATTCACTCCAGACCCCAATCTCCGCAAGGCCTTCTACGGAGTCGACTACAACCCTGCAAAGGCCATGATGCCTTGGTGCGGCGCCACCCTCCAACCCGTCATTAACGACATGATGCTCATCTCCCAAATCACCAACCGTGTCCGACTCTATGGCATGGACTGTAAACAGGCCGACTTGACCTTCCAGGCGATCGGTGCGTTGGGGCTGAACAAGACTATGCAGGTTATATTGACGATTTGGGTGGACAAAAATCAGACGACTTATCAGAGGCAGCATGATACACTTTTCCAGGTGTTGGATACGTATGGGACGGAGATGGTTAATGGGATTAGTGTTGGTAATGAGGTTTTGTTCAGGAAGGATCGCACCCTTTCCGAGCTTGACTCCCTCATGAAGGTAACATTTTGCACTGATCTTTTTCATTCCTCTCTTCGCGCGGAATGAACGTTTATCTCATTCGGTATCCCCCCCCCTTTTTTTTGTTCTTTCTGCACTTCAACTAGGCGGTAAAGGAAGAGATCAAGACGCGTTACGGAAAATCCATCCCCGTATTCTCATCCGACGTTGGTGGCGAAATGTCTCCAGAACTCGCCTCCATCTCAGACATGCTCCAAGGAAACATCCACCCCTACTTTTCAGGCACCCTTGCCGCAAACGCCGCCAACTGGACAATGAGTGAGTACGAGAACAAGATCGCTGCCAACCCGACACCTATGGCATTGAAGGGTGTGATTTCTGAGGTTGGTTGGCCAAGCGCGCCCGCGAGCGCTGTTTATATGAATGGGTCGGTTCCTGGGTTGGCGAATATGCAGACTGTTGTAGATAATTTTGTCTGCCAGGCTAATGCTGCTGGTATTCCTTGTAAGTGTTCCTTCTTTTGCCCTTCCCCTCCTTTTTTTTTTTTTTTTGTTATTTTTTGTTTTTTGTTGCTCAGAGAACTTTGTTAATGGGTTCTAACCTAGAACTCCCCCCTTTTTTTCATCGATGTAGATTACTGGTTCGAGTTCAAGGATGAGCCATGGAAAGTGGACCCAGAGGTGCCTGTGGAGCCCTTTTGGGGCATCTTTGATAAGGACGGCAAGCTCAAGATCAAGATACCCGATTGCATCGCTCCTTAAGAGAGAAGGAATGAGGGGTAGTAATAAATCTATCAGAAAAAAATAAGAATGAGGGTTGGTTCTTTTTGCTGTGCTGGATATATGACACCGTGCCTGGAGAAACATGGGTGAGAGTGGTCGAGTGGGAAAGGAAGGAGGAGGGTGGCCAGCGCGCATTTGTTTATTTTCCTATGTACCAGTCGAGGCGAGCCAGACCCACGTTTTTGGGTGCTTCAGGTCGAGGACCAATTTTTTGTTCACTCCATCGAAAGAACAACGTGGAAGGGAGAAAGCCTGTCCCTGGAGCAAATAGTCAGGTGGGCGATAAGCCCTACTTCGTGGTCGAGGTCGTACAAAGAGAAGATAAGGCGGTCTTTCAATAATTTGTGATTGACCCTCGATCCTAGCCAATGAAATCTGGGTTAATAATAATTCACAGCTTCGCTCTTTTGTTATGAAGGAAAGAAAATTCGTTCCTGAACAAAGGATTTATTGTTGTTTAGTCAAAGTAAACAAACGAGAGCAAGAAAAGAGAGGAATATCCAAGGTCAATCTTCACCCATTTGCAAAAGGCACTGTTTGCGCGAGGATCGGTAGGATGAAAAAGGGTATCAATGCGATGGTTACCGTGAAAGCGTCATTGCCTGAACGGAATAAAAATTTATTCGCTTCTTTGTCTGCGCAGAAAACGTGGAAGAAAGATATCACCACCGCACACAGCGGCAGCAGCTATTTTTTCGACCGTTGGTTTCTCTGAATGTGAATTGCCCGCACCATAGGCCTGAATGGCTATCACATCTCTTTTTTTTTTTTTTTTCTTCTTATCTACTTTGTTTCCCCGACCAAAAAGCAGGCGAAGAGCCGCTCTTGTTGTTGTTATTTTGTTTTCCCTTCCCCCTCCCCCTTTCCTTTAGAGAGGAACGAGCGTGGAAGACTAGCCGATAAGTTTCCATAATTGGAGGCACAAATGGCGACGACCGACGGCCGAACAGGTCGCTTCTTATCTTATGATAATGTCGACTTGTACGTAGTGGCGCTTAAAGCCGCAGTCGGTCGGTTTGAACAATCGCCGACCGACTATGCCTCTTTGCCTGCGAAGCTGTAGTCATCACTCGTCCAAGACCTTCACTCCCCGCACGCCATGGCAGATCACAAAAACAAAAACAAACAAAAAAAACAACAACACCGAGACGATCTCCATGGTAGTCACTGACTTTTTTCTCCCTTTTTATTACCAACATTCTCATCACAGCCCCTCTTTCTTCTTTTCTTTTCACTTTTTCTCCACACGAAAACATAGTTCCATCCCACCCCCATCTTTCCCATTAAACAAACCCCCACCCTCTCCCCCCTACAAAACACAATCAAAAATGATCCGCAACACCATCTCCAAGGTCGCCCCCACCGCCACCCGCGCAATCTCAAACTCGACCAAGACCAACGCCGCCATCTCCCTCGAGTCCTCTGCCATGCCTTCCCACAACACCGCTGCCCCCTCCAACGGTCGCTTCAAGGCTGTGGCCTACACCGTCCTCGGATCCACTGCCGTCGTCGCCGGAATGTCCCACCTCTTGAAGGATGAGGTCGTTTACTGGACCCCCAACGTCCGCAAGTAAAAATCCTCCAGCCAAGAAAGGCCGGGTTTGCTGTCTCCTCCCCTCCTCCCCCTCTCCTCTTCCTCCTTCCCTTTTTATGCTTCTCAAGAAGTGAAGATATTATACCCCCTCCCATTTTTCATGCACTTCGTCATTTTTCTTTTCCAGCACTTTTTTCATCAATTATTTCATTCATATTCATAATAAACAACTTAACATTGGCAGCATCCTGGTCATAAGCCAGATGCACGCATAAACCCATATGTCAAAAAGAATCCCCATGTTTGCGTATCGATTGAAAGGTCCATAGTGTTCTTTGGCAAGTAAGGATTAGGAGGAGTGGAGGGTGTGCGTTTATTTATTCTAATAGGTGGTAAAGTTTTGGTTTGAAATCTACGAAAAATGATGTGTAGGTGGAGGGGGGGGGGGGATAGTCCAGCAGGCGCAATAGCTGCCGGATGTGTTTTATAAGGTCGTTTAAAGAAAGCGCGATAAGATAAAGGTGGGTGGAGGAAGAAGGACGAGAAAAAAAAAAGAATGCAAGTGTTCCAAGAAAGAGGACGAGGATCGTGGTATGGTTTGGGATGGTATCTCGAAAATAATAACGGCTGCAAATAATACGATGATATAAAAAAAAGACACTTTGCTCCGCAAGCACAAGAGTCAAAACAAAAACAAAAAAAGAAGAGCACAAAACTTATTACTGCTTCTTCTCCTTAAAGCTAACTAGTCCTGGTCTGGCTGACCTAAGGAGATTATTGACATGGTTGGAACAAAGAAGTGCAACAATCATGACAAACAAATGGACAGGTGCGACAGTGAACGACCAGGTCCAGAGCGAATTCAACAGATTCTTTTCAAAGAGACTGTACTTGTGTTCGCACGAGGGCAACGTCGTCGTCGGGAAACATCTCATGTCGTACGCCGCATAATATGTCGAGTCCTGGAATCCACAGCAAAACAACTATTATCACAAACACACACGTACAGTATGTAAAACAGGGAGATAGGAATGGCATTTGTTAGTGTCTCGCTTGATTTTTTTTTCTCAGTAGACAAGTGTGTGCACCAGAGACATCAAAAGGACGCGACGAATAAAAAAAAAAAGACGTACGCTGTGTTGGACGAGAAGGCGCTGTTCACGAGTGTACGAGAAAATCCACTCATCCTTGATGTGTGCGCGGAGATTCATCTTGGCTCGGCGGAAGGCAATATAGCCCACAGCAATATAGAGCGCAAACCCAGGCCATAACACAATCGTGTAGTACGACAGCCATATCCTGTTTTCCCGGAAAATCCCCACCAGACCCACCAACGCGCTCGCAATCCCGAAAGCTGATCCCGCAAGTGTCACTATGTGATATTGTACAGGGACAATCGGTTAGTTACATCGAAAGATCTGCGAGGCAGGTGACAATTAGGGGTTGTTCATCGAGCATCAATAAAGAAGAAAAGACGTACGATAGATGATGTTACTGTGGAATTCCATGACAACAGGCGCCTCCGGAACCTCTACACATTGATGAAAAGAGAAGAGTGAACAGGTTCGAGAATTGGTTAGCCAAAGGTTCCTCTTCTCCTATAATCCTGCCATGAACGTAAAAAAGCGACTGGTGGACGTACTGTGGATGATATAGGTTAAAGAGTAGTAGAGGATGGCGGTAGAGTATCCCAGGAGAAGAAGTGCGGAAAACAGCAGAATCCACTTGGACCGCGTCCAGCGCTTGTAGAATGGATCTTCTGTATAAGACTTCTTCATCACCGCCTGGTAGGCGTGCCACCGCTGGGCCAGCCCTTCGAGTGTCGCATCCGTCTGGATCAAGTTGTAGTTAGGTTCCGGTGCAGGACTCATGTTCCTCGATGACCGGTGGGTCGAGTCAGTACTATGTGACTGCTGGTATCCGCCCAGCTGGGCCGTACCTCCCGAAAAGCGGTTGTTGTTTGAATAGTCGCTGTTGTTGCTGTCATAGGAATAGAATGCAGGCATAGGTTGTTGGTACGGTGCGATGGGTTGTGGTTGATAAGGCTGGAAAGGCGCAGATTGCTGTTGTAGCTGTTGTTGCTGGAATGGCACAGATTGTTGAGGATACGCTGGTGTAAGCTGGTAAGGGACAGAGGCGTGGGCAGCTTCGACAACGCCGGCTCCAGTAGCAGCTCCACCAACAGGGAGAAACGAGAGGTCGTTCGATACTGGCTGTTGCTGCTCTTGTTTCTGTGGTCGTTGTTGTTGAGTCGCTGTTGAACGAGTATTCTTGGGTGACAATGGGAGAGGGGTGTTGCTGCTAGCCATTGGGGATCTGTTGGACTGCTTGAGGATGGACTTTTTTTGGTTGGGCGAAGACGAGGCGAGAGAAGTAGAGAGAGAAGAGGAAGAAACACCTTCTCCTGAAGCAGCAGTTTGGAGAGAAGTCGCCGAAGGATAAACCCCTCTGGTACTATTCTCGGAGAGGGTGCTGGGCTGTGGAGTGGGACTGAGGCTCGAGTGTTGAGGCATGGGCGAGTGCGAGGAAACGATTGGCGAGGATGCCTTGGCACTATTGCTTCCCAGGGTGTCGTTGCTCCCGCGGTCGCGATTGAAAAGATTGTTGAGAATGCGGCCCTTTTGTGTCTGGGCTTTTGTGCCAGGGGGGCTCGCATGGCCCAGCGTCGGACTCGAGATCACTCTTTCGGGAAGAGAAAGATCGTGGTTTGACGAGAATGAATGGCTAATGAGTTCCAGATAGTTGTCATCGTCGGGCGAAGTGACATTGTCTGTTGAGCTGTCAATTCATATCCGTTTTCGTGTCCATGGCGTTCATTGACGGCGTCAAGAAGTATGAAAAAAGGAAAGGAGAGGTGAGTTTCGCGGATCGTTTCTTGACAGATAACAGAACGTAGGAGTTGGAACTACAGGACCACCACCAACCCCTTTTCCTAGGATGTTTTCTTGAGGTGCTGTCTGTTGGATGATCGGATGGTCTGTTGACTGGTACTCCATCTGCGCTTCCTATTCTCTTTTCAAGTCCAATGCCAATCCCAATGCTAATCCCAATGCTAACGCGGAAATTATCCAATTCATGTTTGTGAGTCCTTGTCGTTGACCCTAATCCCCTATCCCTTCGCCCTTGACCCTTGTGCTGCCCATCTGTCCCTTTTGTCGTGCTGTAATGTCGTGCTCCTCTAACGATTGGAGTAAAAAAAGCGAGTTGCATATGAAACAGAGTTTTGGGTCCACTATTGGGCCACTGTCCCTCGGTTCTTAGTTCTAGTCCGAATCTATTTTTTTTGTTATCGAGCGCGACACACTAAAAAAAGAGACATCATGTCTTCTCCCCCTTTTTGTTGTTGTTCCTGAGGAAATATAAACATGCAAGACCCATTGTCTGTCTCTCCGTGTGTATGATGTGTGTGGAGGTGCGAGTATGCGTCGTGTACTGTTTGACATAATCGCATGTTCTCTCGAATTCCTGTTACTGTTATCGTTGTTGCTTGTGATTGTGGTGTTGGTAGGAAGTAAGAAGTGAACTTTTTTTTGTTCTAAAATGCTGCTTATTTACCTCTGATATTGGGACGAGGCGTTGCTCTTGTTGGCAGGGTTGTATGACATTATGCCCGTATGTGTGTCTGAGCTGTCCTGAGTTTGTTGTTATGTCGTTATTGTATGAGGAGTGGAGTGGAGCAGAGGTTGGGTGATGAGGGTCGAGTGGTGAGAAGTGAGTTGATGAGGGAGAATGAGAAGTGTTGTTGATGAGAACTTTGGCTACTCCGGGAATCGGGATGAGAATAAGAGGATCGGCTCGTCCTTATTAGTTGTCGGTTTGGTGAGGATATGGGGGAGTTGAAGGGAAAAGGGAAAGAGTATCGTCTATCAATGAAGTAAAGGGGCGAAAGGGGCAAGGAGGTGGTGTTGTTGTCGTAAGTGGTTGCCCGAGAATGAAAAAAGGAGAATGAGGGACTAAAGGAGAGAGCCTTGCGGAGGGGAGGGGATAGAGGAAGAAGATGAAAATGAATATGATAATGACAATGACGAGTTGAAAGAAGAGAAGAGAGAAGAGTAAAGGAAAAGAGAAGAAGAGAAAAGGGTTTGTTGTGAAGAAAAGAAACGAGAAAAGGCACAAGGCAAGGAGGGCAGGGGTGTCTGTTGTGTTGGTATCTCATTTCTCATTTCTCATTTCATAAGTGATTTGGTCTCTCTCTTTCTGCCTTCTCTTCCAGTGAGCCGTTGTATTGTTTAATTGTGTTGGACAAGGAACTTACTCAACCTCAACTTGCATCTCAGGAACACAGAACAAGCAACAGCCAACTACTGCTGCCACAGAAAACCAAAGGCAATACAATACAATACAAAGGCAGACTGTATATGTGCAATTGAGACATGCAATTAGCAATCGATTCAAACGAGATACCATCATCTCGTTACTCGCGGGACATGGCTATGCAGCCACATCTATGTATCCCGGTAGCATGTTTATTTGTTTTAACTTCCATTGCAGGTACCCCTTCCACGATACCATGTCCTTTCTCAGCATCCCCCTCACTTTCCCTTCTTCAATACACATCCCTAGTTACAAAGTCGAGGTGGTCTTTCACCCCTTCTTTCCTTTCGTCTTTCGCGGTATATTTGTGCGCTATCGCGCGTCAGTTGGGTAGGCAAGGGGGTAACAGATCCGGTTGAGATCTGACTCCCATATACACACATCCCTCGATTCTGCTCACTTCGCATACGCATACATCGAGCATAACTCTCTCCATCTTAACTCCTCTGTTGATGCTCTCCAACCTCTTGCTGGCTCATATTTCTGTGCGTTGTAGTAAGTAAGGGTTGGATTGGGTGAAGAGTAGCTAGTACCCCTTGCGTACTTTTGATATCGTTATCATCAACCCTCTGTTCTTCCGTGGCGTCTTTCGTGAATTTCCAGTCTGACACTCGACACCGCCAACGCGACCTTGTCCTTGTCGTTGTCGGTCTCGCTGTTGTTGTCCTTTTGTTTCTGTCTGCACAAAAAAAATATGAAGAGGTAGCTTGAGTGAGAGAGCAACAATGACACTCATGAAGTTGTTTGTTGTTTGTTTTCGTTAACACACCTGGAACACATTTATTTTGTTTTTCTCTCCTCTGGCTCATCCAAAGGCATGGATGACCAATAACATCATCAACATCTCATGGATTGCTTGGATGCTCTGTGTTCACAAACCTGCTGTTTGTTGTTTTTCTATTCCTGCCTGACAAGCTCCTCCGTCTGTTCGAGAGCGCTTACAATTAGTTCACAATCGCGAAGGCTGAACCTGTTTTTGTTTGAAGGTTTAGCTGAAGCTATTTTTTCTTGATATGATTTTTTGAAAGATTCCAGGTAAACGGCATATGGCGGAATGGTACCACTTCTTTACATGGCTCTCTTTCCTTGTTGCTTTGCTTTTGGAGTTGGGGCCTGGTCGGGGTTATTTCTTGCAATCGCACCTCCTTTAGGTAGAGGAGGCTAGGTCATCTTGACTAATGCACAAAAAGAGGATGATGTTGTTGAGAGCACAGCAAGGAGGAGTATGAAGAGGAGAAAGAATGAAGATGAGGAAATTGAAGGTGTCCGTCTGTGTGACGAAAACTCATTTACATTCCAGCGCGGTATTCATCTTTCGATCTTTTTTCTTTTCTCGCAATGTTTTTCAGCGACTCGGGAGAGCGTTTTCTTGGTGTAATGAGGGACGAAAAAACAATCCTTATAATCGAACACCAAGAAAAAAGAAAAACGATTTTCGACAATGACGAAGAGGAGATTACCAAGTTGCTGGGGTGTGGCGAAGACAAGAGTGGAGCGTAAGATAGGAAAGGGGAACAAGGAGGCGGTGAGCAAAATCACAAAAAATAAACCGTTATCATTCTCCTCTTCATCTTTCTCAATCAGTCTGACCACTTTTCATCTCATAACCGCATTGATCCCTGGGTAAATCTTGTCAATTCTGTTTTTACTTCATGTAATGGAAAAGATAGTTATAGTTCCTCGTGGCTCTGACGGTGTAAAGTATGTTCCTGTAATGGCGATCGAAATAGATGAAGGATGGTTCTGATGGTTTTTGTTCTACTTCTCGATAGCGATGAGTGTTCTTCTTCAAACGCTAGGTGATGGCAGCTGGAAACTCTTTTGGCATCTTGGTATTTGGTTGTTCTTTCAAGAAGCAAAGAGGAAGGTGTAGATTTCCTTTTTTTTTATGAGTAAGGTGCCAAAAAAGAGACAATCTACCGGTACACTACAAATAAAACCTCTACTTCATCACCACTTTTGAACAAAAGAATGTGAAAAAGAAAACATGGTTGTTGAGCACTGACGGACAAAAATGATTCCTTCAGAGCATTTTTTTCTTTTATCCTTCTCGTAACCCATCCCCTATTTCCCCGATCGATGGATTTTTTTGTTTGTTCACTGTTCCAGCAGGACGGACACGAAAAAAGGGGGGAGATGAGGGCCTCGATCACTCCAAGTTTACCCAGAAGAAAAAAGTTGCATTAATCCAAAAAAAAAAAGTTCCTCGGGTACCACTGCAGCGGAGTAGGGTGATTCCCTAACAAAAAATACATTTGGCTGGCTGGCTATCATTCCAAAAGAGCAGAAGGGTACTGGAGTGAACACTGGAGGGCGATTACCTACGCAAAAACGATAATGCAAAAAAAAGAAGGAAAAGAAGGTAGGCCAATCGGTTGCTAGTGAACAAACAAAAGAGCGGAATGGAGGGGGAAAATGTGTATCCCTTGACGGATGATATGAACAGCGGACTCTGAGCGAAGAGGAGTCGTGAACATGGCAACCCAGGGCGATCCCTTTTGATCTGCGGACAATTAGCAATTGACGGGAGATGAGAGAAGAAGGGACGAGAGTTTTGACTTCCAGCCAGCAATCATAAACACGGGTTGACGGTGGAAGGCCGCTTAATAGAGAAGTTTTTTCGCGGATCAAAAATAGGAGAGACAACGAACACATTTTTCTTTCTTTACCTCATTTTTTTTCGTGCATATCGAAGGGAAGGGGGCCAGGCAACAGGGTTTGCATCCCCGTTCGCCCCTTACATATCGCCCCATCGGCGCAAATCACAGTTTTCATGGCACATCCTTATTCCTTATTCACGACGGTCGATGGGTAAAGACAGAAATAAATGTTCGCGATTATTTTCAGAGGACCAATACAAACACCTTTCTCGCGCACATTTCGTTTCTCGTCTTGTCTTGTGTGCACACCACGCTTGTGAGGCGAGGATTTATTTTTATCGCCTACGATAAATGCGAGCACGAGCAGGATTTTTCTGGATCCCTTGATGCCCTCTTTCCACTTTTCCGGGGAGTTTTTTTTCCTTATCAGACATATCGATAGCCCAGTCATGTCGGTATAATTTGAGTTGATGGCATTTTGACGTGTTGGACAGCAACGAAGAAAGAGCAGGGAAGGAAGAAAGAAAGGAAGAATCAAGGGTGTTTGAAAAAGGAAGAGATGGAAAAATCAATTGACACACGAGGAAGATCTCTGCCATCATGGAAAATCACAAAACAAACAACGACAACATGTGTGTTGTCGGTTATGCAAAGCAAGCAATTGAAAGGCTGTGTGTGTGTGGTGTGTGGAGAGAGGGAGTGAAGTGGAAGTGGATATCAAATAACGTCAATGCAAAACGGACAACGCGTTCTTGTTTGTCTTTTTGTTCCGAGTGTTGTCATCCAAGGAGAGTTGAGTGTGTGTATGTGTACCAGAGGGATGGGCGAGTACTGTAGTGTGTGTGCCTGCCTGGCTATTGCACTCTTGTCCAAATTGGTCTAGCGCCAAACAGCGATGTCTATTTTTATTTCTTTTCCCTGTCTAATGCGGGTGGGCAAGACATAGTCCACACATCATTAGATGGGTGTCCTCACTGCCATACACTTATGTCGATTACCACATAAATGAGGAAGGAAACCCAAAGATGGACAGACCAACCAGGTGCAGACGGACAGGGGTAGCCATGTTGGTGAAGGGCACTGTTCAAATATCGGACATTGGAAATAAAAGAGAGCACTCCGTTGGACAACAGTAAGAGATTGAGTATTATGTATTGCGGTTTTGAAAAGAAGGGATGCTTCTTTCTTTTGAGATATATGAGCAATTGAACTCGAGAAGGAAAGGAACTGGGTAATGAATGAATGAGGTATATAGTGTGCTTGTCGGTATATGTCCATTATCATATTCATGAATTGAAGCGCAAAGCAATGATGATGATAATGAAGAAGAGGAGGAAGAATGAGAGGTACACAGCAACGGGTACGGATGATGATAGGTGTGAGTGTCAATGGTCATGGTACTCTGTATCCTCATGCCTGTGGTCATCTCTATCTTTGGCAAATGATATTCCAAAAATGAGTGAGTAAACAAGACACACGCTCTCTCATCTTTCCACCTGGACAAAACCTTTGACCTTTTATTTTCTCCTCCCGACTCCCTTTTTCTCTTATCCTTTTCCTCTTCCTTTTTTGTTCGCCTTTACACCTTTGTCAACTCCTTCACTCGATCACCTTTGTTTCCCTTTTTTTACTTTCTCATCGGCACTTCATCTCTCATTCCCTCTCATCTAACGACCACGACCCACCCTACCACCTTCGCCCCTATCACCCAGCTCCAAACAATTGGCCAGGGCGCATCATTATCAACAATCACCGGCATCTCTCTTCTATCACCTCAGGTACAGACAGCCCTCCACTCTTAAGGACAACAACCAACAGCCAAAAACCCCATTAAGGAGACAGGACACTCACTCCTCCTCCTCCTCCTCCTCTCTCTTTCATAACTGCCCTTCCTTCCCCTCTTCTTTATAAGCGGCTCCTCTCTCGCATCCGTGTTGTATTGGACTCGAAAAATAACACTAGGAACAAAGGCAAAAGGACCTCAGGAGACCTGCAGGGTTCAACTTGCCCCTTCTCAGGAACTGGCCCTTGGTTGTTCAGCTCGAACAACCATGCAACCAACCCCTTGCTTGAGGTCTCCTTGTTCTAACCCCCTACCTTTCTATCCAATCTCTCCCCCATGTCAACCATATAAATAGAGGTCATTCGTGCATACCCGTGGACAACAAAAAAGATATCGCCACCTCCACCACGTTTTCCTCTCTCATCTCGTACTCGTCCTCGTCTCCTTCGCTCTTTCGCTCTCTTTCTGTCACCTTATTTTTTTTTGTTGTTGAGCGATAATACCCGACAAACCACGCCCCTCGCCAAGTTAACGACCAACGACCAACAGCCAACAACATCCAACAGAACGGACAGAGCATATAGAAAAGGACTAGAGCAGGATGCTGTATCTGACAAAGGACCTGTTCCCGGTGTTTGTCCCACTGGGAATCATCGGGTTCTACCGCTACCTCTGGTTTGTGATCAAGCTCTTGGCCTACTTCTTCTACCGGCCCATGGAGCCCAAGGAGAACCCGACCTACCGTGCAGAATACGATGTCACCATCATTGTACCCACCATTGACGCCGGAGAAGAGTTCAAGGAAGCCGCACACTCGTGGCTCGTCAACAACCCCAAGGAGATTATCATTATTACTGAGACCAAGATGAAGGACGCCCTCCAGGAACTCGCCAATTCTGTCGACCCAACCCGTATCCGAGTCCTGACGGTTCCCAAGGCAAACAAGCGGTTGCAGATGGTGGAGGGGATTCGGAATACGACTAGTGAGATTATCGTCTTTGCAGATGATGATGCTATCTGGGGCCCACAGACATTGGAGTATATCCTGGCTTGTTTTGAGGACCCGAACATGGGAGGCGTGGGCACGTCGCAGACGGTCAAGTCTGTGGGGCGGTATCAGACTGTTTGGGAGGTCCTTGCTGGGTTCCGGTTGACGATTCGTAACATTGAGATTGCGGCCTCGACACACATCGACGGCGGAATCTGCTGTCTCTCTGGACGGACGGCCGCCTACCGGACATGTATCCTCCAGGACCCTCAGTTCCAGTACAACTTCACGCACGATTTCTGGCTGGGCAAGTATCCGCTCAACTCTGGTGACGACAAGTTTCTGACGAGGTGGATGGTCTACCATGGATGGAACACCTATGTCCAGGTCTGCAAGGAAGCCGAGCTCCTGTCGACGTTCAAGAACAACTGGCGTTTTGTTAAACAAGTCCTTCGTTGGACTCGTAACACCTGGCGGTCGGATTTCCGGTCCCTCTTCACCGAACGCAAGATCTGGAGCCGCCACCCCTATGTCGCCTTTACGATGATCGACAAGATCTTTAACCCAATCACTCTCCTCTCGGGCCCCCTTTCCGTCATTGCCATGGCCGCCAAGGGCGAGTTCCATCTGCCGCTGTGGGACATCATCATCTCGTACATCGTCTGGTTGATGCTCACCCGTATTGTCAAGCTGTTGCCCCACTTGTTCAAGCGTCCTCAGGATATCATCTGGGTCCCTGCGTTCTTGATCTTTGGGTACTACTTTGCGATCATGAAGATCTATGCCCTCTTCACGCTTCATGAAGTCGGTTGGGGAACTCGAGCTGGTATCGATCAAACACCCGCTGAACTCGCAGCCGAGAAGGAGAAGCAGCGGTTGGATGCTGAACTATTGGAGCAGGATCAGGAGAAGGCTGCCTATGAGAGCCGCGATGAGGCCACCCGTGCTGCCGTCGCTGCCGCCACCGCAGCCGCCGCCGCCACTGCCTACGAACAACAAGAACAACAGCAACAACAACAAATGCAGCGTATGGAACATCCTATCATTCCACCACCTAGGCCCGACTCCCCTGGCAGTAGCGACCTCATCCGTCACTTCTCGCGTCAACAGGAACAACAGCGTCAAACCGCCGCTGCACGAGCAACTCGTCTGGCTACGACCACCAACGCCGACTATGAGGAAGACGAGGACGTGTACGAATACAATCAAGACGATGAGCTGGCTCAGTATTTCGCACAGGCCGACGCCGCCCGTAGCAACCTCAACCTGTCCCAACAGCCGAATGCCCTTTATGGAGGCGCTGGTGGGGCGAGTACGATAGACCTCTATGGCCGTAGTGGTGGCGCTCCTCCACCACCTACTTCGCCGCGTTTTGGTGGTGGTGCCGGTAGACGTGGAGGTTACTAGAATATCTTCTTTTATTTATCAGCCATCTATACACTTACACCCTCCTACACCGCATGTTACAACAACACTTTCTTTCTTTTCTCATAATACACGCTCCTCATATCTTTGTTGCTGTTTACAATGAAAACGTGAATGAGATAAATATACTGCTTATGAGTCTGTCTTGCGCTTCTTGATGAAACTGGCTCCAAGAACGTTCACGACCGGGGCTGTGGATGACGTCTCAGGCACGGTAGTAGTAGTAGATGGAGTGGTAGATGTGGGGGCTACCTTGCGCTTGATGAGACCAGCACCAAGGACATTCACCATCGGTGCAGCGGCAGCAGGTGCAGGTGTATTGTTGGAAGTAGCGACGACTTTCCGCTTGATTAACCCAGCGCCAAGGACATTAACTGCAGGAGGTGCAGTCGTGCTGGCAGGCGTGGTAGTGGTAGTAGTCGAAACTGGAGTTGGAGCTTTGCACTTGATGAGTCCTATACTCAGCGTGTTGACGACCGCTGGTGTAGCTGCGGGAGTGGGCACTGCTGTCGTCGTCGTTGCCTCTTGGGTGGCAGCGGCGGGGGATGGTGTTGGTAGGACATCTGAACCATGGCGCAACAAGATCTCAACTGACCCCTTCTGGATCCATAGCGACCTTACAGCAGCCACCACCTCCCTCTTCGTCTCCTTCACCTCCTCTTCTTTGTCTTCCTCCTTCCCCTGCTCCTGTCGACAAGCCGCCTCAACTTCCAGTACACGCTCCGCCTCCCTCTCAACTGACTTTCGGACCCAAACCTCCACCCGGTCCTGCCACGTCCTCGTTGACCTGCGTGCATCCTCCATCGTCGAAAACTCAAGATCCAACAAGAAGTTGATCACCTTTGTGTACCCAGACGTCGTCCCCGTCACCGCCTTCTCCTGCATCTCCTCTCCCTCCTCTCCCTCGCCTTCGTCCTCACCCTCATCTTCTTCAACAACGCGAAAGAATCCCGTAATCTTCCCCGCCCCACTCTCCTCGCCAATGGCCGCCAACTCCCAGAACGTCCGGATGTTGACAAACCCACCCTGGCAGGAAGGAGACTGCATCATCCGTGATTTGGGGTCATCCGGGAACTGGGGGATCAGCGCGTTTGCGAGTTCCTTGGAGTCCTTGTCAGGGTACCCATATATCCATTCAAACGCCTTGCTGTTGTTGGTGGTGGCAGTGGTAGATTGGATGACATTGTTTGCTTGGCGCTCGGTCTCGATCCCCGGGATGTGCCACCACCCCTGCACCTTTGTTTTCCTGTTTCCAATCCGCTTCCCTTCAGCTTCCTGCTCGTGCTCTTGGGTTGTTGTTGTTGTTGTTGCTGTTGTAGATGAATCCATGGATTCCGCATAGACAGAGGCGGCGGTGTTCTTCCACCACCGGACAAGCCCACGATCGTCCAAGACACGCTTCTGAGGGTTCTTGGCCGAGTTTGCAAACAGGTACTGTGGTTGTGCGCGCGCGAATATATAAAGCGACGTTTTCCGAGGACGACGGTGATGAGCTGTTGTGGGGGTGGTGGGAGTGATGGACATCGCGGACATCTTGCCTGCGGCTGCAGCTGCGGCCGCGGCTGCCGTGCTGCTGGTCGTGTCGCTACTACTGCCACTATTGTCTTTAGTCCCGGCAACGGTGATGTCTGTCAAAGATGAAAGGCCATGACTAGTAGCGCGAACGGATCGGAGGTATCCCTTGACGAGCGCCTGCGCAGGACTCTTGCCCTTCAACGATACACTCTCCAACCCTGGGAGAGGCCAGAATCCCGAGGTATCGACTTTTGCGATATAGATAATCCTTTCCTCCCGTGCCTGCGGGGCCTTGTTTCCTGATGGAGGTGATGATGATGATGATCGTGGCGAAGAAAGGGGAGTGAGTGTGTATTCGAGGACTTCTAATCCTGCGACGAGGACCTGCGTCGTCGTTGCCGCCTCGTTCTTCTTTTCGTCCTTGTCCGTGTCGGTCCCCTGGCTATCGGCAGGGGAGGAAAGGGAGGAAGAAGGGCCGCCGGCGGAAAGGAGGACGAGTCGCTCTTGGACAAGGATCTGAGAGTACCGAGATTTCTGGACTCGGGGCGGGAAGAGTGTTGTGCAGGTCCTTGGTCGTGTCAGGAAACTTTCTAACCGGAATTCGTATGCATGGAGTGAAGCAGAAGCAGTAGTGGTGCTTGAAGAATCTGATTCATTGGTGGTGGTGGGTTGTTGGTTGAGAGAGGTGTAGAGTTCTTGTGCGATGGAATGTAGGATGGGATCGTCCTTGTTGTCAAAGACGAATGAGTGCGACATTGGTGGCGATTGGAAGAATGTCGATCCACCGTGTTTGTGTTTTGAATCAAAAAAAAAAAAAGGTGTCAAAAGCGCGTTTTCGTGCCTGTAAATAATTTGGCGGATGATAAAAGTCACAACGACCGTTAATCATCAAGATACGCCCAACCAACCGTTGGGATAACAACAGCCTCTACTCTCATTGTTAATCATACTAGGCGCCATGCTGGCTCCCAAATGATCACTTCAAGCTGACGCCTTCGTTCCTGGTTGTAGAATGACCCATGGTTGTTTTAATACAAAGTATGTTGGACGATATGCTGAATGAGATAAAAATACAATTGATCCTAACACTCCTCACTCCATGGTCATCATCTCCACTTCCTTTTCCCACTCTGCCCTATCCCTCTCCTCCCTCTCCCTCTCCTGCTCCCGCGCCTGCTGCTCATACTGAACAATAAGATCCCGGGTCAACAGAATCGCCTGCCGATAACTCCACAGATCCAATCCCTCCATCAATCTCGCACTCCTCGCCTCCAGAACCCAATGTCCTCCTCCTCCACCTTCTTTCCTGCCACTGTTCCTATCTGCTTCCACACTGCTGGAGGTGGAAGCGGTGTTGATGGAAGCGGAGTAAACGACCTCGCCCATGAACTGGTACAGCGCGTGCTTTTCAAACGCTTGTGCGTTCAAAAGTTGTGTATCGACCCACAGGATAACCTTTGGCGCCCGTCTCGGTTTGGTTGGATCCAATGTTGCATCAGGTCCTTCCTGGCCGTTGCACTCGTCCTCTTTACCATCAGCATGTAATGGAGCAGGATCCTCTTCATCATCGGACAAAACAATCAGTTCAACGCGTTTCTTGGCTGACACTCCCGCTTGTAGCTGCTGGTGGGTGGCACTGGTTGCAGGCTCGACAGTTTCCTCCTCACCCTCGCTGTCTGTGACCAAATCAATCGTCGTACTCTTGTTGTTGTTGTTGTTGTTGTTGTTGCTCTTCCCGTTTCCGTGAGACCTTACTCCTGGTTTTTGTTGTGGTTCAGGGGTGGACAACCAATGATGGAGGTCTTTCTTATTGCGCTGTGTGGCAGTCGTCCTGGGGCCAGGGGGGACGATGATGGGTTGAGACATGAACTCGTCATGGAAACATGACTCTATCTTCACGGTCTGTCCATCCATATCATACTCCACCACTCTATTATCCGTCAGGGGAAAAAAAAAAAAAAAAAAAAAAAAAAAGAAAACTATCAGTGAGTGCGCTCTTCTTCCTTTCCATTCTTTCCCCTACCCGCGATCAACAAAAAGACGAGATGACACTTGAGTCTTTTAGTGATGAATGCGTGTGTGTTTTGTGTTTGCTGATGAATTTACCGGCCAAGGATCCGATAGTAACCAGCACTGTGGACACGGCGAGGATCGAGTCGTTTGAGAGTCTCGTGTAGCTCATTTAGGAAGACTTGTTTGTGCTCCGGAGTCGTGTTTGTCTCCATGCCTCCATTGAGTCCAGGAGTTGGTGGAATCTTGGTAAACGCGGGAAGTGGGGGGCGTTAACGTTGAAAGAAAGAAGGTTATGAGTGTTGGGAGAAAAAAAAAAAAATGTAGTCAGGAAAGATGGGGACCGAAGATTTGCTCAAGTAAAAAAAGAAATGCCCAGACGCAATGCAAATTTTGTTGAGATGTTGTAAAAATATAAAGTATTATGTATTATTGTTGCTACAAGGATGTGTGTATGCATCATTTTTGTTGATTATTAGCGTTTCTCTGTTATGGTTGCTATGGTTGTTGTTGTGCATGGTTGTGGTAGTAGTGGTGGTGGTGGCGGCGGTCGAGAAAGAAGATGCTCAAGAACGGACAACAGCGGTGGTAGTATGGGCAGGAACTTGAGTGCGAGAGTCCCACATGAGGACAACAGCAGGAGCACCCGTCGCAGTCCGGTACTGGAACAGACACTTGTCCAGCCCAGCTTGACGGAAGCATTCTTGTGCAATCCACTCTTGGGCAGTCTCCAGCGTCAGCTTCATAAACAGGTACTTCAAGCCAGTGCACCGTGCCTTGATCAGTCCCAAGAAGGCGCTGCTCCCCGTCGATGCCACCAGTGCTGGTTGGTCAAAGGGAGTATCATCCTCAGCCGCAGGAGTAGAGGGAGGAGGAGGGCCGAAGGGGTGGTACTGTTGGACAAAGTTGTGGAACTGGGGGTGGTGAATGACGATGCTGGTGGGTTCTTGGAGGACGAGGTCGACAAGGTGTTTGGACTGGGCGAGGTAGAGGAGGAGGGCGTAGTCGGTGATGCCGCGGCAGTACAGTGTCAAACGACGGAGGGGAATCTGGGACAGACTTGAGAGAGCGGCATTGGCGTCGACAAGGTGGCACATTTGTGTGAACGGCACCGGAACTCCACCATCAGGGAGGATGTTGTCTGCTTGCTGCTGCTGAGGAGGAAGGACTGCAGCAGCATTAGGGGCTGGAACACCGGCCCCACCAAGACCTTGTTGCTGTTGTTGCTGCTGCTGCTGCTGCTGTTGGAGTTGAGCGGGGGTGAGGAAAGTATCGTGACCAAGGACATGCAGCTCTTGCAACTCACAGGGCTGATAATGTGCCCACGCCTCTAACACCCCATCCATCGCCAACGAGTTCAGGCATGACAGTGTCACCGACTTTATGCTCCTGCAATGCCTTGCAAACGCTGCCATCACATCCGTCAACTCCTGGTTTGTCTTGAAGTCCAACCCTTGGAAATCCACCGACAACAACCGACCACTCGACCGACTGGCCAAGGCAACAAAGGTCTCAAGGCCAATCCCCTGACAGGATCGGATCGAGAGACGTTCGAGGGGTTGGATGTGTTCAGCAAAGGCCAAAAGCTCCGATCCAGTCTTGTTCTTGTTGGGGTCACAGACCAGACCCATCAGGGCCAGACGCTTGAGGGAGAGGAGTGACCCTGCGAGGATCGAGAGGGGGATGGTCGGCTGGTGGATCGCAGGAAGTGTTGTTCTGGAAGACAAGGAGGACGACGATGATTTCTTGTCCATGCAGAGTGTAAGGTCAACGAGGGCATGGCAATGGTGAGCAATTGTGTGGAGAAGCCGGGGAGAGACCATGTCGCTATAGATAGATGTTGTCTTCTGGCGGTGTCGTCTCCTGCTCTGAGAGGACGAGTGGACCACAACTGACTGCGAGGGCGACAACGAAGAGGATGCTGAAGACGACGAAGAAGAACTGGACGAAGACGACGACGAAGACGACGACGAAGACGAGGAAGAGGAGGAAGAGGAGGAAGAGGAAGAAGAGGCAAGGGCCATGGTGGGATCTTCTTTGGACAATCCCGCCATCGCCAAGCTGTCGTCAAGAGCACTACTACTCCTGGGGGCCAAAGAGTCGATCCCTTGGCAGAGGTCCAGACTAGCAGGGTCGCCTCCAGCATGGTTACTACTGCTTCCAAAGAACGTGTTCGACAGCGCACCCGACTCGACAGAGGTCGACGACGCAGCATTGGCAGAGGCAACGACTGCAGCCAAGGGCAAAGAAGCCAAAGACGATCCAAGCGACATATCAAGCAGCGTAAGCGATTTTATCCGAAGCGCAGCCTTGTTGGTGAACAGCCCTTCTTCCATTGCATAGCCCTCGATGCCCATGCCGAGCTGTTGCAAGTGCTGAATCTGTTGTTGCTGTTGGAGGAGTCGCTGCTTTTGGTGTCGTTTGGTGAGGGTAGCAGAGAAATCAATCGCCTGATAAAACTGCGTGAGCTCGTCAAAGTTGGTCAGGGTCCTTTGTTGCCACAGCATACGGATGGCCTGGGGGTAAAACGCCCGGCAGGTCAGGCACAGGGCTAACATCGACAAGAGGTCATTTTGAATGTACACCCCCGAAACTCTTTTGTTCTTGTTCCGCCTTGTTGTCGCCCCTGAGGTTGTCGATTGGGGGTTTGACGTGATTGTTGTTTCGTCTTGTTGTTGCTGTTGTGTCTCACTAGTCGACGTAGTTGAAGAAAACGAAGAAGAAGATGATGACGACAATGAAGACGAAGAAGAGGAGGAGGATGGGGGCGAGGACAACGAGAATGACGACGTTGGTGTTGACAGATCCTGACTAGAAGACCGATCCTCCGACATACTCGCCATGGACGATTCCTGTTGACTCTGACCTTCTTGTTCCTCTAGTTGATTTTGTTGTTGTTGATGGGTGTGTGCCTGCGGGGAGGATGGTGGTGGTTGCATTTCATTATCGGACGCAGCAACCACAGAAGCAGCAGAGGAAGGAAGAGGACGATGAACCACTGGTGTAACATAGACATAGTGGAAAATCAAGGCCAACACCTCAGGGCAGAGACGGAGAATCGCCGGTCCCTTCTCCTTCTCCATCTCCACTTCCTCCACATCCACATCCATGCTAGAAGACGACACCATTTCTCGCTCTTCTGCTTCCACCTCTGCATCCACGATGTACCGCTCATCATCCTCCCGCTCCTGCTCCTGCTGTTGTTGCTGGTAATGGTGATTCTGCTTCTGGGTAGTCCTGAAGAGCCGCAGGCGGCGTCGTTCGGGTGTGCGGAGTGAGAGCGCCGTCTGTCCAGAATGGAATCTTCCTTTCATCGTTGATGCTCCTGCTGGTGCTGGTGCTGCGAGACTCGTTGCTGGGATGGGCATGGGCAAGGGGACGACTTCCCCTTGGCTGCGGATGTGAGGCAGGGAGGGTGATACTCTTGAAGCGGCCCTTGAACGATGTGACACAAGGCTGTTCTGGTAGGGACTTTTCCTGTGTGACCTGAGATCGAGCATGTTTGTTGGCATATCGGATATTAAGTATTAAAAAACGTGTGGTGGAAATTAAAAATGTTACAAGCGTAGAGAAATAAGATAAGGTAGGGAAAACAAAAGAGAAAGGGATGCGGATCTGGGGATGCGGAGAAGAGAAGGGTTATTTGAGAAAAGATGTCAAGGAAGGAGAGAGAAGGAGAAAGAGAAGGAGGCGAGGAAGGGGAGGAGGGGTGGGCGAAGGAGGGAGGGCGGAGACAGGTAGAGAGAGTGAGCGAGAAGGAGTCGGCGAAGGGAGACAAGGAAAAGATGAATGAAATAATGGAGGCGATAATGAAGAAGTGAGCGAAGGAGATGAGATGAAAGAGAGGTCGACAAAAGAAAAAAAGTGAACGGAAACAAAAAGAAACAAGGCAGCTACTTAATGTTTACAAGTTATAAACAAAGAAAGTAATTAGTTGCTGTAATGTATGATGTGTGGATCCCTCCCCCTCAGGTTGGTTTGTTGGGCGAGATGGGGATTGAATTGGTTGAGTGGGATGGGATGGGGGCGGATCGGATGAGATATGTGGGATGGGGTGCAGTAGGACAATGATGACAACAATGGACCATGGATAATGATGCACGGCACGCAATTTAGTTTTTTGAGGCACGCAGATGGGGGATATCGAATGTAGCGTGCTCCTTCGTCTCTGTTTGCTTTCTTTTCTTAATTACATACGATGCGATAACAGTACAAACAGACAAGAAGCGGGAAAAAAGGGAGGGAAGGAGAACAAAAGGGGAGAGACGGCAAAGCGATGATTGTGAAGGAGGGAGGGATGAGAGAGAAGCAGACAGGCAGGGAGAGAAAGGAGAGGTCGAAGGCAGAGAGGAAGAGAGGCGGTGTGAGGGGTGAGAGATAGCTTATTGCCAATGTGTCTCTTACCTATGAGTTCTTTGGGATAGGGATTCTAAAGTCGATGGTGTTGTTATGCGTTGAAGGACAAGTGAGGTGAGTGAAGTAGAACAAAACGGATTAAGGTGTGTAAAAAAAGGAGAAGGAAAAGAGGGGGGGTGGATGTTGTATTTAAAGTGCGAGAGTCAAGAGGGCAATGATGGTGTCAATGGGGCGGTAGGCAAGTGGGACAGGGGGATGGTTTTAAATAGCGGATAGTGGATATTGTTGAGGTGGCAGGGCGTTGTCATTATTATTATTGTTACAAAAGAATGGTCAGGGGAAGGAAAGAGGAGGCGATCATAAGTAGGAACGAAGGAAAAAAAAAGAAAGAAAAAAGGGTCATTCATTCAGGGTTTTATATCATGAAAAATGTAACATGCAGACCCTGGTTATGGTTATTGTTATCGTCAAAAGTGGATGTGATGGATAGTTGTGTGATTTGTTGTCAGTCAGTGGGGCGGCATGGAAGGAGGAGGGAAGAGAAGAAGAAGCAGGAAGAAAGTATAGAAAAAGGAGAAAGCGACGAGAGAGAAGAGAAGAGAAAGAGAGAAGAAAGAGGGACCTGATCAGGTCGTGTTCCGTCGTGTGAGTGACTGACTGAATGAATGGGCGAAGTAGAAAAAAATGTCCCAATCAAATGGTCAATTTTGAGTCAATCAGTGAGCGACCAGTCTCCAAGTGACAAAAAAAAATGCGGGGACCCGGCACGACGAACTGTCAATGACCGCCAAGATGTGGTAGTGGGATGACATGAAGGAGACAATTGAATGATGAGGGTAATTGGATTGAGGTAAATAAACGGTAAGGAGGAAGACGAGGAGCAGAGAAGGTTGTCATGGCTGTTGTAATTGTTACTTAGTCATTGACGAGCCGGATGGTTGTAATGGTGGTGACAGTTGTAATCGTTGAGTTGGGCGAAATGAGGTGGACGATGGGTTACACAAACAGCACAAAGAGAGCAGGAGAGCGCAATTGTGAGTTGTAATCCGGATTCTTTGTGGATGTAGATGAGGATGGCATATGAGTTGATAACACTTTGCTCAATTTGCCCACGAGAAAAAAAATGCCAAATGCTCGTGGTTCATCATTTGTGGTTGTCGTTGCAAATGAAATGAACAACGGATGGGCTGGGGACACAAAAACGGTCTGGGAGCACAAACTAAGGGAATGAAAAGCTCATCAAGAACAATGAATCCATCCAATCCATCCAATTAATATACAAATATGCACATACAACGATAATATCGCCACTTGGCAAAAGAGAAGGGGATCATTCCAGGCAGCGTGTTAGAACGAGCGATAACACTTTGTGGATAACGGAAACCCATCCACGCTCATCGTACGGCGCATGTACGCTGATGGAACTTCTTTCTTCATTTTCTTGAATTGCAATTGGTCCAATTTTGTGGCAAGCATTCACTTGCCTCGACTTGACTTGACTCGACCCGACCGACAGACAGACGGACCGAAGGACCCATGCATGCGTTGTGTCTATCTTTGGCATCGATAAAATGAATAAGGCAAAGGGCTGGCTGTAGCTAATTATTGTCACGTTTTGATATTAAAGTCATTGTTAGCGTTTTTTTCTTTTTTCTTTTTTGCCTTTGCCTGTTTGTCTGTTTGTCCGTCGGTCCCTTGTTCTCTCGCTTGCCGTCTGTTTGTGCATGCAAGGAAAAAAAGAAGAAAAAAACATTCAACCTTGTGAAGAGTTGCATGCACGATGAGCCATCGTCGTACAACACACAAATACATGCCTCTCAATTTTTAGTTTTTTTTCGTCTGTTTGTCCAACAGACAAATAAGAAAGAACGGATGTATCCCTCGCCTAGGAAGTAATAAAAACTTTGGACGGACAGACTGACAGGACATACGGGAGAAATGACCTCGTGAGCCTTGTCAGACTCACTAAGCTGTATGGCTGAGAGAGGACCATGTCCGTTTGGTACCTGGAAGAACAGCCTGTTTTGGAACCGACGGAAACAATAATTAAGAGCTAGCTACATCCGTTTCGACTCTTTCTGTATGTTATTTCTTTCTCTTTGTCTTGAGAGGTTTCTTTGTGTCTGAGCCGTATCAAAGCTCATCCTTCCAGAAGTACAAGTAAGAAGTGAGCCATGGTTACCATTGCTCTGTTTTTCATGGATATTTGCTTGACAAAGTGTCGTTAATTGTCTGGTAACACAATGCAAGTCATAAACAAGCCCCCTCGTACTCATCTCCCTTGCTTACCTTCTTTTGTGTTCCCTCCCTTTTTTTTGCTTGTTCTCCCCTTTGCGATACCGCTCCTATGAAGTAAGAAAAAGGGATAGGGAAGGAGAGGGGTAGGAAGGGGTCAAACGATGTGGGTTCTCCTGGCTGATGAACAAGCCCTCGCTCCCTCTCGTGTTGGCTTATGTGCAGCTGCCTTACGATTGGACAATCCGCTTTTGATAATGATCTTGTCCTATGGTCAATATATCTCTCATGCCATTCATTATGGTGAGCGATGGCATTTATTGTTTTTAGAGAGGACTTGAATCGCATGCAGTGCTGCTAACCTGGCCAGCGATGTAGATTGCGATGGACAGGTAACATGGCCTGAATCAAGTCCTTGACATGAGCATTGTTTCTCCAAGTGTATGTCTACCGCCGGCTCGGCAATGTATTCTTTGCCACGGCGTTTCTCTCAAGCCAGACATTCTAGTCGTCTTTGAAATGGACAAACGCACAGTCTCCGTGTCTGTCAATTGGCTACCTTATTCAAGAGGGGGTACAAATCAAGGAGACATGGGCCAGGGAGCCAACCGTGCGCTGACATGTCAGAAATTTGCGCTTGGGCCACATCCCTCCTGGCACCCGACATATCGGCATGGGTTCCCTTCGGGGTCACACAAACACATGCACATCATGCACATCTTCATACCCTCAGTCATTCGTCATGATATTAGAAGCTATGCCTATGTTTTCCTATCTTCAACAGACAACAATACATCGATCTGGAGATGTTCCTTCTGCACGAACTTGTGCTGATTCCGGCCTAGCACTGGGTCGGAAAGGAATGACAACAGATCTTTCTAGCTATTCGTGTCACAAATGTCCGTTGAGCTATGCGCGTGTATCTTAACGTCTATTCTCCTCCTCTCTCTCTCTCTCTCTTTCTCTTCCTCGTTTCCTACCTACCTGCACTCACCATCAACCACTTTTTTCTTCTTTTCATTATCTGCACCGTCGTCCTCATCCCTATACCTTTGTGTCTTGCAGATCTTTTCTCTTCCACTAATATTTCACCGGACCATCGACAGCAATACCCACCTCCATTCCTTATCCTTCTTCCCCTCCCCCACCACCCACCCCATCAATACCTCTGCTACATATCTAATTCCAGGACACCAAGGCAAAACAAAAACGACACAAAACGACCTCGCCACCCCCTCAACATGCAGAACGACGCGCTCAGAAAACTGACGGACGTCTTCTCTTACCCAGGAAGCTTCCTCAGCAAGGCCAAAAAAATCAAAAAGACAACCACCACAGGGTCTCAAGTTCACCCCGACAAGACCTCCATATCACCCACCACCTCAAATAACAACAACAGCAGCTCACCATTCTCGGAGGTGGCCAAATCGGCTCGTACGACTTCTGAAGAGAATCACCAGTTCTTGAGCGTGCACACCTCAGGAAAGGCACACAATCTTGCTACAGGTGTCTCTGGGATGCCGTCAAGTCACTCGGGAGGTAGTGTTTTAAAAAGCCCACTCAAAAACCCATTCCATACCATCGCTACGAACAGCAATAGCAACCACAGCAACAGCAATGGAGGCAACAAGAACGCGGGGCCGATAAGCCCAGGAGCGAACAAGTTCTTTACAAAGGAAGAGCCGCCGATTGTCCACTACCCGTTCTCGGTCTCGTCGCTGGATCAGTTCTCACCTCAACGACGGGGTTGGCTGCGGAATTGTCTTTCCCCTAGTGGGATTGCTGCAGCCGAAGAGGCGATGGCAACAGCGACGGCAGTTCTGAATAGCGATGTGCTGAAGTCAGAGACGGCATGGGATACTGTTGAAGGCTATCATCTTCGCCAGCAGCATCAATTAGCCAAACAGGCAGCTTGCAATATTCCCAACGAGGCGACTGGACTCTTGTTCGTCAAATGTAAGCCTCAAGGCCATGTCATTGCATTCTCCTTCTTGACCGTTGGAAGAAGAAAGGCATACACTGCGATACTAAACAACGGAAATGAATGTTGGTTGGATTTTAAATATGAACAAACAAACAAATAGTGCTGCAAGTGACGAACAAGGCGACGAGCAAGCTGTTTGACGTGGAATGGAGTCTCCGTATTGGCGATGTTGAGCGTACATCCTACCCTGCACGATCCTTCAAGGATAACCCGGGCAACACTGCCACCATGAACGAGGTATTCCTCTTGTAAGTTTGCCATTGTATCTGATTCTTCTGTATAACAATACTCGCTTCTAGATCGGATGATCCTTACTAACGTCTTCTTTTCCTTACCTCCCATCCATCCCTCGCCAATAGCGATGTGAATGAACCATTCCGGCTAGAGATGACAGTGACAGGTAACCCAGTCCCGACAAAGTTCGGCACCATGGCCGGATTCTCAAACACCCAAACCGCACAACTCGGAAACCTCGACCTTAACTTCTGTCTCGACCCTATGGAGCGATCGGTCAGGACCTACAAGCTGTGTCGTCCTACAGGGGATGATTCCCATAAGGGCAAGACGGATTGTGAGGTTGTGGTTATGATTGGGTTGCATGTTTTGGAGGAGCCGGTTGAGGACCGGACTTGGGAGACTGAGGCGCTTTATCAGGGATTCTTGACCGTCATGGCCCGCGGTGGTCGCGTCGCTGTACGTGCCTTTTGGTCTTTTATTGAAGCAGTTGCGAGTTGTATGTTGTGCAGTGATACTTGCTACTGATGCTATGTTGTCGTTTGCAACTTGTATGTCGAATAGTCGTGGAAGAGATACTGGGCTGTACTTGAGGGTCGCGCGCTCAAGCTCTACGATGCCGAGTACCAACTGGTAGGTTGCTTTTCTATCTGTTCTGTTCACATGTCTGCAGCGCAGTCACAATATCCAGACATCGAACTTCGCAACGCCCATTTTCACACCACCAACTAATCACCTTGCATTATTCACCTTTACCTTATCCCCCGATGTCCATACAATAGAAGAGGGATGTAATCGCAGTGATATCACTAGCACACGTCTCGCGAGTCCAACTCCCCGACTATGAAAAAGTTGACGTCGGCGCCAACGGCTTCTCCATGGCCATCAATCCCTTCGGCGTCGACTTCAAATCCACCTCCTCTTCCATCGACCCCTCAGAACTGGACTATTGTGTGTACGCATTCACAGACTCGTCTCACTTCCATGAAGTCTGGCTCGCACATCTGGAGGAAACAATTGAACAATATCAGGAGAATATGAATAAGAGGAACGAGATGGCGGTGGCGAGGATGAACAGGAGGGCGTTGCAGTCGTTGTCGAGGCATTCTTTCGAGACGAGCGGGTCGAGTGCTCCTGCGACACCGTCAGGGGATGCGTTGGAGGGGGAGGGTGGAGAGGCGGCGAGGGAGGAGTTGATTGATATCAAGTTTGTCTGGTAGTTGGGGTAAGGAGTTGTTTCTCATATTGGACACCGTACATGTAGTGAGTGAGGGGAAGTACACACAGAAAGAAAGAAAGAGAGAAAGAAAAAATACAAGGTTATGATACCATTTGACGAGTGGACCCAATGAATGGTGCTCTGATTTGGGGCTCGGAACGTGGTCGCTTCTCTGAAGGATAACAACAAAATGAGAAACGAAAAGGGGGCGAGAAGGAGGGGAATGGAAACCCATGGAACAATAGTTGGATGAATAATGAGCGAGCGATGTCGGGAGTGTTATCCGTGCTCAAGAACCCTTATTTTCTCTTGAGAGATTTGGTCTGGGTGCATCCCTCCCCATTCGCCCAGTGTGAAGGAAGCCGATTTGGTCGCACAAGCAACGGCTCTTTTCTTCCCTGTTGTCTCTCAACCATTTGCCCTTGCTGCCTGCACTTGCATACACACCTTTGCTTACTTATACGCCGAGAGAGAGAGATGATGATGATGATGATGGTGTGTCGGACTTCTCTTGAACGAATTATTCTTGAATGTGTTTGTGTGTGTGTGTGTGTATGTGGTGGGCTTTTTTTGTTCCCTTTCCCACTCTTGAGGAGCGAGGGTGTTGATTGGTCGGTTCCCATCTTGCCTGCCATTCTGCCTGGGGATGAATGAGAGCCAGCCAACGCATCCAGGGACAATGGAGATGGATCGATCACTACGCAGCAGTCTCAACTTGTCTTACACAGGTGTAGTACGTAATTTATGATATCAATCTTGGTTGTCCACTCGACTCTTTATTGCTTCTTTTTTCTCTCTCTTGTTCTTGTTCTTGTTCTTGTTCTTTATCCCTTCTTTCCTCTCGTCGACACGCAAGAAAAGGATCTCCCACCAACCCATCACCAACCAGCACACCGAACACCTGCTCTTCCCGAAGGTATATATTCATCGACAGCAACGAACCAATGGAATACATCTCTGCTCATCGACGCTCATCAGTAGGAGGATGAGGAGAAGGAGGTGGAGGCGTAAAACAGAAAGAGACGCATACAGGACATACACGCTGGAGGGATCTGATCACTCAAAAATACTCATCTCTCATCTTCTCCTTCGTCCTTCCTTCCTCGAAAATAGAACACTTGTCTTCGATACCCTTCTCCTCTTGCACCGCTTTCTGAACCGGATCCGACACTAGACACACATATAACATATTATGAACGACTCTTTCACCAGATCACCCAAGGTGGTCCTGGACCACTTCAAAGTCGACGCCAACAAGGGTCTCAACGACAGCCAGGTCGCCGCCGGTCTGGAGCAATATGGCAAAAACGGTACGTTCTATCAAGCTGGACGGAGATAGTAAAGTGTGGTTCTATCTGTGTGCATGAATAGGAGAGTTTCTTTATTTTGGCACAGACACTGGGGAGGACAGGTCGCGATGAAAATAGTTGGTTGATGCGAATGGGTTTAGTCATCATCTTACAATCTTGAAATCGAAGACTATGTACATCTCTTCTCTTGCGAGATGAACTCGTTTTCTTTCGTCCCATCTGCGTCATTTTTTTTTCTTTGGCCTGTTCGTTTGGGTTCGGACTTTTCTTTATCCTCTTCAGTGTGTGTTGTATGGGTGGTGCGGGAAGTAGGTATCAATAAGAGTAACGATTGACAATGGTTGACTGACTCTTTCCACTTCTTCTCTCTCTCTTTCTATATCTTCTCTCGTCCTGTTGGTCGTCACTCGTGCCATGTTCGTCTGTCACTTGTGCCTTCCTCTACTTTCACCTGCTTATCTGTCTGATACTAATATGTGTGCGATCGATACGATGTGCCTGAAAATTGTTTAATTTTCTTGGTCGAACCACTCATGGATAACAACAACAACTTGCTACGCCTCGGCCGTCTACTTGTTGTTTTATGCTTCATCTCGTCTCTCGGATTATAACGCTGGATCATCAACGACGACTCGATTCTTTATGAAACGAAAAACAAAACAGAGCTCCCCGAGGAAGAACCCACCCCTCTGTGGGAGATGATTCTGGAGCAGTTCAAGGATCAGCTCGTCATTATCCTTCTTGTTGCCGCCGCCGTCTCCCTCGTCCTCGCCATATTGGAGGAGGACGACTCGGGCACTGCCTTTGTCGAACCTATTGTTATTCTCTTGATCCTCATCGCCAACGCTGCCGTCGGTGTCATCCAGGAATCGAACGCTGAAAAGGCCATTGAGGTATTTTACTTGTTTGAATAATTTTTGTATTATTGTTTTTGATTTGCTGTTGAGGGTGCTGTTGCTGTTGTGGTCTAAATGTATTGGATGTGCCCTTTTTGGCTCCCTGGTCTCTCACTCAAAAAAGGCGTTAGTCCCTGACATCCCTCCTTCTTGGCTTATTCCCCGTCCCCCCGCCTCCTTATCCTCTGCTCTAACAGTTCTTGTTTGCTTCGTGTGTCAAATCACAAAAATAGGCCCTGAAGGAGTACTCGCCCCATGAGGCCAAGGTCCTCCGCAATGGATCGGTTGCCAAGGTTCACGCCACCGAGATTGTTCCCGGTGATATTATTGAGGTTGCCGTCGGTGACAAGATCCCCGCCGATTGCCGTGTTCTCGAGATTCCCTCCTCCAACTTCCGTGTCGATCAGGCTCTCTTGACCGGCGAGTCCGTCTCTGTCAACAAGGTCACCGACATTGTCTCCGACCACCGCGCCGTCAAGCAAGATCAGATCAACATGCTCTTCTCTGGAACTACCGTCGTCCTCGGAAAGGCAAAGGCCATCGTTGTCCAGACCGGAACCGAGACTGCCATTGGTGACATCCACAAGTCGATTACTTCCCAGGAATCCGAGAAGACCCCTCTCAAGCGCAAGCTCGACGAGTTTGGTGACAGTCTCGCAAAGGTCATCTCCGTCATCTGTATCCTCGTCTGGTTGGTTAACATCCGTCACTTCAACGACCCCTCTCACCAGGGCTGGCTCAAGGGTGCCATCTACTACTTCAAGATCGCCGTCGCTTTGGCCGTTGCTGCCATTCCCGAGGGTCTCTCTGTTGTCATTACCACCTGCCTTGCTCTCGGAACCAAGAAGATGGCCAAAAAGAACGCCATTGTCCGCTCCCTTCCCTCGGTCGAGACTCTTGGCTGCACCAGTGTTATTTGCTCCGACAAGACCGGTACCTTGACCACCAACCAGATGAGCGTCGCTCGCGTCTTGGTTATCGACAACAACGCCGGAAAGGTCGCCGAGTACCAGGTTCAGGGATCCAGCTTCAGCCCTATTGGTGACATTTTGAACGCGGACGGCAAGACCATCTCTTCCCTCTCGACTGTTTCCCAGACTTTGAATGACGTCGCCCAGATCTGCGCCATCTGCAACCACTCGACCATCGCCTACAACTCGGAGAACGACACCTACATCAACGTTGGAGAGCCCACTGAGGCCGCCTTGAAGGTCTTGGTCGAGAAGATGGGAACTGATGATGCTGCCACCAATGTCTCTTTGGATAACCTCTCTCCCTCGAAGCGTGTCGATGCCTGCAACCAATACTACGCCGAACGCGTCAAGACGTTGGCCACCCTCGATTTCTCTCGTGATCGCAAGTCGATGAGTGTTTTGGTTGCCAAGACTGCCTCTGACCGCCGTACCCGCTCAGGTGCCACCGGTGCCGCTTCTGCCTCTCTTCTTGTCAAGGGTGCCCCCGAGTCCATCTTGGAGCGCTGCACCTCTGTTCGTCTGTCTGCCGCCGGTGAGGTTGTCCCCTTGACCGCTGCTATCCGTGCCACCATCTTGGAGCGTGTTTTGGATTATGGCGAGGGCCAGGCCCTCCGCTGTCTCGGTCTCGCCGTTGTCGAGAACAAGTCCGCCAACCTGTCTGACTACAACCTCAAGGAGCCCGAGAACTTCCACTTGTATGAGAAGGACATGACCTTTATCGGTCTCGTTGCCATGTTGGACCCCCCTCGCCCCGAAGTTGCTGCCGCCATTGCCAAGTGCAAGACTGCTGGTATCCGCGTCATTGTCATTACCGGAGATAACAAGAACACTGCCGAGTCGATCTGCCGCAAGATTGGTGTCTTCTCCAAGCACGAGGATCTTACTGGAAAGAGTTACACTGGACGCGAGTTTGACGATTTAAGCGAGAAGGAGCAGCGTTTGGCCGTTAGCCGTGCGTCCCTCTTCTCCCGTACCGAGCCCACCCACAAGAGCAAGTTGGTCGACCTTTTGCAATCCATGGGTGAGGTTGTTGCTATGACTGGTGACGGTGTCAACGATGCCCCCGCTCTCAAGAAGGCTGACATTGGTATTGCTATGGGATCTGGAACTGACGTTGCCAAGTTGGCCGCCGACATGATTCTTGCTGACGACAACTTTGCCAGTATCGAGGCCGCCGTCGAGGAGGGTCGCTCGATCTACAACAACACCAAGCAGTTCATCCGTTACTTGATCAGTTCCAACATTGGAGAGGTCGTCTCGATCTTCTTGACTGTCCTCCTCGGTATGCCCGAGGCCCTGATTCCCGTCCAGCTTCTCTGGGTCAACTTGGTTACCGATGGTCTTCCTGCTACCGCTCTTGGCTTCAACCCTCCCGATAACGAAATCATGCGTCAGCCCCCACGCAACTCGCGTGAGCCCCTTGTCGGTGGTTGGTTGTTCTTCCGTTACATGATCGTTGGTATCTACGTCGGAGCTGCTACCGTCTTTGGTTATGCCTGGTGGTTTATGTTCTACTCTCAGGGTCCCCAGATCAGTTTCTACCATTTGTCGAACTTCCACCAATGCAGCGCCCTCTTCCCCGAAATTGGTTGCCAGATGTTCACCGACTTTATGTCTAAGAAGGCCACCACCATGTCGCTCTCGATCCTGGTCACCATTGAGATGTTCAACGCCATTAACTCTCTTTCTGAGAACGAGTCCTTGTTGACCCTCCCCCTCTGGAACAACATGTACCTCGTTTTCAGCATTATCCTCTCTATGGCCCTTCACTTTATGATCCTCTACGTTCCCTTCTTCTCCGTAAGTTTGTCTGCTTTAATCTTTTCGCGATTTGCCGATTGGTATTCTTGTTTGTATTGTTGACTAACATGTCCTATTTAATTGTTTGAACCACTTAGAACTTGTTCATGATTCTTCCCTTGAACGTTGAGGAGTGGAAGGCTGTTGTCTACATCTCGCTTCCCGTCATTTTCATCGATGAGATCCTCAAGTTTATCAGCAGGACCTTTATCTCGCCTGCCGCCAAGAAAATTAAGCAGGATTAGAAGACCTTCACTTACACAACTCTATGGTCGCGGAGGGGATATCACAGGAAAGACAGGAGCTGAGTTGGGTGTGGTTTGGTGACCTTTCCTAGATGCAAAGACTTTGCCCTGGCCATCAACCAGCATCCAGCAAGGCGCTCATATTTTTTTTGTCTTCTCCTTGGCCATGGGCGATGGAGCCTGAGGTTTCTTTTTTCTTTGTTCTTTCTCGTTTCACCTAGTAGAAAACCTTTTAATTCCAAAACTAGCTTTATCATTATTTATCCATTCGTTTGTTTTTGCTGTTTTCATAAAAGCTTCTTTGTCTTTTATTCATTTGATGAGCTGGCCGAACATGAAACTTGAGTTGATGTTGTGAGTGCGCATGAAAGTACTAGGAACTTTCACGCGACATAGACGTCCTCTGAGTGCGGCAGACAGTCAAAGGTGAGCAGAAATTGAAAGAGAGAGAGAAAGACAGAGATTGAGCAAGGATGGCCATCGCATCGTAACGATTTTTATTGTGTTGTAGCTACTCCTGGCTCTTTTTAAAAGTAAGGAAAAAAAAAAGGAGGCGTTCTTTGTCGATGGCATTTGAAATTTGTAAGTGGTGTTAGAAATGGCTGATGTGAACGAGTACCCATTGGGTGCCGGTGCTCAGTTGGTGCCTTGAGCCCTTTCGAACTGAATGCTGACAAGGCTTCTTCAAGTGAGTGTTGGTTAGTTTGTGGATGACAGAGGAAGGGAGCGTGAGGATTGATTGATGAAAGACGCAGCCAATCACTACGCGTGAGCTGATGAATGCTGGTGCTCCGCCACGCGTTTTTAGGTTTGTGTGCCTTTTTTTTTTCTTTCTGTTTTTGTGCGTCTGCCTTTTCCTTATGCCATTCTGTAGGTTCACCCTAACATAGAAACACAGGAAGGCGAGAGCAAAGTAGTACACATGTAGATGAGAGAAGAGACAGATGGGCATATCGGGATGAATGGTGTTATTGTATCTCACCGTGTTGTTTGTTTGTTTGCTCACTCGTTATTCACCGAACCTGAATCCTTTTGTCTAGAAATTGCTCGCCTCCCGACCCCCTTTCTGCGCTTTTTTTCATGCGGTAAGTTGCTGTTCATAACCTCAGTCACCCCTGTCTTTCTCTCGCTCTGTCTCTGTTATTGCTTCGTTTTTTTTTCTCGCTATGTGCCTGACTGACTGTGCTGATGACTCTCTCTCAAATAAACCGACCATTAATTTTTCTCCTTCCTTTACCTTCTTTGCAGCTTTGAACCAAGGAGAATGAACAGCAAAAGGCAAATTCATGCAGCAGATAGAGAACGTCGCTCTCTTCGTCTTCCTCCTTTTTTTCCTTACTTTCTGTCTTTCTTGGTGAATCTCCTCTTTCTCCTCGTTCTTCTTATCTCAGCCGTGCCTGTTCTTTTTCTTCCTTCCTTCAGGAGCGGGAGGACTAGGAGGAAGAAAAAAAATAAAGGGAGCAACAACCAAAAAAAAAGGGTCGTCCGTTTGCATTTGACACCGACAGACAGAGCACGCATTGGTGACCATAGCAACAGCGGCAAAGAGAAATAGGTCGACCATTCTTGGCGCTCCTCTTCTTCCTCCTCCTTGGATGGTTGCCATTGTGTTTATGAGTGCTCGTCTCTCCTTCACTTACTTACCTTTTCTCTCACTGGTCCTTGCCTGGTTTTCGTCATCTTGGTTTCTTATGCACAATCCTTTATTTTGGATTGTTCATGGTTGCCATTTCTTCCTCTTTCTTTTCTTCTTTCTTCCCTCTTTCATTTTCTCTCTTTTGGCTTTCCTACCTCTGGACACTCTTTGGATACCATTCTCCCCTCCACCAACCTTCCTCCGTGCATCTGGAGTTACAGCCTCAGCCTTGATTTTCTCAGAATAAAGGTTTGTTATTGAATTCTCTTCCCCCTCTTCCTCCTGCTGGAGCCACCACCACCTATACCATCACATCTCCTCCTCCACCCTATCTCTTTTTCCTTCTCACTCAACCACCACCGTCCACGTCTACTTCACTAAAACAGTGTCTCACCACAACCGCAGCTCATCTGCTTTGCGACCTCATTGCATAAGCGCGCGAACCCAAGCAACAGAGCCCTTTCTGGATGATCAGCGCACTACGCACGATATTCTCACTTGCGCTTAACCACATTTTGCCCGCGACACTCGTACGAAAACCATACCTCTTTCCAACTACTACCACCCCAACACCTACATCTACTGCCATCAGATCTACTACAATCCACTCCATTCACTACTGCACCATCTCCGGCCAAGAATCACCAACCCGGACATCTCAGGATAGATGGACAAAAATGTGTGAGGTGCAGCATCACAAGCACAAAAAAAAAGCATAGACCCTTTATTCCTCCTTCGCCCAAAGCAAAATATCCAGACCCCGACATTACACAAATCTTTTAGCGCTTTTCCTTCCCGCCCTTGCTTTTGTATTTTTTATTCGACCTTTAGGCGACCCTATTTAACTTGTCTTTCTACTTTCTACCTCTCCTATTTTTTTCTGTCTCTTATTGTCTCTTCACCTCTCTCGATTTCATGCTTACGTTTGTTGTTTCTTTTCACTCCCTCCCCTATTTTTTTCCCTCTCTCGCCAGCTCAGGGTACCCCGTCTATAATCGACAACGTACATTCTAGGGAGTCCGGCATAACAACACAACAAAAACAACGATCATTCCCCCCCCCCCCCCCCCCCCCCCCCCCCATCGCTGCTCTTCACAACAAAGACCAAACACAAGAACAAAGAAAAGAGACACACTCCGTCTATCAAGAACTCACTCCTAACTTCACCATCTATCAACACGCTTAAGCCAAACAGCAGCATACATTTCTCACACACACACACACACACTCTCTCTCTCCATCTCTTCAACGCCACACACAAGCAGAGATAACCGACAGACAACAATCAATCACAACACACAAACAACAACAAAAAAAACCCCCCCAACCCTCAGAAGCAAGAGACAAAAAAACAAAGATGCTGCAGTCCAGGACGATTTCGGCACCAATTCCTGTACCGGGTACACAACAAGAACCCACAACACCCTCTCTCGGCTCAACAACAAGCTCGACCTTCATCCATCTCAACAGCAAAAACAGTAGCGACTTGCTTAAAAACAACAGTAGCAGCGGCGCTCGGATCGCCACCACCATCGGCACATCCACCCCCGTAGGCCTCGGCGTCGACATTGGCAGCAACAACAGCCATCTGAGTAGTAACAGCAGCAACGCGAGTAAAGATGGCGGCAAGGACGGCGGAAAGGATAGCAAAAACAACAACAACAACTACAGCTACAGCAACCCAAGAAGCCTGCGTCGGTTCTCGAGTATCGGCAACACCAAGAAGCTCCACCTCGAGAACTCGACCCTTCGTTCGAAAATCACGGAACTCGAACGGTACGTCCAAGGCCTCAAGGAGGAACTCATCCTGGCCCATCGACAGATCCAAGCCAAGAACTTGGAGGCCAAGACCTCACAGGAGCGAAAGGCGGTCGAGATCCATGAGTTGGGGCAGCATATCCAGCGGTGTGAGTCTGATTTGTTGGCAAAGACGGCCGAGTGTGAGGCGTTGCAGAATAAGCTGCAGTACCAGACCAAGGAGCAGGTTTCAAAGTTGAAGCATATTAATATGTTGGAGACAGAGATTATGGATTATCGACGGATGTCGGTCATGAGTGGGCATGGGCCTGCTTCTGCGACGGGGACGGGACCGGGGACGACTGGGCTAGGGGGGATGATGGCGGCGAGAGGGGGCAGTGTGTTGATCAGGAATAGCAGGAACTCGTCGGATTCGACGGAGAGTGTTCGGTCGTCGACGGTTCTTCAGGATAGTGCGGCGATGGTTGAGGAGGCGACAGCAGTTCTGCAGGCTCAGATCAAGCAGCTCAAAGACGAGCACTGGAAAAAGGATGAGCAGATCAAGGAGATGTCGGAAAAGATCCAGTCCTTAGCTGATAGTGTCGCCCAGCTCGAGAAGGCCACCTCTGCTGCTGCTGATGTTGTGAAGGAGGAGGATGCGAAGACGATTATGACACCGACAACATCGACGACAGATAAGAACAACATCGTCTCCGTCTCCACCTCAAACGCTAGCTTCAACACCGCCATCTCCGGAGGAGTCGGAGCCACCAGCAGCAGTGCCTCTCACTCTTCCTCGTCTATCTCGATTGTCAACAGTGTCGGGTATAATCTGGCGGTCGAGCACCCCAAACTCCTTTCGCGTTACCAAGCTCTCCGTGCCCTGCATGCCCAAGCCTCAGAGTACCTTGATCAACTCGAGACTGAGAACCAGGACTTGAAGGTTCAACTCCTTGATGTCTCTGAGAGTGTTGTCGACGCTGCTGAGGAGACTTTGGATGTCGCCACACCGAATGTCGGGAGCCTCAGGCCTATCGTCACCTTCTTCGCATCTCTGCCAACTACCAAGGAGGAAGAGGAAGTTGAAGAAGTCGAGGAGGCCTCCACACCAACCGTCCCCGAAACTGCTCCTGCGGTCGTCACAGCTATCGCGCTCTCCATCTCCCGCAACTCGCTCCATCACCCAGCCGCCTCAAACCTGGCCCCCCTCGACACCATCGCCGCCAACGCCAATGCTGAGACAACCAATGAGCACGCTGCCACCTCTGCAACCTCCAGCAATGACGATGAAGGATCGCCCCCAACCTCGGCAGCAACATCTTCCGGTTCCCCCTCAACAGTCGTTGCAGCCCCAGCCTTGACCCGCAAGTCCTCCCTCCGCTACCCACGTGATGGGCAGGTGTCGCCTACCCTCCACGCCGTCTCTACCCTCAACACGCCTTGAGTTGTTTATTTATTCAAGTGACATTACTTCCACTTGCTCCCTTCCTTTTCCTTTTCTTTTCCTTTTCCTTTTCCTTTTCCTTTTCCTTAATTCCTTTCTTATTTTATCTTTCCTTGCTCCAACAAAATTTCAAACGACTAATCTTCCACAAACCCTTCCCCCTCCTCCATCCAACACAGCAAAAACCAACCTTACAAACACAAATGGGCTACCCCAGATTATATATATATATACATTATTGTTTTCATGCTGAGCTTCGCGAATAAAGTCTTCCAGAAAAAATATTAACTCATGTGTGATAGGAATGAAAGAAAAAGACGTCTACTCTAAGGTCGGCAACTAGTGGCGGTCCAGAGACTTGGAGAGATAGCCCAAGGGCAAATAATCTTTCCTTAGTGACAGTATTATCAACACGGTACATTGTGTGTGTGAAGGGAAGGGGCACCTACGATTCAGACAACGGTACGATTCAGACAATGGTACGATGGGACATATTTTAAGGTTTATACTTTCTGCCGGTACCTGCGCGTCGGAAGCCAGAGAGAGAGAGAGGAAAGTGAGCGGAGAAGGAGGGGAGAGAAAGGAGAGAGAGAGAGTTGATGACGACAGTTGGGCTGTAGTGTTTTAGCCGTTCTTTTAATTCCTTAATGCGCGATATGAGCTCTTGACAGAACAAAGGACTCGGGGGTTGTCAAATTGTTACCCAGCGAAGATCCAACAAACAACAAAACAAATGCCCCCCACTCCCCCCCCCCACAGATTCTCTTTCCTCAAGGAAAATCAAAAATCCATCTTGGCGCTGCATGCCGGTGCCCCACCAAAGAAAACACGGTGTCGTAGGAAGTGGAGGCGCATACCAGATACGAGTTGACGTGTACGGGTCCCAATGTACAGTACAGTCACGTCCCAAAATGTATCGAACTATTGTTTTAGAACAGAGGAAAAGAATTCATTCGAGAGATGGTAGCCGTGCGGGTACTAAGGGATTATAGTACCAGCACCTTGGGCCCGCTTTTGAAGTAGCTCTTTTGAATTGATCATATGATCCAATTCAAACGTTTTCTATTTCTTAGTACGGTACATTTTGGGAGGGCACTGTGCATAGATGGCAAGTCATCTAGGCAAGCTGCCACTACGACATTCTCGGTTCCTTCATCTTCCTTACGTTATTTACCATGAGCAAATAGGGCCTGATACTGATTCGATTCCAATTCGTTTTTCCTCGCAAGTTTGGTGGCGTCTTCAGCATCAGCGAGCACATCCGCGTCATCCTGGCTATCCCTCACCATCATCGATGGAGGTAAGCAACTTATCAAATGGGTTGGTTCAAAGACTCATTCTGACTCGTTCATGTGCTCTACCTGCATTGACGTAAACAATTCTTTGTCCACCGCTTTACTAGCTGGCCAAAAGCATCCACGCGATCCTGGGGAAGAACTGGTCGAGGCATTACCTAAAACACCCCGCAACAGATGTGAGCACAATTTCATATGACAAGGCTCTAGAATGACCCAGGAGGCTATGATGGCTGATCCTTCTCACACCTATTTTTATTATTCTTTCGAATAGCTCTATCCTCCACCATTGTGCCCTCGGAGGATATTGATAGTCTGCCCATGGTTCAGTCCGGTCGCGGTCTTTCCGATCCTTTTCAGGATAACGACACAGATCAAGCAGATGATGAGGAGCAATTGGATGTGGCGAAGAAGACGAGAACGGCGGGCAAGACCTTCTCAACAAGTCAAGTGGTGGGATCAATAAGTCCAACAACATCAAGCTCAAAGAGCCCTGGCATATACTTGCAACCTCAGCAATCTCACTTGTAAGCATTGATCACTGTCTATTTTGTTCTTGTTTTGTTCTGACCGATTTTAAGGCACTCAACCGGATTTTGATTACACCGGCTTTTTTTAGTTTTATGGTCAAAGCGTTGTCATCGTCGTCATCGCTGTAGCTGTTACTGTCCTGCTTGTTGTTTCGTTTCTCTGAATTCATGACTTAAAATCGTGGTTACAAAAAAAAAAGATCAGAAATGGAACCAAATGTAATGTTAGTATATACTTGGTGTGTTTGAAACAACACTCCACTTTCCGCCCTCCCGCCGCGAAAGCTAAACAAAAGACCAGCTAAAAAAAGAACCAGTGATGGCACGTCCTAGCATTCTAACGCAGATTATCGCCCTGTCCTAACTCCACTCTCTCCCCCCCCCCCGCTGCATGGCTAAACAGGGGACCAGCTAAGAGAGAACCAGTTTTTTTAAGACCAAACACAAACCAGGTCTTCATGCTCAATGCTAGATCAAAAAATCATAATCATTGCATAAAAATATTACATGCGTCTGTGAGAGAGTGTCAGTTTTGATTGACAACCGGCGTGGTGAAGACAGAAGACAGAGATGTGGTGATAAAATGTGGTGGATGATGAAAAAGGCGTGGGGGTGATAAAGCGAGAGATGAAGGCAAAGACGATGGAAGTAGTAATGAGAAGGCGTGAGAGAAAATACTGGCTTAAGGAAACAGGACAATGCGCGAGGATTACGTCATCGAAGTGAGTGAATCGCCCCGCCCCAACTCGAGGTCTAAATGCTAAAATAGGAAATCCAATGCAAAATGCTACTCTCTTGTTCGATTGACTTGACTGCGCTCTCTCGCTTCCTGCCTCTCGCTTGACCCCCTTCTGCCCTCCATACCCTCCAGGGCGTGGCCTGGAACTGCGCTTGTCCTGCATCCAGGGATAGTTTCCGTCACTGTCCTGGGGTTGGAGGTAGAGCGGCCGCTGTTGCTCGAGCAAGTGTCCTCGAATGGCATTACACATGTTGTGGCCGGCCATGATGTCGCGGTGGATGTACTTTTGACACTTTGAACAATACAGACGGCGGAGGTCATCTTGGCCAACGACCTCTCTACAAGTCGGGCATTTCTTTGAAGTGTAATACTCATTGACGCCAACGAGATGTAGCCAAGAGATCGGGCCTGAAAAAAAGCATGCAAAGATGATAATCTGGTCTTCGAGGAAAACTTCCCAAGACCCACGCCAATAACGACCTTGTTGTCCTCGTCTCTCTTGGCCCCTGTCGATCCTCCAACAAGCTGTAAAAGACGATCGGCGATCAATCTATACCCCTCTGCTCGAGCCTTCCTAGCGTTCCACTTGTGCTTCTTCAGGACAACACTGCCATAGAAGAATCGAGATGACCCTTCACTTCCCGCTCTCTCTCTGTATAGTTGCTGATACTCGCCTCTGGGCCACGACAAGAAGGTAGGCTGGTCTCAATTTGGCTGACGGAAGCTCCCCCTCAACTATTGCCCTTTCTTACGCTCCAGCCATCATCTGTGCTTGAAGGTAGGTTGGTAGACAGCCTTCTGCTTGACAACCAAATTGAAAAACTCGGCAACGGTCCCTCGGCCTGCTCATTCTCCTCTGCCTCATTACTCGACAGCGACGACTCCAAGGTAGTGGGGCCAGACTCTTGTCCTTGTTCGACGTTCGGCTGTTCGCGTGTGGGTAGAATCGCACTTACTCCAACGACAAATGCTTGGCCCAAGTCAATGCCGAGGATCTTGATACCCTTGGGTTGGCAAATTCAGAGCTGGGTGACATCCTGCTTGGTCGAAACGATATTCCTGATCTCCGTCAAAAAATAATCTGTGCCGCCAACGGCGGATGTTAGTCGAGAAGGCAGCTTATCCGTGGGTGGTCGTCTGTACACGTACTTGATTTTTTTTTTTCGTCGTTGACCTTTCTAGTTGTTTATCGTTCTCGCAGCGATGAGCTCTGAGGTTTCATTTTTCTTCAATGTCTGGCAGGCCGTTTGTTTTGGCTATTATCTCCAGGAAAATATCGCCACTGTTACTGGCCGTTACATGTTTTGGTGGTTCGCGAAGAAGGTTAGTCAATAGACAGGTGAGAATATTTTTTTTTCTAGCTTTCAAGCGCGTGTAGGTGGCGCGTTGTTACATTACGCGTTTAATTTTTTATACTATCTATTCCCTGCACCGTGACCTGTTTGTGTTCTGCTCTGTGAACCTTTTTTTTTCGATTCATGTGATGTGTGGGCTGGTTCCTCCTTTCTAACTCTATCATCCCTCTAATCTCCTGATACTGTGCTTCTTTTCTTTTCTTGAGCTGTGCCATCATAGTTCCCCACTCTCAATTCTTCTTCCTGAGATGTGAGCAAGGCGTACCAAGTGTGTTCCAACGATATTTTCTTCCTCACATACGTTTAACACCTATAGTGCACGGCGCGCCTGCGAAGGAAATTTGAAATATTAAGCGTTTATTTTTGAAGTCTTCCTCTGCCTGCCAGAGTCGTCCGCGCTCCATCAGTCATCATCCTCGTCACTACTAGAATCGTACGCGACAAGTCCCACAAGCCCTTTGGGTTTTGTATCCTTCCCTGACCCCGCTCCTACTCCTAATGCTGATACTGATCCTGTAGACGTAGTATCCGCCTTGGCCTTTTTCGTTTCCGACTCCCGACTCTCCTCTTCCTCGTTCTCGTCTTTATCTGTTGACTCGTCCAGTTTCCGCTTACCAACCGCTTTGATATCCTTTGATTCCGACCCTATAGTGGTTGTTGTTGTCGATTCTGCTTTTGAATCGGGCTTGGCGACAAGTCCAGCAAACAATGACTTTTTCCTCTTGGTGGGTCCTGATGACAATGGTGCAAAGTAGGTCGGTTTTGGTGCTGATGACGAGCCTCCATCTGTGTCTAGTAGCGGTGCCGGTGCCGTCGACGCTTTCGATTTCACATTCCTATGAAGTGTCACAAGTGAGCGATAAGAAATGTTAAGTATGACACTCCTTTCTTCTTTGAATCTGGGTGTCGGTGTTGGCGGCGGTGGTGGTGGTTAAGCAGATGATCCTTTGTTGCGATTCCTTACATGCGAAAGTTCTTGAGCTCCTCTGCTTCCTGCTCAGCCTGCTCCCGCTTCTTCTTTGCGTCTTCGTCCTCCAACGAGCTCAAAAAGTCGAATTCGTCGTTATCGATCTTGTGGATGAGGTTGCCTAAGTAAATAATACGACACGAGATGCAAGTGACGTTAGTGCCAGGCAAAAAAAAACACAAAGTAAACTGGGCATTGGCGGTTACGAAAAGCTTTGGATCTACAAAAACTGCAAATAGCGGTACCGAATTTGGTGGCCTCAGCAAAGGCATCGGTCTTCTTTTGTCTCTGCTCCTGGAGTCGTTCATAGAGTGTTCGAGGATCGTAGGGAACCTCTTCCTGGATCGGTGGCGGATCTAAAATAAGCGGACCGAAATTTAAAATGTCAAACTGTGGTTGCGATACGCTGTGATGTATTGCGGTTGGGTGGGACCAAGCTCCCTGAGGGATAACTTACTCTCGTTGTTGGCGTATGCCTTATCCCACTCCTCCTTGCGCGACTTGCGGGCTTCATCTAGTTCACCTATTCAATGCAAGGACCGACGATGGGACGAAGGTTATTTTTTCATGGTTCGTCTTCGCATTCTTGTCCCGCACATTGTTTAGGTCATTGCATCTGAATGTTTGGCATCCTGAGGGGTTGTTCATGAACATGCCTGCGCTGACGAATTTGGACGACATGGATCGCTATGGCCTTTCTGTGCTTCCTGTGGTTTGAGAGTGGCAATGAAGAGAGGGAATCGCCTTCGGTGTTCATACCTTCTGTGAGGTTCAAGGAAAAAAAAAAAGGGATTTCATTGGGTGGCTTGTGCTAGATCCACGTGTGCGTGCTATGAAAAATATCTAATGCCCTGCAGAAACCGATGCGCTCTCGAGGTCTCGCCCACTTGCAGATTCCTGGCCTGTCGTCGGGTTGACATACCATCCAGTCGCCGAAGTCAACAGTCCCTGCCGCTCGTCATGCCCAGCCTCGCTCTCAACCTTCTGCGCATATTGATCCGTCCGGTTCCTGTACAGAACATAATGTTGCGTAATAAACACCAGATCAAATGCAATACTCAAAAACCCCAACCCAAACTTGACAGGATCACCCGAGATCCCCGACCAGTCGTCAGAGATATAAGCATCCAGGACCAATTGCCCAATACTCAACACACCTCCTGTAAAATCTAACAGGATGTTGTGGATGCTCCATCCGACGGTCGATTTGGCGGCCCAGTTAATGTAGACCTGGGGGCAGTACTTGATGAAGCTGATGACTAGCTTGATGTAGCTGAGGAAATAGAGGATGTCGATCCATTCGTAGCTGCCGACTCCTGCAAGAGCCCGCCCGACTAGGACCAGGACACTGACGCCTGATGACAGGAGGAATGCCCAAGCAAAGCCAGAGACCCGCTGACCTTCATCTCGCTACCAATTTTAGTAACGAAAAAAAAATATGTTCGTGTTAGTTACTGTCCATCAAAAGAGGGAGGGATTACGACGAGACTGATCATTCTTTCTTTCCTTTGGGCGCAGAGGAAGGAAAAATAAGAGCGGATACAGCCATGACAGACAAAAAACGGAAAGGAAGAAGGGTCGACCCTTTTTTTGGTTTAGTTGTTATGGTTCTTAGCGTTTCGTTTTGTTGCGCGGTCTCTCGGTGTTTTGAGAATTCAATGGCGTGCTCCGGATCATGTCTGTGCAAATTCTTTAGGTCCGTTTTGGGCTGCATGCCCACCCACTTGATCCATTCAAATGACCTCCTAATGTCCCACGCCTCCACATCTTTTCCCTTGTTGACTCGCATGCACGCAAACAAACAAACAAACAAACATGAAAAAAGGACGATCGACTCTCCGCCAAATGCTAATTACCTTGTACACCCAGGTTTGTACGAGTGTAAACGTCGAAAGGATGAGGGCATGGACGGCGAAAAAGACGTCATTGACCCGGACGAGGTTCTCTTGGCCGTCGTTGCGGCGCTTGTATTCCTCTTGGATCTCGGTGCTGAAGAAGAAGGCCAGGTTGAAAATCTGCGGACAAGCGAGAAAAAGAGAGTTGCGAAGAAGGAGTAAGGGAGAGAGAGAGTGGCAGATCATCAAGATTGATTAGTACCCATCATTGCGATGACGGCTGGAGCAAGCAAGAATGAGAACCCTTGCAACCTTTGAGGGAAATAAACTAGTATGTGGTCGCTCAAGTTACCGAGTAGAAGAGGAAGCCGACGACGTTGAGGTGGACAAAGTCCATGGAGAGGCCTTGGACGGTTTTCCGCCGCCAGTTGAGGATGGCTTGTGGATAGAAGGATGCGGACCAGGCGAGGAAGTATGCCCATCCGATGAGGTATGATAGGAAAGGTCCGAACCCACCCTGAGCTGCAGGTACTTCAACGATGGTTGTCCCCATGTGTGTGTTCTGGTAAAAGTGAGAGAAAGGAGTGAGTGTTGTAGTGTTGGTGGTGGTTATGGTTAGGGAGTGGAGAGTGAGGAAGAGATTGTTGGTGGGGAATGTGACAAGTAAGTGAGAAGACGAAGAAGAAAAGAAAAAAGAGGCTGCCGAGTTTGAAGGCAGGAGAACAAAAGGTCAAAGTAATGGAATGATGCGATATCCGTATAAAAAGACGTCGACAACGAGAGGCAACTTACCAATCCACCAGAGCGTCAAGCGCGTCTACTCGCCGACAATTTTTTTTGGTGGCAACACCTTCAGTGAGTAATCACGTGCGCTGCCTCTAATTCTAATTGCGATTCGAATCGACCAATCAGAGGGGTACACCGCCCTTGGAGCCTCTCATCCAGCTCACACCCCCTCAACTTATTGTCGCCCCTTGTCCGTTTCCTACTTTTCTTCCTTTCCTCCATCCCCACTCCAACACCAAACCAACAAACAACCAACATCATCATGCGTTGGAATTTGGCCCTGCTGATGGTCCTCGCCGTCCTGGCCCTCATCCAGACCGTCGCCGCCTGGGAAGAAGGTACTTTTTCCAGGAAGCTCAACACGAACCTCCAGGATTCACTCCACACTACCAGTCAATCGAATGGCCTGATCAGCAACAAAAAACCGCCCTTCATCTCGCTCAAGCCCAGAGTATTGACATCTTACTCACTCTATTTGTTGACCGTTGACCGCTTTGATAGGCGATTTCGAGATCTTTGATCTTGTCGACGCCCTCGAGAAGGCCGAGGGTCCTGAAATCAACTTTTACACATATATCGGTGTCACCCAGAAGACTCCAAAGCCTGAAATCGAGCGTGCCTTCCGCAGGAAGTCGCGCACCCTCCAGTAAGCGACAGGCTATATCTTTGTCAGCTAGTCGTTGCAGTTTTCTCAAAACCATTCTGGACATTCACTCACCGCAATATCTACCCTCTTGTTGCAACTGTCCCTCCATGTTAGCCCCGATAAGAACAAGGGACCTGGAGCACAGGAAAAGTACGCCCGCCTCTCAAGCATTATCTCCATCTTGCGTGATGACGGCAAGCGCGACCGCTACAACTTCTTCCTCAAGAACGGTGTCCCTCGCTGGCGTGGATCCGCTTACCTCTACAGACGTCACCGCCCCGGCTTCAAGGCCGTGGTCGTCTTCTTGTTCATCCTCGCCTCTGGATTCCAGTACTTGGCTCGTTATGTCGGTTATGTTCAGGAGCGGAAACGCATGACGGGAATGATTGACCAGTACAAGGAGATGGCTCGTGAGCAGCAGCAAAAGACCCTTGAGGGACCTATTACTGGACGCCAGCGTCGTTCTGGAACCTTGACACCCGAGGCTGTCATCCCTCTGGAGGAGATCGAGGGTCCCATGTATGCTGTCAACCAGTACGGCGAAGAAATCGAATTGACTCTTGACAACGTTCACCCTCCCAAGGTCAAGGATGTGATTATTGCCCGTCTGCCCTTCTGGGCCGTCAAGCTGGTCCTCTTGCCCTTCCCCAAGTCCATCAAGGACTCTGTCTATGCCATGAGCATCTTTGAGAGCATCCGCCCCGAGGGTGACAAGGCCGAGTCCGACGCCAACATGCGCAAGGTCCGCAAGGCAGAGTTGGCCAAGAAGCGTGCCGCCAAGCGTGCTGCTCAGCAGAAGCAGTCGCCCAGCGTCAGCGATGACGAGGAGGTTGCTTATGGATCCGAGGAGGACGATGAGGCCGCCTTGGCTGCTCGTGCAAAGGAGGAGGAGCTCGCAGCTGCCAGGAGACGTCGTCGCATGAAGGCTCCCGGCCAGGCCTCTCTCAAGGGTGGACGTCGTGGATAGATACATATTAAACAATACATATTTGTGTTCTTTTTGTTTCTTTTTTTATTTGCCCGTTCTTGTTTTGTTCATTCATTCAATGCTAGAAAAGAGAACAAAAACGACCGAATGATTCAACAACGATAGTTACCAGATGGACAAGTTACCAAGTCAACAGGCTTAAAACTCCTCGTTGCCTCCTCCACCGCGGCGACGACCGCCAACGCCGCCCTTGGTCATGGCAGCCTCGTGATTCCGGAGCTCGGCAGGGACGGTGGCGAGGGTAGACTTGGTCAACATCTGCTTGAGATCATAGTAGACATCGGTATCGTAGCTCGACAAGAACGTGACAGCAACTCCCGAACGTCCTGCACGACCGGTACGACCGATACGATGGGTGTAGTCCTCAATGTTCTTGGCCATGTCAAAGTTGAGGACCAGCGAGACGTTCTGCACATCGATACCACGACCAGCGACATCTGTCGCCACAAGGACATCGGCCTTGCCGTTCTTGAGCTGCGATAGCGACAACTCACGCTGCTCTTGAGACTTGCCTCCGTGAAGAGTCACCGCACGAAGACCCGCACCATTGATCATCTTGGCCAGAGTATCGCATCCCTTCTTCTGGTTCACAAACACGATCACCGGAGGAGCAAACGATCCCTTCAACAAATCCATCATGCGGCTCCTATTAGTTGTAAGGCAAGAAGAAGAGAGGATTATTTGTTAGTATGAAGTGAGTTGGTCTGCATTCGTATAGAGACAATATGAAACGCATGATGAGAGTGGCAAAGGACATACCTCTTCTTGTTTTCGTCGGTAATCATCTCGACGCGCTGCTCGACAGTCTCGACGGCCTGACCAGCGGTACCAATAGTAACAACAGCGGGGCGGCGGAGGTACCTCTTGGCAAGGCGCTCGACGGCGGCGGGCATGGTAGCCGAGAACATGGTTGTTTGGCGGTACTTCCTGTGAGTGTCGTTGTCGATAGACATCGTCATCTTGCTTGCATCCTCAGCCTCGTCGGTATCGGGCTTCAAGTTCGACAGAGGAAGGGCGTCCAGAATAGAGTTGACGTCTGCCTCAAAACCCATATCGATCATCCTGTCAGCCTCGTCCATGACAACGTAAGTACACTGGTTCAGAACCAACATGCGCCTATCCAAACAATCCTTGAGACGACCAGGAGTGGCGATAACAATCTCAGCTCCATTCCTCATGTTAAACGCCTGCTCCTCCATAGCGTGGCCTCCGACAATCGACACACAGTGAAAGTTGAGAGGCACGGCAAACTTGAGAGTCTCCTGTTCGATCTGCTGGGCCAACTCACGCGTAGGAGCCAAAATGAGGGCATATGGACCGTCTCCCATGTTCTGCTCATTGAGTTTGGGAAGTTCCGAGATAAACTGCAGCATAGGGATCAAGAACGACGCAGTCTTACCGGAACCTGTCTCGGCGATACCAATAATATCACGATTCTGAAGACCGATAGGGATGGCCTGACGCTGAATAGGCGAGGGTTCCTTGTATCCGACCTTTTCAATGACAGAAAGAATACGAGGGCCGATGATCGATTCCTCCCACTTGCGGATCGGGTTAGGTATGCTGCCACCTAAAGGTAACTCAAAAGGAAATAATTAGCAGTAGGTAGTAGGCGTGCCAAAATAATAAGGGAACATAGTAAACACATTGACAAACAAACGCCCAAATGAACGATAGTTGTACCTTTGCAAGAGATGTTGAAGTCCTCTTTGAAGATACGCCAATCTCTCTCGCGCATTTGATCCAATGGCTTCTCGGTCCAGTGGCGATCCGCATAGTTGATCTTGCGTTCCTTTTGCACTGCCATATCTCCGAGTTCACTATTTGATAGAAACATGTAAAAAGAGCTCACGGTCAGTAACATTCGGCTTGCAATATATGCAGTGTTACATCTAAAAGAAACAATCAAACAGTTTATCTGGACGAGAACATACCCTGCACGGGCCACCTCGGCGTCCGTTCGGCGGTTGGCTATAAGCTTGTCGTAGAACTTGTCCTTGCTCTTAGTATCCTTGAGATCGATACCTGCAAAACTGCCACGACCAAACAATTGGGCGCTGTGTCTGTGAGTATAGAGTGGGTTCAAGTCACGAGAAGTATCGTCATCCGCATTCCAATCAAAGACAAATTTCTTGTCACTGCGCTTCCGGACCTTTCTCTCCTTGTCATCGATTCCCATGTAGTGTTTCTAATAGCCATAGAGGTTTGACGCAAAAGACGAGGAAAATGAATATTAGTATGCTTGTTGAATATTCTCTCGCTCCTATATCATTGCAAAAAGAAAACACGATCACAGAGCCGGTAGGGTTAACGTACTTTGACCATTTCGATCTCCTTGTCAGCAAGAACAACCCCCGAGGGTGAATCCCCGTTGGCTGTGTCCTTGTTTCCGTCCCGTCTGGCCTTTTCCCGTTCGTTCCTGTCACGATCACGACTGTTGATCCGACTGTCATAGCCATAACGGTTATTATCGTGGACCTCAGCTCTGGCCTTGGCGTCAAACTCTGCTCTTTGCTGACGCTCGAGATCCTGTGCCTGTCGCTGCGCTTCCACCTCCCTTTGGCGCTTCTGGATCGCCAATTCCGCACGCTGCTCCTTCGTCATGAATTTTGGCTATTGTAAAAGGAAGTAGAAGACGAGACTCAGTTGATTAGTAATCAAAGCCCAAGTCATCGGTCAGCATTCACAACTAACAACAAATGCATGTCAAAATGTACGTTTAGCTCCCATACCTTCTCAAGTGCCTGTTTCTCCTGTTCCTTTTGCTTGATGAGTTCCTCGAGCGAGATAGGGACTTTTCTTGCCGGTGTTGCAGAAGGCGAGTCCACATCCATTGGCGTTCCTCTGTTAGAGTCCGTTCTCGAAGGAGGCGATTGGTCTCTGTCTTTGCCGGAGCCGTTGGTATGGTTGTCTCGGGAAGAGAAGCGGGCGTCGCGGTAAGAGTCCCGGCCACCATTACGACTGTCACGGCTGTCGGGGGCTCGGCCGTCTCTTCCGTCACGGCCGTCACGACCATCACGGTAATCGCGACCATGTCGACCGGAGGAGTAACGATCGCCGCTTTCTCTGGCTCTGCTTCTGTCAGGACTCCTGCTCCTGCTCCTGTCTTTGTATCCGCTGCTGCCTGCGTTTCTCCTGTAGTTGCCTGACATTCTTGACTTGTATGAGTAAGTGTGTTGACGAGAGCGAATGAGGTAGGTGTTGTTCTTGGAAGGCGATGCGATTAAGAGGTTGGTTGTTGAGTCTGAGAGAGTGGGTGAGTGAGCACAGTCAAGAAATTAGCTGCGATCGCCTTTTTATCCATTTTGGCCAAGCCACATTTTTTCCTGACCCTCTTTTTCTCTTTATCTACAACTGCAGCGCCCTCTCCTTCTCTCTACACCTTTCCACATCACTCACGTCTCCCTCTCTAATCACTCACCACGCTACACAAGGACACGGACACAGACACCAAAAACAATAAGCAACAAACAACAAGGAACTCGCACACAACCTACCAGGACACAATGTCATACAAAAGGAAAGCCGAACTGCCCGTCGGAGACATCAATGATCTCATGGAAGTAACTCCCTTGGGTGCAGGAAGCGAAGTCGGACGCTCATGCCACGTCCTCAAGTACAAGGGCAAGACCGTCTTGGTACACACACTTTTCTCATACATATGGCGTCTTTCCCCTCTTATTCGAATAAAAATGAAGAAAGTATCTACCCCAATACCATCGACCTTGTTTGTTCACCAGTCTCTTTTGTTTCTTTTTTTCCTGAACTTTTCTATATGTTTGTCTGTCCCCTGCCTCAACGGATTGTGTTTATTATACTCCTCCTGTGCAACGAACATGACAGTTGGACTGCGGCATTCATCCCGGCCAGAGCGGTATATCTGGACTCCCCTTCTTTGATGAAGTCGACCCGGCCACCATCGACGTCCTCTTGATCACACAGTAAGTCACTCTTTTCTTCTAGCGTCAGTTCATGGTATTATAACTTCCTAATTAACAGTGCGTGGTCTCATTTCTTTCATATAGTTTCCACTTGGACCACGCAGCAGGATTGCCTTACTTCACCGAAAGGGTACCAACGTTGTACTGTTGTTGTTGATACCCATGGAGGTGAAACGTATAAATGCGGACCGACCTAATTAACAGAAAATGTTATTAACTTTTGTCTTCCGTAGACCTCGTTCAAGGGACGCGTGTTCATGACCCATCCTACCAAGGCTATCTTCAAGTGGCTCCTCTCAGATTATGTCAAAGTCAGGTAAGCAACAGACTTGGAAGGAGTCGATCGTTGACTTTGACAAAACAAAGCATGCAGACGACTGATCCATTCTCTTAATTACACACCTTCAAAATTTGTTAGTAACGTGGGGGCGAACGATATGCTGTACGACGAGACACAGTTGGCGGCATGTTATGACAAGATCGAGACGGTCGATTACCATCAAGAGATGAACGTTGACGGAATCAAATTTACGGGATACAACGCAGGACACGTCCTGGGCGCAGCCATGTTCTTGATCGAGATCGCCGGTATCAAGGTACTCCACTCGCTTTTTTTCTCGAAGCACATATCTGCTTTCAGTCGATATTTGACTTGTCGTACTAACCACCGGTTTGCCTGCATATTATAGATCTTGTATACAGGAGACTACTCGCGTGAGGAGGATCGCCATTTGATGGCCGCGGAAAAGCCCACAAACGTGCAGACAGACGTCCTGATCTGCGAATCGACCTACGGAGTCCAGAGTCACGAACCCCGTATCGACCGCGAACGCCGCTTCACAAGCACAGTCCACGACATTGTTCAGCGCGGAGGCCGCTGTCTCCTCCCCGTCTTTGCTCTGGGTCAGGCTCAGGAACTGTTGCTGATGTTGGACGAATATTGGGCAGCCCACCCAGAACTGGAATCGATCCCTGTCTACTATGCCTCTTCGCTTGCCAAGAAGTGCATGACGGTCTATCAGACCTACATCAACATGATGAACTCCAAGATCCGCAAGCAGTTTGCGGTCTCGAACCCCTTTGTCTTCAAGCACATCTCGCATCTCAAGAACATGGATATGTTTGATGACACGGGGCCATGTGTCATGATGGCCTCGCCTGGTATGCTGCAGAACGGACTGTCGAGAGAGTTGTTTGAGCGTTGGTGCACGGACAAGAAGAATGGGCTGTTGATTACGGGATACTGCGTCGAGAACACGCTCGCCAAGGATGTGATGAACGAGCCTGACGAGATTCAGACTATGAACGGGACCAGGCTCAAGTTGAGGATGTCGGTCGATTACATCTCCTTCTCGGCCCATGTTGACTATACCCAGAACAGTGCCTTCATCGACGAAGTCAAAGCACCCTACCTTGTAAGCTGCTTCTTATGTTTCTGTAACTATGTTGGCAGCCACTTGTTGTGAAAATCATGACATTTACTAATTTTCCCGCACCTTTTTTATTTATGCTTGACAGATCCTGGTGCACGGAGAGACGAATGCCATGGGACGATTAAAGAGCGCGTTAATGAGCAAGTACTCGGAGCGAGATGAAGACATCCACATCTTTACACCCAAGAACACCGAGACTGTCAAACTCTATTTCCGCGGAGAGAAGCTCGCCAGAGTAAGCTTGCACACCTGTTCTTTTTTTCTTTTTTTCGCCACCACGTTTGGGTATCGACGTGTAAATTGTAAATTATTACTGCCACTTCCTATGCTGAGGCTGAACCATTTTTGACGATTTTTATTCTTTATCCTGTAGACAATTGGACAAATGGCAGCGACGTTCCCGGAGAAGGACAAGTTGGTCTCGGGAGTGCTGGTGGTCAAGGATTTCCAGTATACCATTATGGATACATCGGATCTGGAAGAGTTTGTGGGTCTTCAGACCACATCTGTGGTTCAGCGTCAGATCGTCCCCTACCATGCCTCATTTGGGTTGCTCAAGTACCATCTCCGCCAGATGTTTGGCAAGATTCAGGAATTGGAGCGTGATATCAACAAGAAAGAGACCGTCAGAGTAAGTGGCGAGTTCTTTTATTTCAGGAAGCATGGTGGTGTATCCGATCATTGTCTGTGGCGCCTTGTAACTAACGGTTATTTTATGTCCTCGAAATGATGCGTGAATTAGATCTTTGAGACGGTGGATGTGAAGGAATACAACGTGAACCATGTCTTGCTGGAATGGACCGGAAATTCTGTCAACGACATGGTCGCAGATTCAGTCCTGGCTGTCATCCTCAATATCGAGTCCAGCCCTGCCTCCGTCAAACTTACCAAATCCGACCACACTCATTCACACTCCCACGGCCACGCTCATCCCCACGTCAAGACCGAAGGTTCCTCCTCTGCATCTACATCAAAGGAGGGAGAGGGAGAGCTGTTGGTGGAGCGCCACCCATCAGACGAATTCGAGGACCTGGTCATGTTTTTTGCATCTCAGTTTGGACCTGAGAATGTGACGCAGAATGAGAAGACGAGCACGGTTGTTGTGAGCTTGGATGGCATGCAGGCAAAGATCGATTGTAAAGATTTTACGGTGGAGTGTGAGGCGGATGCCTTGAGACATCGGGCGCAGAATGTCCTTGAGCGCGCTGTGAGGACTTGCATGCAGTAAGAAGATTGGGAGAGGAGAGGGTTTGTAGGGCAAGGTCAAGGAGGGAGATAGGGAGGTTGGTGGCGTGTCAAAGTCGTGTAGCTGATATATTCATATAAAATTAAACCATTGAGAAAACAACATCCACTCCTACTGTCTGCGAGATGAAGGAGAAAAACGAACAGAAAAAGTCCTCTCCTTTTGCCCCTCATTGCCAGTCTCCCAGCTGATCACAGAGCTTCTATCACTCCACGCTTTTTTGCCTTCGCCGCTTCTTTGTCTTGGATCTAATCAGATACAAGGCAAGAAAGTCTCTGTGAGTACAACTATTAGAAAAGTAACAGACATGACGACGGAGCAGAAATGCGTTCAAGTGAACCGAAGTCAACTCACAAAAACGAGGCGCGATGACTAGGAAGATAGTTGAGGCAAGTGCCCGGTTTGTTAGGACGCGTGGAAATAATCGCCTAATTCATGTTCTTTTGGTCTACTTTCAGCCTTGTTGCTCTTCGAGTGTGAACACTTCAATTGGTGGCACTCGTGGTTGTGAGCGTGTTGACGCTATAATGTTGTTGTACTGAGCCGTGCGCGATAGGACCTGGGGATGAATCTCCAAGGAGAATAACGCTGGATGATCGTTCATTTGCACAATCAAAATTTATTGCTCTCAAACGTTGCCTGAAGGCTGTAGTTTTTTTTTTTTTCTTTTTTCGCGGTCTCAAAGATTCAATACGCTCATCGTGCAGAAGGTATATTGCATTGTTTTTTTTCCTTTGCTCTCAACGCAAGTGTCCAAGAACGAGGTGAACCAGGGAAATGTGTACTACAGTACGATAGACGTAAAAAAATAAATAAACATGAAGCTAACTAGACAGACATGCGCGCACAAACGAGTACCACCAATTCCTTCATGCGTGGGCTGTTGTGTATTGCTAATGGTGGTGCGGCATTTTCTTTTGTGAGCAGCAGGCACTGCCACTCTTTCCTCCGATCTCTTGCCTCAAATAAAGTAGTTTTCACCACATGCCATTAAACTCCTCCTCGCCTCCCTCTCGCGATCTTTCTCTATGCATTTATACCGGGCATTGTATCCAATGCATGTACGTATTGCCAGAAATTGTATGCGAACGGCTCAATTTCTTGGCATCCGGTACATTTGATTCCACGATTGCGTAGATTCTGCTGGGGCAAAACAAGCATAAAATCTCCATCCCCAGACTCTTTTTTTCCATCATCGACAACCAAGTCCTTCTCTTACATTTTCTCTTCTCTCCCTTCGTCTGTCACCTACCCTTCATCCTTCTTACCACACATCCTAATATCCACTTACAATGAAGGTCGCAACCATCCTCACCATTTTGGTCGCCGCTGCTCTGACAGGCCCTATCCATGCAGGCCCACCAGCAACCCCACTGAGTACCTCCTCAGGCGTCGAATCCCACACTTTCACCCTCCCAGACGAGGACGCCGCATTTTTCGAGTCGAGGGTGGTCAAGTTCAACCAGACGGAGGCTGCTGCTATGGCTGCCCAGTATGATGAAGTCGTCAATGGCGTCAATCCTCTTCGCCGATCCAACGGCGTGCAAGTAGCCGCCGTTTCGAAGGACGTCGTCCCCTTCTGTGTCGGCTATGCAAAGAACCCAGTGCGAGTCCGCGTTTTCAGAAACAAGATGAGCTGCGACGGCAACGGCTTTTCCACCCTGTACATCTTCACCGCTTACATCAAGAAGGACGCCTACCTCTCTCCTCAGCCTATGTGCACTGGAATCAGCAAGGACGGCAAGCGCAGTATGTTCTTTTCCGGCAAGACAACTTGTGCTGGAGGCGAGTGGAATCAGGACTTTGCCTTCTTCGAGTCCGCCAAGATTAATACTCGAGTTGAGATGTTCCAAGCAGCGAACCCACATAGGATGATGCTCTACCCTGGTTATGACGGCGGGGCACACGGATGGCAGAAGGCGTACGACCTCAAGTACTTCAGCTTCTACCGACGATCAACTGACAGCGAGATGCATACCTTCAAGGGCGATTATATCGGACATCTCCAGGTGCACAAGAAGATCAAGAAGATCTCCGCTCCAGCGGATGTCGCCACGAAGCGATGTGCCACGCTACTGATTGCCGCCACGATCCACCGTCTGATTCCAAACAGTAACGGGTACAACCATCCCGGCAAGGACCTTCCTGGCTACTCTGCCGACGCGTTCGATGCCAAGTGCACCAACCTTGTCCTGTCCTCGTCCATTGGTGTCAAGCGCGTCTTTGTTGGTGGCTTTGGGTCGATCGAGGTCAACATTGGCAAGAACACCTATGCCGCCATTTCTTTGAAGGCTGGGGATGTTTTTCATGTTGAGCTGACTCGCCTTGCTCTCCACGAGAGTATGCGATCGGGTCAACCCGTCATGGTGTCGCAGAGCACTCAAAACCAGGACCAGTCTTGCATTGCTTACATCCAAGGCAACGCCTACACCATCGGCGACAAGGCCATCTGGACTGCACCCATCTAAACGTGTCACTCGTCCACCCTTACTCATCCCTCCCCCTTATTTTCTAGACTTGGAACCAAAGTTTTCACTATGGTCTTCACCTTCACTTTTTTTCATCCTTACATGTTTGCCACCATCGTTATTATAATTAAACTTACGGACTTGTGCACATATTTGTTCCAGCCCATCCTACCTTCTCTACTATAATTTGAATGGGATCCTGTTCCTCTGATGTGCACAGAAGTATAGATGATGGATGGGCACCGTCTTAATTTGCTGGGGAAAAAGAAAAGAGGGTTGCTACAGATGCAATGGAGTGAAAGATTGCATTGTGGGCGGAATACATATGGTGGCTACAATTGAAGGACAAACCAATCACCAACCAAAACGAAGGAGGTTCTAACTGAGAGATGGAGAAATGAAGAACAAGAACAACGAGCCACGAAAGAAACGAATTACTGTTTACAGAGTGCCTGGGTCGTTCATATAGTACTTTTCGTCGCGTTCACATAGGGTTATTTTACGCGATTGATAGACAGGGCAGGACGCGTTCGTGATCCCTTAGACGCGAACATCGTGAGAAAAAAGCATTTTTATCAACGATCGATAATGAATGATATGAGGGCAAAGCATTGTCGCCCCCCAGGAAGGAGAGGTATAGATACCCCCCTCTCCTCCTCCACCTTCTTTCGTTTTTTCTTTCTTTCTTTTCACACGTTCTTTCTACTTTCTTTCCGTTTCTTTCTTTCTTTCATTCATTCATTCTTTCCATCCTTTTCCACTATTTGCTCCTTACTATGCCACACACATACTTTTCTTTCTATCTTACTCTCCCCGGTCCTCTTACCCTGACGCACTTCGACCTCTGTGCGACTCAAGGACATCCACTCCCACCCACACATCCTATACTCGAGTCGTCATGGGAAGAGGCTTCTTCACCAACGCCCACTCGCCCACCCGCCCTCAAATATGACCAACCTGCCCACCCACCATTTGTAGCGAGTTCGGAGTAAAGAAGAGGGACAAGAAGTGAGTAGACGAGCACCAACGAGGGATGGCATGAGGAACGAACACCAGAGAACACTTCTTTCAATAAAGAAAAGGTAGCTGTGTGAGAAACTGACTATGTTTTGGTATTTGTTATGTGATGATAGCTTCTAGTACAAATGGATACTTTGTTTGTCCTTGCGCAGCCCGACTATGATGTGGTTCATTTTTGACTACCTTGTCCCTTGCCTGAGACGACCTTCATTTTCTTGCTTACAACTCATCGACGGTTCCATCGTCTCAAGCTGTTGATCATCAATTTTGGAAATAGCAGTCCGCACGCGCAGATAGAAAAAGACGCGTCCAACTCACGCATTCGCCCTTCCTTTCTTCACTTACAAACAAGTCCATAGAGCTATTACATATGGCTCTTTCAAACTCATCAAGAAAAAAAAAGGTGACGTTAGCTTCAGCAAACGCCACGAGCGGGAGTTATCCCTTTATCCTATGTTCCCGCGCCCTTTTCTTGATGTATGCGTAACATGTCAAGAACAGATTCTTAAGGCAACTATGGCAGCCCAAACAAACTGACTCTCTTATTCCTTACTTTTATCGGGTTGTCGTCATTGGATGAGAGGGGTATTGCGTTCATGACAGAGCTGAAAATAAGGGATGGAGATACCGAACAAAATTACTCTCATTGTTTGTGTGTGTGTGTGTCTGCTCATATTTCGTGATATATCCTTCGCCATCTAGTTTGCTCTTATGGTCATTTCAACCAAACGCATTGTTACTGCGAATAGTCTCTTCCTACTCTTATAGTCTGTACCCCTGAAATGCTTCATGTACCAAAACAAAACAAAGTGAAGGATGACCACTACAACTGCCTTTGGCGCTCCAGTCAGAGGCGCAAAAATGTGAGAGGGAGGACATGGTTCGTTTTTACTATGTGTCAAACCATGGTGAGAACAATAACGAGAACAACAAAAGAGAAAAAAATAGGGGTAACAGATCCTTTTCAATCTATTTCTAGCAATGGCATCGATCCGTAACAACAATAACAATAAATGGCATTTTAATACTGTGAACTTTCTTTGTCTTGACCGTATGGGCTGCCAGTCTAGCGTTCATAAAAGGAGTTCGTCGCCCTCTCGCCAAAGAGTTTCTACAGTTGACTTGAGCTGTACTCTGCTCCCCACTTTTCTTTTCATTGTACACCTCTTGCAACACACACCTCCTCCATCTGCATTCGCCTACCAGCAACTCCGAATCTCTGTCTCCTTCTCGTCCTCATTCCTTCAATTCCTCTACCCTGACTCTTCAATACTTCATCTGTTTCAGCCCGATATGCATCTTCAAACAATCTTCGCAGTCTTGGTTGCCGTCGTTTCGACCACTCCTGTCCTTGCTAAAACCTCTCCTTCACCTTCTAAATCACTTACTGCATCAGCATCACCTTCCCCCTCGCCAACACCACCCCCCATCGCACTCTACCTTGCATGTCATTTTGCTCCACCCATCGCATCACTCTTTCGACCAAGCTGTAAATCGCTCACTTCTTTACCTCTTATTTTACCCACTCCCTCACCTTCTGCTATACTTTTTGTCCCTCCTTCTGTCTCACCTACTGCTTCGCCACCTCCCTCGCGTTCTTCTGCTTTGTCCTCCGAACTGCATTTTTGTGCGCACCTTGCGCCACTCTTTGAATCACACTCTACAGCACCCAAGGCTTCACTATCTGCTTCACCTACATTGATGTGCACCGCAGTCCAACTTTCAGAGCGTTCTGCAACTCCGTCCCCATCTCCTCCAAACACTTTTCTTTGAAGATCGGCAGTGCGATACGTCTTGAGTACCTCTGTATTACCCTACATGAAAGCATGGGAGTCCGGCTGTGGGGATGATCTCGACAAACCCCAAGATCTCTGAGCTGTTTATTGTTGTCTTTGTGCAAGGCACTCTATTCGTCATTAACTTACCTGGATACGTCTTTCAGGCGCCCTTTTGATCTTCTCTTTATTATGCAACACTAGTCATGATTGCCTTTTCTTCGCCCCCTCACCTCTCAGCCCATTTTCACAACAACGTTAATAATATATCCTTATCTGACCTTTTCTCTCATCACTCCAAACCTTGGACCCGCTTGTCCGTGTCAATGCCATAAAAAAACGAGCGATACTTTTTTCTCTGTTTGAAATATGCCATCTTGTTGGAGTGAAAACCCCATTCCTCGCGTGCGTAAAAATGGGACGCAGACTCAACGCGTCCAAAGATTCGTTCAAGTGTCATTTCTGATATGCCGTGTTTAATTCTTCTTTTTTTTACCCCAAACAACCACGGGCGAAGTGCAAAAAGAGGCAACGCAAATTAATCTAGGAGGCGACACGTATGAGGTTGTTCAAAGAAGAATGTCCTTTCCCCTCGACGAGCGCTTTATTCCCTGTACCTTCGCATCATATTTCCTTTCAACTCATCATGAGGTTCACAACCACCGTCACTTTCTTGGCTGCCGCCGCAGTAGTCCCTGTCCTTGCCGCATCTACTACACCTTCTGCATCGCCCTCAAGCACATTTGAAAGAATGGCAGTGGGCATACAACTTTCGGTACCTCAGCCATTTTCGATTGGCATCCGAGGCTGAGATGGAAACCTGCAAGTCGGAGTTTAACGGCCATATCGAGGTCCACAAGCTCACCAAGATCGCCCCTACTTCAGAAGTCCCCGCCATGCGATGTGTCACGCTCCCGATCGAAAACTTGGGCCAAGATGCACTCCCTTCAGGCCATTCAAGTACTCACCTAGGCAGCGACCTTCCCTATTACATCATCGGTGCCTTGGAGGTGAACTGCACCCAACTGGTTGAGTCGTCGTCCATGTAGGTCAAGCGGGTCTCTGTCGGTGATTTTGGTTCGATCGAGGTCATGATTGGCAACCTTATCTATGTCACTGTGTTGATGGTGGCCGCATTCACGACACGACCCGAGTATCTCCGTAGGACCCTACATGAGAGCTATAGGACGTCAAAGTCAGTGATGGTTTCGCCCCGGTCTCCTTCAGAATTCATTGTGGTCTCAGCTCAAGGAACCCCTGTTGTTATACAGGATACCACCAAAGTCTTCACCGCACCCAATCGTGATGCTCAATGAGGCATATGTTTCTGTCACTATCTTTTTCTTGCGTTTTCCTTCTTTCTTTTTCACTCACTTTCTCTTCTCTTTCTCATAGAAAATAAACTAGTGGCTACGTTATATTATAAATGCAGACGCGTCCCGACATTGCTCATGTTTGTCTGGCCTTTTTATGTGTGCTAATGTCACGAATGGATTGTCGACTTGTGAAGTAAAGTAAGATTACGCAAGAAAATTAAAGAAAGTGAGAGGGCTATGCATGCCACGTTGATAACCACACCTTCATGTTTTTCTTTCTGCGACAGTCGGATAATTGACCCCGTGTGTTTTTTTCCTACTTCTCCGTTGGACTGCCTCGCTTCATCCATTCCTTCCGCTAACTCCTGGTAATATATTCCAACACCGTTTCGGACCTTGCTCTCTTTCTCTCTTTCCTTTTATCCTTCCTTTCTTTCTTCCCCCCTCGTTCCCTGCTGCCGTTTAGCGCTTTTTGTTCGTACTTGAGAGTCGTTGATCAATTTCCCACCTCACCAGAATCATTAACTCTGATATGATACCAAACACAAGCGATGATTCACCACACTGGAAACGACAATCTCTGTATCACCCCTAAACCCTCGCAAAGTCCTGATTCACTATGTCTACTAATAGTGTACGAGATGTATAAACATGGTTAATATTTTTCTTATGACTGTTTGGTGGGCCATACCCCTTGAGATTTGTTCCCTCCCTTCACCTTTATTGCTCTCACTCCATTGAATGCATACAGCTTGGGTTGGAGCGGCTTCGTAACTGAAGAGGAACAATGTGAGAAAGATAAAAGCGGGGCTTTGATCGAGATAGGGAGGGAATAAATGGAGGCGCCTCAGCTCAACTATTTCGAGGTCTTTTTCTCAGGAGCTTCCCCGTTTCTTTTTTTTCTTAGGCTTCCCTTCCTTCGCTCTCTCTCAATTTCTCATTTCCTTTACCTCTTTTCCTTCGCTATTCGCTCTTTTCGTTTCCTTCGGACCCTTTCGTTCTATATACTCCTTCCATTTCTCACCTTCTTCACCCTCCCTCCACTCCCTCCAGCATCATCTAACACTGCTTCTTCCTTCTTCCTCCATCATCTTACATGCTACCACAATGCATTTTATTCATCTGGCAAAAGCTTCCACCTTGGCGATCATCCTCTTCCCTCTGATCGCCATCTCTCATGAACGCTGCGGGGTCTCAACCATTGTTTCTGCAGCACCAACCAATTTGAAAGCAGGATCATGGATCAACAAACGCCTGCATGTGTCAAGGGCACCTAGAGCTGAAACCATCGATGGCGCCCATATTCTGCTCAAGAACGATGTCGATACCTCGACACCTCGGTATTCGTTTTTGCTGTTGTCTAAACCACGGAACTATTATGAGGCTGCCGATGCCTGCGAGTTTATGTCTGACAGTAAGGGTCTTGGACGATTTGGAGATGATATGTTCAAATGTAAACCTTGCCCAAGAATAAGGAACTAATGGTAGTTTGACTTTATGTACAGGCGCATTTCTCTATGTTCCTGATTCACCAGCTGCAAAGGAACTAAACGAGCTGTTGAAGAACAACCCAACTGCACAGCCAGAAGTAGCAGCCTCCACCAACTTTTGGGTCCTCAGCAGTAAGCCTTCTATGTCTCTTCTCACCTTTTACTGGACTTTATTGTTCTAAGCGTTTCATTTTGCTCACACAAATACATTTGTCGTTGCTGTTCATACTTGTTGCCAGCCTTACCTAGTGTCGGATGCAGGTCGCTGAGCAAGAACACCGAAAAGACAGAATCCTCGCCCTGTATCACAAAGCTTCCCGTTATATGTGTCAACACCGCTCCACGACGCACCCTCGCTGTCCAAGATATCACCCGCCAAATCTCTGTCAAGACAGCTATCGGGACCATCCAAGGATTCCGTGACCAAAACTCGTTCAGGTTCCTGGGTATTCACTACGGAGAGGCACCCGTGGGTAACTTGCGGTTCGCGGCACCGGTTGCTAAGGCACCCTTTACGTCGACTCTGGATGCGACTGCGTTTGGATATGTTTGTCCCCAACCGGCGTTTGCTATTCCCACTGCGGGTTCGCTGAACAACGGTGCTGAGGCGGATGAGGATTGTTTGAACCTTAATGTCTTCACGCCCAGTCTCAAGAGCAAGACGCAGAATGGGTTGCCAGTCATGGTCTACATCCATGGTGGTGGATACACCTCGTAGGTCACTCGATTGGATAAAGTTCTTGCATATGTGTGTCAGTTAGTGTTGCGACAAGGTATGAATAACAACCATCTTAACTGCAAATAGATTCGCGGGATCGACGGTCTTGTTCGAGCCTGGCAATCTCGTCTCTCGAGGAGGCGTGGTAGTCGTGACGATTAACTACCGTCTGGGTCTGCTGGGATTCACCGAGAGCCCAGACTTCCCTCGCACGGACGTCCCTGGAAACCAAGCCATTCACGACACGATCATGGCTCTCCGCTGGGTGAAAGACCATATTGCTAACTTCGGAGGTGACCCTAGTCGGGTCACTGTCTTTGGAGAGTCTGCTGGTGCCGTGACCATCCGAGCCCTTTTGTCTGCTTCCTCTTCTTGGGACCTGTACAGCAACGTCATTGGCCAGAGCGATCCTATCGACATACCTTTCAAGTCCCCGAAGGACGCAGCTGAGCTCTCGACCTACTTTTTTGAGGCTTTGAATTGCGGAACCACGGATATTGCTTGCGCCCGGTCAAAGCCCATCGCCCAGGTCTTGATAGCCCAGGGTCTGGCAAACGACAAGATGTTGGCGGCACAGAACTGGACCACCAACTGCTTGGTTGAACGACCTACCATCGACGGCACCTTGATCCCAGCTGAGTTTAGCGACCTTGTCAAGAGGGGCCACTTCAACTCAAAAGCGAACATCATGTGGGGTACCACCAGGGACGAAGCCGGTCGGTTCTTGGAAGCGTACATACCGGTCCCTTATCCTGCAAACTCAAGCAACTACCAAACAGTCTTCCAGGGCCTCTTAGGACAGCAACGCCAAGAAAGGCTCATCCAGAGTGGACTCATCGAAAAGTACGGTCTCAACTCGGACTCTCAGGAACTGATGAACTACTTTTATACGTCGTTTTACTTCTACTGTCCACTCCAGTACATCAGTCGTCAAATCGCCGCCCAATCAACCACACCTCACATCTACAACTTCCAGTTCAACCGAGGCCGCGGCATCCCTATCGTCGACTCTGGCACCCGATTCTGTGCTTCCGACAAGCATATCTGCCACGCAAAGGATATCATCCCCGTCTTTGGTAGCGGTGCCATCGCACCATCCACCTTCCAGACTGGAGAAGACGCCCGCTTCGCCCGCCAGATTATCGATCGTTGGACTACATTCGCCAAGACTGGTAATCCGAACCCCTCTCCAGATTTAGTCGGTGTCGAGAACACCAACCCGGATGTGACGAGTATTCAATGGACGCCATATCATGCACAGAACCCGGTTCTAGAGCTTGATTTGGAGAGCAAGATGGTTCTGCAGGGGATGCAGGAGGTGTGTGGGTTTTTTGATGAGAAGATCAAGTATGATTTTGATTGGCGGAATCCCACTAGTCCACTCTCGCAGTCGTAGTTTTTTTTCTTCTTTCTTTCGGCATCCACCTTTTGTTTCATATAGATTGCATACCTTCCGAAAAAAAATTGAAAATCATCATGGTGCTAACGCGCTTCATCTGAGACAAAGTCAATGCGCGTCTGCGCCCCCCTCCTCCCTTTCTTTGTGTTTGTATGTGTGTGAAATACGAAACACAATATGGTTATGAAGGAGCGTACTAGCATGAGAACGTAGGGTGGGAGATGGAAGAAATGAGGGGGAGTGTTAGGTACCATAGCTAACCTTTGAGCGAAAAGAGTGATGATATGTTCACGTATTGAGTTATGCTGCCTCTCGTACTCGTATGTGTCCGTGCTTCAATGATCAAAAATAAAGCTAGTCTCCTATTCATTATTGACTGACTTTCCCAAGGTAGTTCTTACTTCGTAGAGTAGTGGAAAAGAAGAACGCCCTAAAACGTCGTGTCATTTTAATCAGTGTCTACTTGACGAACAATATCCCACGTCTTTTTGACTGTCCGTTACCCTTTCTCCCCTTACAAGCGATTTTGTTAATCCTCACGATTTTTACTTTCATTCCCTGCAACATTAACTTCAAAGGAATGAACCAGCAAGAGAGAAAAGAAGGGGCAATCGATAGCGCCCAAAAAAGACCCTTTCTTTGGACCTCTGACAAACATTTTACTCGTCTCCTTGTCTGCTGCTAGGGCGTTGGGCCTGCATCACTATGGAATGCTTTTCTTGTCAACACACCCGCCCACATATCTACACACTCCCTTCCTTTAACTTGCCCACACATTTTAAATTGTCATTTACTACCCCACAAGCATTCTTTCTTCTTAACGGAGTAAAAAGCAAAGAAGTGAAATCGAAGGTGAGACTGATAAGGGCAAGAAAAAGGGGCAATGACATGTGTGGGAAGAAATCAAAAGAAGGCAAGCATGCAAATTAACACACAGTTGTATGTTGGAAGCAACGACAAGGTTTTGTTAGATGGTTCACGCGCTCTCACTCTACTATCCTACCATCCAACCCTACTACTACCTCTTCACCCTTCACCCTTTTTATTCTTTTATTTTCTTCTTCCTCATAGACAACTCCATCCCATTCCACCTACTGACAGGCTGACCTTCTCGGTGTCTTTCAACCCTATCTCCCACACGCCCCATTACCCTTAAAGGCTCATCCACGCCACATCAGTAACACCGACAGGTCTTATTGTGCACTTCACATAAAATGTTTTGTTTTGGACACTAAACCTCAATTAGCCAGCTTTTCAGAACAACATTTTTGTTCCACGTCCATGCAAACCCCGCTCGCAACTAGATTAGTGGTTAATTTTTTTTACTCATTTTGGTTGAAAGGCACATTATACACAGATTAGCGGCTTATAATGGTTTATAGATTTTTTTATTCCGAGCACGATAGACAGTTATAAACCAGTCACATATGTGTGAATAGATTGTTTCATGTGCCCTCTCCTCTCGTGCCTGTGCCTGAACACATTGAGAACTGCGTTGCCCTCCTGCTTACATCACACTCTCTGCCCTCTATTCCTCTCTGCTCTTCCCTCCCTCTATCCCTAGGTCCTTCTATCATCACTCTCTCTACTCCCCTCTCTACTATCCTCTTCTCTCCTCCTTCCCTCAGCATTGCCCTCACCCTGCTCCTAACCATATGTAGAGCGAGCTGACATGTAACACTGTGATAGACCAAGGATGGTGTTTATTCTCTTCTCTTTGGGTACTTTCTCGAGGGTGCTTTGGGAAGAGCCTTGTAGTATTTATCAATTGAACCAACAGTATCGATTTGCCCTCTTACGAAGGCAAGTGCATTGTTTACGGCGGACTTGTCAACCTGCAAGCCAGCTGGGATAGAGCGCAGAACCGAATGTACAATGTCCTTCTTCCACTTGTAGAGCTGTGCATCTTTGCCTCGCCACGCTGAACCGAACCACCTATTAAGCTCTGCGATGGAGGGGGACCCATCGACGCCGTGGTAAACCCACTCTTGCCACAGTTGGTCGAGCGTATTCGGTCGTGGGATCAGCTTGCACTCGGGCATTAGGGGCATATGGTGTTGGGTCTCTCCTCTCGCCCTCTTCTCGTCGGCGACTAAGGCGGCTACTTGTCGCATTCTGTCCTCGACATTGTCGCTGGGGTTGAAAGCGGCCAGAGCTGCGCGGCGGTGCGCATCCCTTGAAAGAACTGCAGTGGAAGAAGTCAGAGGTCTTGATTCTTGCTGGCCAGCGTCCGGCTCTGGAAGCTGAAGAAGAGCGATGGCGGTAGCCATAGTGGTACTCTGGCTTGCTACACTGCCGTTGACGTCGTCACTGACCTTCACCTCATCGTCCTCGCTAATCGCCACCACGGCTTCCACCGTTGACTTGAGAGCTTGCATCAACTGAGATCGAACGGCATCCTTGTTCAAACATTGTCGCTTGTTGCCTGCCAGTTTGTCATTGTTGCCAATGCACCGCTTCAAGTCCTTCAGCTCGGATGCTGTCCTATCATTCTGAGCTTGTAAAGTAGCTGCTAGAACATTCATACCGGCGTGCAAACTCTGAAGTCCGGCTTGCTGGCTTTGCTGCAGGCTCCGGATTGCAGCATCTTGGACACCGAGCCTCGCGCCGACCCTGTCAAACTCCAGTTGGATGATGGGTGTGGCAGATGCGAGGGAATCCGTGAGAGGAGAGGGATTTCTCATGCTCTCGAGTAGGGTTTGCTGGAAATCTTGAAACGCAGGTGTTTTGAAGACAGGGTGATCGAAAACAGGGTGCGCGGCGGCAGCACCACCCCCGGACAGGATGACAGCTGCATCCTGAAGGATAACCTTTCGCAGGTGGGCGAGAAGGCTAAGATGGCGCTTTCTTGAAATGACCTCATTCGACAGAACGGTCTGCATATCCTTGTCCGTGTACACCTGCTTGACTTCCTTGCACTCGCCCCGTCGCAGCTTCTCACGCAACTCCTCGCGTCCGTGGAAAACGTCGCAGTCACGCATAATGTTGTCAATCGTGAGCCTCCAGAACGTGTCGGAGCAAGCATCCTCGATGAAAGGGAACAACTGCCTTTGGAGCTCAATGCTGGGGATCACAGTGTTCCGAGCCAACCAAAAGCGCTCTAGACGGTCGCGGTCAAATCCAGCCAATCGAAGGGCCACTGAAGGCTCTACACCCTCGAGATAGTGAGTTGAGAGACGGTTCGATGCCCAGTTCCCGTGCTTAGCGATAGCCTCTACCGTAGATCCACACATATGCGCGAATCTGGAGCCGTGCTTGCGCCCAAGGTGAGTCACTGTGCCCTTGTCCAATATCCCGCTCTCATGAAGAGCCTCCACCTGCGCCTGGAACTGGGAGTTGTAAGTCATCGGTGCATCCATTGGTTTGTTTCCAGCTAACAGATGGTAGTCGGTCCATTTAGGGTTGGTGAGATCAGGCGCCCTTTTGTTTTTGCTCTTAGTACAGCAAAAAAAAGGAAGAGGTGGGGGGAAGAACGCATTATTAAATGAGTGTTGAAATATGAGTGACACGACGCGTCGGCCGCCGACATTTACCACATGCACGCCACTTACCGACCAAAGCTCAAGCAAATAAAAGGCTAGCGCGCCAACTGGACACACATCTACTTCTTTGTTCCGAACTGCAACTCCATACTGAATCTTGCCGTCCTTGTTCGTCTTGCCTTGCCTCATCATCAGCACAACTCCAAGCACGAATTGGCCTTCTCTGCAGCTGGCATCGTTCGTATTTTTGTTGCGGTTGGGCTCGACGTCGTGGGCGAAAAGATCCGGGAGTCGGATCTGGCGTGTGACCTCGCTGCGGAACATCATAAAAAAGCAAAGACTTACATCCGCACGGTCGCGTAACCCTTTCAAGCGGCGCTTTCTCAAGCTGGCTGCGCCCTCCACATTGCGCATCCAGAATCGCTTCATTAGCTGCCGAACAATCGAAGTTGGGTTCTGGGTGAAGTCGATAGAGCCAAAGTCGGTATCTGTCGACCTCTTCCTGGCGGACATCCTCACGCGGTAAACGTCGATCAGAGGTTGAAGGTACGTCTTCGGGGCCGGAACTGTGCCATAATCCATCGCTAAATTGTTCCTGTCTTCACACTGATGCTTATAGAGGTCGCCAATGGCAGCGAGGTGCAAGAGAATGGTTGCCGTCGAGTACCACCGCTCTTCACTGTTATCGTTGTTGCTGTTGTGGATGTCAACGTCTCGACTGGCGTCCCCCTCGCAGTCGTCATCGCTTTTGTCCTCCACATCGCCTCCATCGACATCATCATCAGAACACGGGTCATCCATATTTGCCCGCCGTTCGCCGGACTTGTCCTTGCTGTTGTTGCCCTTCCTGTCTCTTGGCAACGGTTTGATCCGTATAATACCTATAGCATTTATATTTTCGTTAGTTCTTATAATTTCAAACACCACCATAGCGTTTCGTCGTCGTCGTCGTATCGTATGACCGCTCACATTAGTTCCATTCTTCATATTCATACCGTTTTGAGGATCTTCCGTCTCGCAGGTCAGGCAAGCAAAGTAACGGGTTACTTTGCCTTTCGTGACGTTGTAATCATCCTTATATCCAGAAACGTCGCACCATTCCTATACCAATGGATGGAGTGATTGAGTTAGTTAGTGCGTCGAGTCGGGGGCCATAGTTTATCTATGCTTGTGCAAAAATGGGGGTACATTTTACAATTTGCCATACCATGAACTTCTCCTGGTACCGATCATACTGGTCCCGCGTCGACTGGGCTTGCAAGGACTTGCGAGCTTCGGCCACAAGCTGGGAGCTTGCTAGCTCCTTCTGCTTATTACAGAGGTGATTTTGCTGTTCAACCCTATTGCGTTCGCGGTAGGTTTCCAGCTTAGATTTTGCTCTTGCCGGCTGGCTGCCTTGCATGCTCGTCTGCTGCCGTTTGTTTCGTGCTATGGCTTTGCCTTTAACAGAAAAGCTGCACGACTTGTTTAACGCGAAACAATAAAACAATAGAACGAAATAGTAAGTATGGTGGTATGGTGGATGCCAATCAGGTACAGGACATATCGCCCCAATTGTGCAAAGACCTTTTTAGCTTACCCGTGTCATTAATTAGTCGGGTATTGGGGGGGGGGGGGGGGTTGTGTGTAATGTGTATTGGGGTGTGGGCTTGTTTGAATCAGGCTAATGTGGCGATGTGAAGTGAGAAAGAGGGAAGATTGGGGTGTGGGCTTGTCTGAATGAGGCTAATGTGGCGATGTGGAGTGGAGAAAGAGGGAAGAATGGAATGCATGCGTTCCATGTGGATGATTCCGCCAGAAAAAAAAAATTATGCAAGGCTGCCTATCGGTTTAAAACCGTGCCTATGCCGACGGGGATAAACCCATATGTGTCACGTGACTTTTATAAACCGACCTTATGTGGATAACCCCGCAATACCTCCTTGATAGATCGTGACTTTTCTGATGTCTGGATCATATCAATGTTATTTTGTGTGCGGACACCATGGTGCCATAAGATCGCGTTTGTACTGCTCGCTATATGGCCAACCGAATACATGCAATGCTCCCATGAGTGAGAATCTCGTACGTACGCAACAAGCGCAACTAATACCGCTATTTTCACCTTAAGAAAGGAAGGGCTTGGGTTACCTTTTTTGACATCGAGACCAAGAAAAAAAAGGAGCTGAGCCGGTCCACTCGAGCGAAGACTGCAGAGTTACCCACCCCTCCAAGATCAAGTCAGCAGGAAAGACCCAATGTAGGAACGCGGACCATTTCAAGATCATGAACAGAGTTTACCCAGAACCGAAAAATCCCCTCACCGATAAATGATCCTGGGTTCGATGTGTAAAAGATAAACAAGGCCACGCGCATTTCGACTCTCACACCTCTCCTCTTTTTTCATCAACTTTTTGTTTTATTATCTGTCGATCAGTCATGCGTGATGTTCGGTAATCCTCGTGCATGTGCACATCCATCCTTTCGTCTCCTTCCTACTCCCATTCAAGCAATAGCCTCAAATCGCCAAGGAGACGTCCTGCCTTCCTCAAAAGGGCGCAACGCCAACCGAGGCGGGTACACCCGCAACATCGAAATATCAACCACCATGACCTCTCCGTGAAGCAGATAAGGGTATCCGATATGGTACTCGTTCTTCCTTCCATACCCAGTCGTGCCCACCGGGTTAATCGTCCACACTTGCTTGTCATCCGACGAGACAATGATGCTCACTTGTTGGTCTAGAGAAATAGGTTTTTGGAAAGCCAGGTAGGCGTTTGTGCCTTCGTGCTGCAGTGTGGCTATCATTGCGCCCGCCGAGGCGACGCAGTCCGAGGGAGAGTAGGAGGAGCTGGTAGTGAGGATCCAGATCCCAGTCTCGTTACGAGAGGGATCTTCTGGTCCGAGGGTGGCAATGGAGCTTGCGCTCTCTGCGGGGATGATTAGACTGCCTTGATCTGGGGAGCGCCGGATCTTGTAGCGGCCGTTCTGGATTGTCTTTGTCATAGTGTTTGGTTGTATCTATCTGTAACAGCAACAAAGCAAGGGGATGCAAACAGGAGAACAGAGAGAGACAAGAACGAGAGAAAGGATAAGAGAGTAGTAGGGACAAGGGGAAAGGCTAGAAGCGGATGGTGTTTATTATACAGGGAGAGAAAGGTATTTATACTAATATCTTGGAGACGTGGTTATTAGGTAGAGTGGAGGCGCGGTTGTTGTGAAGAGTGGAGGCGAAGTAAGAGAACAGTCTACGATACTATCACACTATCCACAATTGGAATGAGTGCATCGTGTCAAGTACAGTTACGTGGAAGTAAGTTTTGGTTTCCGTTTATGAAAGTGGATTTTACATCGAAATCGAACATGATTGACATGTCGATCGTGTTACTTAGGTGAAAGGAAAGAGAAAAAAGAGGAAAATGGATTAAAAAAAAAAAAAAAAAAAAAAAAGAACCCATCATGCACCTTTTCTTCCACATGCTTGTAAAATTTCTTTGCTGCAGGTCCCCATCTGTTTTTGCATAACCCCAAAATGCATAACCTCTCAGATGCATATTTTTTTTCGGACCCTACTTCACAGTTGCAGGCGAATCTTCATCATCTCCACTGTTAAATCGCCTAACCTCTCTAAATTCATAGCAATATTGTCTGCGCGGGGTTATGCATTTAGAAAAATTTGGCTGTAATGCTGTATTGTTATTATTAGTATTCCACTTTGATCAATTACTCGTCTCTGCTGCTCTTCTCAGTCTTAGGCTACTTAGGCCACCATGCAGGGTAGAAGGCCTTGACCCAAACAGTAGACCCCTCACGGTCAGGGGTGGTCATCTTTGTAGGGAAGAGCTCGGACATGAGACTCTCTTTTGATAAACTAAATCCACTCGGGTTCACTAGAGAATCAATAGAAAGCGTCAACACATGGAAGGGAGTGCAAGCTTTCACTTAGTTATCAACAAGGCGATTCTAAAAGGAACAGATACATCACCCATGTTCTTAGAATACAAGAGAAACTTACGAATCCTAAGGGAGTAGAGTAAGCTGGTTCCTGAAATAAAGGCGTCGATTCCTTCTGCACACCGTTCACGATCAACCGCACATGGTACTTCTCCAATGTTCCCTGCCAGTAACTCTCAGGAAGAGACACTATATCACATCAATTAAAACGGCATATATGTAAGTACACTTTGTCCATTGCCTTGGGCGATCAAAAGTCCGAGCAATCTCAAGAACAAAGTTAACACACTTACAGAACTGCCCCTTGGGAACGACGACACGGTGTCCCATATGGTTGACGGCTCTGTTGTCATACATGTCAACGGTAGCATTCATCTTTTCTAGGCGCTCCATGACGGCTTCATTGCTAGGTGGGGTCGTCTAGTCCTCATTGCTGGAAGCTGCTGGCTGATCGTCCAGAACAGAGTAAACGTCAAAGGACTATGTGACGCCGACCATCTTGACTTTGGATAGGAACACAAAGCGGGGAATGTGCTTGTGAAGTTCAGGTAGGGCTCTGGCAACACACCCGGTCAAGAAGGCGTGGTTACTGCCTTCCTTTGTTTCGTTGGTAGGGTAGATGAACACGTTGAACATGACTCTGCTTTATGTTGATATCGAATTCAAAGACGCGAATGCGTTGCTTGTTAGATCAGGTCGTGTTCAATTAATTGGTAAGGGTCTCCATGTGGGCGCTGCGCTTCCTACTACTTGGCTTTCGATCTGTCGACAGGGCTTGTTATTTACCTTGGGGCTGAGGAAGGCATACCGGTCCCTTATCCCGCCAACTCAAGCAACTACCAAACAGTCTTCCAGGGTCTCCTTGGACAGCAACGCCAAGAAAGGCCCATCCAGAATGGACTCATTCAAAATACGATCTCAACTCGGACTCTCAAGAACTGATGAACTAATTTATACGTCGTTTTACTTCTACTGTTCACTCCAGTACATCAGTCGTCAGATCGCCGCCCAGTCAATCACACCTCACATCTACAACTTCCAGTCCGACCGAGGCCGCGGCACCCCCATCGTCGACTCTGGCACCCGATTCTGTGCTTCCGACAAGCATATCTGCCACGCAAAGGATATCATCCCCGTCTTTGGTAGCGGTGCCATCGCACCATCCACCTTCCAGACTGGAGAAGACGCCCGCTTCGCCCGCCAGATTATCGATCGTTGGACTACATTCGCCAAGACTGGTAACCCGAACCCCTCTCCAGATTTAGTTGGTGTCGAGAACACCAACCCGGATGTGACGAGTATTCAATGGACGCCATATCATGCACAGAACCCGGTTCTAGAGCTTGATTTGGAGAGCAAGATAGTTCTACAGGGGATGCAGGAGGTGTGTGGGTTTTTTGATGAGAAGATCAAGTATGATTTTGATTGGCGGAATCCCACAGTCCGCTCTCGCAGTCATAGGGTTTTTTTTGAAAATCATCATGATCCTGACACGCTTTATCAGAGACAAATTCAAAACGTATCTGCGCCCCCCTCTTTCGTTTCTTTGTATTTGTGTCTCGTGTGTGAAATGAGAAGCAAATATAGTTATGAAGGAGCGCACTAGCATGGGAGCGTAGGGTGAGAAAATGTGGGGTGAGTGGGTGAGAGAGGGCAAGAAAAGAGGGAGAGTGTTAGGCACCATTGATAACCTTTGAGCGAAAAGTGTGACCATATGTTCACGTAGTGAGGTATGCTGCCTCTCGTACTCGTATGTGTCCGTGCTTCGATGATCAAAAATAAAGCTAGTCTCCTATTCATTATTGACTGACTTTCCCAAGGTAGTTCTTACTTCGTAGAGTAGTGGAAAAGAAGAACGCCCTAAACGTCGTGTCATTTCAATCAGTGTCTACTTGACGAACAATATCCCACGTCTTTTTGACTGTCCGTTACCCCTTCTCCCCTTACAAGCGATTTTGTTAATCCTCACGATTTTTACTTTTATTCCTTACAACATTAACTTCAAAGGAATGAACCAGCGGGAGAGAAAAGAAGGGGCAATCGATAGCGCAAAACAAGAACACAGCTTGACCCTTTCTTTGGACCCCTGACAAACATTTTACTCGTCGCCTTGTCCGTTGCAAGGGCGTTGGGCCTGAATCACTATGGAATACCTTTCTTGTCAACACACCCGCCCACATATCTACACACTCCCTTCCTTTAACTTGCCCACACATTTTAAATTGTCATTTACTACCCCACAAGCATTCTTTCTTCTTAGCGGAGTAGAAAGCGAAGAAGTGAGACCGATAAGGCCAAGAAAAAGGGGCAATGACGTGTGTGGGAAGAAATCAAAAGAAGTCAAACGTGCACATGCAAATTAACACATAGTTGTATGTTGGAAGCAACGACAGGATTTTGTTGGATGGTGCACACGCTCTCACTCTACTATACTACCATCCAACACCACTACCTCTTCACCCCTCACCCTTTTATTCTCTTACTTTCTTCTTCCCCATAGACAACTCCATTGCATCCCGCCCAGTGACTGACCGACCTTCTCGCTGTCTTTCAACCCTATCTCCCACACGCTCCATTACCCTTAAAGGGTGCATCCAGTCCACATCAGTGACACGGACAAGTCTCACCTCATTGATAGATCGTGACGTTTCTGATGTCTGGATCATATCAATGCTATTTTGCGTGCGGACACCATGGGGCCATAAGATCGGGTTTGTACTGCTCGCTATATGACCAACCGAATACACGCAATACTCCCACGATGGAGAATCTCGTACGTATGCAACAACTCACACCCCTATTTTCACCTTACCAATGGCCTTGCGTCCCCACGATTTGCTAATGAAGAAAGGAAGGGCTTGGGTTACCTTTTTGACATCGAAACCAAGGAAAAAAGGAGTAGCTGAGCCGTCCACTCGAGCGAGAACAGCAGAGTTGCCTACCCCTCCAAGACCATGTCAGCAAAGAGGCCCAAATGTAGGAACACGGACCATTTCACGGTCATGAACAGCAGCTTTTGAGGTTTTCCAGAACCGAAAAATCCCCTCACCGACAAATGATCCTGGGCTCGATGTGTAAAAGATAAAAAAGGCCACGCACATTTCGACTCTCACGCCCTTTCCTCTTAATTTTTCATCACATATTTTTTTATTATCTGTTGATCAATAGTGCGTGATGTTCTGTAATCCTCGTGCGTGTGCACATCCATCCTTTCGTCTCCTTCCTACTCCCATTCAAACGACAGGCTCAAATCGCCAAGGAAACGTCATGTCATTATCAAAATCGCGCAACGCCATCCGACGCGGGTACACCACTTCCAACGAATTGTCGACCACCAAGACCTCCTCGTCAACCAGATTAGGGTATACGATATGGTACTCATTCGAGATCGCCGGGTTAATCGTCCACACTTGCTTGGCATCCGACGAGACAAGGATGCTTGAAAATACCAATGGAGAATTGGGGTTGTCGAGGGTTAGGTAGGCCTTTGTGTGTTCGTGCTGCAGTGTGGCGCTCACTGCGCCCTCCAAGGCGACGGAGGTTGAGGGGGGGTTGGAGGGATCGATAGTGAGGATCCAGATCCCGGTCACGCCAGGGTAATCATCTGGTGCGAGGATGGCAACGGAGTTTGCGCTGCCTGCGGAGATGATTACACTTTCTTGATCCTGAGAGCGCCGGATCTTGTAGCGGCCGTTCTGGATTGTCTTTGTCATAGTGTTTGGTTGTATCTATCCTCGATTGAAATGAATGCATTGTGTCAAATACAGTTACTTGGAAGTAAGTTTTGGTTCCCATTTATAAAAGTGGATTTTACATCGAAACCGAACATAACTGACATGCCGATTGTGTTACCTCGGTGAAAGGCTGTTGAAGAGGAGTGTGAGTGGAGACGAAGACGAGTGCGAGTGTGTGAAGAAGGAAAGAGAGGGAGGGAGTAAAAAAGAAAAAAAGAACCCATCATGCACTTTTTCTTCCACATGCTTGCGGGACTGCTTTGCTGCAGGATCCCCATCTGTTTTTACATAATCCCAAATGCGTAACCTCTCAGATGCATATTTTTTTTCGGACCCAACTTTCAGAATTGCAGGCGAATCTTCATCATCTCCATTGTTAAATCGCATAACCTCAGCCCGGCTTTATGCATTTTGACAAGTTTGGCTGTGATGCTGTAATGTTATTTTTAGTATTCCACTATGGTCGATTACTCATCTCTGCTGCTCTCCTCAGACCCAGGCTGCTTAGGCCACCATGCATAGAAGAAGGCCTTGACCCGAGCAGTGGACCCCTCACGGCTAGGGGTTGTCTTCTTTGTAGAACTGTGATGAGATTACATGAGACGCGCTTTTGATAGACTGAATCGACGGTTCACTAGATAATCAAAAAAACGCGTCAACGCGTGGAAACGAGTGCAATTTTTCACTTAGCAACCAGACGATTCCAAAGGGATCAGATACATCACCCATGTTCTTAGAATACAAGAGAGACTTACGAATCCTGGAGAGGAGGGGGTGGGTGTGGGGGATTGAAGTACTGGACGGGAATGATATGCTTTCAGGTGATACCCTTGTGGTAAGTGCAGATCGTCAAGAAGGCAGCAAGGAACCCGCCGCCGCCGCTCTCGATACGGGTCTTGTGGTTGGTGATAAGTCCCTGCAGATACTTGGAAACGTCCTTGTCTTGAATCTGCAACAGTTCTCGTGTTGAGAGGTGAATTATGATCCTCCTGTAGCTGTAGTTTCGGTGGACATAAACCTTGATCTTGTCATGACGGAATTGGTGATCCGCACAGCCATGGGTTACTAGTGGTAGTGGTTGAGGGAAGGGACTCTTGTGGAGGGACAGAAGGCCTTGAGTGGCATTACAGTTCTGAACTTACGGAATGAGTTCATGTTAATGTTATTGTTGAAAGTAAGTGGATGAGTGAAAGAAGGGGAACGTTCGGGTTGAAAGAGTGAGTGGGATGAAAAAAAAGAGCCAGACCTGTAGTCTCGACTAAGTGGGGTCCTGCAGGAGCTTCTGTTCCAGTGACATGCTGCAGCTCCTGTTGGTATCCAAAATCAACGTCTTCACCTACCAGAACTAGGCCAGCCTCACCCTCGCTTTCCGCCATTGCATGCAGTGCTTACAGTTCATCTTAGGTAATGATTTCGACTGAGTCGTTGTCATCCTCTCGGGTGTTGCCTATAAGGATTTCCATGTCAACATCTACGACCTCATTCACTGCAACAGCAACTGTCTCATGCTCGTCCTCGTGCTCCTCATTCTCCAGCTCCTCTGATCGGGCTATGGCTGCGTCGGCATCATCAGGTCTCCATACCTGTAAGCCCTGTTCCATGGGAGACGACTCTGGTATTCACTCTTCAATATCCTTAGTTTGTTTTAGCTGTTCGTCGTTGTTTAGAATTTGGCTGCTTCCATCCCGCAGGTCTGAGGCCAATGACGCCGCCATAGCCAAAATCAGGGACGATAAACTTCTTGGATGTTCGGAGGAAAACTAGGTTCTCAAAGTACGGGAGCATGTGCTCAGCATTCACTGTGTAGTCACCGTTATAATGTGTATCGCAGTGGAACTTGATTCAAAGAAAAAATTGATGTGATATTTCACTATAAATCGCAAAATACAAACGCAATGGATTACCAACCTGCTAGCTTCTTGGCCGGCTTCTTGACGGTGTCAGGGTCCGACCCATCGGTGTCTGCAGATTCCACTGACCTCATGCTTATCGCTTTCGGCCTTTTCTTTTTTTGCCGCTTTTGAGGTTCGAGGAAGAGGGGGAGCAAAGCCAGTGTTGCTAAGGTTGTTATGAGGTACCTTCTTTTGGCCCTTAGTTATTGTGGAGCTGGCCTTCGGAGCTTTGGGGGACCTTGGTCGTTGTGAGAGCCTTGGTGGAGGGGGTGGTAGTAGTTGAGGGGGTTTTAGTAAGAAGTGAGGGCGTATAGATAGCGCTTAATGCCAATAGATTGTCGCATAAAGAACAACAGTGGACAGACAGGTGCATATTTATATGATTCATACTTTGAGGAAATGAGAGTGATGACCAAGTAGATGGGACCCTTGGGGATGGTGGATGGGTTCGGGAATTGATGAGTTTCTGCCGAGTGTGGATTACATGTGGGTTTGAGTGCGGATGGACAAGCTATAAACGAAAGTGAATGAGGGATGGCGAGTATGCTAAGGTGAAAATGTGTTTTTTCGGACAGCAATGAGACAATGTGTATTTGGTCACCATGTCTCTCCACTCAAGCTCGGCTCTAAGCCACGCAATTTGTCATGACTTAGTACGCCTCATGTTCAGACAAGAAACATTTTCCCAAAGCGGCATCAAAGTCAAATAGACTGTCTCTGCTTGCCACCGTCACTGCGCCTCAAGTCATGCGCACCAGTATAAATATCCCATCTCTTTGCATAATAAACATCATCTGTTTCCACCCTTCTCTTCTTACACTCGTCATGACGTCCATCTCAACGTACGTTTCATAGAATTTCCTATCAATCAACCTATCAGTTACTTTGGCAATGGTGTTTGACCAGCTTTACTCTTGTACTGTACACGCTTTATGTGCGATCGCATTTTAATGAACAATCTGGATCTATCTATAGGCATACAGCAGAGGCATCAGCAGACCAACCGACTCGGTCATTATCAATTGGAACTCTTGATAATGATATCCCTGCCCACCGGTTCTTCCACGTTGTTGACGCTCGACACTGGCACCAAGTCGAAACATTTCACCGTTATCGGGATATCAGTCTTTCTGCGCAGCGACACGCAGATATTTACATGGCTAACCTGAAGCACATTAGTGTCCATGATGGTGCCCCTGAGCCCCTCCGCAAAATGGCGTCAGAATTGGTGAAGCACTTCAAAAATGACGAGTTTGTGGACAAGTTTTTAAAGAGCACTGACAAGGTTGGCGAAAGGCGTGCAACACATGGAGTTCGAAACATGGTCTTTGGCGTTACAGAGAATGCCAGTACTTCGCCCGGTAAGAAGTGCAGCAAACGATGGGAAAGATGCTTGTGAAATATCCGAATATGAGAGAGTATGATCGACTTAATAACTCTAACGGGAAATCCTTTTGTGTAGCACCAAACACATGAGGCTTTCGGAAGAATGAACCATTATTTTAATATAAATTTATATATGGATCAATGATAGGAACAAAACCTTTGAAACGCCTCGAGTCAAAACCACCACCAATTTCGATAGTCGCAGCGAAACCATCAGGACCTTCATCGTCATCCTCAGCTTCCTCACCTTTCACATATTCTGCACCAGCTCCACTGCCATCGTCCTCTCCGTCGTCTTCATCCACTCCGTCGTCTTCATCCGCTCCGTCGTCCTCGTCAACAGGAACATTGTCACCAAAGCGCAAGAGAAAAGGCAGTATTGTCGAGACCGAGGAGCCTTGGCGATCGCTCATGCACTGCTTGATAAAAATCGTAAGTAACAAATTGACACTAAATTAAATAACGTAGCACTCTCCACTTCGGCTAATCTGTGAATATGTCGCCGTTAGGTTAATGGCGATAAGAACAATACTTATCCACATCCATGGCCGACAATGCTTTCTGTGCACAAACTCCTGTTCCAGCTCGCTGTGGATTCTTTGAAAATGTACGAGGCACAACACAGCAAGGAGAGAGACATCACTCTCGTGAAGGATGCACAGTAAGTTGAAACACAGGCGCATGAGTTACTAATTTTGAAGGCGTACATGATATGGTGGCATTAAACACAAGATTGTTCTCCTTAAAATAGAGTGGCGATGTCATGCCTCATAAACACCATATCCGGACGTGCATGCACATTCTTTGATCGAGTAGACCCTGGCCTCATTGACAAAGCACGCGCAATCTGTGAGCTCCCGCATATTGACCTTCATCCTGCAACGGCTATTCTGAAAAAATACACGGATATACTTACAGAGAAGGGGATCCATCAGTTATTAAGGCGTCTACAGCAAGATTGGGGCAATATCGGTGCAGAATATCCAGACGAGGACACTTTACCTGCTGTTGCGGATATTGAAGACAGGACTCTTCAGGTTTTGATGCAGCTGTAAGTCATCCTGTTTCTCTTACTATGGGCTCTTCGTTGAGTGAGTTGATGTACTTTTAAGATCAACTTACCACGCGCCACTTGGCTGATTTGAAACATTTCGGTTATAGCTGCAAGTTTGTGATCCGACCGCACTTTGGGAAGAAGGCGCCGTCAGAGAACGACATCCTTATACTGTGGGTCTCGGTATTCTCATTGCTCACCAAAAATATCACTATGCACACGTAAGCAATGCTATTGGCTCACAATTTCAAACGGTGATGGACGACAAATGACATGTTCTAAGAGTGATAATTTTCTGGCATGAATCCTAGAAGGTCATGTTGGCATCAAAGGCTGTGAGACAAATGCAGTCTTCAGAGTTTGGGGATCCTTCGGATTGTGGCCGCAAGGCTGACTGCCTTTTCATGTTTGGGGAGATCGAGCTTTCTAATATTGAATTCAAAAGAGATAACATCGATGAGACGGAAATTCGTGTACAGAACAGGAAGAATGTGCGTCTAGGCCGATGCCTACAGGAATCTCAAGCGGCGTATGGTGTTGAGGCGCCATCAGTGTTGATGGCAGACGTTGCCGGTAAGATTTTTTTATTAGTTTATGTTTATATAAATTTTTATACAATGTTGGTGCTAATGCCCGGGCTTGGTCCTTTTTTGTAGGTTATATTGGTGTGGTGTACCAAGTGGCGCAAATGGGGGACGTGGCAGTGGCTGGGAAGGCAACCCCTCATATCGTGCAGCTGCCCTCCACGGAAGGAGGCCTATTAGAGTTCATGACCAGTCCCTCACTGGCTATTCTGTGGAATTTCATGGTATGTCATCACTTGAAAATAATAGCTCAGTTTCTCGAAAGCGGTATTTGTTTTTTTTTTTCTTTTTTTTCTAAAGTGTCCATTTGAAATACTGTAGAACCATCTGGAGGCACAAGGCCCGAAGTTGAAGATGTGGAAGGAGCGACACGAGGCAGCGATTTCCAAGATAAAGCTGGACCAGAGGCTCTCGCACCGGGAGACTGAAGCGCCTTGCGTTTTTAAAAAATTTGAAAATAACGTCACTTTGTCACCTCCCAAAAAACGATTGTTTGCAGACCTGCCGAACACACGTAGCTGAGACCGACGATCCCTTCAACGAAATAAAACTCTAGTGCTTCGTGCTCCTTATCTATCTTCTTTTGCATGGCGTGGTTGCTGACGGTTGCAAGTGCTTTCTCGACATCACTGTCCTCAAGAACCTGTCGCAATTGTAATTGGATACGCAAAAGTACATGTTGCCGTTAATCTTGACAAAAAATATGACGTCGGGTCCAGACACATGCGGCGCTTGAAAGTAGAAAAGTGGAGTATCCTGATGGTCGTGTTTGGAGTTGATGTCGACGTGCGCCATCACAAAATGCTGCGTGGTGATGTTTTTTTGTGAGATGGCGAGCTTTGGTTGCTGATCATCGAATCCAACAATTGCCACATCTCAAATGAGCTGGTCCGGAAGAGAAGTGTCGGTCAACAAAGGCCAGGACGACAACGGTCGACTCTTGAACGTCTCGGCAAAGACGGGGGTCATGATGGCCTCCTACATGTTGCCGTGTACCGAGGTGTTGTCCGAGTGCAGCATCGTCCGTCGTACTGCCGCCACAAGTGAGGAATCCTTCTCGTAGAAGTAGTCGATGGTCGCCTTCAACGCTAGTGGCTCGTCGAGAACAGTCCTTGCGCACCTCCAACGAACTTGATTCGATCAAACGCTGCTTCCACTAACCGGACATCGTTCTCAAGTACCTTCGAGGGAGCGTCCAATAATCGATGGCGATAAAGGAAGAGCACGAGGTAAGGAGCTCAGTATGGTTGGCAATCTTGGTTTCCACACTAGAGATAGAGGAGGAAGCCCGTTAATGAAAATCAAGATAGTCAAATGCCATGCGCATGAGACCGCTGCTCATCGCCCAATGGAGAGTCCGGATGCTCAATCCTGTTCCGCTGTAGATGACAGTCAGCTCCTCGCAGAACCTAAAAGTGTCAAAAATATCAAATAAAGTTTGTTAGCCACGTATTCTGATTGTTCATCCCTCAACATCTTCAAATTGTTGTCACACCGTTGTCATTCTGGCATTTGACATACATTGGTCGTAGGTTGCCTTGTGTGGATGACGACGCAAACGACGAGTGGGCTCTTGTCGCTCAGGATCTGGGTCTCCTCGAAGACCACCCGAAACGTGGACTCGCTTGAAAAGTTGGGACGGTCGTGGGCAGCAAGCATCTCTCGCACCGATTCGAACTCCATGCGGACAATAAAGGCCAGGTCGGATACAGGGACTGTGCGTCCCGTCGTAAGATCACAAAGTTTCATGCGCAGACGCACGAACACATACCTGAACGTGTTGGAGCGCATTTGGAGCAAGGCCCAGCGAGCATTCGTGAATATCTGATGGGAACTTCAAGCAATAACCGAGGATCACAAAGCGCGAAAGGAAGAGCAGCAATGTCATGTTCTTGGTAAAAGCAGTGTTGGTACCGGCCACGTCTTCCAAAGTTTTGTTCTCAATGAGATCAACTAGGCGGAAGAGGTCGCTCGATCCTAAATCCGACTTAGTCGCATAGAAATAGAAATAGAAGCCCCATTTAAGGCAGAGCATCTCTGTCACTGGACGAGTTTTCCCGCAGCTGCTCACGCCAAACACAGGTATATCTTGCGCTGGCATCTTCACCAGCAGACCCAACAGGAATTCAATCCAAACCTCTCAGGAACGGGGAGGCTAACACTAGGTGAAGGGGTCAGGGAGATCCAAACACAGCATATTCGGTTTTGAGTCCTGTGATTCGACAACACCACGGCGCAAGACATTTGGCAGATTGCACCGTGCACACCAGTCGTTGTTACTGGCAATGATTGTTGACCTTATATACACCTGTCCAGAAATTTAGCGTGCTTTGACTCTGCTGCGAGAACCCTGATTCGGATCCTGTTGGTATCAACTCTGAGGTCGCCTGAAAATACCAAGAGAGGCGCTTTTGCATATTAGTGTTTAGAGTGGGGATGGCGAAAAAAAACACGACAAAAGCGCACAATAGGGTACTTACTAGTCGGCGGTGCACCTGGACGAGAATCGTCCGAGAGATGGCCAGGGAGTGGGGTAGAGGCTCGAGCAAGGATAGGTGCGTCGACTCTGTCGGTACAATTTGAGAAGTGAATAAGTGCAAGTAGACTGAACAGGGGTATGTGCAAAGCATAATTGAGCGCAAATAATGTTTGCATTACCTTGAGGTGTTGGTGTAGGTGTTGTCGTTGGGACTCTCGGGAAACCGTACCCTTGGATTGTTCAGGTCTGTCTTGTCGTCGAGAGCTTGTCGTCGGGGCTTGTCGTTGGGGATGGAGAAGCGCGAACGGGTGAGCTTATTTGCAACAATATCTTTAAATCAGGACTCTGCTTGGCTTTGATTGCGTCCTTGAGGTCAGCGACATTGTCGTGCGTCGGACGTAATCTCCATCAACAAGACAGAGCAGGATGTTGTCAGTGAAAATATCGCGAAGCTTCAGAAATAAGGTTAGAAAAGTAAGAGCGAGTAAGAGGGAGACGAGGAAATAATGAAACACATGAAAGTAGAGAAAGGAAAAATGACCTTGTGATGTAGCAGCGACAGAAACACAGTCACGCACACGTTACATTGACGCAAACGCACACAATCACCTCTTTCCGCTTCTCAATCATCTTTCAACCAACGCAACACCACCTACACATCTCTTCACAGTAATGTCGCATACGAGTACCAGTAAGTAGGAAGAAATCACCCTTTCACCCTTTCACCCTTTCATACCTGCATGTTTTTTATACGTTTTTTTCTCACTCGGCAGCTCGTGTTTCCCTGCATGCATTGTTGTGCATAAGGAAACCTTGGCCAAGATGCTGTTACCCCTCCACGCTGCTGGCCGCGTAATGGTGTCAAGGTTGAGAGGGTCTGCTGAGTAGTATATGGCTTTACCTTGTTCCCATGGTTGATGTCCATGACAAACCAGGAACGCGACAATGGTCATGCGCTGATGGCCCCAATCTACGGATTCGCGCCACTGGTGCAGCGATTATGGAGCCTATACTTTTTCTCACTCAACAGCCCGTGTTTCCCTGCATGCTTTGTTGTGCATAAGGAAACCTTGGCCAAGATGCTGTTACCCCTCCACACTGCTGGCCGCGTAATGGTGTCAAGGTTGAGAGGGTCTGCTGAGTAGTATATGGCTTTACCTTGTTCCCATGGTTGATGTCCATGACAAACCAGGAGCGCGACAATGGTCATGCACTGATGGCCCCAATCTACGGATTCGCGCCACTGGTGCAGCGATCATGGAGCTTATACTTTTTCTCACTCAACAACTCGTGTTTCCCTGCATGCATTGTTGTGCATAAGGAAACCTTGGCCAAGATGCTGTTACCCCTCCACACTGCTGGCCGCGTAATGGTGTCAAGGTTGAGAGGGTCTGCTGAGTAGTATATGGCTTTACCTTGTTCCCATGGTTGATGTCCATGACAAACCAGGAGCGCGACAATGGTCATGCACTGATGGCCCCAATCTACGGATTCGCGCCACTGGTGCAGCGATCATGGAGCCTATACTTTTTTTCTCACTCATGTTTCCCTGCATGCTTTGTTGTGCATAAGGAAGCCTTGGCCAAGATGTTACTACCCCTCCACACGTCTGGCCGCGTAATAGCCTCAAGGTTGAGAGAGTGCCGTTATTATTATGTTTTTTTTTGTAAATTACTAGAAAGCCGAGTTTGATTTCTGCAATAGGCGAGGACGGGGACAGAGAATTACGGAGGGTTGAGGATGTGATGGTGTTTATTATACAGGGAACTGGGATTTTTATATGAGCTAAATTACATGGTGGTGTGGATATAACAGGGGTGGAGCAAGAAGATATGAGCAGGAGGATAGAGAGACAAGGACGAGACAGGGACAAGAAAGTACTAGGGACGAGGATGGAAGAGCTAGAAACGGATGCTGTTTATTGTACAAGGAGAGGAGGCTGCACGAGGGGGAGTTGTAGGTGAAATTGATCAAGAGAAGAGGTTGTTAAGGGAAACGAGGGAGGATGAGTAGAAAAGGAACAAGGGCGAAGAACAAAGAAGGCTCTCAGTACAAGGGAAGCTGAGTTCAAGAAAGACTGAGGGCGAGGAAGGCTGACTCCAAGGGAGACCAATGGACTTGACCTCCAATCGGACATGGGCTTGAGGCAGCGCATAGAGGATCCTCGCCTCGCCTCCATCTAACAAAGCTGCCTCCGGGATGGACTTTTGTATGTTGAACGACATGGCGATACCGTACTTTGCATACCCAAGTCCTCTGACCTTATTCTTTTTCTCCTTTCTGATGTGCATGCCGCCTACACTCCCCTGCACTCATTTGCATTCTGAGCTCAATGTCGATTAACACCCGTCGCTACATTGAGTCCTGTTCAAGCTGCCAACGCAACAAGGCCGTCCGTCTCCTTCCTGCTGGATTGCTTCGCCCTCTGGCAATCTCCGAACAACGCTGGGACACGGTTCCCATGGATTTTGTCGTTAAGCTGGCCATAACCGCCCGCAGGCTTGATGCGATTACCGTTTTTGTCAACAAGTTATCGAAGCAGGTGCATTTTGCACCTAGTCGGATCTCGCATTCTGCCGTCGATGTGGCGAACTGTTTTTCCAACAACCTCTTCCGCTTTCACGGTTTGCCCAGCATCATTATCTCAAACCCTGATACCACGTTCACCAGCATTTTTTGGCGCCGCCTTCAAAGGAAAAACGAAAACCTAACGTGTTACTTTACGTCTTGCGTCGCTCTCTCATTCCCACCAACAGGGATCCCTGTAATATTCAGCAACTGCAGTCAACAAGAACACAGGCTTGACAGACTAGATCCCCTGCAGTACCACCTTACCCACAGTCTGTTATAACAGCGCCCTCGACGGACCTTTGTCATCCAGGACAGCGCCCGACAGGTCAAGATCAACATCCCCGGTGTCGGCCAGCTGCAAGGATAGAGAGATCAAAACTCCTTCCACTTCTAGGGCGTCACTTTCGCCGAGGCGCCTGTTGGGCAAACTGCGATTTGAAGCTCCTGTCCCGAAACCACCTTTTACAACGACACTGGAAGCGACCTATTACAAGGATGTCTGACCCCAGTCTGCTCCGTCGCTCCGTCGGATGGATTGGGAGCGCCTCTGCTCAGCGGATTGCTGAATGGTGCTGTGGCAAGCGAGGACCGCTTGAACTTGGATGTTTATACCCCGACTCCGAAAGGCACCGGTCAAGAGTTGCTCCCAGTCATGTTTTATATCCATGGTGGTGGATCGACAAGGTGAGAACAACTGACAATGCCTTTAAGGAAGCGCAACTCTCTGTTTGAAAAACTGAATGTTCTTCATGCGTGCATTTATTGACTCGTTGTCTACTCTTTCTTTCTCAAACCCAGTTTCTCCGGCTCGGTTGTCCTATTTGATGGCGGCAATTTGAGTTCTCGAGGCGGCGTGGTTACTGTCACCACTAACTACCGCCTCGGCATGTTGGGTTTCAGTCCGCGTTCCCCAGATCCGATGTCGCTGGCAACCAAGGCATCCGTGATCGGATCCTCGCACTCGAGTGGTCCAAGAAAAACATCGCTGCTTTGGAGAAGACTCCAACGGAATCACGATCTTTGGTGAGTCTGCTGGTGCTGCCAGTCAGAGCCCTGTTGTCTGCACCATCCGCATTTGGACTCTACACCAACGACATCGACCAGAGCGATCCCATCCACATTCCGTTCAAGTCTCGAGGGGATTCCGCCAACATCCAGGCGTTGTTCTTTCTGCTGATGGGCTGTGCCTCGAACGATCTTGTTTGCGTCCCGGTCGAAGTCAACCGTTGACCTTATGAACGCCCAGGTCAAGGCCAATGCCATGATGGTCACCCAACAGAACTGGTCCACGACCTTATCCCCGGTGGCTTTTTTGAGCTGGTCAAAACAGGAAAACACAACACCAAGGCCAAAATCATGTGGGGCTCGACCAAGGACGAGGCTGGTCGGTTCGTCGCGATCTACTGTCCGATCAAGGAGACTATCACCGCTACCAAAAATGGATCAGTCTTTTCCAAAACGTTTGCTTCACTGAGAGTCGACCTCATTCTCAACAACACCAGTAGTATATTCAAACCCAACATGGCTAGCAAGGACCCTGCCAGCGATATGTTCAACGACTTTATACAAAGCACTACTCCTACTGTCCCCTCAAGTATTTCAGTCGGGAGATCACCAAGGGCGGTGGGAAGGTGTACCAGTTTAGGTTCAACTGCGGTCGTGGAATCGCTCTCGCCGATGCTCGTGGATACTGCGGCGCTAACACTGGACGTACCTACCTGTCATGCACAAGACCTCTCCCCTGTGTTTGGTACCGATGCTATGCTCCTTCTCACCTTCCAGACTGGAGACGACGCCCGCTTCGCTCGGCAGATCGTTGACTGTTGGACCACATTCGCCAAGACAGGAAACCCAAACCCAACAACCGATATGCTTGGCGTTGAGAACTCGAACCCAGATGTTGTGGGTGCCAATTGGTCCGCCTACGATTCCTCGGCCAATCCAATGCTAGAGCTGAATGTCGGAAGCAATATGTCTACCAATGCCAACCAAGCTGCTTGCTCGTTCATGGACAATGTTTTGCAATACGACTCTGTGTTCCGCAACACCGCCTTTGCCCCTTGAACTATATTTTTCATCTTCGCTTTCACATAGTAATAAGACATACATCCATAACAACCTTCAGACCAGAGACTACTGAAAGGAATGTTTGCTTCCTAGGGAGTGAGACAAGTAGGAGATCATTCGATTGTCAATTGATCGTAGGTCAGTGTAAGTCGATACGATTGAAGACACAAAAGTGGGCAGTGAATAAAAAGAGACAGAAGCAGAAAAAGTCGAACGATCGTCGATGCACGGAACTCCATTTGATTGTTGACACCAAGAAGTGGGCATTGTAAAAGGAAACATAAAATAAATGTACCTGATAGCTCAAAAACAATATAAGCAGAGAGGCAATGTCGCACAGCAGCCTCCTTATTGCTCTCACTTATGGGTCCCGCTAACAATTGCTCGGCCCATTTTGCATGAATCTGTGTCTCCATTGCCATCACACAATGACAAAACAGCCAGCAGACACGGAAGTGTGTGAACACACTCTCTCTTCTTCGTTGCCTTTTCTTTCTTTCAATTTAACCTATTCGCTCGCCCTCTTTGTTTCCTTCCATCGCCACTTTTAATACAACAAACACCTAACGTTAACTAAATACACAGACACTCCGTCACCCCTCGACTCGTCCACAAAAATGTCTACCACTGCCAGGCGCAACCCGGTTTGGGGTCTTGTGGAAGAGGCGATGGAAAACTACAACCACATCGACAGACCCGCCTCCCCACAGTACGCCTCCGCCAACTCCTCTGTCAGGCGTAACCCGGTCTGGGGTCTCGTGGAAGAGGCGATGGAAAACTACACACATATCGACCGACCCTTTGAGGCACCACCAGGAGCTCGGGGACCCCAAGCATGGCCATATATCGAGCCGCCATCAACTGACGAGGACTCTCTGGCTTCCAATGCACATTCAATGGGTCCACAGGAATACCCCACCACAAGCGATTCGGCACAATCACCATGGCCAAAAGATTACTCGACCCCTGGTAGAGATCTTACCAAGGCGATCATCAGCGCCAGTCAAGGAGATAAAGACGCTCAGGTCGCCCTTGGTGACATGTACAAGGAGGGTCTGGGAGTGTATCAAGACTACCAATCGGCAATGGATTGGTACCTCAAGGCTAGCGAACAAGGGGATGCAGTTGGTCAGCGAAAGGTCGGGATGATGTACAGTCTCGGTCTCGGTGTCTCACAGGATTACTCGGCAGCGTTGGAATGGTACCTCAAGGCGGCCAATCAAGGCAACGCGGCGGCTCAGTGTAACATCGGCGCCTTGTACGAGCAAGGGCAAGGCGTTCCCCAGGACTACTCCCACGCGATGATTTGGTTTCGCAAGGCAGCCGACCAAGGGCTCGCCCGGGCTCAATCCAACATTGGTGGCCTATATGATCTTGGTCAAGGGGTTTCCCAAGACTTTGCCCAGGCGATGGAATGGTACCTCAAAGCCGCAAACCAAGGCGATACAGTCTGTCAGCGGAAGGTCGGGATGATGTATAACCTCGGTCTCGGTGTCTCACAGGACTATATGACAGCATTGGAATGGTATCTCAAGGCGGCCAACCAAGGCAATGCAGCAGCTCAGTGCAACATCGGTGTCTTGTACGAACAAGGGCAAGGCGTTCCTCAGGACTACTCCCAAGCGATGGTCTGGTTTCGCAAGGCAGCCGATCAAGGACTCTCACAGGCTCAATGCCACATCGGTGTCTTGTACGAGCTTGGCCAAGGTGTACCCCAGGACGTTTTCAAGGCAAAGGACTGGTACCTCAAGGCTGCCGAACAAGGATATCCACGAGCTCAATTCAACATTGGTACTTTGTACGAACAAGGACGAGGTGTGCCCCAGGACCGCGACCAAGCAATAGATTGGTATTTTAAGGCCGCCACCCAAGGACACTGGAATGCGAAGACACAGTTGGAGAACCTGGAGAGAAAGGATGCCAGTATTTTGTAGAAGGGAGCTGACCGGGCAGATATGTGACATTAAGACTACAAGTGTAAAGAGCCGTGTGCGTTGCAATGCTTTTGTTTTGTTGCTTGGTTTGGTGAATGAACTATGTTGCTGGTATTTTTGGTGCTCCTCATTTTTTTGCATGGACCTTTATATGTGTGAATATGACTGAAGAAAAAACACGTATCAACCATGTGTCTGGAGATACGTTCCCGACACAAAGGCATCGTGGTGGCAATGAAGGGACAATTTTTTTTTGTTTTATGTGTCTGCAATGCCTTGTTCCCCTTTCCTCACTTTGTTTCGTTCGTTCCGTTCCCTGCATCCGCATATTTACACTTTTTCTCCCCTTCACAACTTGCTCACATATTTCCCTCACACTATCGCCTCAATACTTACCAAAAAAATGTTACAAGGATGTACCTCTCAGGATAACGATCATGAGCCTCGGTCTGTCAACAGCAACAATCTAACATCCGCCGCCATCGATACTACCAGCCCAGCCCAGTGGAGGAAGTCTCTTGTATCGACACCACTAGCGAGGTTCGAACTTTACTACTGCTTGCTCAATGTAGCGTTTGTAAACATGGCATAAATGAGCATGATACACTCTCTGGTGACAGCTCATAGACAATTGATTTACCTGTATCTTGCAACACGCGAAAAAAAAACAAATAGAACTCTCATCGCATCAAGTGCCGCCGTGAATATGGTCGAGGATGGCTATCAACTGGTTAACAAGGAAGAGGATTTGTCTGGGATAATGCTACAGGAAGAGAGCGTGGGCCAAAGGATGTAGATTCGGTCTGCACCACCGCCGACGAAACAGAAATGAACAGCACATATTTCGATGGGCCTGTTTGCGAGGTGACGTCCATTCGAGGACCATGAGCACAGGACGAGCAAACACCCACCACCAAACATCTATCATCGCCATCAGATACCAACAATGGTGACAGGATACAATCATGGGGACCACAGGATGTCAACTCGTCCAAGGCAGTTCCGGAGGAGTTGGCGCAGACGATCACCAACGCCGAGGCTTGGAGACAAGGATGCGCAAGTCGCTCTTGGTGATATGTACAGGGATGGTCGGAGGATTAAGCAGGGCTACGCATTGGCATCTCCGGACCGCCGGCAGTCGGTCAGCGCAAGGTCGGTCTTCTCTATGACTACGGTCATGGCGTCCCTCAGAACCATAGGACTGCCATGCACTGGCACTTCAAGGCAGCCGATCAAGGAGACGCATTACGCCCAATGCAATATCGGTTTTCTTACGAGAGTGGTGACGGGTTGACTCAAGACTTATATCAGGGCGATGGAATGGTATACCAAGCCTGCCAACCAAGTTCTTTCTCGCGCTCAATGCAGCATCGGCTATCTTTACTACATAGGACGAGGCGTGCCGCAGGATTATTCCCGAGCGATAGAGTGGTATCTTAAGGCAGCTGGACAATGAAATGCATGCTCACAGTTCAACATCGGTGCCCTGTATGATCTCGGTCACGGTGTTCCTCAGAACTTTCTACCGAGCCATGGACTGGTATCTTCAGGACTCTAACCAGAGAGGTCCAGACACACAGGTCAGCATCGAAAGTTTGTGTGGGTATGGTCTGGGTGTCGCTCAGGATTTTACTCAAGCGATGCACTGGTATCTCAAGGCGGCCGAGAATGGAAATGCAGACGCCCAATGCAATGTTGGCAAGCTGCATTATGAAGGTGTGGTCGGTGTGGACGGTGTGGACCTGGGCTATGCGCAAGCAATGGAGAGGTATATGAAGGCTGCAACGCAGGGCTCTGCGCGTGCTCAGTGCAATGTCGGCAGCATGTATGCACTTGATCTAAGAGCACCTCAGGATCATCAAAAGGCTATGGAGAAGTACCAAAAGGCGGCGGATCAGGGATATGCAGAAGCAATGAAGAATGTTGAAGCTATGAGTGCAGACGACTATGGCGTCGAGCAGAGCAATTGGGAAATAAGCAGACGAAGATAAAATAAAATAAAATGTTGACTATGATTACTTCATTTGTTTGCAGGTGAGTGTTAGTCTACCTTCGGTGGGAGGGCCATTCCTCCAAGATATCATAGGCATCGACCGAAAAAAAAACTCTGATAAATTTCTTAGTTTCACACAGTAATCACATCATCATATCGCATGCTCCAGATGTACATGAATTGACACAGTGGCCACCTACTTCTCCATGCTCGACCCTTTGCGCTCGATATCACACCGGCCTCCGTGACCTTGACCTTGACCCAACTTACTTCCTTCTCTGAGAGTCATCCACACTTGGGACACAAGTCTAGATGCGTTTTTCCTTTTCCTCTCACCTCGCAGTCTGGTTAGGATTGCCCGCTTTGCGAGACAGATCATGGATCGTTGGACAGCCTTCGCCAAAACGAGCCACCCTGACCGTACTGCTGGGCTGATTGGCGTTGAGACCTCGAACAACGATGTCGCGGGCGTCAAGATGCATCGACCAGCCTGATGTTGGAGCTCATTGTCGAGACCGCAGTGTAGACCAACGCTGACCAGGCCATTTGCACGTTCCTGGACGATGCTCTTCAGTACAACTTTGTGTTCCACGACACCATCTTTGTCCCCCGAGGCATGCGCGTGCAATAAATAAATAAATAAGCAAAAAACTCTCCTCATTCCTATCAATTAAAGAGCCATCGACTGCAACAATCCGACGCATCGCTGCAAGTTGTTTCGTGTTCTGCATGTCTTAGCGCCCCTGTATATTATTTTGCTCTCGACCATCTGCATAACTAAAATGCGTGCACCATAGCATTGTTGTTGAATGGAACTTTCTATAGTTCTTTTCACCCACACATGTAGCGAGGTTTTTTACTTTTTGCCCACCCACCGCCCCACTTCGCTATTCTTTCCCCTTTTCTTTTTTCCTTTTCCTTTTTCTTTCTTATTCCTCCTCTCTTCCCTACTTTTCACTCACCTTCACTCTCCCTCCCACCCAGTCCTTTCCTCTCATTCACCTGCATCAAGACAACGCTCGCATCCTTTTCTTCTCCTTCTCATTAGCCATCGCCACACAGGAATGACTAAAGAAAACGACACTCAGGAACAAGTATAGGCACTGCGCTCAGTCAACAGGAACCTCCCTCCTTCTGCTATCCTACCCACCTACCACGACGAGATATTCCATGTCGACACAATTGTCGACCCCAAGACCCAAAAGCGAGTCGTTCTCTGGGACGATATCCTCCAGGCGTTTGAGGATGCAGTTCAAATTTGACACGACCTCAGGGCGTATGTAATTTTACTTCAATTGGTTAGTCGGGTTGACAATGTCAAAAAGTCATGCAAAAAAAAGCTGAGCTTGTATCTCCTACACTTAAATAATGAATTGGCTGCAGCCTCGAATCACGTAGGATTGCTGCCATTCCAAACATTGTCTTGGATGTCGTAGTTGTTGATCCATCGACCGACATGAAGATCGTATCTCCAGCGAACGTCCCAAAGGAGACAGCCTCTCTGCCACCGCGAGGGGAGGATATCGAGGACAGGATGACTGTTGTGACGCAGACTCAGGAAATCACTTCCAACTCTGCAGTCTGACGAAACCCAGTTTACGGCCATGAGAATACGGCGATGGACAACTATTCTCATATCGACCACCCAGCTTTTCGCACCGCAAGCATTGCTGGATAATCAAACACCAACCATCAAAGACATCCCAGTGCTTCCATTTTCAAGCAATGGCCGCGGACTTTCTTCACGAGCACTTCAGAGCAAGAGTGCAACAACCAAAGCGTTGGAGGAGAGGGACCTAGTCCAGCTGGGCATCAGTGCCAGTCAAGGAGACAAGGACGCTCAGGTTGCTCTTGGCAATATGTATAGGGATAGTGAGGGCGCTCGACAAGACTATCAAGCAGCGACGGATTGGTACCTTCAAGCTGCCAACCAGGGCGATGCAAATTCCCAGCGCGAAGTAGGCGTTATCTACTATGAAGGTCTCGGTGTCTCACAGAGCTATTCGATGGCGATGTATTAGTTTCTCAAGGCCGCCAGCCAAGGAGATCCAAACGCTCAATACAACATCGGCTTTTTGTACAATGGCGGCCAAGGAGTAGAACAGGACTTTGCCCAAGCGATGCAACGGTTTCTCAAGGCTGCGAAAAAAAGGTTATGCGGATGCTCAAGGCACAGTCGGCTCTTATTACGGCATGGGCGATGGTGTGCTTCAAGATTATTCCCAAGCAATGGAGTAGTTCCGCAAGGCCACCGATCAAGGAGACGCATACGCTCAGTACAACATCGGCATCACATATACCGGCAGCCTCGGTGTGCCCAAGAACGACTAGGAAGCAATGAAGTGGTTCCAAAAAGCAGCTGACCAGGGGCACCCAAATGCACAAAAATGATTGGAGCTGTGCACCAGTGGATCTGATAAGCAGATATTCAGAACGCTTAAGTAGGCTTTTCAACTGCAAAAAAAAAAAAAAAAACGTGATAAAAACGGTCTGATTTCTATCACTAATAACATTCTTAGTTTCGCGTGGTGATCGAACTCTACATGATCCAGATGTACCTGAAATGGTCATCCGTACTTGCCACAGGCCACACTTTTTTTTCACTCTTCGTTGCTCTTTTCACTCGCCACCACTCTCACTCGTCTCGCCTTTGACCTTGTCCCATACAATTTTCCTTTGAGCGACATTCACTCCCAGCACAAGTTCAATTGCAATGTCATTCACCCCTCCCAACACTCAGGGCATTCGCCCCATCGACATCAACAACCCCATCTCGTCTCCGCCGCACCCAACCGAGGTGCTCTATGTCGACATCTACACGGACCGCATTACAAAGGAAAAAGTCATTCTCTGGGAAGATGTCCGTCTAGCCTTCCACGACGCCCTTCATGTCCGACACAAAGCAAGGGTGGTTCCCTTTATGAAAGACGACGACTTCAACACGTAGTCTATGAGCTTGAAGGTTTGACAGCAAAACGAAAGCGGGATTACTTTTTGGTTAACACCTTAAATATCTATTTTCCTCTGCTCTAGGATAAAGCCGCTTCGAATTGCTGTCATTCTCGGCGAAATACTGGACATTATCGTAGGCAACTCACAAACACCCACGAGCAGCATACTCAAGGCCCAACATAATAGCAGCACAACGTCCGTTGCCCAACATTCCAGCGATGACAACGAACCGCAAAAGTCCAAGGAAATCCCTCCTCTTGCCAATGAGGCCTCTACTCTCGCCGACATCTCCCTTCCAACAAAACATGTTCTCAGTCGGAGAGACATTGCCGCTCTGGTCGCTCTTGGAGGCAAATACATGGAATACCAGGACTACCAAGCTGCCATGGAATGCTACCTCAAGGTCGCCGACCAAGGTTTTGTTGACGTCCAGTACAACATCGGCCATATGTACTGTGAAGGCAAAGGCGTTCCCCAGGACTTTACCAAAGCGATGGAGTGGTACCGCATGGCCGCCGATCAAAGAGACGCAAAAGCTCAGTTCAACATCGGTGTCATGTACGAAGTAGGCAAAGGCGTTCCCCAGGACTTTTCCAAAGCGATGGAGTGGTACCGCATGGCCGCCAATCAAGGAAACGCAGAAGCTCAGTTCAACATCGGCCTTATGTACGACGAAGGCAAGGGCGTTCCCCTGGACTTTGCCAAATCGATGGAGTGGTACCGCATGGCCGCCAATCAAGGAAACGCAGAAGCTCAGTTCAACATCGGCCTTATGTACGACGAAGGCAAGGGCGTTCCCCTGGACTTTGCCAAATCGATGGAGTGGTACCGCAAGGCCGCCGATCAAGGAAACGCAGACGCTCAGTACACAATCGGTGTCATGTACCTCGAAGGCAAAGGCGTTCCCCAGGACTTTGCCAAAGCGATGGAGTGGTACCGCATGGCGGCCGATCAAGGACACGCAAAGGCTCAGTACAACATCGGTGGCATGTATAACGTAGGAAAAGGCGTTCCCCAGGACTTTGCCAAAGCGATGGCGTGGTACCGCATGGCCGCCGATCAAGGACAGGCAGACGCCCAGTACAACATCGGGATCATGAATATCAAAGGCCAAGGTGTGACTGAGAGCTACTCGGAAGCCAGAAAGTGGTTCCAAAAAGCGGTTGACCAGGGGCACCCGAATGTACAAAATTGGTTGGAGTTGTCCAAAATGGGATCTATACTCGCCGAAGCGATGGCTATTTTATCAGGCTCTTCAAGTGAAGAATGAAGTATCAAATCGCCAAAAAATAAATGTGATATTAAAAACGACCTTATTTGATTCCAGATGTACCTGAAATTATAATCCTCCACACTTGCTTTTTTTGCTAAGGCAGGACTTTTTCCTCTTTCCACTCGCCACCATGTCCTTGGCCCATACAATTTTTCCTTTGAGCGACATTCACATCCAGCACAAGTTCAATTGCAATGTCATTCACACCTCCCAACACTCAGGGCATTCGCTCCATCATCATCAACAACCCCACCTCGTCTCCGCCGCACCCAACCGAGGTGCTCCATGTCGACATCTACACCGACCGCATCACAAAGGAAAAGTTCATTCTTTGGGAAGATGTCCGTCTGGTCTTCCACAACGCCCTTCATGTCCGACACAAAACAAGGGTAGTTCCCTTTATGAAAGGCGACGACTTCAACACGTACGTCTATGAGCTTGTAGGTTCGACAGCAAAATGAAAGTGAGGTTACTTTCTGACTAACACCATAAATGTCTATTTTTCTCCGCTCTAGGATAAAGCCGTTTCGAATTGCTGTCATTCCCAGCGAAATACTGGACATTATCATAGGCAGCCCACCAGATACCACCCATCAATTACAGCGGCGACAGAAGCAGCAGCCATCAGTTCTCTGGCAGATTGAGCAACAAGCAGCGTGGCTCCCAAGGCACAACCCTCTCTCGACAATGCGACCAATATCCGCTACCCACCCATCAACCTCGGTTTTCAACCCTCGCTTTAGACCATCAGGAAACAATTTTGCCCACGCCCAAAATACGAGACAACAACTCGACGACGCGGCTGTTCAGGCCCGTAACAAAGAGCTCGCGCGTAAGTACGCCAAAGAAGCGATGACCAAGATTGCTGACATGATGGATCTCGACGCGCTGCACACAAAGGGCGATGCTGGTCCTGCTGACTTTTGGAAGGCTCTGGAGTGCTACCTTAAGGCTGTCCATCAGAGTCACGCGCATGCTCAGGTCCAAGTTGGCGACCTCTTTTTTGAAGGCCAAGATGTTTCCAAGGATTCATTCATTGCCATGGGATGGTATCATAAAGCGGCGTTTCAAGGAGACACCAACGCTCAGCGAAAAGTTGAGGCGCACAGACTGTAAGTGGCATATACGTTGTCCATTGTTACAAGATATATTTTATATATGCTTCAGATTCTCACCAAAAATCTCGTCATCTTCACATGGCTATAGCTCTGAACGTCAAAAAACAGCGACACCCGAGACGCCCACGAGCAGCATACTCAAGGCCCAACACAACAGTAGCAAAACGTCCGTTACCCAACCTTCCAGCGACGACAACGAACCGCAAATGTCCAAGGAGATCCCCCCTCTTACCAATGAGGCCTCTGCTCTCGCCGACATCTCCCTTCCAACAAAGCATGTTGTCAGTCAGAGTGACATTGACGCTCAGGTTGCTCTTGGAGACAACTATATGGACAGCCAGGACTACCAAGCTGCCATGGAATGCTACCTCAAGGCCGCCAACCAAGGTTTTGTTGACGCCCAGAACAACATCGGCCATATGTACAGTGAAGGCAAAGGCGTTCCCCAGGACTTTACCAAAGCGATGGAGTGGTACCGCATGGCCGCCGACCAAGGACACGCCAACGCCCAGGGCAGCATCGGCTTTATGTACTACAATGGCAAGGGCGTTCCCCAGGACTTTGCCAAAGCGATGGAGTGGTACCGTATGGTCGCCGATCAGGGACACAAAAAAGCTCAGTTCAACGTCGGTGTCATGTACGATCAAGGCAAAGGCATTCCCCAGGACTCTGCCAAAGCGATGGAGTGGTACAGTATGGCCGCCGATCAGGGACACGCAAAAGCTCAGTACAACATCGGTGTCATGTACGATAAAGGCAAAGGCGTTTCCCAGGACTATACCAAAGCGATGGAATGGTACCGTATGGCCGCCGATCAAGGTCACGCAGACGCTCAGTACAACATCGGTGTCATGTTCAACATAGGCAATGGCATTTCCCAGGACTTTGCCAAAGCGGTGGAATGGTTCCGCATGGCCGCTGATCAAGGAGACGCAGACGCTCAATGCTTAATCGGCTTTATGCACAGCAAAGGCAAAGGCATTCCCCAGGACTCTGCCAAAGCGATGGAATGGTACCGTATGGCCGCCGATCAGGGACACGCAAAAGCTCAGTTCAACGTCGGTGTCATGTACAACAATGGCAAAGGCATTCCCCAGGACTATGCCAAAGCGATGGAATGGTACCGTATGGCCGCCGATCAAGGACAAGCAGACGCCCAGTACAGCACCGGCTTTATGTACAACAATGGCAAAGGCATTCCCCAGGACTCTGCCAAAGCGATGGAGTGGTACCGTATGGCCGCCGATCAAGGACACGCAAAAGCTCAGTTCAACGTCGGTGTCATGTACGATCAAGGCAAAGGCGTTTCCCAGGATTATGCCAAAGCGATGGAATGGTACCGTATGGCCGCCGATCAAGGACAAGCAGACGCCCAGTACAGCACCGGCTTTATGTACAACAATGGCAATGGCGTTTCCCAGGACTCTGCCAAAGCGATGGAATGGTACCGTATGGCCGCCGATCAAGGACACGCAAAAGCTCAGTACAACATCGGTGTCATGTACGATAAAGGCAAAGGCGTTTCCCAGGACTTTGCCAAAGCGGTGGAATGGTTCCGCATGGCCGCTGATCAAGGAGACGCAGACGCTCAATGCTCAAGCGGCTTTATGCACAGCAAAGGCAAAGGCATTCCCCAGGACTCTGCCAAAGCGATGGAGTGGTACAGTATGGCCGCCGATCAGGGACACGCAAAAGCTCAGTACAACATCGGTGTCATGTACGATCAAGGCAAAGGCGTTTCCCGGGACTATGCCAAAGCGATGGAATGGTACCGTATGGCCGCCGATCAAGGACAAGCAGACGCCCAGTACAGCACCGGCTTTATGTACAACAATGGCAAAGGCATTCCCCAGGACTCTGCCAAAGCGATGGAGTGGTACCGTATGGCCGCCGATCAGGGACACGCAAAAGCTCAGTACAACATCGGTGTCATGTACGATAAAGGCAAAGGCGTTTCCCAGGACTTTGCCAAAGCGATGGAATGGTACCGTATGGCCGCCAATCAAGGTCACGCAGACGCTCAGTACAACATCGGTGCCATGTTCAACATAGGCAATGGCGTTCCCCAGGACTTTGCCAAAGCGATGGAGTGGTTCCGCATGGCCGCTGATCAAGGAGACGCAGACGCTCAATGCTCAATCGGCTTTATGCACAGCAAAGGCAAAGGCATTCCCCAGGACTCTGCCAAAGCGATGGAGTGGTACCGTATGGCCGCTGATCAGGGACACGCAAAAGCTCAGTTCAACGTCGGTGTCATGTACGATAAAGGCAAAGGCGTTTCCCAGGACTATACCAAAGCGATGGAATGGTACCGTATGGTCGCCGATCAAGGACACGCAGACGCTCAGTACAACATCGGTGTCATGTTCAACATAGGCTATGGCGTTCCCCAGGACTTTGCCAAAGCGATGGAGTGGTTCCGCATGGCCGCCGATCAAGGAGACGCAGACGCCCAGTACAAAATCGGCATCATGTATACCAACAGCCAAGGTGTGACCAGGAACGACTCGGATGCCAGAAAGTGGTTCCAAAAGGCGGCTGACCAGGGGAAACCGGATGCGCAAGAATGGTTGAAGGAGCTGTCCACCAGTGAATCTGATGAGCAGATAGTCGCCGAAACGAGGGGTTTCTGAGCAGGCTTTTCAAGTGAAGAACGAAAGGTGTCGAGTTTGATAAAAATATAATCTCACCCAGTGATCAAATCAAACGCTACAGATGTAACGTGAATATTTCTTTCGCACTTGCCACAGGTCCACTTTTTGTTGGTAAAGCACTCGCCCAATTTCTTTTCCTTTTTTCCTGCAGTCTTTACTTGCCACCACCCTCGCCCCTGTCGTCTTTGTACTCGACCCAACACACTTCTTTCTTTGACCAACATTTTACACCCAAGACACAGTTAACTTGCAATGTCAGTTGCTTCTCCCAACACTAAGGGCATTCGCCCCATCAACATCAACAACCCCATATGGCCGTAAGAAATGACCATCTTATGTTGATAGGGCCGTTCACCCTTGCAGAATGGAAGCATGCTTCTTTTTATTTGTCGAGGGCGACAAGGTCAACCTTATGCAGTTTACACGCGAGGACGCTTTAAGATCCCACCATCCTCAGTATGAGACGAAGGCCGCCGTCCACTCTGCACAGAGCCACTTCTACCCAGCAACTGATGCCGCTCCTTCATCCACACAAACGACCGCTTCAAGATCCACCGGACCAAGATCGGGATACTGTCACACAACAACAGCACCTGTGTCAACTTGATGCTATCTACCACAAATACATCCTGCTGCTGTTGCTGTAGGTTGTGTTGCATGTACTGGTCCTGCTGTTGCTGTTGCTGCTGCATATACTGGAACTCTCCGCCGGTTTGGAATCCCATCATTGGCGAGGCGTGACCCATTCCTGTATCGAGTCGCACAGTAGGAGACGCTGTCACTGGGTCAATCACAATCTCGATCCTCATTGACGTTTCCGTGAACGGGTTGATGAACGTGGCCAGGATTATGTTTGGAGGTTGTGGTGTCTGAATGATAATCGCCACCTCGGATGTCGTATCCACATTGTCGTTGCTGTCGTCGTTGTCTTCACCGTTTCCTGTGTGTGCTGCATTAAGTCGCTTCTTGATCTCCTCTGGTGATGATGTCTCCTTGAAACAGCTCTGGAACAGCGCGTTGAATACCATTTGCTGACGGAGGAGCTATAATGGTGCTTGGAAATAGTGTTGTTAACATATCGACCTTTGGTAATTTTAAAATCACGCATCAGAAGCAAGTTGGTTCCTGAATAATCCAAAATAGGTTTACCTTTGTGCACATGTAGACTTGAGAGATATGGGTGAATGGGATCCTATGCAACAAACGCGCTTCGCATTTTGTCCTGTCAAACGAAAACAGCTGGCGGACCGCATTGGGTCCTTGATCCAAAACAATCTCCCACTGCGTTTGTTCAATTGCTCGGTTCACCTATTGACAATTACGACACCATCAACATTAGTTCGTCGACTTTCAGTGCGGTGGATGACTACGCAACATTTTTCGCGTCACACGCCACGTAGACATACCAGCAGTTCCTGGAGTGAGAGATAGCCTTGATCCCGGTTCAGGCCCATAGTGTTGAATCCAGCCTGATTCGAAAGAGCCGCCAGTTGCTTGGCCAAATCCTCCGAAACGACGACAGGTGGGTGAAGAACCGCCACATAGGTCGCCTCAATTGTCGAGTCCGAGGTTGGTACAACCCACCTCAAAGGCTGTTGAAGAATCGTTGATGCGCCCACACTGCCTTGGTCGTTCATGATACTGCCATAGGAAAGACCGCTTAACGTCTGTGTCTCTTCCTCTGATAGCAAAAATCCTGCCCTATCTGCAGGCAGATATCCTGAGGCTGACGCGGTCGACTCCTCCATTGTAATGCTGATCCTGTGGAAAGGGATCTTGACCTTCTCGTTGGCTCCTTGCTCAATCGCCGTTGCTAATGCACTCCATGATACGTCCAATAGTTCTGACTTGGGGGCCCAGTATGCGACTGATGGTCCTGGAAGCACCGCGTGTGTCATTGGAATACCGTGTCCATGCTTGAATACCCTCTCGATATCATTATTCGTCAGCAGCCTAGTTGCCAGAAAAATCTAAGCGTTAGTGAAATGGTTCACCCAACGCAACAAAAGTACGAAAACCAGGCATAGGACAGATCATGCAAGGAGCGCTTACATTTCCCGCCTGAAAAGTTCCTTGAGGTCCAGATCCATGGCACGCATGTTGTGGAAAAAGTCGACAGGATACTTCTTTTGAAAGTTGTCCAGGACAGCAAGGGCCTTGAGGTTCTTTGAGAAAGCGTCAAAATTGCGACTGCAGTCGGGAAGATGCAACAGGTTTGCTGTGGCGGACCTGTCCTCTGTCTGCAGTAACTTTCCACACTTGCATCGAAGGTTGCTGGCCAACAGTCGATCGACCCTCTCGTCCTGATGAATCTCTGGGAAGAAAGAGACCTTGACCTTCAATATGGCTCCTGTGCTCTCCACTTCGATCTAATCATTCACATCCAAATGCTGTTGTCAACACTGTGTTCTTCTTATGATGCAGACATGGCTTCCACTATGCAAACAGATCCAATTCCTTACATCGACAACAATGACGATTCCGCCGATGGTCAGAATAGACACTGGAAGAGCACTATATGGCCGGGATCCTGTATCCAGATAGCACTCCAGTCTAACGGTAAAGTACAAAAACGATGCTGCTAGAATGAGTACTCAGCCAAAGTCGATAATCTGGACGAGTCTTTTCTTGTTGTGTAAACGAGCGTACCCAAGTCCAGTAGCCATTTCCTTGATACTGCCGAGCAAATGATCCTTCTTGATACCGCCATCCTGAGAAGCCGCCCGTAAGGTATTCTGACACTGTGTCATGCTCGCCTTCACTGATGATAAAGCCTCTTCCAACTGTGTCTCTTCCTACAATCAGAAATAAAAAAAAATAGCATCCCATATTAATAACGTTCGATTTGATCCAGGAGGCCGCTACAGTAACGAAATACGCGATCCATGAAATATTCCAGTAAGGATAATGAAGAGCATACCTTCAAGAGAGTCGAATACTTCCTGAAGGCAGAAGTACTTGAAGCATCGCCGACACTAATAGACTGGTGCAACGGTCCCTGAGCAAACGATAGGCAGATGGCACGGATCGCGGCGATCTTTTCCTTGAAATCCTTTTGAAGCATGCCCACCTGCACAGGTCCCAGTGGATGCAATTCTAATCAACGGAGCAGAAGATGGTTGGTGAGTACTGGGTTCACATTGCCTGTTCTGTTGGCCTTTTCGTGTCCTTGTTCTTCCATCTTGCTTGTGCTTAGTAGTGGGATGCAAGGGGGGAGGAACGAACCATGGGAGAGACGATTGGGATGGGCTTGTCCGACAAGAGCGGTTGCAGCAGTTGTGTTGGTGGAGAGGTTCCATTGCTTGAGCGAGTCTTCGACGAGGGTGTGAAGATCCCGGAGGTGTTCCTGGACGGTGGTGGCGTTTGATATGTTTGGCATTTGCCGATCAATTTGAGAAAAGGAACGAGGGGACGAAGGAACGAGGACAAAGACAAGAGAGGGTGTGCGAGCACGCTGTGATTCTTAAACGCGAGTTTGAGTAGGTTCAAGGGACAACAGACAGAAGGCCATACGCAGTCACAGCAATGCAGGTCGCGTTCCTTGGACACGCTCTTTCACGTCCTCTGCTTACTTCTTCTTCGACTAGTGGGAGGAAAGGCCCTGGACGTCGAGAACGTCTTTCATCAATTGACCACACAAAGATTACCTTAGAAAAAACAGTGGGTCTGTTCTCCCATTGACCCCAAACAAAGAGTCTCCTCGCTGCTCGACTGAAAAAAAGTATCCACGTCTGTTATGCATTTCTAGGAAAACGACTCTTTACAGAGAAGTGAAAGATAGTAAAATGAACAACAAAGTCTTCCACAGGCATTGTTGACGCCCTTATAAAACATCGCTTCTTCTCGCTTCTCACATCTTCCTTCCCACTCTGACGACCTTTTCACATCCACCGTTTCTTCCGATCGTAAACACCAACTACATGGACTTGTCCCGCATCTTCGACTCTATTCTTGACACGCAGCCGGACGCGACCATAGACCCATTCGAACAATACCTCGACCTCTCTTTCGCGACCCCGCTCACCCCTGTCATCAACCCACCACCCTTCGACTTTGATCAATGGTGCCAATCTCAGCCTACTGCATACATACCATTGTCCGACACTCTTAACAAATCCACCGAAGGTGTCCAGCTATTGTTCCAAGACAAGCCCTGTCTGTCCGCCGTCTTTTCAAACCTCACGCTGACGGATTCTTACGGCATGATCATGCCATTGTCGCTGACCCAAGGTCTCCCACCTGTCCCTGTCGCTTCGCAGGCTCTCCAGCTGCCATCGACCCCCCAGCTGCTATCGGCGCCTTCATTTTCGTCGTATTCGATTTATGAAGATGCTCTAGGTCTGACCTGGCCGACTTCTGATGTAACTTTTGAGGACTTTGACATGCAGGACCTGTCGTTCTTGGATGTGCCTTTCCTCCCCATTACTGCTGTCGCGACGACTTCAACTGCTCCCGCGCCTCTCCTCGACTTTCAGTCTCAGCCTAACCTGCTTTTCCTAGACACCAGCGACAGCTATACCGCCAACAACAGCAACAACAACATCATTGACGGTCTCGGTTATTCAATTGCTCCACCACCAGCAACAACAGTAACAACCACAGCAACATCAACCACACCTCCAAATATGCTTTCCTATCTCAACCCTTGTCCACAGGCACCGCCGCTGCCCCAGTCGGTTCCAGCTCCACCAAGCTCGAATAATTCCGTCAACCCCTTTCGGACAATGGCCAATGCCAGCAACCTGTTTTTACCACGGATGGATACACCTCCCACTGTTCCTCATTTATCTGATACAGCGCCAGGAATCTTACCGCTGTTGTGGTCTACTTTCCCATCTGTTCAGCCCGTACCTCCTCCTTCTCAACCACTTCTGCCTCATCCAGTTCCGGCTATGGTTCTCCCATCTGAAGTCCCTCAGAGCACTCTTGTGCAAGACGCAATCATCTGTCAGAGTTACTCACCGACGGCGTTCGTGTTGAACGGCAGTATGATCGCCAAGAAGCTCGCGTCAAGAAGACAGTCCGTACCTACCACTCTGCTCCGACGAACCTCTGCTCCCATCGGCTCAGTCAATGCAGTCCCTCGATCTTCCCCCTATGCCCGATCTCTGTATCTGCAAGAACCCAAGGAACACCAAACCCCGGGTCTGAGTGATAGCGATGACGAGTATGGGTTCGAGGTCGGTAATGACGCGAAAGGAGGCGAGATTCTCAAGTTGAAAAAGACAGTAGAAACGAATGGGGCGACCAAATCAAACCGAAAATCAGGCCGCAAGCCAACGCTCAAGAGAATCACCGACTGTGCACACTACCGTCCTCGAAACGCCTTCTTCATGTTCCGTGGCTTCGTCTCCCACATCCACACCTACCTTCACGCCAAACAATTATCTGCCTCTTCTTCCTCAAAAGGTTCTTCCGCCTCCCCCTCCCCCTTCTCCTCCTGCTCCTCCTCGTCATCATGCTCAATGACACCAATTGCATCCAAGACAACACTAGCAGCGACACGCCTTGACCCTGACAATAGCCATAGGAACAGCAGCGGCAAAAGTGACAATGATAATTCAACCGTAACCCCTTCTTCGCCCAGATTCGATTTCCCTATGCGTTACTCCGACATACAACTACGCCAACAACGACCCCACTTGTCTCTCCACCTCCCTCCAACTACCTCTATCCAATCCCAATACCCTTCTCCAACCGAGGTAACATCAACAACAACAACTACAACAACAGCCATACTAACCCCTCACCCCAGCCGCCGCCGGACTCGTCAGGCACAAACAAAAGTCTCTGTCAGCTGTGGAAAGATCTGGTCCAGCCCCTGTCTCCCAACCTGCTCCCCGCGCTCCATCGGCTGTGCCAACTGTCGAATGCGCTCCCTATTCCGTCAAGCCTCGGATTATCTCAAGTTACGCCAGACCGAGATCGAACGTCTCATCGAGTTTCCCCCCCTCTCTCATGGCGGCCACGGGTCGAGCGAGGGGGAAGGTGGTGGGAGGGGAAGGATGTTGAGACTGGAGGATTCGTTTAATTGGAGGGAGTTTGAACTGTTGTATCCGGAGAGCGATTTGTTCAAGTGGCATCGTGAGTACTATACCGATCATGGTAATGAGAATAGTGGTAGTGAGGGGGTGGTGTTGGATGTGGAGGAGATGAAAGTGATTTGGATGGAGAACGAGATGGCGTACGAGAAGGCGTTCTCGGAGGGGGCACGAAAACGCATTACGCAGGAGGGGTTGAAAGCGACTACGGGGGTTGCCTATAGTAGTTGTAGCAACAAGCGAACAACCGCAGCCATTACTCACAACGAATAATACGTGATAGAATCTATAGAGTGGTTGTTTATTCGTGCTTGAATGGTGGGATGGTGTGTGAGGCTAGATACAAAGACGGAGAAAGTGTGTGGATTACATGTGGTGTTGGAGGACAGGGAGGGTGTGGACTCTGGACCATGCATTGTTCATGACCCCACGGTAGTTCCAGATAGGGAACTCTGGCTGTACATTTCCGCTCGAATCGTCTAATGACATCCCCACACATAAAAGAGAGGAAATAAAAAATATGTCAGAGACATACTGTGGTCGACATGGATCCAAAAAAATACATATAAACAGAACAAAATGGACAAAGAAAAAAAGACGCAGAGCTTACAAGCACGGGCGACGATCTCGGTAGACTTGTTCATCCGGGGCACGGTCTTTTCCCAGAGAGCCCAGGCCCAATACATGCCACTCTTCTTGTCGGGCCTTTGCTCCATTTTGTCGACGGGTTCCCATGTATGCCCACCGTCCGTCGAAATCTCGACCCTGTATACTGCCCTTCCGCCTCCTGTTGTAGGTAATGCAAGTAGAGAGAGGTAATCAAGATGTAAATTAGCCAATAGCATTTCGTACACTCTTCACTCAAGATCATCTCCTTTTTTTCGTTTTGGGCGGGAAACGTTACCAGCGATGGCATATCCCTTGATGGTAACAGGCTTCGACGAAGCGACAACTTCCTTCTCGGTAGGGGTACAGATAACACACTGAATGTTCATCTCGGTCAGAGATGCAGCCGTGTCCCAGGACTGGTCGACGTTGTCGTGATTGACCCAGGGCGGCAAGATCTTGTAGTCCTGTCGCTGGAAGAACGACATGGACTCCTGGGGTTGGATCAGAATCTGTTGGAGATATTTTACGGAGCGTGCCCCGATAAAGCCAGGGACAATGACTCGAAGAGGAAACCCGTGGTCGCGCGACAATGGCTTTCCATTCATCTCGTAAGCGAGAATGACATCCCCTGCAGGATCCCTATTAAAAGGTTTGAAATAAACAAACAATGTTGTTGGATAATTGTGACACAAACAAGAGGCGAAATGAGAACAATGTGGGTAATTGTGAAGTGATTGTGCGTAAAAAAAAAACTTACATGGCTTTGCGGAGAGGGATGGAAGAACCATAGCAGACATCCTCATGGACATGGTCATCGGCCTCAAAGGAGACATGGAAATCCCGAATCATCTCATGCAACATATTCGACGAGACACCCGCAACATCCTTCAAAACATCACAGAGTCGAGGACCGGACCAGACAGCAGTCGAGATGGTGCCTGCACCCCAAATGACACCCTTGACCTCCTTGACTGCCGCAAGACCGTCACGTCTATTGCCGGCACACTGGAGCGACGCCGTGATGGTCGCCTTGGGCCACTTGGTCATGATGTCGTGCATCGAAAGTTGTTTCCATTCGACCGCGGGTGATTCGGCATTGAAATAATACTGAGGATTTTGCTTGACACCGATGTAGACCTTGTGGTCGTCAAGCGTGATATCGGGAATCGGACCGTGGTTGCGTTTGAAGAAGACGTCGGCGGGGGTGATCTGGCCCGAGTTGACGAGGAGGGGGAGCTGGGGTTCGGCGTTGAAGGGTGTGTGACAGTGGACGATGTAGTTGGAGAGAGGGCGGGTGGGTGTGGGTTCGTTGGAGTAATTGAGGTTGGATTCTTGGATGCGGTGTTTTTCTGGAGGGTGGATGGCTGAGGTGTGAGGGTTGTCGCTGTGGCTGTGTTGAAAGTCCATCTTTGGAGGAAGAAGAGTGGTTGCAGTAGTAGTAGTAGTAGTAGTAGTAGTAGTAAGGAAGGAAGGAGGGGGAGGGAGAGAGTGTGTGTGGCTGCGGGGAAGAAAGGAATCAGGGCGTAGTCCTTTTATACTTGTGAGGAGAGTTTGAGAGAGAAAAACACCATAGCGCACGGACAGAAGGGCGGACAAGAGACCAAAGACATGAGACACGGGTGAGCGATTTTCAGCGGTAATGAGAGGGAGAGATGAAGGAGATACGATCAGAAAGAATACCAGTCCATCAGGTGACAAAAAAAATCGAGCGCCATCGGGCTTCACATTTATCAGTTTTGCCAGACCCTTTGTATCTTCTCCTTTGCACTTGCACCACCTCCACCTACCTAAACGTGACCCTAGTGAGTATCCCAACGCCATCAAAAAAACACGACGAGCTCGTCTTTGTCTCCAGCAAAGAAACATCAGTCATCTACAACGACACTCGACTTCTCAACGAACAACCACTTGGACTTGGCAAAGGACTGACTTCAACGACACCCATTCATAATCACAACAACAATGGACGCGCCTCGCTGATGGGGCGCTGTTGACAGGCTTCACGGTCATTACCACCAACTATCACTTCGAAGAGACAACAGCTGTTGACATATCTCCTTGTTTGTCGTTGTAGACCACTCAACTCTAATACACAAGCAGCCATGACGTCGTCTTCCGAGATTCATGTTCAAGAAGTCCTCAACAACCTGGTAAACAAGCCAAAATAATATTTGTTAAGGTCACTTTGCATCCATCAATGTGGGAGCCAATTGATACTCGGTATATTCACCACGTTCTTCAATACCCATCGGACAAACAATATAGTCAAACACGATAAAGCGGGATGCCGAGATCGTTGACGGGTCGTCATTTACAGCAGCCATTGCCCAGCAGGATGCAACGGCTCTTCCCACATCACTCGCCTCAGAGCTTCCAGTGACCCTCTCCACAGATATTTCCTCAGTGCTCGTATCGGAGCTCCCAGCAGCACTCCCAGTTGCCGTTGCAACATCCATCCCTCCTCAGGAACAGCATCAGATCGGTCAGGAGCAACTCGAGCGTATCGCACAACAACATCAGCAGGAACAGGCACAGCTGGCACAGGCACAGGCACAGGCTGAACAGGATGCTCAGGTGCAAGCTCAGGTTCAGGCGGTGCAGGCCCATGTCCAGGCTCATGTCCAGGCACAAGTCGCACAGGCAGCACAGGCACAACAGGCACAAGAACAAGCCCAGTCATTGCAAGAGGCACTCGTCGAAGATAAACATGTTATCCATGTCAACGCATTGGATTCAAACAACAGCAGCACATTGGCCACGGTCCCCATCACATCTGTATCAAGGTAATAAGAAGAGCATATTTGCAACACTGCTCTTTCGTTTGTTTGACACTTGGACTTATTCACACTCACAAAGGGAGTGACAGAACGATATGGTGATGAGATGATTTGATTACGTTGGTGGTCTCCTTTGGACTCTTTCCCCCCTGAAAATCAAAGGCCTGCAACTCATTCATTTATTATCATTACCCAAATATTATTCCTAGTGCTGTGCCACCACCCGCAAAGCCTGCTCCCGGATCTGAAGAATGGCACCGAATTCGCCGCGACAACCACAAGGAGGTCGAGCGTCGTCGCCGAGAAAACATCAACCACGGCATCAACGACCTGGCAGCCGTGATCCCCAACAGCGACAAGAACAAGGGCGCGATTCTCCGTCAGGCTGTTGAGTATATCCAAACGATCCAGGAGGCCCAGGTCAAGATGATGGAGGAGGCCCAGAGTGTCGAGGCGATCAAGTTTGAGCGCGAGCAGGCATTGGTGGCCAAGAACCTGGCGCAGGCTGAGCTACAGAACCTTCTTGCACAGCATGCAGAACTGAAGCGCAACTATGATGTGTTGCGCAAGGAGGCAGAGGAGGCAGAGGAGACCAAGAAGAAGCAGCGTCCTGCTGATGATTAGTCACCGAATAGGGCGCACTTTTACTGGGCTCTGCGAGGATGAATGGCTCGGTACAGAGGATCTATGGACGATCACCATTGCAGTTTGTTGAAAGAATAAAAAAATGCAAACAGGGAAAAAGGATATTCAGGGAAGTTGTTGTGAAACGAGGGGGTATCAAGACAATACCAAACAAAGCAAGGAAACAAAAAATGCGATTAGGGGCAGGATGGAATTGAGCCCGCTGGAGAAAGGGTGGCGTCCATTTGTGATTCCTGTTCTTTGATGGATGCGATTGAACCGGCCGATTTTTGATTGCACTTTACCCAAAGGTGTATGTATATGCCCTTTTCTTCCCTTTCTTCCCTTTTCCTCCCTTTTCTTCCCTTTGTTCCCTTTCTTCCCTTTACACCTTTTCCCTTTTCTCCGCCTTGGACCCTCTCACTCCCTGTCCTCACCCCCCATCCTCTTCCTGAAATACTCAATCACCACCAACAACGGAATCCTTTCATTCCCCTCTCTCCTAAAAGCCCATAGACTTTGACATCGTGAGCAAACACTCTTGCTCAAAAACAGAGTCAGCATGATCCTACCAAGGTCACCGTTCGTCAAGCTGATGCTTGCAGTCTTTGTCGTCCTTGCCATCACAGCTTACACTCTCAGTGGCCGGCCATCGTTCGACAAGGACTACTGGAGCTTTAGACAGCAACAGGAAGCAGAGAAGGATTACAAGTCGAGACAACAGCACCAGCAGGAGCAGTATCAGCAAGAACAGGAACACCCTCGTTTCCCTGCTGAAGGGAGCAAAGAGCGGGTGCCTTTGAGCACATTCAAGGTACATAATATCAACCGTTCGACGAGTGCCTTTTGATGCTGGCAGCAACGGGTGTACTGGGCTGAGGACATAAAGCTGGTCTCACTCCAAAAAATAATTAATGTTGATGATTATTGATACTCGGCGTTGTAGGTCCCTGAGTCGCTTCACCTCACCCACGATGTCGCCATCCCTCACAGCATCCCACCCTGGACAAAAGCCGACACGGACATGCTCGACACCAGCATTGGATACACCCTCAAGACCGATATGCTTCGTCAGGAATACCGCAAAAACGAGGATCTCTCCAAGCACCCCGAGCGACTCAACTTTGCTGAACTCTCTCGCGCTGAGCGGGTCTACAAGGCTCTCTGGAACCATGTCTACCCCATCTACCAATCCCTCAAGGGCAGCGATAAGGATCGCGAGAGCCAATTGATCGCATTGTCAAAGACAAGACCCGAGGTCGATTTCTTCTTGGGTCTCGAGAGGCGCCTCTACCCTTGGTTGCATTATGGTCGTCGCACTTCGTTCTCGCTTCATGGAACCTACAAAGGCAGAGGATTGGTCTTTTGTGCGGGCAACAACCAGTTCGAGTTTGTGGTGACGGCTATTCAGGCGATCAGGAACCGACTCCAGTCCAAGCTGCCCATTCAAATCTTCCATATGGGCGAGGAAGACCTCTCCAAGCCTCGCCAGCAGTACTTGAAGGACATGGCTGCAGGAATCGAGGTCATTAATGTGGCCGACATCTTGGACAATGACTCCATGAAGCTTGGTGGATGGGCCATCAAACCCTTTGCCATGCTTGCCTCCAACTTTGAGGAAGTCATGTTTGTCGATGCTGATGCCTACTTCTTACAGGTACGATACATAAACACACATGAAGGTCTTACTTGGGCTATCACACTCATGGAATGGAACTAACTGGTATCTCTTTTTTTTTCTTCTTCTTTGGTACATAGGATCCTGAGGTGTTGTATGATGATCCAGGATATATGGCAACTGGCGCATTGTTCTTTTTCGACAGGACCTTGTTCCCTGACTGGACAAAAGGATCGGACTGGCTCAAGTCGATTCTCCCCATCATGTCGAGCTTCCCGCCTAAGTCTCGCATGTTCAACTTGTTAACCGCACACGAACAAGAGTCAGGCGTCGTCCTTATCAACAAAAAGACGCGGTTCCTCGGCCTGTTGGGAACCTGCAAGATGAACGGCAAGTGGGAGCGTGACTTGGTCACTTACAAGGTCTTCCATGGCGACAAGGAGACATTCTGGACAGGATTTGAGATGGTCCAGGAGCCCTACGCGTTCATGCGCAACTATGGTGGTGTGATTGGAGAGCTGCGACCGGATAATGACAAGGCCGTCTGTGGAGCACAGCTGCACGAGGACCATAAAGGAAACCCGCTCTGGTGGAACGGTGGGCTGTACCGCAACAAGAACGCGGGCGTGAACCGGTACCTGACGTTTGATTACTGGATGACGGGAGGCGGACATCAAAAGCACCGGGAGAGATATACACGCGACAGGGAGACGATGATCCAGGTGTTGTTGGAAGCGGGGGTCGAGAACAGCGATGCGTTGCAGTTAGAGCCAATGGATGCGGCATGGGATTTTGGAGAGAGTTGTTTGAGTGGTGCGAAGGTGAATGTCTTGACGCAGCGGGAGAAGGTACTGGCGAATGGGTATGTGAAGATTGACGAGATTGCGCGTGAGGACGGACAAACGTTCCATAACGGCGGCACTGTCGATCCTCGCACCCATGACTGGGACGCTGCCACCGCGTAGGGAAGCAGTTAAAAAAGGATAGACAAGGGAGCATTATCAAATATATTTAATTGTCGTTTTAGACAAAGAAAGAACGTGCCAAGATTCGAACGATCTGGTCCGTCTCGTCGAAGCAATATTGGGCGTGAGGGGTGGTGAAGGGGGGGGGGGGGTGTTTCTCTTGATCGACCCCTATTTTATATTTTTGCATGGATCATGAAGGATAAAGGAAAGGAAGGAAAGGAAGGAAAGGGAGGGGTACTAGTTCCTGGATAGAACAGAAAAAGGGGACCGTATGACCGACTGGTGGTCGGAAGAATAGAAAGGAGAAAATGTGACATGCATGTCTACTCCAATGTCCATTTGCTGATACTTCTTTAGCCACAGTAGCACTTCCCTTCCTTCCCCTACTTCCCTTCCTTCCGTGTTTTCTCTTTTCTCTTTTCTTCTCTCTGTTAATCTTGTCCCCTTTCGCCCTTACAACCACCACTACCATCCCTAACGGCAACTCCCTTCCTTCCCTTGCCTTGCCCCAGTACCAACACTTTCAATACTTGACTGCCCCTTCCTTCTTCACACCTTATCCCTTAATCAGCAGTCCGCCTCTTGAACGCCCCTTTTCGCTTTGTGCCACTTCCTTCCACTCCTTGTCACTTCTCTCTCTCTTTCTCTTTATCCTTTTCTCCTTCACCACCACTAATAATCAAACAAACATCGAACGATGAAACGACCTCGTCTGGCACGGAGTAAACCAACAATCATCCTCTATCTCGCCTTCTCCTTCTCGATATCATCACCTTCGTCTTCGTCGTCTCTGGTCGATGCTATTGTCATCCCGCCTGCTCGCTGGGGCCATGTCTCGGTACGCAAACCAAGCAAGTCTAAATCAACACACATATCAACTCCTCTCATCCCTTTGCTAACATATACTATTGCTTGGCGAACTCCTTCGTACTCTTTTGCTTCTTAATAGGTACTGTGCGGCAACCAGTTATACATTCAGGGCGGACACACAGGAGTCAACCCTATGACAGCACCAATAGGATCAGATCTCTACTCACTCGACGTATCAGCGGCCTTCAATTCATTTACTGTTCCCTGGGCGCAGCTCACTCCTGGACCCTACGCTTCCTACCACGCCGCTGGCCTGCTCGGTCCCACCAACAACCTCTTCGCCATCTTTGGTGGCAATACTTCCTTCTCATCCTCACCATCTTCCAACAGCAACTCACTCAACTTGTACGACACCGTATCGGGAACATGGGCTGTCTCCCCGCTTCAGGACCCTCCGAGGAGAGAACAGGCTGCAGCAGTTTCACGGCTGGGCGATGGCATAATGTACGTCATAGGTGGCATGGTCCTGTCACCCGATCTGAATACAGAGTCTGCTACAGCCGAACTTTGGTCCATAGGGGGGTACATCACTCTTCCGACAAATACAACAAACTCGACTTCTCCCGAACCACCAAAGACAACACAACCTCCAGGACTCACCCCACAGACTGTAGGATGGCAGAAGCTCGCAAGTCCGAGTTCGCCCTCTGGCTCAGACCGAGCTTTCCACACCGCGACGATCATCCGGTCCAATGGACTGATTGTCTTAATTGGTGGGGTCTCTGGAGGAGCGCTGGTGCCCATGTCAGAAATCGCTGTTTATGATACTGCCGCGGGCACTTGGTCAGTACAGACTGCTACGGGGGCCACACCACCCTTGCGAAGGAATCATGTTGCTGTCGCAAGTAAGTCTCTCTCTCCTTTTAGTTGAAAGCGGTTATTCTCTTTCCCCTCCTTTTTTTTCCCTCCATGCATGCGCCTCCCTTGTTGTTTCTGACAATGCACACCTTTGCGCCATTTTTTCTTCTCCCTCCCTTTTGATAGCCAACACTGGACAGATCTACGTGCACGGCGGGACGGACCTTGGCGCAACAACTTTCTTTGCGGACTTGGCCATTCTAGGTAAACCATAATATTTTTTTGCGTTTTGTCTTTCCACTGACGTAGATTTACAGCGGCCGGAATGTCTTTCCTTTCTTTCTCACACTTTTTTTGCGTTATGCAACAAAATAGACACAACTTCTTGGTCATGGAGTCAACCGGCGATGGACGGGAACGCACCTACAGGACGATATTCTCACGCTGCTACCATGGTCGGATCCAACATCATCATGACATTTGGTGCGTACTATGTCTGGAACATGGATACCGAAAGATGTGCCTTTTTGTGGAGACAAGACACTAACGACAAGAAATGAACGCGCCTTTCCTTTGTATGTATTAGGATTGTCGGCAGGAGGATCGAGCAACAATATTTTCATTCTAGACACAACGACAAACGCGTGGGTGACATCTTACACACCCAACGCGCTCGCTCAAACTTCTACAAAACCAGAAGACTGGCCTGGATATAAACCACCTCCAGTGCTCCCATCACCATCACCAAAACCTGGTGACCCTCTACCAGCAAACCCGGACATTGGAAGAAGTAGAGTAGGAGTAGATGTTGCAGCTATCGTTGGCGGACTTATCGCTGCTGCGGCTCTTGCAGCAGTGTTGGTCGTGGCAGTACGGAGGCACCGTCGACATAAGATCCAGAATTCGCAGCACAAGGCGACGGCACTTTATGCAAGCGATTATTCGTACACCAGGAACTCCCATCTCGAAGAAGATGCATACCGGCCTACAGGAATGGCATTCAACTCTGCACCGCTCTCGTTTGGTCAGAGGGTGGGACAGGCGTTGGGCGGGATCGCATTCTGGCGCAGAAGTGGTGATAGGCGAGGACGATCTGCCAATGCATCGTATTCTCAGAGACTGGGCGATCGTGATGAGGATGATGGAGGGATGAGAGGACTACAGACAGGGCCTTATCCGTCAGATCAAGAAATCTTTATGGATGCCGTTCACCGCGCGCGGTCGAGGGCGGGTCATTTATCGCCATTGTTTACACCTCTTCAGCAACCGATTTCGCAGAGTCCCCCGATTTCTCCTCGGTCACCTCGATCGTCTGCAGGATTCTCGTACGCTAATGTCGGTGTTGGGGGGAGTGCCGGTTCAGGTCCAGGAGTTCATTATTCGGGACCTGGGGTGACACTGACAGATGTGCATATCCCGATTTTGAATCGTGACGGAGAGGAGGTGCCGCATGGTCGCGCGTATTCGGATGGGTTTGAGAACGCGATGCAGGAGATGGATATTCAAATGTTGGCGGTGCCGCGTGGACGTCTTTACGTGGTGAATCCTTCAGATGAGACGCTTACACAGGACTTTGACTATGATCCCAATCAAGGTCCAGGTCAAGGCCATGACAATCAAGGTGGCGAGGATCCGTATCGACAGTTTGATTCTCAGGCACCGAAGCCCTGAGTGGGCTTTCAAAAAACCCTTGCCATGGAATAAAAAAAATATGAAAAAAAAAAAGAAGTACAAATCGGTATGGAGAGTAGGGAGGTAGGGTGAGTGACCAGATGAGCGAATTAAGGGTCACAGCAGCAGGTCATCCAACGAACGAGCTCTCATACTTTTTCTTTGTAACAGTTGCAAGTCCAAAGGGATGAGCACGCTTTTTTTTTTTTTTTTTTTTTTCTCTTCACGCTTGCTCGTTTTTATTCTTTCCTTTGCGCCACCCTTTTCTTCCTACCGGCTGCCCTTCCCTTCCCTTCTTCACTCTCATTCAAAGGACGACTCACGACACACTCCCAAAGGGCGACATCACTCCCTTTCCTTCCCTCTTCCTTCCCTTCCTCCCTCCTTCCCTCCTCTCACACAGTCACAATGGAGAAGGGCCGACTGAAGCACCGCCAGGGACTCGAGCCAACTCAGGTATGAACAAACCGACAACTGCTTCCACTGTGAGCATGCTCATTGTCGGCTCAACTTGCACCCATGGGGACAGACACATACAACCCTGCAGCAGGTTTCACTCTTGATGCCAAGGCAAAACGGACGACGACATACTTGGAAGCAATAGAACTCGGACAGTTGTTGTGTGTGGAGTCAAGTTCATATTCTACTTGACCCAAGGAGTCAAACAATAAAATGAAGCTTCATTGCTGAATGACATAGCCTCTCACTATGCATCTCTTACTAGACGAAGGCAGACGATTAACTCCTTCTCTTTACTTGTTCACGCCTTCTTTTCATTCCATCACTCCTCTATGTGTTTTTAGAGACGTGTCAGACATATTCAGACAATACAGGCCAGGAACCTTACCTTCAGTCCAAACGCCAACCAGCGGACCCTAGCCTCAGCCCTTTTCGTCCATCCGACACCACAGTATCCACATCAGCAAGGCAACAGCAATTACAATACTGCCTATAGCACCACTGGAAGCAACTACAACTACAACACCACTGGAAGTACCTACAGCTATAATCCCCATCAACAACAGCTTCAGCACCAAAATACCAGTCGATCCATAACGCCATCGGTGGAGTTGCGCTCAGGGACGTCCTCGCCCACCAAGAGCAGTAGTTACTTTCGGTCACCATGGAAGAGTTATTCAACGGGTATCCAAAAGATCCGTGGGCCAGGATCAGATGCAGGATCGGTATCGGCGGCGTCCGAGTCTGGGCGAACAGGGGGTGCATCATCGGTCATCAAGGAACCCATTGCTCGGTTGTCAGCAGGACTGAAGGCGACGGTCTTTAGCGCGGGGACTTCTTATGAATCGCTGTCAGGGTATGCTTCTGAATCGGGATCGGGATCTGTCAATGGACAATTTGGAGGAGCAGGAAATATTGGTGGCGTGTCCAAGGCGAAATCCAACGGCAGGGTCTCTGCAGACTTTTCAAACCAACAGCGACAGCAACATTTGCAAGCACGCTACCAACAACTACCGCCGCATCAGCAACAGCAGTTGGAGGAAGGGGGATACTCGCGCTCGTTCAACGATTCTCTTTCGGCGCCATCGCTATTGACTGCTCGAGACCGTCGACCGTCACCGATTCAGGATGTCACGTTGCGTAACGCCAAGGATGAGCGGGAAGATAACAGCAGTTCTACGCCTTCAACGGTAACGGATGCTGATTCAGAATTGAATAGTAGGCTGCCGGCGTTTTTATCAGGATCGAAAAGGAAATCGGGCCCCATCTTATTGAACACCTACTTCACACTTCACGACCCTAACAATGGTAATCCGATCAGATGCTGCTTTCATTTGAAGGGATACCTATTGAAATGGATAACTTCATGGCGCATTTTACTGACGATACAAAACAACTGCACCTTTTCTTTACATTAGACGAAGTCATCTATACCAGTGATACCGTGTTGAGTTCCAATGTAGGTTGCATCTGCAGAAAAACGCTGTTGATTGATAATTATTTGGGAGATAATTCGCATTAAGATCTGACTGTAATGTCCTCATTTTCAATTGTGAATATAGAATCCCAGATACAGTCCATTAGAGGAGCATGGATTTCTGGACCCTTCAAAACGCAGGATCTGCAGCATCGTTGTTCGGATATGGGCAAGCTATCGCGACTCGGACTATTGTCTTCTTTTGGAGTGGAAGGTGGAGCTTTGCTGCTTGAGGTACATTGGAAAGGAGCTTCGGGACTTGCCGTCAGGACTACCCAACAACATGATTCTCTTTGAGTTTGAGAGTGGGTACTATACAGCAGCAGACGAGGATGAACCCACGGAGCATCCACATACACATTCGCTGGAACCGGTTGCAACAATACCTGGTGGAGGTGGAGGAGTGAGTCGTTCGTATACTTACGAGACGGTGATGAGGCTGAATAATTTGCACGAGTGTATAGCAGACACCAAAAAGTCGAGGGACGAAATTAAGCACAGTATCGAGTCTGCCATGAACAAGGAGAACGCGCCCATGATCTTGGTATGTATCAGGACAATGGGTCGAGCTTTGGACTACGGCTGCAGATATTAGACCAGGAATTGACCGACAGGATTTCATTTCTTTTTGACTATTGACCGTGTAGCAAAAACGACGCGGAGAATACACGGAACGGCTTTGGCACCTTCAGCGACAAGTTGGGCATGAATTGAATGTCCTGGAAGAAGGTGCGTTGTTTGTGCTATTACATTTCATCGCGAGACCAGTTTCGTGACCAGACACAAGACGAATTAGGAGCTAACTCGAATTCATTTTTCTGCTTACTTTTATTCGCAGCCCAGGATAGAGCGGAGGCATTACGGCGAGAGCACGCTGCACGGAGGAAGGCTCTAGAGGATTCTCGGGAACGCGGACAAACACAGGAGATGTACCTGGAGGAGAACATTCTCAACCTCACCAAGAACAAGGAGAGTCTTTTCCATGTTCTGAAAGAGTACTCTTCCAAGCGCACCGAGCTCATTGCAACACTTTTCACAATATTCCCGATCACTGAGGTTCGTCTTTTTTATTTTACTACTGTTTCGACGTTCAGTGGCAATTGGCGAGTTTTCTGACTACTCACCAGACAATACTCTTTTTGCAATGGTCTCAATTAGTCTGAAAACGATCCCAATCTGCTGATGATTTGTAAAGTGCCGTTGCCAAACTCGGTTTACAATGGTATGTCAGGCGAGAGCGATCATGGATTTTTATGCGGAGCAAATGTATTCTCTGACTGACCCTTTCATAATCCTGATATATTGAATAGGCATGGATGAGGACCTGGTCTCTATTGCTCTTGGATTTGCATGTCAGCTTGTGGTCATGCTGGCACACTATCTCAACATACCTTTGCGATACCCTTTGACACCAATGGGGTCCAGAGCTTTCGTCATTGACCCTGTTTCGCTCCTTGTCGGTCCCAAAGAGTAAGTCCCAATGACACGTATCACCAGGAAGTTGCTCAGCAAAGTCATTCCAGTGGTTTAACGATGCATAACTTCTTATTCACTCATTAGGTTTCCTCTCTACGGCAAGGGCCAGGATCGTAACCGCTTCGAGTATGGTGTTTTCTTGCTGAACAAGGACATTGAGCAGGTGAGGATATGAAAATCACGCGTTGTGTTGCTGTTTGGATTTCCGTTAATTGAGTTGGCGCGACGACTAACTATGAAAACTTGCATCGATCTACTAGTTGATGAACTCTCAAGGACTTCAATTCATGGACCTGCGTCAAACTCTTCCCAATGTTCGCTACCTGATGGAGACACTTCTCACCAAGTCACCAATGTAAGTACCTGTCAGAAAATGTCTTTTTGTCAGATAATGTTTTTATCCCGCAGAAGCTTAACCTTTTGTTTTGCTTGAGTTGTAGACAATCGATGCTGTACCGTTCCAAGTTTATGAATCGCAGTAAGCAGGATAGACTGGATCAGGATCGACTCGAAAACTTGTTCACGATATCGGTTGAGCAGCGCGAGTTTGACTACAACCTGAATTCGAGAAGTCATTCTTCCATGGAAGGTGAAAAGGACCAAGGAACTTCAAGTTCAGGAATGCGGTCGTACGACAAAATTGGAGGCACACCCAAGATCAATCCTGGCGACCACTCGCTCCTGCAGCGGGAATACGATCCAATTGATGGCGGTTACACGTTGATTTTGGACAGTGCGTCGACAATGTCGCCGAGGAGCAGGAAAGAGACTGCGGGGAGCGACATCTCGACGATTGAGCGGAGTGAGCCTCGGAGTACGCCCATGTCCCCCAGAGGCGCACACGAGAGGAAACCTAGTGGGCTTCAGCATGGGTACTCTTCAAGTCTGGAACTGAGCAGCAGCAGTGAGGATGAGGGTGGAAGTCATAACGCGGATGAGCCTGGGTTCTCGGGATGGGCATTTGAGACGGAGGCTGATGCGGATGAGCAACCTCCACCGCTCCCTAAGCGGCCGTCAGTCTTTGTTGCTTCGCCTACCACCACCCCACTGACGTCTCCTGTGGAGAGGCAGCGACAGCTTTCGTTTGGTTCAGTGATCAGGCAACCTATAGGTGTGGAAGCGATGCCAGCAGAGCGAATCCAAAAGTTTGTTCAGGACACGCCGTCTCGTCAATCGCCTGAGCAGCGTGGGAATGCTGATGAGCCTAATATTGTTGGAACTCCTCCACATTCGCCTCGTAGGGCATCCTCGACCTCGACAACCACGACAACGACGGCCAGTACGGCGAAACCCTCGAACCAGACGAAACTGAGCGTCGTAACAGGTGTTCTTGGACGGGATTTTAGTACCAAGAATGATATCGAGGACGAGGATGCTATCGGACCATGGAGTGTCTCTCATTCTCCTCCACCACCGACGGTTGTCTCGGCAGCTGTTTCTCCCCAGGACGTTATTGACTGGAATAGACAGGGCAGGAGGAGGATTAATAGCGACTCGTCGCTTTCACCGCAGCAGCAACAGCAAACATCGAAGGATCCAGTTTCGGAGAGCAGTGAGCGCACGCTGTATGGTTCGGGGCCAGTTTCAGTAACAACCGAGTCGCTCGTGTTGGAAGAGGAGTCCAGTAGTGAGCATCCTAGTCCTGGGCTAAGTCAAGCACACAATATCAACAACGCCCGTCGTCGCTCTAGCAACAAGATTGGGATAGACAGCAGTACAAGTACCAGTCGGAGCAGCGACAGCGAGGTTGGTGTTCGTTCGACGACATTTTCGAAGGATTTGCTTGACAAGAAGCATGAGCAACCACTTTCGTCGGCGCCGCCGACTGTTGTTACGTCCCCACGAGCTTTAGAATCTAGTACATAAACCTTCTACACCATCTTTTTTTTTTGCAGGTTGAATTTTTTTTTTTTGGTCTTGTCGTTTCTTGTGGATGTTCTTTTATTGAAGGCGCCGGATGTCGTCTTGGACAATGTCGATGCGGTGCATGATATCTGTGTAGGTCTGAACGATGGTGTTGAATTCTGGGCCTGCGGACTTGTACCGATCTAGGAGGAGTGCGTTTTGATGTCTCTGGTGCGTTAGTGATTCCTGGCGTTTGTCGATCTCTTGCCTATATTTTTTTTTTTTTTTTTGTTGAAAGGAAGGAAGGGTTAATTTGGGTTGTAAATATATTCAGGATTTTCGTGGGGTTGTGGGTGTATGTGGAGGGGTGATGGGTTGGGGGGGGGGGGTCTTACCGGATGGTGGCCAGTTTTGCGACGGTTTGTTTGTTGTAGACGTGCTCTTGTACTGTCACTTTCAGGATCCTACCAAAAATGACAAGCAAAAAACCATGCAAATGATATGGTCCGGATTAGTTGTCTTCCAAAGTACACTTCACATTTCGTGCAAAGAGAAAAAAAAACAAAAAAAAAAAAGCAGAGACAGCATGAAAAAGCCTTACTCGAGCTTGAGAGTGAGGGATTCGACCAACTGTGAGAAGTACTCTTTCAACGTCTGATCTTGCTCGACCTGGTACCGGATCCGAAACTCGACAATCATCTCCCAGAGTGTGGACACTGTCTGGTTCAATGTGTTGAACAAGGACTGGACTTTGTTCTGGAGGGTGAGGGTGAGGAGGAGAGAGTCCTCTTTGGTCCTGTCGAGAAAGAGGGATTGTTTCTTTGTGCGGGTGATTAGGTCTTCTAGTGTGAGCGTGGTGGTGGTGGGGGTGTTGGAGGAAGGGGAAGAGAGGGAGAGGAGGTCTTGTTGGCGTTGATGGATGGAATGTTGGATGGCTGTGAGGAGGGAAGGTGTGAGGCCTTCGAGCGCATCGAGATGTGGGCGTAGTTGGTTTACGACATATTCGTCCATGTCCATTGTTGTATCAGCGTCGTGGGTGTTGATCCTGGATGCCAGGAGCGAGATTATTGAGTCTGGTTGTCCCCCTCCTCCGGAGAGACTGTCGTTATTGCTGTTACTACTGCCTCGACTTGTTCGCTCGGCTAGCTGAGATGTAGAAGAAGGAATGATAAGGCGACGGGTCTCAAGGATGCTGAGAAGTCTGTCAAGGTGTGTTGATATATCCCGTTGGAGATCTGCTGCTGCAGCGTTGTTGTTGTTGGATGTGCTTCCTGTGAGGTTATTGTAGTGGTCGAGGGGAAGGAAGCGGAGCCGTTCGATGGGATCGAAAAGGGTTTTTGTCTCGAGGTAGCTTTTCTTGTGCTTCAACGCGTAGCGGGCCTAAATATCAGCAGGAAGTGGGTGAGGTTTAGCTCTTTGCATGAAATAAAAATGGTGGCAAAAAGTAAATTGACATACAAAATAATGACGGTAACGAACGGTGTTTACCTGGTGGAGGTCCTGGTCGAGGTGGAGACTGGTTCCTGTGGGTGTGAGGAAGCGAGTGTTGAGGTCTGTTAGGAGGGTGGCGAGTCCTGGGTTTCTGTCGAGGAGTCCTTGGTCCTGCATGGTTGTTTGTCCATTGTTTGTCTTTGGTGAAGCGAATTGGGTGTGGGGGTGGATCACTTGTCTACACTTTTGCTTCTTGAGCAGGAGAAGCGAGGTTATTGGATGAGCAGTCACACCCTTTGCTCACGCGCGGCATGGTTGACGCCCACACAGAGAGTCCCTTTTTCACTTCTTTGCCACCCACCGCCACTTCTTTAACTCACTCCTTCCCCAATTCCACCACGCGTCCAAGGAACATCAGGGAATAACCCAATTGCTCGTAAGTCGACCAAACACAACCACAACATTGCGCACGCACCGCGTTCTTCCTCTGCTGGACTTCTTCTGTTTGGCAAATAACGATGCAAACGCGGTGCCCAAAGGCGGAATTGGTTTCGACTCGGGAGACGGGAGCTGCGCCTTCAAAATAACCGATACCCACGCCAGGACAAAACTCAAAGGGCTGACGTGGGCCATGCCTTGCATCTCTCAACACAACACTCATTTTACTATCCTTTTCTTTTCTTTCTCACTCACTTTTGTCTCTTCCTTCTCTCTCTCTCCCCTACCGCAGTAGACGCACCCTACCAACCAACCCTCACCAAACCATAACCTACCTTCAACAAACCCAACAACCATGAGTGACGACGATTTCATGATGGAAGAGGAGGAGGACGAGGATTACGATTTCGATTACGAGGACGAGGATGGTGATGAACCCGACGTGGATTTGGAGAACAAGTACTATAACGCCAAGGGCCACAAGGAGGACGAACCTGACGTGGCGCTTGTCGAGTTCCAGGGCGTTGTTGAAGCGGAGACTGAGAAGGGAGACTGGTACGTTTAGACACAGGACACTTTTTGTTAGTGGAGGTGTCTGTCTTTTTCGACTTTGATATGTCGGATGAGGATACCGCGTGAATGTAGGTCAACGGGAAAACTGACAGTTTACGTGTGATGATTATTACTGTTATTTGGCAATTGTAGGGGTTTCAAGGCTCTAAAGCAGATGGTCAAGCTGTCTTTCAAGATGGGCAACTTCGACAAGGTAAGCATCTTGTATCGAGTCGTCGACGGCATTTAATTACGATATGAAATACATGATATTGACATTTCCTTTATTGCCATCGCTCTTTTTTTCTCACGACGCTTATAGACGCTGGAGTACTACAACCAACTACTGCCGTACACGAAAGCGGCAGTGACCAGGAACTACAGCGAGAAGAGTATCAACAACATTCTGGATTTCATCTCCTCGTCATCCGACATGGCTTTCATGGAAAAGTTCTACCAGACCACCTTGAACGCCTTGAAAGACGCCAACAACGACGTAAGTTATCTTAGTCGTGTTAATTATTGAACGCATGTGGTGCTTGTGTGAAAAAGAGCATGAACCTTACCTCACCCTATTTTTCATAAACACATTACTGGACGAAAATAGCGCTTGCTGGTGAAGACGAACTTGAAACTGGCAAAGCTGTGGCTGGACAGGAAAGAGTTTGGTCGCTTGTCAAAGATTCTTCGCCAGCTGCATGCGTCGTGTCAGGCGGACGATGGAACGGATGACCAGCGCAAGGGAACACATTTGCTAGAGATCTTTGCACTCGAGATTCAGATGTACACAGAGACAAAGAACGGCAAGAAGCTGAAGGCGCTCTACCAGCAGTGTCTCTCTGTCAAGTCGGCCATTCCTCACCCTCGTATCATGGGAGTCATTCGTGAGTGCGGTGGCAAGATGCACATGATCGAGAAGGAGTGGGACCAGGCACAGACAGACTTTTTCGAGTCTTTCCGCAACTATGACGAAGCAGGAAGTTTCCAGCGTATCCAAGTTCTCAAGTACTTGGTTTTGGCCAACATGCTGATGGAGTCCAAGATCAACCCCTTTGACTCTCAGGAGACCAAGCCCTACAAGAATGACCCTCAGATTGTGGCGATGACCAACCTTGTGAGTGCCTACCAGCGCCGGGACATTCGCGAGTTTGAAAAGATCTTGCGGGAGAACCGGACGACGATCATGGACGACCCTTTCATTCGGGCGTATATCGATGATGTCCTGAAGAACATCCGGACCCAGGTGTTGATTCGGTTGATCAAGCCCTATACCCGCATTGAGATCTCGTTCATCTCGCGCCAACTCAACGTCCCTGCACAGGATGTCGAGGACCTCTTGGTTGGACTCATCCTTGACAAAAAGATTGCTGGTCACATCGATCAAGTCAACCAGCGTCTCGAGCTCCAGCGCCAGTATGTTTCTTTCTTGCTTGATGTGTTGTTGTTTTTTTTTTTTTGGTTTTTCATTGCTTTGCGTTGTTGAATGGGCCTTTACTCTAACACGCTGCCTTACTTTGACAACTCTTATCCTTTTAGGACGACAGGTGATTTGCGATACAGTGCGATGGATAAGTGGTCTTCCAATCTCGAGACCTTGTACAACGCCAACATCAATAAGGTGCGATAAGGGTATTCTGGCCCCTGCATCCCTTTTGCAAGAATACAAAGAAAAAAAAAGTTTAGCAGTTTGCAGTTTGAAAAGTAAAAAGTTGCCACCAAAAATTTCTGTTAATGAGTGTGTGACGTAGCTCGCGTGTGAGCGAGGGTATGGTGGTGAACAGAAAATTAAAATAATACCTGCAAAAGGTTGATTCGGATTTCACTCTTTCCCTCCATTCACGTCTTTCTCTTTCTCACTTCGACGCAGCAGGACCAGGACTCCACTAACACCCTCTGGACCCAACTCACCGTTTGCAAGAAGCCTCGACCAACTCATTCCTCTCTCCATCATGAGCATGTCACAAGAGCAGGCAAGGATCTCCCTTCAGTGAACCATACACCTGAATCTGCCCTTTTTTTTTTTTTTTTTTTGTGTGGGTGCATGCCAGGAAGGCGCTGCACTTTTCTAGTTTTTTTTTTTCAACAGCACAACCTAACCACAACACGCGTTTCCTCACTGATACAAACACAGATCAGGGCCATGATGGCGGCAGCCAAGGCAAAGGCAGAAGAAGCCAAGGCTAGAGCACTCGCCAACGCCGCGATTTTACAACAGCGCGCTCAGCAACAACAACAACAACAACAACAACAGCAACAGCAACAGCAAGCAGCACAACTACCACCAACCGCAGCATCAGCATCTGGAGGAGCAGCAGCAAGAGGAGGAGCAGGATTGTCGCAATTGGAATTGATCCGCCAAAAGAAGGAGGCCCTCCAGGCCAAGTTGAACAGAGTCATACCCGCTGCGTCAGCTGGACAGACGGCGGCGTCTAGTTCTGGATCTCGGCCAGCGGGAGTGGGAGTGGGAGGAGCGACAGCAGCGGCGAGTGGGCAGAGGACGACGACGGTGAAGGGCGGGTTGGGCATGGATATGGCGCCAGGGCTTTCGAGGGATGCTGAAGGAAACTTGATCATTAACTCTGTCACTGCCGGTAAATCCGTCAAGGCGCCTTCTTTCGCCACCGCCAAGGTACTTTCCTTACCCTACTCAGATCGCCATGTTGTATTTTGTGTTTTTGTACGATATACCAAGTTTTGCTAACTTACGGTTTGTTTGTTTTTCCACGTTGACACAACTTTACTACTAAATAGGTCAACCAGAAGCCAGAACCAAAGAAAGAGTTGAAGATCCTGAGCGTACCCGAAGAATTCACCAACCCGGAAAAGAACCCTTATTTCGACGAGAATCTGGCAGCGGCACCTCGGGAGCGTCGGTCACGGCCGTTGAAGTTTGCACAGCAGGGGAAATACATTAATATTGCGAACCAGATCCGATCCGAACAGCGGGCTGTGCAAATGAGACGGGAGATTGAGGAGGCTGCCCAGGCGAATATTGAGGAGGATGATCAGCAGATCAAGGATGGCTTCACCAAGGTATGCATCGGGATCATTTTGTTTTTTGTATTGTGGTTGTTGTTGCTTTTTGTTGATTTTACTTTTTTTTTACCAGTAATGCGATATTTACCACATGTAAGCCCTTCTTTTTGTGTGTGTGTAATAATTGAAATTAGCGCGAGGTGCTGAAGGGAGTGGAGTGGTGGGATGCAGGGTTCTTGCCTAACAAGACATACGACGATATCAAGGACGGGCATGTTAGGATCGAGACCGAAGACGACCCACTCATCACACACTACATCCAACACCCCGTACCAATCGAACCCCCGAACGAAGCCGCCCAAGCCGCCAGCGCCAAACCCCGCCCGCTCATGTTGACAACCAAGGAACGTAAACGACTCCGCCGCCAGAGACGTGCAGAGCTGCTCAAGGAGAAGCAGGACAAGATCCGGTTGGGTCTCTTGCCACCTGACGCGCCCAAGGTCAAGTTGGCGAATATGATGAGGGTTCTGGGACAGGAGGCAGTGTTGAACCCGACAGAGATTGAGATGAAGGTTCGGCAGCAGGTTGCGGATCGGTTGCAGGAACATTTGGATCATAATGCTGCGGCCAAGTTGACGCATGACCAGAGGAAAGCCAAGGAGAGTAAGAAGAAAGAAGAGGATGTTGCCAAGGGTATCTATGTCTCTCTCTACAAGTACGTATACTCTTTTGTTGCTTTTTTGTTTATTGGGGATGCTATGCCCCTTCTCCTGCACTTTTTCAGGGTTGCCAAGACGGAGACTAACCATGCTAAATATTCTTTTGTGTTTTTTTTTCCCACCATTCTGCTCATAGGATCAACGATTTGTCGCACCCACAGAAAAAGTTCAAGGTCGACAAGAACGCCACACAACTGGGGCTGACAGGAATCGTGCTTATGTACCCTACCTTCTCGATCGTCCTCGTCGAAGGCGGACACAAGGCCATCAACCAGTACAAGAAACTCATGCTCCGTCGAATCGATTGGTCCGACAACACACGGCTTGATGGTACAGAGGTCTCGGAGACGACGATCGATAATAAGTGTCTGCTCGTTTGGGAGGGTCAGTTGAGGGAGCGGCAGTTCAAGACGTTTAGGTTCTTGAAGGCCACAAATGATGCGCAGTTGAAGCAGGTTCTGGTTAGACATGGCGTACAGCATTATTGGGATCAGGCGCTTGGGTTCAAGGAGGAGGATATGCTGGGCGCTGAAGTCACCCTTTGAAGTCCTTGTTGGTCCTCGACATTATTCATCGTCCCATAATAAATGGACACACTATTTGCGCATGGATTCTGTGATGCATTTGCAGAAATTTCTGTGACAAACGAAGGGATGGAGAGAGAAAAATGGAGCTGCCATAAAGGGCAACGGAATTTCCTTGCAGCATTTAGTGAGGGGGTGAATTTGTCCCAGCCCCTCGTCAGCAAAAAAATGTGCATTAGAGCGTACGAGGCGGCTGGGTTTAGAACTTCTCTCGCCTTTGTCCTTGACATATACAATTTTCCTTTGAGCAACATTCATACCCAGCACAAGTTCAGTTGCAATGTCATTCACCCCTCCCAACACTCAGGGCATTCGCTCAATCAACATCAACAACCCCACCTCGTCTCCGCCGCACCCAACCGAGGTGCTCTATGTCGACATCTACACCGACCGCATCACAAAGGAAAAGTTCATTCTCTGGGAAGATGTCCGTCTGGTCTTCCACAACGCCCTTCATGTCCGACACAAAGCAAGGGTGGTTCCGTTTATGAAAGACGACGACTTCAACACGTACGTCTATGAGCTTGTAGGTTCGACAGCAAAACGAGAGTGAGGTTACTTTTTGGCTAACACCATAATGTTTATATTCTCCGCTCTAGGATAAAGCCGCTTCGAATTGCTGTCATTCCCGGCGAAATACTGGACATTATCGTAGGCAACCTACAGGACAGTACTCCTCAGCAGCAACCATCAGTTCTCGGGCAGATTGAACAACAAGCAGCGCGGCTCCCGATGCACAATCCATTCTCAACAATGCGGCCAATATCCCCTACCCACCCATCAACCTCGGTTCTCAATCCTCGCTTTAGACCATCAGGAAACAATCTTACCCACGCCGAAATCACAAGGCAACAACTCGGCGAAGCAGCTGTTCGGGCCCGTAACAAAGAGCTCGCGCACAAATACGCCAAAGAAGCGATGACCAAGATTGCAGACATGATGGATCTCGACACGCTGCACACAAAGGGCGATGCTGGTCCTGCTGACTTTTGGAAGGCTCTGAAGTGTTACCTGAAGGCTGTCCATCAGAGTCACGCGCATGCTCAGGTCCAAGTCGGCGACCTCTTTTTTGAAGGTCAGGATGTTTCCAAGAATTCATTTGTCGCGATGGGATGGTATCATAAAGCAGCATTTCAAGGAGACACCAACGCTCAGCGAAAAGTTGAGGTCCTTCGACTGTAAGTGGCATATAAGTTGTCCATTGTGACGAGTAATATTTTCTACATGCTTAAGATTCTCACCAAAAAAAAACCTCGTCAACTTCACATGGCTGTAGCTCTGAACTTCTAATGACAGCGGCACCCGAGACACCCACGAGCAGCATACTCAAGGCCCAACACAACAGTAGCAAAACGTCCGTTACCCAACCTTCCAGCGACGACAACGAACCGCAAATGTCCAAGGAGATCCCCCCTCTTACCAATGAGGCCTCTGCTCTCGCCGACATCTCCCTTCCAACAAAGCATGTTGTCAGTCAGAGTGACATTGACGCTCAGGTTGCTCTTGGAGACAACTATATGGACAGCCAGGACTACCAAGCTGCCATGGAATGCTACCTCAAGGCTGCCAACCAAGGTTTTGTTGACGCCCAGATCAAAATCGGCTTTATGTACGATGAAGGCAAAGGCGTTCCCCAGGACTTTGTCAAAGCAGCGGAGTGGTTCCGCATGGCCGCCGATCAAGGGGACGCAGACGCTCAGGTCAACATCGGTATCATGTACGACGTAGGCAAAAGCATTCCCCAGGACTTTGCCAAAGCGATGGAGTGGTTCCGCAAGGCCGCCGATCAAGGACTCGCAAAAGCTCAGTACAACATCGGTGTCATGTACTACAATGGCAATGGCGTTCCCCTGGACTTTGCCAAAGTGATGGAGTGGTTCCGCATGGCCGCCGATCGAGGACACGCAAAGGCTCAGTACAACATCGGTGTCATGTACGATAAAGGCAAAGGTGTTTCCCAGGACTTTGCCAAAGCGATGGAGTGGTACCGCATGGCCGCCGATCAAGGACACGCAGACGCTCAGTACGACATCGGTGTCATGTACTACAATGGCAATGGCGTTCCCCTGGACTTTGCCAAAGTGATGGAGTGGTTCCGCATGGCCGCCGATCGAGGACACGCAAAGGCTCAGTACAACATCGGTGTCATGTACAACGAAGGCAAAGGCGTTCCCCAGGACTTTGCCAAAGCGATGGAGTGGTACCGCATGGCCGCCGATCAAGGACACGCATACCCTCAATACACAATCGGCCTTATGTACGACGAAGACAAAGGCGTTCCCCAGGACTTTGCCAAAGCGATGGAGTGGTACCGCATGGCCGCCGATCAAGGACACGCAAAGGCTCAGTACAGCATCGGTGTCATGTACAACGTAGGCAAAGGCGTTCCTCAGGACTATGCCAAAGCGATGGAGTGGTTCCGCATGGCCGCCGATCAAGGACACGTAGATGCTCAGTACAACATCGGTGTTATATACAACGTAGGCAATGGCGTTCCCCAGGACTTTGTCAAAGCGATGGAGTGGTTCCGCATGGCCGCCGATCAAGGACACGCGTACGCTCAATACACAATCGGCCGTATGTACTTCGAAGGCAAAGGCGTTCCCCAGGACCTTGCCAAAGCGATGGAGTGGTTCCGCATGGCCGCCGATCAAGGACACGCAGACGCTCAGTTCGACATCGGTGTCATGTACGAAATATTCAAAGGCGCTCCCCAGGACTTTGCCAAAGCGATGGAGTGGTACCGCAAGGCCGCCGATCAAGGAAACGCAGACGCTCAGTACACAATCGGTGTCATGTACCTCGAAGGCAATGGCGTTCCCCAGGACTTTGCCAAATCGATGGAGTGGTTCCGCATGGTCGCCGATCAAGGACACGCGGACGCTCAGGTCAACATCGGTATCATGTACGACGTAGGCAATGGCGTTCCCCAGGACTTTGCCAAAGCGATGGAGTGGTACCGCAAGGCCGCCGATCAAGGACTCGCAAAAGCTCAGTACAACATCGGTGTCATGTACGACGTAGGCAAAGGCGTTCCCCAGGACTTTGCCAAAGCGATGGAGTGGTACCGCATGGCCGCCGATCAAGGAAACGCAAACGCTCAGGTCAACATCGGTGTCATGTATTATGAAAGCCAAGGTGTGACCAAGAATGACTCGGAAGCCATGAAGTGGTTCCAAAAAGCGGCTGACCAGGGGCACCCGAATGCACAAAAATGGCTGAAGAAGTTGTCTACCAGTGCCAGGTCGACCAAAGTGAAGGGGTTTCTTAGCAGGGTGTTCAATTGAAGAGTGAAGAGTGAAGGGTGTCGAGTTTGATAAAAAATATCAAATCGCAAAAATAAATAAACGTGATATTAAAACGGCCCGATTCATATCACTGATAACTTTCTTAGTTTCACCCGTTGATCAAATCAAACGCTACAGATGTAGCGTGAAGATTTCCTCCGCACTTGCCACCGGTCTTCTTTTTGTGGTGAGGCACTCGCTCAATATATATTTTTTTCCAATCTTTACTTGCCAACATGCCTTCTCATTTCTCTTTACCCAAAATAATCATGAAAGGAGCGCATAAACTGAAGTTACCCTTCCCCTGTCTATACTCTCACCTGTCAGTATCACCAAACACCATGGGACATATTCTGGTTTAGATTAAATGTTGTACAAGTGGTTTTTATTACTGTTTCGTGCTAAAGCTAACAGGACGAGAGAGTACCACGAAACTGTGCTCGAGAGAGACGAACCCGAAGCATCGTGACCAGCACGAAACTAGGGTCTGAAAATGAAGTGAAGTGCACAGAGGACAAACATAAACACAAACCATATAACACACATACACAAGTTTCTATGAACAGTGTTGTTGTTGTTGTTGTTGTTGTTGTTGTTGCGTTGTTTGTGTTTGGATGGTTTGTTATGATTTTTTGTGCAAAGGTGTGTGTGTGTGGGTCAAAACAAACAAAGAGAGGAAGAATAAGGGAGTTGATATGTTGGTTGTGTAGTATGTTTGTTTAGGCCTGCATAGAGATGAAAGAGACGGCGGCCATCAGGGACGGAAATGTAGAAGTAGTGGAGGTGGAGGTAGTCGTAGGGGATGAAGAAAAGGAGGTCGAGGCAATGTACTCTCGACGTTGTAGAGTGGTTGTACTGTTTCTCCTGTCCCTTGCTCCTGCACCACCACAACATGTTCCATTGACGCTACTGCTATTGGTGTTTGGGATGCAGGTGACGCCGTTCATCCATCGAGATCTCAGGTCTGTATGTTCGGATGGATGGAAGACGTTGCAGGATCGGTATTGAGGACCGTAGCTGGTGTTGTTATTGTTATCTTGTTCGACCTCAGACTCGGATTCGGATTCAGAGGAGGAGAAGGTCAGTCGAGGCGAAAGTTTGACGATAGTGCCGTCTTGTTCGTCGTGGATAAAGACACCGCTGTCTTTGCGGTCGCTCCTGAGGTCACTTGGAAGGAGAGCGCTAGTATTGGTGTTACTGCAGGAACTGATGTTGGAGGTGAGTGGAATGGCGTTGGATGTAGTGGTAGTGTTGTTGCCCCTGAAAAGACGTCTCGAAAATGTTAGCGCCTCCTCCACTTCTTCTTCATCCTCATAGACTTGACGGTGTTGCAGGGGATGTGGTTCGATCGAGTAAATGGATCCGGTGTAGTTGTTGACAATGTTGTTGTTGTTTTCAGGTGTTGTGCTGAGGGGGAGGTAGAGGGAGGAAGTGGTAGGGTTGTTGGAGGAGTGGTATGACGAGCTGTAGATTCGAAGAAGAGGATGTGGTTGCGGTTGTTGTGGGAACGGTTGGAAAATGAAGCACTCCACTGCATCGATCTCTCCCTCCTCCTCCTCTTCCCTTCCCTCCTCATCATCCTCGCTATCGTAGTCGCTCTCACTGTCGCTGTCGTCAAAGGTAGAAGGGTAGCAAGAGAACTCTTCGAAGGCGACATATGTCCGCCATGGCTGTGCTGTGGTGGATGTGATGGAGAGCAATGATGTATGCGACTGTTGGGCGAGCGGCAACAATGGTGGCAACAAGAAACTGCTTCCCAACCTTGACGCTATTGCTGCTGCGGTATTAATTGGTACCGCCGTTGGGTCCTCGCATGATTCAAGGATGTTGCCCTCAATCATCCCAGGAATCTCCCCGAGCGCAAGCTGGACTTCCCAAAGAGATTCGAACTGCTGCGAGGCAATCAGGTCGTTACTATTGCTGGCAGATGCGATGACTGTAGAGTTGATGGTGGAGAGGGAGGCACAGGAGTTGGTGGGGTGGACGTTGAGGGAGAGGGTGCTTGAGAAGTAGACGTGACGATAAGGAGTGTATATCTGTTGATAGTGCGGGGATAGGGGGCGATGTTGGTATTGATACGGTTGTTTCCTTTGCTTTTGATGTTGTTGTTGTTCTTGTTGATGTGGAGAGGAGTGCTGTTGTTGTGACCCATGGTTACCATTGAACACAAAACGCCTTCTCTTTTTCCTCTTTCAGGGTCAACACATAGTAGCACCGTGGATCATCATCACACCCAACCAGTCGGGACTCGAAAAATGAAGAAAAAATGGACAAGGGTTGACCAAATCGAATGTTGTATTATGGGGCTTTCTATGGTTGATCTAAAATTCGCAGCCGAGTGACAATACGTTGAACATATTGGCACCTCCGCCACCACCTCGACCGCCGCTGCCACGGCCATTGCTACTGCTGCTACTACTTCCACCGCCGCTGCCACCTCCGCTACGCTTCTTGGAAGACCCGGATTTCTTATGAATCCCTGCAGATTTCGACCCCTTCAGCCCTGATCCCCCACTTGTCGAGGAGGTCGATGACGAAGATGGGAGTTGGTTCAAAGGTTCCATGTCCGGCCCAAAGATACCCAACTTGGTTACCTCTGCTGCCTCTCCAGTTCCTCCGGCGGCGGCGGCGGCAGAGGCTCCTTTCCGACTAGCACGAAACACGACCACAACATCAATCTCCCCCGTATCCACAAAATCCTCCTCGACTGCGGCCAGGACTTGATGATACATGTGGACAGATTCCGGGAACTGCATCCTCCCTTCCAACAGCGTCCCACCACGGGCAAGAGCCAAAGTCTGTTGGAACAAGAGTCCGTCGAATAGTTGTGCAAGGGGCGGGATCATGCCTTCGAGGTGGAGGGCGCTGGCGAGGAGGGAGACTGTTGCGAGGGCGTGTTGGTATTGGGTTGAGAGGTGGAGGGATCTTTTTGTCATGGGGGGTGCTTCGACCAGCGAAGGGGGGCCCGACAATGTTGTTGATGATGGTGTTGTCGGGGACGTGGGTATACTGCTGGCTTCCGGTGGTGCTGCTGCTCTTGCTCCTGCTGATGCTGGCGTTGCTGGCTGTTGGCCAATTGTCTCGGGGTAATACATTTCACGGAGGAAGAGCGCCGAAGCGACGAATGCAATGACCTCGAAATTGGCGACAGAGATACTCGCAGATCGGGTCTTGGAATGAGCAAGCGCGTTGATCAGGTATCGCAACGTCGCCGCCAGAATCATGAACGGCTTCGGGAGTGCGCGGACCTGTGCAGTGTCGGCTCCCAGGATCCCCAAGAAGAGACCAGTCCTGCTAGCCTCGTCCATCGTCTCGCCCTTTTCCTGATCCTGTACCTGCTGTTGTGGCGCGTCCAGTTGTTCGATTTCCATGGCGCCGATTGTGGGTTCGGTGTCGGCTGGGGATACCTCGACGGCGCTGGTGGAGGAGGGTGGGACTGAGTCGATATCCATGACACTGATCCGCCTTGCCGACTTTTTCTGGGCCTTGGCCTTGACAACCTTGGCCATCTCATCCAACTCCATCGCTGAAGCACCCATCACAATCTCGGCCGACAAGTGGTCCCCACGCCTCACATACTCCACAACCTCCAACTCGGCTCCTGGTCCGCTCTGCTCCTCTCCCTCCTCCTCCTGTGCTCTGTCTACTTGACTTCCGCTCTCAAGGAGAAGCAAATCCTTCGCAAGAACCCCATAAATCCACCGCCTGAGATCCCTCGACGCCAACCACGCACTCTCCCGATCTGTATCCTCCAAAAACGGCGTACACCAAAACATCCGGTTGCTGACCACATCCATCAACTTGAACGAGAACTGACCCGCCCTGAAGGCTTCCTTCGTCTTGTTCAGCGCCGCTACTACAGATAGGGACGACTTTTCTGGTGCTGCCCAAAGGCCTCCTCCTCCTGCCGAGGGTGTGGAAGGGTTGGGAGTAGTCGCGATCGAGGGCGAAGGAGTGGGTTCTTCCGAGGATGGCAAGGAAGGTTCTCCAGAAGAGATTGATTCCTCTGTCGCAAAATCGTCCGGGATCGAGGGGGAGTACTGCTCCATAGACTCGATCAAAGCAGACCGCAACTCTTGACGCCTCTCTTCCGCCTCGCCCGCATAAAGCTGCTCCCGATCCTTCAGAATCTCGTCCATGATCCTGTCCACCTGATCGCACTCTGCCAGCGCCGACCCAATCTCCTCCAGCTCTGCACCACCATCAGCACCAGATCCAGATCCAGATCCAGCTCCAGCTCCGTACTGCTTCAGAAAGCTAGCCGTAGCTTTAATCCTCGCATGATTGGTATTATTTGCCACCGACAATTTCTGTCCCGTAGCCACCGCAAGCGACCTCGCGACCTGGTCTTCAAACACCTCAGGGCGGAGGTAATCGTTTCCTGTGAGTGACGCAAAGAGTGGGAGGAAGTGTGGTCGGATCCCAAGGTGTTCTGCGATGGCGGACTGGGAGTAGACTGTTGCTGCGACGGTGGTGGTTCCGGTTGTGGGGTCGGTCGAGACAAAGAGGCTGTCGAGCGGGATGTAGCCGCCTTTTGTTGATGATCCTGTGTTGTAGATAAAGTAATCTATATTGGGAAATAATGTGTCTAATTGTTAGTCGTCATTGCAAACTGTCATATCGGGTACAGACAAAACTACAGATATACAAAACGTACCAGAATCCTTGCTGACGGCGTAGGCTTCATCAACACCAACATCCATCGACTTCTCCATCGCCAACTGAGCAACCAACCCATCAGCCTCACCATCACAAACCAACAGCTCAACACCCAGCGCCCTCAAAGTCTGCAACGTCACCTCCATAACCAGCGGAGGGATCAAAAAATGCGAATACCCCTTCCCACCAGCACCACCTCCACCCCCACTGGCTCCATTACTCCGACCACCAGCGCCGCCGGCCTGATTCGCCAACGCCTCAATCCCCGCCCCGACACTGCTCGTTAAAGTATTAGAGCCACCCCCCAAGCCAAGCACATGATAATGCTCCAAATCTCCCACAACCCGACTCATCTTGCGGATCTTCTCCGTATCCCTCGTCAGCCTTGTCTGCCGCTTCTGAACAGGTAACGGACCATCAAACAAGAACTGTAACCGGAACCCACTGTTCTCGAGCGCTCGGATGTGGGCCGTAAGGAGGTTGACAAACGACGAGTATTGCCCTCCCCAGATCCATTCGAATTGCCCGCAGTAGAGGTGGTGGATGTATGCGTTTCCGTCGAGGATGAAGAATCGCCGTTTTGCGAGGAGGTTTGTTGACGAGGAGGAAGAAGAGGAGGAGGAGTGAGACCTCTTCAGACTGTCGGGACTGTTATCGCCTGCTTCGCTCGTAGTGGTGCCATGGTCGTCCTGTTGAGGTGAAGGCCGTGGCAGGGTTGTGGACCAGCTCTTGCGCTGCCCTAATGATTTCGATTCGAAATAGCTGTACAGTCCGAGCACTCCCATGTGATGTGTGATGAAGGAAGAGAAACTCTCATGTTGCAAAGTTGCACCTCCCCCTTGTCATTTTTTTGTTGACAAAAGTCCGATGTGACTGGTGAAAATACATATCTGAACTGTTCACAGGGGTTGCCACCAACCTTATGCCAACAATACCCATCACATGGCGACCTTTTGAATAAGACCCCCCTTGCACCATCCTTCATGCTCGTAAGCGTTTCGTATATTTGTTGAATAAATGCTCAATGTACATCTCTCTACTACTCCAGTTTAAAACTCCTCCAAGTCAAACCATCCACCATGCTTTAGTGGCCATGGCCATCATCCTCCTGACGCTGCTCAGGCGCCACAGTAATCATATCATCAATGCGGAGGATCGACAATGCAGTCTCAGTGGCAGAACGCAGAGCACGGATCTTGGACAGAGCAGGCTCCAACACTCCAGCATGGACGTTATCACGAACCTCGCCATTCATCAAATCCAAGCCATACCACTTCAATCCCTGGCGAGACACGTCCTTCTGGGAAGCGTTATGGTACACACGGAGCTTCGCCACCAGATCTGTCGAGTCCTTGGCTGCATTCACAGCCAACGTCTTGGGGATCACAAGCAGTGCGCTCGCAAACTCTGCAATCGCCAATTGCTCACGCGAGCCCTATTACAACACGTAAAACAAAAAAATACAGGTTAGTGAGTGAAAATGAGAGAAAGCTTAGCAGATCACGAATGAACAGCTACAGTCTTGTATGAGATCTTACCAAGGTGGTGGCAAAGTTCTCGAGGTAGATGTTCAGGGCAGTCTCGACGGCTCCTCCTCCGGGGACAACACTTCCACTCTCCAAGGTGCGCTTGACCACGCACAGGGCATCGTGCAAAGAACGCTCCATCTCGTCCAGCATGAAATCGTTGGCTCCACGAAGAATGATCGAGGCCGACGACTGGGCCTTGGTGCCCTTGACCAAGATGCACTCATCGTCCGAGATCCTCTCCTGAACGACCTCCTCAGCGTAACCGAGGTACGATGCCTCATATGTCTCCTCGCCCTCCAAGTTGGCTAACGTCGAGATCAAGGTAGCTCCAGTGGCCTTGGCAATCCTGCGAAGATCCTCCTTTTTGCAGCGACGGACAGCCATTGCTCCAGCCTCGACGAACAACTTCAAGCACATGTCGTCAATTCCCTTGGTCGTCAAGATAACGTTGGCTCCAGTTGCAAGAATCTTCTTGATACGCTCCGTCGTAATATCGCTTTCCCTGGATGTTATAAGTGAAGTTGTCGAGGTGTGGTTAGTTTCAATATCTGGTGCACATAATCGCATACGCGAAAAAGACCAAAGTAAAAAATGTACCTCTTGCGGATATCCTCAAGCTTGTCTGGATCGTCGACCATGATGTGTACGCCCAAGTTCATGCGGACCTTCTGCAAGTTGATGTCGAGGCAGGCAATCTTGGCGTTGGTGATCTTGGTCTTCATGGCCTGACTGGCGACTGTGCAGTTGAGAGCGTATCCCTTGATCAGCGTCGACTCTGTTGCACTCTTTCCGTGAGCCTTCAAGACGTTGACAGCCTTGACTGGGTATTTGTGTTCGCCGCGGCTGTTGGTCGACTTGACAGCAAGCATAGCATCGACAGCCATGTTCGAGAAGAATTCGTCGTGGCTATTAGAGTTAATGCAATATCAGCATAACCACGAACTATTAGCAAAGGTCATTCAGGCTTTAAACATTTCTCCCGCCAAACGCAACTTGGACTTGCTCCACCTACGACCCAATGATCTTGCTGGACATGCTGGTCTTTGCAGCATTGACAAGGCAATCACGGCCAAGGGCATCAACCTTGATCGACATCTGATCCGCAATGAACTTGCAAGCCTCCTTGGACGCCAAACGGTATCCTGTGATGATGGTAGTGGGGTGGATCTTGTTCTTGACCAACTCGTTAGCCCTCTTCAAGAGCTCGGCCGCAATAATGACAACAGAGGTCGTGCCATCACCGACTTCCTTGTCCTGCTGCTGTGCTAACTCGACCAAGATCCTTCCTGCGGGGTGCTCAACCTCTAACATGTTCAAAATCGTAGCGCCGTCATTCGTGATAGTGACATCCTAGATATGGTGAAAAGAAGAGAGAGAAGGAAGCGCGTGTTATGTTTTCTTTTTCTTCTTTTGGGGTGAATCGAAGGTCAAGGCTGTGTCGTTTTGGTGGTCAAAATGAAAAGAAAAAAAAAGAGGGAGCACTAACACCAATCTCGTTGACAATCATCTTGTCGAGACCGACAGGTCCCAACGACGACTTGACAATGTTGGCGATGGAAGCGGCAGCAAGGACTAGAGATGCAATAGCCAGCAAAGAGAATACAAGGTTGGTCAGTGAGCTGATCGTCCTTTAGGTAAATGGTGCTAACAACCAATAAAAAGGTCGTGCGTGTTCCTGGCATGGCTGATTCAACGGTTGAAGATGGTAAAAGTGGTTGGGTCTCGGTGTCGATGATGCCACTGCGCTGAAGCTGCGTCCTGCTGCCGTCTGTTTGGTGAACCGCAAGTTGTCCCCGTACTTCAACGTCGGCCGGTCGTCTCCATGGAGCTGTTGACTCCACTTTCCCCTCCAACATTCGCGGTTGTCAACTTGAGGACAGAAGTACGTAAGGAGACGAAGAAGTAAAGAATGAAGGTTGTGTCGTTTTACCATTCTGATCTCTGATGTTCTGTCCGCTGATGCGTTCTCCTCCGAGGAACAGACTTGCGCTTTGCTGTGAATTGTACATGGTGGGTGATTGTAAAGCGATGTGGAGGAAAGTGAAAGTAAAAAAAGAGAGAAGGACAAAGAACACTTTCATTTTTCGTTCGTGTCCCACAAAAGATTCGCGCTTGCCTGGATGCCTGTGACGCCAAAGCACCAAAATTTGGTTCTGTGACGTGCACAGCTCGCAAGAAGATCCAGCAAGGGAACCAAGCGACACTCGCAGAAAGGAACCAAAGACCAAAGTATTGTTGATAATATTTTTATTTTAGTGGTTGGTAAAGGGGGTCAAAAGTATCTGCTGTTGATCTGTTCGAATATCATAGGCAATTTGTCTGGTGTCGATATGATTATGCTTGTCGTTGGTAGTCCAGCTTCAAATCGAAGTTCTCAAGAAAAAACAGGCTGTCCTGTTCATGCTGTGGCATCCACCTCCTGAGCAGCTCCCTCTGCCTCCTTTGTCTTGGCTTCGGCCTCCCTTGCTTTACGCGCCTCCTCCTCCAAGAATCGTCTATTGGTTAAAGTAGAGACAAGTGAAAAGTTATAAGTATTTGCTCCTTAGCATATCTGTCAGCAGGAAAGAAAGCAAATCCAATACCATAGACAAATGATAATAACATACTTCCTGGCCTGGAGAACCATAAACTCCTTGCGGCTCTTAAAGACTTCCTGACGCTTCTCTGCACTATCACCCCAGACCTTGGAGGGCTCATCGGGAACAATGTTCTTTTCAGCAGCCTCCTGCAACTTGAATCGCTGGACAAGGTTTCCGTTGGTCGCATGACTCGATCCTGAAGATGATCCTGTAGATGATCCTGATGGTACTGCTGAAGTAGTGGCTGCGGTGGGAGGGGTTTGAGGGCGAGGAGCTGGGGGCTACAGTTGACGGCAATGTAAGAAATGGCATGTTAGTCTCTAAATTGATATTTTTCGATTCCAAGATATCTCCCCATATGTAGCATTGTATACTTCAGACATCCGTACCATGGGCAAGGTGCCGTCCCGCAAGATGTTGTCGCAAGTCTGCTCCACGGAGCCAGTCTTTTGGAGGTCGTAGTGAATGGCTGCTGTCGGAATATGCGGGAACATGGCCCTGACCGTTTCAACCTAATCGAAGCAATTGTTCGTCAAGGTGTGAAGACTGGTGAGTACAAACTTGCACAGTATCCTCAGTCCTGGCACGGTTTGCCAAGACCGATCCTGTCCACTTGCTCATTTTCTATTCCTGTGTCCCGAGAATTGTGTCGCCAGCCGAACACCTTCCACTCCGACGAGAAACGCATGGTGCGACAGAATCCCCTCATGAGGGTGAGCAAAAAAGTCGTCAAGGGCTGCATACCATCTCTGGGTTGACAAGCCTTGCGGGGGGTCGTGATGGGATCCTGCCTCTGCCCTGTCCCTGACGAGGTCCTTGGTCTTCTCCAGATGCTAATAAAGGTGAATTGCAACAAAACCGGGCAGCCTCGGGTTAGTACCATGCTGTTCTGTTCCTGGTGCTGTGAACATGCCAGTCTTCCCGAGTCCAGGTTGTTGAGTATGTGAGTGTAGTATTACCAGAGAGCCATCTGAAGACCATGAAGATGATCACGATGACGATGGTGAGGCTGACAAAGTCGGTCATGAGTGTGTATTTGCTGTATGTGCTGCTTGGCTGTTGTGAAGTTGTCGGTGTTGATGAAGGTGTGAGCGGGTGAGTGTGAAGCGAGAAAGCGATGGAAGGTGATGGTCGGTACACGATAGCGAGTGAGGCTCCTTCCAAGTGACTGCCTTTCGATCAAGATTCAATCTGCTCGCTGATCAAACATTCACACTCTTCGACGCGAAAAACGCGTTTCGAACATGGCAACTTGCTATCTCTAGTACAAGCTACTTATCACACAGACACAATAACCAGAAGAACTGTCAAATCGGATATTTTCATGTCAATGACATTAAACGCAAGCACATTTGTAATACTTTCTCGCTACAAATGGAACGAATGCATCGTGTTCTCCTCACCATTGCTTCCGTTCTCTTGCATTGTTTCAGCACGGAACCCCTAGCTCCATCTCCAACTTGTAGGCTTCGATAATTCATCTCCTATGAAAGCCAAAATAAACAACAAACCATGTGGTATCTGCGACGCATTAAAACTGGAAACACTCCCTTTATGATTGAACAATAACACTCCTTTTGTTTGGCTATTTGTGGCATAGAAGAAAGGTCAATCCATCATCCTTAAACTATCCCAAGCAAACCAGTTTCTTTAGGATAGCAGCCCTCAAATAACCTTGCTTTAGCTGTTGTCTGCTTATCGAGTCTGTGTGTTGTGCTGCATGATTGTGGATTGTTGCTTTAGGCGGTGCTTGCTTGTGCAAAATAAATCAGACACCTCGGCGAATTGACAATTTTGCGATTTTCCCTTCTTCTTCAAATGTCAAACCCCTTTATTCTTCGCGTCGCCGCCTTGATGGCCCAATTCACTAGCTTCCATTTTCTTTTCTTTCTCGCGATGATGCCAATGATGATATTCTTTGTTTGATGATGCCGCACTGTTATCGCGTCTGCGGCCTCCTAATCGTGTCATGCATGATGATGGTTCAGGCTGGGTCAAATTTCACAAAACAAGAAAACAAATACCTGTTCTCCTTTCGACCCTCCTCGGCCCTTTCGACTCCTTCTTCGACCATGACCTGTCTGTGTTGTATATCCATCGTCGACATGACCCATCGCTTGGACCTTCTTTCTAGTCCAGATCGTATTACTGCTTGAGCTCGAGGCCAGGTCTCCCTTTTTCGTCTGATTGCGAAAAAGGGTTGTCTGTATTGTTTGTTGATTGTCTGTGGGTGGGTGGTGTGTGGGAATCGATACTCAACCACATCGTTTTGTTCTGTCGTTTAGGTTAACTTGGAGGGTAAGTAGGCTGTTTGCCTGTCGCCAGGAACGAGGTGGATAAATGAGAGACGAGAGGAGGATGAGAAAGAAAAAAGAATGGAAGTAGGACAATGAGAGGAGAGATAAACAAGGGGAAAAGGAGATTAGGACATGGCAAGCCAGGGCAAGACAGGGCAGGGTAAGGAAGTAAGGGACACAGCTACTTGCTGATCGCTCTCTTTGTATGGTGGAAATATCAGTCCCCAGTTATCACACAACGTGTACGTCCGAGAAAGGAACAAGACGCGTCTCTTTCGTTGCACTTCTTCGGCAGAGTGGTTTGATGCTGCACTCTTATTTTGCCCCATCGAAAGGTTGGACAAGAAATTTTCTCCATTGCGGCGCGATACAAGAACGGCAAGTTACGCATGCGGTAGGATGGAAAATAGCAATTGGCATTGATATATGTCATCCAAAAAAAATGTTATAGGAGGGACAGGGGAGGGATACAAGCAAGGCATGGACAGGGGACAGGAGCACACAGAAAGCAATGACCTCCTTTTTCCCAGCGAGAGGAGCACAACAAAGAAACAAATGAAGCACTGGCACATTGGGTAACATGGATCGGTTTTGGACACACGGACTATGACATCCTCACGAAAAGAAGAGGATTGAGCATGAAGGAAAAAAGGTGATTGCTGGAGGCGTTGGGATGAGGACCAAAAAGGAGGCGGGGCGAAGAAAGGAAAGAAGGAAAATGGGTATCTGGGAATGCTTGGATGGACTCACTCTCATGCATGATTTGGGCATTGAAAAGGTATCAACGGACACCAAGTTAGGCTAAGTGATAAGACGTAGCAGCGAGGGAAGGTTGACGATGATACTTTTGATGATGACACATACATTTGCCTCATTTGTTCGTCGGGAAAGAGGAAGGATGAAAGGAGGAGGAGCGGAAAGGGAAACGACCAAAGTTGAGGGGGAGAAGGAGCGAGGGGGATGGAGGGGAGTGCGAGGAAGAGAGGAACAACCAGGAGTGTGGCAAACTTGTCGTTTGCTGTTTGCCCCCGATCGTGATTCGCGCTACGGCACTCCAGAAGACAAAAGATAAAGCAGTGCGCATTCAAAAAGGCTTGAATACAGTCTACGCCACCTCTTGTTCTAATTCTGGGATTTTTTTTCAGTTCAACCTCTTCCTTCTTTCGCGTCTGTTTTCTTTGTTGTCTTTGTTCTTTGTCGCTCTTCGTTGTTGGCCGTCGATGTTGTTTCTGTTGCTCAGTTACTGCTTCATACTCCATCCTATCGTTCCCTGCGGCCCTTTTTTTTTCTCGTTACCTTATCTTTTTTCCTTTGAGCTCCTCTACTGCTTGCTCCATCTCGGTTCATCAAGTCAACAGCATCAACAGCATCAGCAGTAGCAACAACTAACCAAGTCACAGCTACCTACTCACTCTCTTCCCTATATCTCCTTCTCCCCTTGCTCAATTCAACTCGATCGTACGGATTGCTGTGGGCTAAACATACCATACAAAAACTTCAAACAGTTCCCAACCAACCCCTTTTTTGCCTCCTTCCTTTCGTCCCATCGTTGGTCCTTCCTTCGGTCGCATAAGCACGCAGTGAAGCAGCAAAGATAAACGGCTTTGCTCCTTTCTCAATTGTCACTCTCGTACATAAGCTTACCTGACCTTGCCTCGCCTTACCTTGCTCTTGCTGCCTGCGGGTGCTGCTGATCCCCCCATACATCCAGTTACTGTTCAAACTCGCAGCGGATTCAAAATCGCGCTCGCCCATTACCCGCCTTGTATTTTTTGTCTTTCGTTCCCTCTCTTTTCTTCTCTTGTCCTTCTTCGCCTTTAACGTTCTTTTGCCTTTAAACTTTCGCACTTTTGCCACTTTTTACTTTTCCCTTCTCTCATTCACGCTCACTTTCACTCACTAACTCTCTTTCTTTCACTCACTCACGCCTCCACCGTTTTTCACCCTCACCTTAATCCATCGTATCCTTCACTCCTATATCACTCGCCATCTTCACACTTGTACTGCTCCTCTCTTTTACCTCCCTCTAAGCTGATTCCTCCTCTTGTACATACGCCCTCCTCCTCCCCCCAACACAACACACTGCCTCAACAATGACCAAGAAAGACCTGTGCCTGGCTCTCTGGAGCCAGATTGTCCAGGACACCAAGGTGTTTGCTCACCAGGTCCTCGACAAGATCGCCCTTCACAAGCCCTCTTCTTCATCCTCTTCTTCATCAGGTATATAAACCAAACAACCCGCATAATAATAACTGATATCAATGCACTATTATTACATTTGATTTGGTCAACCCTTGTCCATTTTTTTCGAGTACCGACTAACCCATGGTTACCATTGAACACAAAACGCCTTTTCTTTTTTTCTCTTCCAGGGTCAACACATGGTACCACCATGGATCATCATTACACTCAACCACAACAACAGCACTCCTCTCCACATCAACAAGAACAACAACAACATCAGAAAGAAAGGAAACAACCGTATCAATACAAACATCGCCCCCTATCCCCGCACTATCAACAGATGTACACTCCTTATCGTCACGTCTACTTCTCAAGCACACTCTCTCTCAGCGTCCACCCCACCAACTCCTGTGCCTCCCTCTCCACCACCAACTCTACAGCCATCGTATCTGCCAGCAATAGTAACGATCTGCTAGCCTCGCAGCAGTTCGAGTCTCTTTGGGAGGTCCAGCTTGCGCTCGGGGAGATTCCTGGGATGATTGAGGGCAACATTCTTGAATCATGCGATGACTCAACTGCGGTATCACTTAATACCGCAGCAGCAGCAGTAGCGTCGAGGTCGGGAAGCAGTTTCTTGTTGCCACCATTGTTGCCGCTCGCCCAACAGTCGCATACATCATTGCTCTCCATCCCATCCACCACAGCACAGCCATGGCGGACATATGTCGCCTTCGAAGAGTTCTCTCGCTACCCTTCTACCTTTGACGACAGCGACAGTGAGAGCGACTACGATAGCGAGGAAGATGAGGAGGGAAGGGAAGAGGAGGAGGAGGGAGAGATCGATGCAGTGGAGTGCTTCATTTTCCAACCGTTCCCACAACAACCGCAACCACATCCTCTTCTTCGAATCTACAGCTCATCATACCACTCCTCCAACAACCCTACCACTTCCTCCCTCTACCTCTCCCTCAGCACAACACCTGAAAACAACAACAACACTGTCAACAACTACACCGGATCCATTTACTCGATCGAACCACATCCCCTGCAACACCGTCAAGTCTATGAGGATGAAGAAGAAGTGGAGGAGGCGCTAACATTTTCGAGACGTCTTTTCAGGGGCAACAACACTACCACTACATCCAACGCCATTCCACTCACCTCCAACATCAGTTCCTGCAGCAACACCAATACTAGCGCTCTCCTTCCAAGTGACCTCAGGAGCGACCGCAAAGACAGCGGTGTCTTTATCCACGACGAACAAGACGGCATCATCGTCAAACTTTCGCCTCGACTGACCTTCTCCTCCTCTGAATCCGAATCCGAGTCTGAGGTCGAACAAGATAACAATAACAACACCAGCTACGGTCCCCAATACCGATCCTGCAACGTCTTCCATCCATCCGAACATACAGACCTGAGATCTCGATGGATGAACGGCGTCACCTGCATCCCAAACACCAATAGCAGTAGCGTCAATGGAACATGTTGTGGTGGTGAAGGAGCAAGGGACAGGAGAAACAGTACAACCACTCTACAACGTCGAGAGTACATTGCCTCGACCTCCTTTTCTTCATCCCATACGACTACCTCTACCTCCACTACTTCTACATCTCCGTCCCTGATGGCCGCCGTCTCATTCATCTCTATGCAGGCCTAAACAAACATACTACGCAACAAACATATCAACTCCCCAATTCTTCCCCTCTTTGTTTGTTTTGACCCACACACACACACACACACCTTCGCACAAAAAGTCATAACAAACCATCCAAACACAAACAACGCAACAACAACAACAACAACAACACTGTTCATAGAAACTTGTGTATGTGTGTTATGTGGTTTGTGTTTATGTTTGTCCTCTGTGCACTTCACTTCATTTTAAGGCCCTAGTTTCGTGCTGGTCACGACGCTTCAGGTACGTCTCTCTCGAACACAGTTTCGTGGTACTCTCTCGTCCTGTTCGCTTTAGCACGAAAAAGTAATAAAAACCACTTGTACAACATTTAATCTAAACCAGAATATGTCCAATGGTGTTTGTATAGGCAGGAGAAGGGTAACTTCAGTCTATGCGCTCCTTTCATGATTATTTTGGGTGGAGAGAAATGAGAAGGCATGCTGGCAAGTAAAGACTGGAAAAAGATATTTATTGAGCGAGTGCCTCACCACAAAAAGAAGACCGGTGGCAAGTGCGGAGGAAATCTTCACTCTTCATCTGTAGCGTTTGATTTGATGACCAAGTGAAACTAAGAAAGTTATCAGTGATATGAATCGGGTCGTGTTAACATCACGTTTATTTATTTTTGCGATTTGATACTTTTTATCAAACTCGACACCCTTCATTCTTCAATTGAAAACCCTGCTAAGAAACCCCTTCACTATGGTCGACTTGGTACTGGTGGACAACTTCTTCAGCCATTTTTGTGCATTCGGGTGCCCCTGGTCAGCCGCTTTTTGGAACCACTTCATGGCTTTCGAGTCATTTTTGGTTACACCTTGGCTTTTGGCATACATGACACCGATGTTGTACTGAGCGTCTGCGTCTCCTTGATCGGCGGCCATGCGGTACCACTCCATTGCTTTGGCAAAGTCCTGGGGAACGCCTTTGCCATTGTTATACATAAAGCCGGTGCTGTACTGGGCGTCTGCGTCTCCTTGATCGGCGGCCATGCGGTACCACTCCATCGCTTTGGCAAAGTCCTGGGGAACGCCCTTGCCATTGTAGTACATAAGGCCGATGCTGCACTGGGCGTCTGCGAGTCCTTGATCGGCGGCCATGCGGAACCACTCCATCGCTTTGGCCAAGTCCTGGGGAACGCCCTTGCCTTCCTCGAACATGATACCGATGCTGAACTGAGCTTCTGCGATTCCTTGATCGGCGGCCATGCGGTACCACTCCATCGCTTTGGCAAAGTCCTGGGGAACGCCCTTGCCATTGTAGTACATAAGGCCGATGCTGCACTGGGCGACTGCGAGTCCTTGATCGGCGGCCATACGGTACCACTCCATCGCTTTGGCATAGTCCTGAGGAACGCCTTTGCCATTGTAGTACATGACACCGACGTTGGACTGGGCGTCTGCGTCTCCTTGATCGGCGGCCATGCGGTACCACTCCATCGCTTTGGCAAAGTCCTGGGGAACGCCCTTGCCTTCGTCGAACATGGTACCGATATTGTACTGGGCGTCTGCGTCTCCTTGATCGGCGGCCATGCGGTACCACTCCATAGCTTTGGTCAAGTCCTGGGGAACGCCCTTGCCATTGTAGTACATAAGGCCGATGCTGCCCTGGGCTTTTGCGTGTCCTTGATCGGCAGCCATGCGGAACCACTCCATCGCTTTGGCCAAGTCCTGGGGAACGCCCTTGCCTTCCTCGAACATGATACCGATATTGTACTGAGCCTTCGCGTACCCTCGATCGGCGGCCATGCGGAACCACTCCATAGCTTTGGCCAAGTCCTGGGGAACGCCCTTGCCATTGTTGTACATAGAGCCGATGTAGCACTGAGCGTTTGCGTGTCCTTGGTCGGCGGCCATGCGGTACCACTCCATCGCTGTGGAAAAGTCCTGGGGAACGCCTTTGCCTTCACGGTACATATGGCCGATGTTGTTCTGGGCGTCAACAAAACCTTGGTTGGCGGCCTTGAGGTAGCATTCCATGGCTGCTTGGTAGTCCTGGCTGCCCATATACTTGTCTCCAAGAGCGACTTGAGCGTCAATTTCACTCTGACTGACAACATGTTTTATTGGAAGGGAGATGTCAGCGAGAGCAGAGGCCTCATTGGTAAGAGGGGGGATCTCCTTGGACATTTGCGGTTCGTTGTTGTCGCTGGAAGGTTGGGCAACGGACGTTTTGCTACTGTTGTGTTGGGCCTTGAGTATGCTGCTCGTGGGTGTCTCGGGTGCCGCTGTCATTAGACGCTCAGAGCTATAGTCATGTGAGGATGACGACGTTTTTGGTGAGAATCTGAAGCATATATAAGATAGTACTTGTAACAATGGACAACTTATATGCCACTTACAGTCTGAGGGCCTCAACTTTTCGTTGAGCGTTGGTGTCCCCTTGAAACGCCGCTTTATGATACCATCCCATGGCGATGAATGAATCCTTGGAAACATCCTGACCTTCAAAAAAGAGGTCGCCAACTTGGACCTGAGCATGCGCATGACTCTTATGGACAGCCTTCAGGTAACACTCCAGAGCCTTCCAAAAGTCAGCAGGACCAGCATCGCCCTTTGTGTGCAGCGCGTCAAGATCCATCATGTCTGCAATCTTGGTCATCGCTTCTTTGGCGTACTTGCGCGCGAGCTCTTTGTTACGGACTCGAACAGCCGCGTCGTCGAGTTGTTGCCTTGAGGCAAAATTGTTTCCTGGTGGTCTGAAGCGAGAATTGAATACCGAGGTTGATGGGTGGGTAGCGGATATTGGCCGCATTGTTGAGAGTGGATTGTGCATCGGGAGCCGCGCTGCTTGTTGTTCAATCTGCCTGAGAACTGATGGTTGCTGCTGAGGAGTACTGTCCTGTAGGTTGCCTACGATAATGTCCAGTATTTCGCCGGGAATGACAGCAATTCGAAGCGGCTTTATCCTAGAGCGGAGAATATAAACATTATGGTGTTAGCCAAAAAGTAACCTCACTCTCGTTTTGCTGTCGAACCTACAAGCTCATAGACGTACGTGTTGAAGTCGTCGTCTTTCATAAACGGAACCACCCTTGCTTTGTGTCGGACATGAAGGGCGTTGTGGAAGACCAGACGGACATCTTCCCAGAGAATGAACTTTTCCTTTGTGATGCGGTCGGTGTAGATGTCGACGTAGACTACCTCGGTTGGGTGCGGCGGAGATGAGGCGGGGTTGTTGATGTTGATGGAGCGAATGCCCTGAGTGTTGGGAGGTGTGAATGACATTGCAATTGAACTTGTGCTGGGAGTGAATGTCACTCAAAGGAAAAATTGTATATGTCAAGGACAAAGGCGAGAAGAGTGAGAGTGGTGGCGAGTGAAAAGAGCAACGAAAAGTGAAAAGGTGGGCGAGTGCCTCAGCGAAAAATAAAAGTGTGGCCTGTGGCAAGTGTAGAATAATTTCAGGTACATCTAGGACGTGTAGCGGTTGTTCAATGCATGAAACTAAGAAAGTTATCAGTCAGCGATAGAACCAGATCGACTTGACATCTCTTTACTTTTTGTGAATACCCCATGAAGAAGCGCCTTCTTTTAAATCGGTTTGGCGACTATCTGCTTATCAGATCCACTGGTGGACAGCTCCTTCAACCATCTTTCTGCTTTCGGGTGCCCCCGGTCAGCCGCCTTTTGGAACCACCTCCTGGCTTCCGAGTCACTCTTGGTCACGCCTAGGCTTTTGGTATACATGATACCGATGTTGAACTGAGCGCCTGCGTGTCCTTGATCGGCGGCCATGTGGAACCACTCCATCGCTTTGGCATAATCCTTGGGAATGCCTTTGCCTACTTTGAACATGACACCAATGATGAACTGAGCGCCTGCGTGTCCTTGATCGGCGGCCATACGGAACCACTCCATCGCTTTGGCAAAGTCCTGGGGAACACCTTGTCCTACGTAGTACGTCACGCCGATGATGAACTGAGCGCCTGCGTATCCTTGATCGGAGGCCATGCGGAACCACTCCATCGCTTTGGCAAAGTCCTGGGGGACCCCATCGCCTTCGCCGTACATAAGGCCGATGTTGGTCTGAGCGTTTGCGTGTCCTTGGTCGGCCGCCTTGATAAACCATTCCAACGCTATCGAATAGTTCCGTGAGACACCGAGACCTCTATGGTAGAGAAAGCCCATACGGCGCTGGCCAACTGGATCTCCTTGATTGCTGACTTGAGGTACCAATCAATCGCTGATTGGTAGTCCTGCAGAACTCCTTCGCCGTCGGTGTACAAGTTACCCAAGGCGACCTGGGCACTCGTGTCTCCGAGGCTGGCGCTGATGCTCAGTTGAGCCAAGTCCTTCTCGATCGGCACATCAGTAGTTGTACTATGAGGTGCTCGCAAAGGAGGCTTGGCATCATGGTTTGAATGTGGGAGTGCTGGGAGGTTCTTGTCTATAGGTGATTGATCGTCCGCCATTGCTTGAGGTCCTTGAAGTGGCGGTGCAAAAGCTGGGTTGTCGATATGGGAATAGCTGTCCATCGCGGCGTTCTCAAGACCCCAAACCGGATTGCGTCGGGCACTGAAGTCGGAAGTAGCGCACTGTGGTGACGGGGGTCTGTCAATGTGGTTATAGTTTTCCATTGCTATGTTCTCGAGATCGTAAACAGAGCTCCGTCGGACAGTGGATGTAGAAGGGGTAGTTGTACTTTGAGAGGCAACAACATCCTTGTCTGACCACATTTCCTTCACTTCCTCCTGCATTGATCCTGGTAGTGACGATGCTACCTTTGTGTCGACCGATGGACCGTTCACAACTACATCCAAGACGGTGCTGGGTAAGGCAGCAATCCTTCGAGGTTCAAGACTATTTGTCATTCAGTTTACAGTAAAAATATTAGTCTTCGAAACAGAGTCCTTGATAACGTACTTTCTGAAGTCGTCTCCTTTCAAAAAGGGCACAACCCTCGCCTTGTCTCGTATTTGCACCGCGTTATCAAACGCCTGGAGAATATCGTCCCAGAGGACGACTGGCTTTTGGGTCTGGGGGTCGGTATGACAGTCGACGTAGAAGATGTCTTCAGGTTGCGTGGGAGCAATTGATGAAGGTGCTTGGTCCTTATTGACAGAACGAACTGCTTGGACGAGTTGTGTTTCCTGAGGGGCGACGCCGTCTGCATATAGCATATTGTTGGTGGAGAGGGTGGTGGCTGGTGTTTGGGGTGTGTTCTGATTGAGTAGTGGATGATGAGAATGGAAGAAGATGAATGTGAAAGGAATGAGATGATGTCAGAAAGAGGGAAAAGAAGAGGAAGGTATGAGAAGCAGAGCGAAGAAGAAAACCTCGCTATGGGCGTAAGGTGATGAAAGCCACCAAAAGTGGCTGCTCGCTCCGCCGTCGGTTTACATGCTGCTCTCAGCTGCCTCACAATTAAGTAAGGGATGGGCAATAAAACCGGCATGTCCTTCCTTTCTTCCTGCAGATGCTATCCAGAAACGACAGAAAAAGAATGATGCTGAAAGTCAGACAATATTTAGGAAAAGTATAGCTAAGCTTGAAAGAATTGAATCTACCAGACGCGAAAAGATAGCTCCAGCGAATGACCCAACGACTCTCGCGTTTACTGCCTGAACTTATTATTTGGCATTTGGCCTCGTTTTCCGAACCTACTTTGGCCGATGGCTTATGAGAGCTTCTTATCGCACGACCAATTCTTTCTTCTCACCGAACACCAAAATAACCCCTATGGCTCAACCTACTTTGGTTCTGAGATCCTATTATCGATGAAGTGGTCAGGTCATGCGCGTTCTCAAGAACAAAATGAAAGTAGAATATGAGGGATCATCTATTGATTAAACGCAACCCCATCGATCGCTCTTATCTGTTGCTTGTCATCGTTTTATTTTTTGTTCAATGAAATCGCGAGTCGGTGGTTGGTGGGGTGTGAGAGGTACTACCAAGAAAAACCTTCCTCTTCATCGCCACCTCGTTGTTTAATGCAGGGTCACCAACTTTTTTTTTTTCTTCTTGTCCTTCCCTTCTCTTCCTTCTTTTCTGCGAGGTACCATCTGGCCTGGTTTGTTTGCTAGACCAAGGCTAGCGAGTACGAGCTGATTAGAAACGGACAGTAATGGTGCTTCGAGTATATTTTTTTGGTGGCGGTTAAATTGATGTTATCAGTTGGTATCATAGTTCAAGATATTATTCATTTTGGTATCAGATATGAATGGTCAACTGATAAAGGGCATCCCTAACGCCTAGAACCCTGTCTGGCACCGGTAATGTTAGCAGCAGACGTGGAGGAAGGACAGAAAATGGCAAAGAAAGCACGCTCGTTTTCTTCCTTCCTTTGTTGAATGGTCTATATGTGTTGTCTGTTTACGAACACCTGGCTGACACATGAAAAGGAAACAAAAACAGGGTTGAACGTCCACAAAGTCTCCTTTACCCCGCTTTATTATTCCTTGTACTCTCTCCCTCCTTCAATCTCTTTGTTTTATCACACACTTTGTTGTGATTCGATTTCCAAGATAATCTCTCCCTCTCTTGTCTGCAATCCTGCAGCACGTTAAATCTTCCTTCGGCATTTTTTTCGTTCTTCACTAGGTTGCATGTTGGCTGCGTCGCGATAAGGAGGATGTCAAAAAGTGTCCGTGAGGCAGCTTTGTTATCAAAGCATATCCTGCACCACCGCCCCCCTCCCCTCACTCCCAATGTTATATCTCGGACCTTTCACCTCTGGCTTGCGCCGAGGCTGGAGATGGGCTAGCATGATGGGACGATAAAGAAACAAATATCCCTAATTAGCCAATTCCTGTTGACAATTCATCGATAATTCTAAGCTGCCTCTCTTCCTTCCCTGTTTCCTTCTGCAGCTTTCCGGCTGTCCCGTCCCTCGTTACTCGCGTGGCGTAAATAAGTAAAACAGAACAAAACATCCATGACGAACCTTGTTTTTATTTTTGAGCACTTCGAGTCATCGCCTTCTATAGCCCTTCTCTCTTAGTGTGCCCAATGTTGGACAAATGTGAGAGAGCAGGGAGCAAGGACCCTTCGTGCTCGCTATCGGAAAATAAGTGATGCACGCCAAAGGAGGCCAGAGGGACCCATTTTCCGCTTCCGTCCATCTCGCTTCGGAGGGCAATGCAATGCGAGGCATGGCAAGGTTAGGAGATCGGAGTAGTGTGCAAAACTAAGAAGCACAAACAAACAAACGAGCAAAATGAAAAACAGAGATAGACAACTGCTTTACGCTTTAGGTTAGTGCTCCCTTTGTTGTTGTTGCATCGATCTCGCTTTTTTTCTTGCTTGACCATTCGAGGGTGTTTGTTGTTTCTGTTGCATTGTTGACAGCCTTGTCGAAGTACCAGTAGAGGGCTCAAGAGTCGAAGAGAAATGATGGTCATTGTTGCTGTTGGGTGGGTTATCAAATCTTGCTTGCTGTTGTTGATGTCCGCGACATTTGCAGGAATCATTCCATGGCGATATCCAACTTTCCATCGGACAGAACCGTTTCCTCTCTTTGCTCCTCTCTTCGTCTCTTCAGCAGCATCCTCCTTTTTTACCCACCCCTTCCACACCCACCTTACCTTCAACGAAGGAACGACAGCAATAAAAGAAAACGAAAGAAAAAGGTTGCGCTATGCCATCTCCAACTCCTTCATCCACACACCTCCACTCTCTCATTCTCCTCCAGCACTACCAACAACAACAGCAGCAACAGCAGCAACACCAACAACTTCAACAACAACAACTTCAACTTCAACAGCAACAGCAACGACTTTTGAACGCACAGCATGATCCTTCCTTAGTTCACCTTCACGCCTCTTCTTCCTCCTCCTCGTCTTCGGGCTCGACTTCATCCACCGCCAACCATGGCAATGGTCAGGATCATTTCTTGGTATCTGCACAGAAACTAAAGGTACTTTATCTATACTATTACTCGTACCTTTCCGGGTACAACGCTGCTCCGTGTACATGTACATTCAAGTCGCCTTTTGAAAACATAACCATAATGGTTCCTCTCTTAATACGTTGGGGTGATCCACTTGGTCTATCGAACCATACTCTATCCTCACCATTCCATCTTTTCTCCTCCGCCGTGTGTTCTCTATTCCTTTTTTTTTTGCGACTCAGATCCTTCAACAGCAGCAACAACTGTTCCTGCAACGCCAACTGCAGCAACAGCAACAACACCAGCTGCAGGAGGAGGAATCACCAAGATCGCCCTACTCTCAGAGCCCTACACTCTCACCTCAACTGACATCGGAAGATCCCTGGATCTCAACGCCTTGGTCCTCCTCCACCACCTCTTCATCACTCAGTCCCATCCACTCACCTCCTCCCCACTCTTCATCCTCATCCTTGACGACAACGAAGCGACTCCGACGAACCTCAACAACCTTCCGGTCCTCCTTTTCAGTACCTCCTCTACCATCCTTTGAGCCCTTTGGGTTCGGGCCTGACGAATTTCTTCAAGACGATGAAGACGAGCACCCAGATTATCTCGAAGAGGATGATGAGCGAGGAGGACTGTACCACCACGACGATCTGTTGAATGGGGGTCGAGAGCGTAAACGAGAGCGAGAGCAGGAGCAGCACGAGGAGTTTGACGGCCACGAGTATGAACAGGAAGGAGAACGAGAGCAATCAATACATCTTGCAAATGGACGGGGACGAAGGACGGAGAAAGATGGTTCTCTCGATAACTTCAACAACTCCACGTTATTTCCTTTTGGGACGCCACCTCGGCGACAACAGCATCACCAAAACCCTCGACCTCAAGGCTCGCTAGGAGACACACCAATGCAGGAAGGGGAGGGCACCCTGTCGGCGACTGCAGTGGCAGGGTCCAATGACGACACGAAGATGAGAAATAGTATGAGGCAGGATGACGCGGATGACGCCAAACGACGACAAGGGAGGGACCGGGTAGGATGCGGGGAAGAACGGTCGTCTGTCGATCACTCTTCTAACGGTCGTATTGACGAACCAGGCTCACGCCATTACGAAATAGATGAAGACGAAGGGGAGAATGATGACGAAGAAGTTGAGGGAGAAGGAGAAGGAGGGGTGCAACTGACCGTCGAGACCGAAACTCTATCGAGGATGGGGAAGAAGGAGGGAATTTGGAATAGAGGAGAGAGTGGGACAACTTTATCTGTACCAACCTGCAAGTGGTCGCCTGCGTCTGTTATTGATGTTGGTGCGTTAAGGTCACCGTCTTCACGTGCCAATGCTCCATTCGATGGTTCTATGACCTTTTCAGCTCCTTGCGCCACCTCCTCTTCTGCAACGACCCCTACTTTTCTTCATGGGGGAGGAGAGAATGGGAGTGAGATTGGACCGAACGGCAACAAGGATGCAGTCATGAAGAGAACGTCGGTACCGGTTTCCAAGGGTACTACCCATCATAGTACCAGTGGTACATCCTCCCTCCCCAGTAGTCCAGGTAGTACTTCTTTTTCCTCGGCGCTGTCGGGGTTGCCGGGTGGATCGGGAGGAGCACAGGCGAATTTCGGAAATTTATTCCTGGGCCATTCCTCGTCCTCGTTTGACGGTCAACAGCAGCAGGTCCGAGGCAACGCCATGGACATGGACGTGGATGAAAGGGTCGAGGGAAGTGTGGAAGATAGGGAAGGAGAGGGAACAGGAAGCAACATTGCTCAAGAGATAACAAACAACAGCAGGCCACAGAAAAAGAGACAACAACAACAATCGGTCCAACGTGGCGATGTTGCTCGGCCAATGGACTCCACCCATCACAACAACAACACAAAGAAAAGGTTCGGTGACACACCAGCAACCCCACACGACAACCACACAGATGCACCATTGGCTGTGGTGTCTCATCCTTCTCCGTCTTCAACATCGATGTTATCTCGCACTCCCACATTGGATCGGTTCGAGGCGGTCCAAGGGGAGGAACAGGATGGACAAGAGGAGACAGAAGGTGAAGGAGGGACGATAGTGGTAGTCCAAAAGAAACAGAAGACCAACAAGCGACGTGCCATGACGAGGTAAGCCTTTCTTTTTAGTTGTTTTAGACGAAAATAAGGGTCTAGAGGCGAAGAAGGGAGTTTAAAGAGTTAGAAAGTGAGAGAGTGAATTATCATGAGCCATCCATTTCATGGAACGACACACGACTATGACCGACGGAAACCCTGTTTGTCAGGGTAATTCATAATTCTGAAAGAAAAAAAGAAACAAAACGGTTCACTACTTTTTCTGTGGGTTTATTCTTTGGAGGGGGGAGGAGAATGAGTGTGTGTGTCTTTATTGTTGTTATTTTCTACAAGAACGAGAGAGAGAGAGCGAGAGCGATGGGGTGGCGATCAATTGATGGAGAGGAAAGGGATAAGAACAAAAGAAAAGGGAGGGAACAAAAGAGAAGAAACAGAGCGGTATGTACTTTGTGAATGAATGAATGAATGAATGAATGAATGGAGATGACTGAGATGATACACACATATATATCCGAACGAGATAAAGGACATTTATCGATCGATAACTCGAGTGGATTGAATAGAGCAAAGTATGCATGACACCCCTTCCCTTCCACACAATCCACCTTTAATTGACATGTCTGAACTCTCCTCTCGCCAACCTTACTTTTGTCGTTTTAGGATGCTGCTGTCCCTTCCCTTATCAAAGGCCTCGTCGTCCCCTACTTCCACCCCTTCAACTCCAACTTCTACTTTACCCTTCTCCTCCCTTTCCCTCTCTTCCCTCCCTTCCTCTCCTCTTTCTTCCCTTCCCTCCACCCCTACCTTTTCTTCTTTCTCTTTCCGTTCAATTGCTTCTACTTCAACTCCCCCCTCTGTTCCCTCGCATTCACGACAGCATTCGTTATCTTCAATTGCTCTCCTTTCTTCTCCTACTCCTGCCACCCTCTCAACAGTAACTGATAGCGTCTTGACCCCCACATTGACCCCCTCCTCATCCTTATCGCTTCAACCCGCATCATCCACCTCTTCGTCGTCATCCTACACCACTTTATTTTCTCGAAGTACTTCCTCGGATTTTTTCACTCCTCTTTCCTCTTCCACTTCTCTTTCCCCTCCCTCTTCTTCTTTCTCTCCCACCCTCTCTTCCTCTCTTCCCTCCAAACAGGCCATGACAACGGCGACTTCTACCTCAACCTCAACCCTCGCAACCCCTTCCGCCACACACTTGCAACTCCTCCTCCAACAGCACCACGCCCTCCAGCGGAAAGAACTCGAATCCAAAGAAAAAGAGCGGCTCGAGCGAGAGAAACGGCTTCAACTCCTCCAACAACAGCAACAAAAGGATTACTTGGCCTCCACACCCTCTTCCTCGACGACACCTTCGAACAACAATAACCTCAACGCAGATGCTCAATCGGTTGCTGCATACATGGCCGCTTACCTGAAAGTCGCTTCCACCACCTCTTCTTCAGCAGCAGCAGGAGCAAACAACAGCAGCACAGATCGGGCTCACACCACCACTGGAGGTGCTTCTTCTACCTCCATGATGACAACAGCTGCAACCATCGATCCCTCAAAAACGTCCCTTTCACTTCCGGTGGTAGTACCACCACCTTCTGCTTCACAATCCACTACCTCCGCATCGACCACGACAGCAGCTCAGGCGGCAGTCGTGTTGGCAGCAGCATCGGCAGCAGCATCGGCAGCGACCACTCCCTTGGCTACAGTGGCGCCCTCTTCAACCTTGTTATACCCAGCCCCATCCTCAGCCCCAGTCTCTGTATCATCCACTCCATCCTCTACCTCTCACAACCATAACCGGATAACTGGATCTGGATCTACATCCGGAGTCACCACCACTCAATTCAAGGCTTTGAAGCCCAACACCAAAAAGCTATCCCCTGCCACACCCCTCGACTCCTCAACCACAACAGCAACGACGTCCGGATCGGAAAACAAGAAAGCCACGGTGGCGACGACGAATGCGCATCGACAAGAATGTTACAACTGTGGAGTGACTAAGACTCCGCTTTGGAGGCGGACTGCAGATCGACTTCACTCGCTCTGTAATGCCTGTGGCCTTTATTACAAGCAGTACAAGACCAACCGGCCACTCGTCGCCAAGAGCGCTGCCTTCAAGGATGAGTCCCCTTCCTCTTCCTCGCTTCTCGCCCACTCAGCAACAGCATCACAACAGCAACAGAAGCAGGGATTGGACCAGCAGACCATCAAGCGTAGGAAGGTTAGCAACGAAGCCAGTAACTCTGTCTCAGCCCTTACATCAACCTCCACTACAACAGCAGGGAAGACAGATACCCCCGAGATGGCCCACCTTATCCGTGCACTGGATCCAGCATCAACAACCATTTCGGTGGTCTTTCCAGCAGCGACCCCGAGCCATCTGAAACCCCTCCTCCCTTGTCCACCGGCTCTCATTCGCCAATCGACGGCCCTCCCTCCGTCTCCGCCTTCCCACACCCCTTCTGCCTCTCCTCCCCCTCCTTCTACTTCTGCGTCGGTTTATTACCATCAGCAGCAGCAGAGTGAGGATGATAGCGAGAATGATGGAGAGGATGAGGATGAGGATGATGACGATGATGAGTACCGAGACGATCAGGACGAGGAGGACGACAATGATGAGGATGAGGATTATGATATGGAGAGTCGAGGTCGACATGAGCAGTTCGATGTGGAGATGCGAGAAGTCGTCGCTCATGACAGTGTGTCGGACGATTCGGAGGATATGATGATGTCTCCTTCTACCTCTACTTCTCGCCGCCAACAACCACAACCACAACCTCAGCAACCTCAACAGCAACAACGTCAACAAAGCCAAAAGCAGCCATCAGCACACCAACGTCGCCAACTCAATCAAAAGCAACAACCCCCCACTACCGGTACCAACTTCAACGCCGTAACAACAACGACATTAATTACGATCGAATGCGCGAACTGCGGACAGACAGAGACACCGCTCTGGAGAAAGGACGCCAAGGGCCAATCGATCTGTAACGCCTGCGGGTTATATTCTCGACTCCACCAACGCGATCGGCCGGTGACGATGCGCAAGTCGAATATTGCGAGACGGAAACGGGATTGGGCTGCTGTTCAGGAGAAGAAGGTCGCTGCTGCTGCCGCCGCCGCTGCCTCTGGAGGAGCTGGAGCGGGGTTGAGTCAGGGTCATGGCGTCGGTGAGGAAGGCTTTGTGTCTGGCGGAGTTGGTGTCAAGAGCAAGAACAAGAAGCACAGGCAACAACAACATTCTACAACCACATTGTCCAATACCGGCAGGAAACGGAAAGGAAAAGCCTTGCTGGAGGACGAGGGACATGAGGATGATGTTAACCATCACGGCGATGTTGACCGTGCCGATCACGACAACAGCAGCAGCAGTGAGGATGAGGACGACGAGGATGTTGATCGCCAGGAGGAAGACGAGGACGACGAAGAAGAGGAGGATGTCATGGCGCGTGTGGAAGTTCTGGCGATGAACATCCCGGTCTCGAACGAGGACGAGTCTGACCATCTCTCCGATGACCACGTAAGTTTTTTCTCTCCATTTCTGCTTATCTTCTGAGTTGTAGCGTCTGTGTCCGTGGGGTTCGTTCACCCCTGAATTTGAAAGGAAAATTGAGCATGGTCTGTCGTCCAACCCTTGTTAACCTATTTGCACGCGCTTTTCCATTCCCTTTACTTTCCATCTCTCCTGCCCCCCTTGTTCTCAATCGGACTTCTCCTTTGCCTACCACCTAATAGCTTCCACAGCAGATGCCCACACCCGTCTCAAATGCATCCCTCTCTCCCTTGCTGACCAACCACACCCAGTACAACCACCAAGGCCACCACAACCATCACCACAACAGCATCTCTTTTGCTAACGGAGGTGGCTCAATGTCACCAGCATCCTTGACAGCCTCCCCACCAACACCCGTCTTGACCTCACCTAACTTTTTCAACCCTACCAGTTCTGTCTCAACCACGCCTGGTGCACCACCCTCGGCCGCAGCTGTGGCAGCGGCCTTTGCGCACATGAACCCCCTCCTCGTGCAACAGTACCGTCAGCAACTACAGTTCCAGAACCAAGCTGCTGCCCTCTCGGCCGCCGCCGCCGCCGGTCTCAAATCTGGCACCGTTACACCCGGTGCGGATGGGTTATCAACAACCTTGATGGGCGCCAGCAACAATGGAGCAGCGCCGTTCACTTCGGGCTTGTACCCACAGTACCCGAGCACACCCTTCTTGCATGAGTCAACTCTCCCACAGGACCCTATGGCTCTTGCGGGGTTGCAGCTCCAACAGCAACAACAGCAATTGCAGCAGCAGCAGCAGGCGGGTGGTGTCCGATCGCCCTTTGGGCCAGCCTCGCCTTCTGATGGGAATGTTGGAAGTGGAGTGCAGAGACCGAACCCGATTGTTACGGATACCCAGGCACTCCTCTCTCTTCAGCAACAGCGACATCAGTCTCAGTCTCAGTCTCAGTCTCAGTCCCAGCCCCAGCCCCAGTCCCAGTCTCAACCTCAGTCTCGACAACAGCAGCAGCAGCGGAGCCAAGGCCCCACCGAATCCAAGAACCCCACCCCTTCTTCCACCACACCCACCCCCAACCGTCCTTCGACCCAAGGACCCAACAGCAACCCCCTAATCCTGGACAGCACCCGCTTCACCCGCCTCATGAACCAGATGTCCAAACCCCAGCTATCGATGTTCCTCACAATCCTCGAAGAACGCTGTGGTGCCCTCCGACACCGTCTCGCAGGAGAAGACGATTCTATCCATAGGGTAGACCAGAACGAGCTGATGTTGATGTTTAATCACCCGAGTTTTGTCCATGGTGGAAGTTTGGACGGCCCTGGGTTCGGGATGGGCGGCGGCGGTGGTGCTTCTAGCACCAGTAACGGTGGCTACTATGGAGATGCAGCAGTAGCAGCAGGGGGCCCTTATGGAGGAGTGAGTGGTGGAGGAAGTGTGTATAATGGAGCCTATGGAGGAAATGGGTCGACGGCCTTGACCAACTTGATGGCCTTGAATGATATGGGCCAGCATCGTGAGCGGACGGGACATTTGAAGACCTTGAGTAACGCGTCCTCGTCTGATTTTATGATGCAGTAGTTTGTTTTTGTTGTTTTTTTTTAACCCCTTTGCTCTTTTTATACAGTTTTTTTTTTTGTTCTTTTAGTTTGCTTTTTTCCGCATTGTCTTTCTTTTTCACCTTTTTGTTTTGTCCCTCGCACATATCTTACCTGTACAATAAATAAGCGGTTCCGAATTGAAAGAAAAGAAATGGCTTTTATTTCTTTTTGATCGAGAAGGCTAACAGCTACGGACCGCCCGGAGAAGAAACAAGACGCGACAAATGAAATGAAGAGTGAAGAGTGAGAGCTAGGTAGATAGAAATACAGACTTTGTTTGCTCGCAGGACGAAATGAAAAAGAGATATGGGGTTATACACAACAGACAGAGAATGTTACAGACAGAACAAAGAAAAAGTGCAAGCAATCAAAGCGAAAAGATAGAATGAAAAATGCAGGAAAATGAAAATGAAAATGAAAATGAAAATGAAAATGAACATGAAAATGAAAACATCGAACGTTGACCTGATCCGGTACCCGTCCTAGGCAAATTCGAAGATGGGGGAGGAGAAGCCAGCGGTTTCAAAGGTCGGGTTGAGTGAGATGTGCTGGAATGGTGTTGACGCCTGATCATGGTAAAATCCCTCCACATACCCATCCGACCGCCGCATCGACACATAGTAGAATCCTGCAATCGTCAGTCCGCTCGTCTGCTCACTAACATTCACAAAGTGTCTCTCTAAAATTGAATAGTCCCAAACAAGAAGAAAGCATGTTAGTCATTTGTTCGTGTAGAACGTATCACAATAACCAATGCAGCCAAGAGTGCATGTGAATCGCAAAGCAATTTACCTTTCCATCGCATAAAGATATACTTCTGGGTGACTTGTCCCTTGAAGCGACCGCTTTCCGCTCCTTTGATGATGTGCTTTTCGTCCATGCCCCTGAAAGCCTCCAGCCGCCTCCAATGATCCAGATCTGTCTTCTCCTTTGCTGCCCATTTCCTTGTCCACAGTGTATGGTTGTCAAAGTCGACAATCTATATAGTATCGTAGGAAAGGGGGAGTAAATAATTGATGAACAGTGTGCGGGGGAGGAAATGTACACGCAGATTAAGATCTCCAAAGAGAAAAACAACAATACGTTACCTCGCCTTCCCAGAAGGTGACGACGTTTGAGACAGACATAGGGACATCCATCGCTTCCATATGTCCACACACCGTTCCTGCGTAGTAATCCACTGCACTGATCGACTAATAGGAGAAACATTTCAATTTATAAAAGAAAGTATTTGTGTTAGCATGAAGTAATGAAGTAATAGACAAGTCTGATTACAGAACGATAAAAGGAATAAAAACCGAGTCCACACGTACGACTTTGACGTTCCACTCTTCGACTTGGCGAGCTCGCATTCCTGAAAGTGTCGAAGTCATGGTCTTGAGGCTTTGGGTCCCATTGAACTTTTGTCCTGCCTGCAAGAAGCAACATGGCCGTCTCGGATGGTTGGTTCTGGATCTTCGGTACATTCCTGAAGGCCCGTATGTCTCACACGGTATAAGCGTTGTCCCCTGAATAACCGGCATGAAGACCGACGATGCAAACGACGGCAGCGACGTGATCTTTTGTTCGTTGTCGGTGGCTAAAATCGAAGATCCCTGTCGACTTGCTCCTTGCTGCTGACGACTAATCCCGATGCCTTGAGACATCCCGCTGGCTTGTTGACTTGCTCCTCCTTCTCTTGCACCAGTGAGAAGAGTGTTGCATGTCGCAAGTTGGTGGAGGCGATGTCCTTCACCCTGCTGCTCTGTCATCATCAGTCCATTCTCGCCGTCTTCGGTTTCTTGGCTCTTCAGCACAGCCGATTGTGGTCCCAACACCGGCGAGCCGATTCTTGAAGAGGAGGTGGAAGAGTTAGGAGAAGATGTCGAAGAGTACCTAGGAGACTGAGATCCGTGTCGACGAGATCTCTCCTGTGCGCCCCAGTACGGCGAATGGTGACCTCGAGGTGAAGACACCAGTCCATGTCTGTTCGAGGCTGCCAACGCGAATAGGTGGTGATGCTGTGGTTGTTGAAGAGAGCCATTGCCTCTTCCTCCTCCTCCTCCTCCAGACCCTCCTGCCAATCGACTCTGACCATTGCCGCCGCCGGGTGGCAAGGGGTAACGGACAAACTGGGACCGACTGCTTCCTTGTCCAGTAAAATCTGTCAGTCGAGAGGGGCTGTACACACGAGAGTGGCCTGAATGGTCAAAGCTGCCACCAAGAGAGCTGTCTTGTCCTGTGCCTGAGGAAGGCTGCGCCTGCGGTCGAGTCGATGATCGGTACTGATTGAGACTACCCAGGGTACCGCCAACGATCTCTGTCAGAGAGCGTGTCGACTGCATAATGTCGTCGACATCATGAGTGTTGGTTCCAATATTAGAGCCGGAGACAGGTGTGAAGATCTCGGGTGTCATGGGTTCGAGTGTTGGTGTGGATGTATTAATGTCTGCCGTGGGCTGTGGTGTTTGGAATGGTCGTGTTGGAGGAGCCGCGTCTCTGGAGAAGCGGACTGATCGCTCTGGTGCGTTGGTGTGTGGTTGATATGGCCGATGCTGATGACGATGATGACTGGAGAGGATGTCTTCGCTTGTGGACGAGTCAATGTCTGCCATGCTGCCAATAAGGTTGCTGCTAAACATGGATCCTCCTCCTCCTGCGCTTGTGCCTGTGCTTGCGCTCGGTCCTGCGGTCGTGACAGAGTCACTTGTTGTAGTACGACTCGACAGTTCAATGTTGTTGAACGCAATAGGGGTCGAAATAGGACTTGACAGGATATCCCGAACACGCCCCATGTCAAGTTGCATTCCACTGTCACTGCCACCTGTCCAACGGCCTGCTCGTAATCCTGGTCCAGGCGTAGGTCCCTCTGACAAGTCCGTGTCAAGGTCACGGTCCTCGTCATCGTCATCGTCTGCATCTCCCTCAACTCCCTCGCTGTAGTACTCGCCCATATGCCAATGAGCAGCCAGATCCCATCGACCTGGCAGTGGGGTCTCGTAGTCGGAAAAGTCTCCTAGACCACCTTCGCCTCCCGAGGACGAGGGGACGGGTCGATGGAGTTCGAGTTCTGAAAAGTCTGAGGAAGCATCAGCATCAGAGTGGAGATAGAGTGCTCGTAATCTTGGATAGGTTGAAGATGCGGCAGTAGTCCTGGGGGCGTTGCTCGCTTGCTGTTGCTGTTGCTGTTGCTGTTGGTGGCGTCTGGAAGGAGGGGGCGGAGAGGAGTGCAAGGTTGCTGGGCTCTCTGGATCCTCGTCGAGGATGTATGACCGAAGACCGGACATTAGCCTCCTTTTTCTGCCTGTATTTTTGTGTGTAGGTGTAGGTGTTGAGTGTGGGAGGGAGGGAGAGTAGTGGGAGAGTAGAGGGAAGAGGGAGAAAGAGCTGGTTGAGTTGTTTGAGTGACGGGAATGACGACAAGTGAAAGTGGTGTTATGGGTGCTTAAGGGCACTGAGGGGGACAAGCTGAGTATTGGAGGTGGAAGTGGCAGCTGATGTAACAAAGAAAGTCATATGGCGTTGTGGGAGTAAAGGCCGAGTTGAGAGTTGGGATGGCACTGGGCGTATGCTCTTGTCTCTCTAGGACTGGTCAAAGGTGTACATGGGTGGGCAAAAGAAGAGTGAGTTTAAAAGTTTGAATGAGGTTAAAAGTACAAGTAAAAGTACAAGTGCAGACATGAGAGAAGAGAAGAGCAGGAATGACAAAGAAAAAGTAGTTACCGTTGTGTCCACGGCAACGAGGTGGCGTGTGGGTGTATGGGTGAGAGAGAGTGTGTGCGTATGAGAGACGAAAAGGGTAAGGTCAAGAGAGGAACGGTGGAAAGCAGAGAAGAATAGTGTTGCAACTCAGTCAGTTTGTCAAAGGGAAGAAGGACGAAGAGGGAAGAGGAGGAGAAAAAAAAAAAAAGAAACAGTCTCATTTTTGCAAGTAGGTCACGTGCAGAGTCCTTTTTGGCTCGAGAAAGGAGGGTGCCATGAGAAGTTCAATTGGATTGGCATGATCCAATTATCATGGAGCTACTGCATGTAACAAGCCCCAGCTCGCTTTTTCGCTCGTACTTCCTACCTGGATGAAAGGCGTCCGACTCTCAAGAATGCGTTCTCATAGTCTATCTAGATCACAATCTTATCCATGTTAGGAGCGAGCTTGACAAGGGCAGGACAACATCCTAAACGCGTTCAATAAGAAGGTTTTTTGTTTGTGATCACCAACAATTGTGATTGCAGAGTGTCCCTTTGCTAATTTAAACTTAGACACCCCATTGGCCAGTGATCGCCAATATAAATCACCACTATGTGATGGTGCCTGGCTGGGTTGCATGTCTGTTGTGTGTCCGGCATAGTATTGTTTTTTTTTTCCTTCTCAGCTGCTCGGCGCCCTCCTCCCTTGCTTCAATTGTTTCCTCAACGGGCGACAGTTTTACTTCTTCCCTTCTTGAATCCCTGGCTGCTCACACTTCTTTCTTCTTTCACTTCTTTCATTCCATCTTCACCCCCACTCTCCATCGCTCATCCTTCTTTCTCTCTCTCTCATCGCACCCTCTCATTCTTCTCTTCCCTTTGTACTATTGCTCTCATACCACACCCACATACCCTGCCCCTTCCTCACACCCTGTATATTCTTCCCTCCCAACATCCTCTCATTCTCAATCAACCTCTTCAGTCGACGTTGAACCTCATTCCTCCTCCTCCTCCTCCTCCTCCTCCTCCTCCTCCTCCTCCTCTACCTCCACCCCCAACATCACAACAACAACAATCACAGGTAGGCTTACTCACCCACCCTCACACTACTCAACATACACACTGCTCCCCCTGCCAATCACTCCTAGTACAATGGCTCTTATGTCTTTAAAGACGCTCAGTCCACAAACATCTTCTCACTTCCCTCGCCCGTTTCTCCTTCCTTCAAACAATTTCTCCTCTCCCATCTCCTCCATCCAGTGCTAATAACGTCAACAACAAACAGACAACAACCCTTTTCATTGCAGCATGCAACAGCAAGAAACAGGCAAAGAAAGAAGGACAGTTGGTCTGGAATAGGGTCCATCTCCAATGAATTTTAGTACGATCCCACCCCTTCTCTTTCATTAGTCCCAATATCTGTTTATTGCACTACTCTAACTCGCTTCACATCGAATCAACAACAAACAAACATACAAACACACAAACATACAAACAAACAAAGGACAACAATCTACCAACCCATGCGCCTATGCACATGATGGCATACCACAAGAATGACAAATACACGATCGAATTGATGCAGCTCAGCCTAGGGAAAAAAAGTGATTGCTTGGAGGCTATGTAGAACCGGATAAGAGAAGAATTGGAGCGAGAACTAGGAGGCAGTGCCTGCAACTGCAATGAAAATAATACTGGAAAACAACATCCTTTTGCTGCCAGTTGACGCAGCTCGGTCATCGCCCTGGGACCTCCTGTTTCGTGTTTCTTTTTTTATTGTATGTCAATTGCATATTTGCATACATTACAATGACATCCATCCTCATTTCTCCTTCCATCTTCTCCTACCCCTGGGAGTTCACCGAGCGTCCTGCAGCCCTCCCTATATTTATTCTCAACCACACGAGTGAGGGAGTAGGAGAGAGACAGGGCAACCAGCCAACAATACCAACAACAGCACACCAGCCCCTCCCCCCTTTTTTAATAATCAATTTCATTTCGATTGGCAAGCTAAAAAAAAACGTAAACAGATGGCACAGAGTCAGCTAGACACTCTCTGAAAGAGACATGGAAAGAGAACTAGCGAAGCCAACGAACAAACGAACAAACGAACAAGGGACATCTCCATCAACTCAATCCCTCTTCTGTTCGCGCTCCTTTCTCATATATTTGCAGGTGTCCCTTTTTACGAGATATGATTCTCCTTTTTTTTTTTCTTTCCTTGGCTCCTGAGAGAGAAAAAGAGAGATGAGATTTTAGTTCTTTCTTGGCTATTTATTATTATTTGGCTTAGTGTGTGTCTATGGTATGACATGGACATCATTTTGCTTGGCTTACTATTTGCGTCCTTGTAGGTGTGTGTCTCGGCGCCTCTTTTTTTTGTTCTTTTCGTTTGCATAATATTTAATTTCGAGGTAGATTGGGATTGGGACATTGCCATTCATCCCACCTGTCCAATATTCGGATGAATGGATCGATGCCCTACGACAGGGAAGGGGTGGCTGGATGGAGAACAAGTCTAGCTGAGTTATCTCATCATCAGAATCCAATTGCCATTGCAACCACCTTGCCCACCCACCTGCACTCACTCGCCTGTCCAACTGTCCAACTGTCCAACTGTCAGCCTAAAACACAACACCACCGACACCCAGGGAACCTTTCCTCCCTCTTTACCATATCGTCAGCAGCATCATTCAACATCGTCATTCCTTTTATTGGATGCGATAATATGATCCCTTTTTGCCTCCCTTCTTCCCCTTCCCCTTCTCTCGTTTCTGTAATAATAATCCTCGGGCAGTTCCGTCCGGAGTGCCTAAGCTCCCAATGGACAATGGGAAAGGTCAAGAGGGGCTACATTTGTCAACGAGACTGATTCTATTCTCGGCCCTTTAGAGGGTCCACTCCTTTCTTTTGCTTGTTGTTCAGTTTCGAAACTGTTTGAGGATCATTTAACAAAACTTGGCTAACTGGCTGGTTAGCTAGTTGGGTCTTGAAGAAAGAAAGAGAAGAACGAAAGAGGGGAGAGTGAAATGAGGTCAGGTCAGGTCAAGAAAAAAAAATTGTCAGGGCAGGGTTCTCTGTCCGAAAATGAGTTCTCCGTGGGATGTTTGTTCTTTTGCACCCTTTTCTTGTACTTCTTTCATTTTGCTCTTTCTTTCTTTCTTTCTTTCTTCTCTTCTCTTCTCTCTCTCGCACCTCTTCTTACTCTTCTCTTCCTCCACAAACGCACTTTGCGTATCTCCTCTTCGTTCTTGTGTTCCCTTCTCCCCATATCCATATCCATATCACACCAGGAACCAACAACGCATATCCTTTGTCAACCTGTATCCATATCACTATTGCTCTCTCTCCTCCTTCCTCACGCAAACACGAGGTATACCCTTGGGCTACCAGCTCAATCACGCTCCTCCTCTTCCTTCTCTCCTCTCTTCTCTCCTGCCTTTCTCTCTCCCCTCAATCACACTCTCACTCACCTCATTTTTTTTTCTGCAACCCGAGGCAAATCAACTTGCACAACAAGGAGCATTTTCATGTATGCATTGTTCAATTGTCTATCCAACCCTTGTTAGTTGCTGTCCATAACTCAACATTACATACATACACACACCCTTTTTCGATATCATTCCCGACTCCTACCTCCGCTTCCAAACTGTCTCATCCTTGCCTGCCTGCTGCTCATCGTCATCCTATTTTGCATGCTTACTGTTTCCCTTTTAATCGGTGTATTCCCGTCTCTCTTTTTGTCTGTGGTGCTCCGGATCATGATTGTCTGTTTGTCTGTTGGCAGACAAGAAAAAAGAGAAAAGAAGAGAGAGTCCATATGAGTCCAATCCAATGCTCCCTTTCTCATTCTCCTTCTCTTCCTCCTCCTCCTCCTCAATCCTCTCTCCCTTGTTTCACATTTGTTGGAGTTAGCTACAATAGCATGCAAATAATACACCACCGCGTCGTTCTAATCCCACTTTGTCCTCTTCCTCTTTCTTCTCTCTCTTCTTTATCGATCCCCCATCTCTTAGCATAACCGGTTCATTATCATCATTACTAGCATCATCATCGGCATAGCATACACCACGCAAAACACTACCACTCACGCACGCACACTCTTGCATACACACTTACCACACTCATATCACAACCATGCCTCCATACAGCGTTTGCGAACCATCCTCCTTCGACCTCCACTCAATCTCCGAGATGCCTACACCACGCTTCACATCCCCTTCTTCTCCCTTCACCTCCTCTCCTCCTTCTTCCTCCTCAGCCTCAGCGACTACTCCTACCACATCTTCTCCTCTTTCATCCTCCTCCTCCACAGCGACATCACTCAGCCCACCACCGGCAATGGTCCGTCCCACCTCACACTCCTTCTCGCTGCAACGGCCGCTCCTCGCCCAGGATGTGAAAAAGACCCGTAACTCAAAACGGCTTTCGCTGCTCGTCCCTCCTTCCCCTGGAAAGCTCGAGTCGCTCGCAGCCATGGCCTCTGCCTCGTCCCCTTCCTTCCCCCCAACTTCTTCCCTGTCCTCAAGGCGCCTCTTCACCCCCGCCCCCCTGTCTTCTGCCTTGTCCCATTCCCACTCCTCCACAATTACTATCGGCTCCTCATCAGCCGCCCCCATCACTACTACTACCGCTTCTTCCACAACAGACTCAAGGCGACATAGTCAACTCTTGCTCGACCAGGCCCTGCCTACTCCTCGGCTACCCCTTTCGACCAACCTTTCATCAACCCACCGACCCATCTCGGCTTACTTTGCCGACTTTAGCGCTGAGTGTGGAGCTGCCTCGCCTTACACCTCCGAGCCTGTCTGTGTTCTCCCTCACCTCTACCTGGGAGCTGAACATAACGCCACAGACGTCAAGGTGCTGTCGCGTCTGGGGATCACTGCTGTCCTCAACGTCGCCGTCGAAATCACTCAACAGGAGCAACAACAGCAGCAGCAGCAGCAGCAACTGCTACCACTCCCCACCGCACGGCACTCCATCATCGGTGGAAACGGGGATAGGGTTGTCCTGGATCCTCATTCGGGCAACTCTATCCACTACAAGTCTCTCTCCTGGACTCACCACCAACGAAACCTCCGGAGCGAGTTCCCCCAAGCGTTTGACTATATCGAGGAGGCTAAGACGAGGGGAGGGAAGGTGTTGGTGCATTGTCAATTGGGCGTCTCTCGATCGGCCTCGCTTGTGATCGCCTATGTGATGAAGACGCTCCATATGGGCTTGACGGACGCCTATGAGCTGGTCAAGGCCCGCTCAGCCGTCATCTCGCCCAACATGAGTCTTATGTACCAGCTGTCCGAGTTTGAAAAGTCTCTGAACACCAACAACAGCAACAACAGCAGCAATATGAAGAAGAGTCCGATGTATATGGATGAGGACGAGGAAGAGTACCCTTACCCCACCGAGAATATGGATCTCGACACCCCAGCACAGTCGCCCATTGCAGCAACACCAAGAGCACCCGTGAAGGTGTTGCCCCCGGTCACGACCCGTCCTCGGTCGTCCATTTATTTGTCCTCGGCCCCTATTCCCCAAACTCCCATGACCGACCGGTTCTCATTCTCAAACTCTTCTGTAATTACCCCTGTTACTGCTGCCCCTTCCTCTGTTTCAGCTCCTATGACGATGGGTCCAGTCCCTAAAACAAGGCTTCAGTTGCAGTCTACTACTATCATGCCTAAGCACCAGCAGCACCAACAACACCAGCAGCACCAGTCATCATCGTCAGGTTTGCCACCGATTCAGCGATACCCTGAGGGTGTGTCGATCCATACTCACTCTCGAGAGTTTAAGACCCCCGAAATGGTCTACACCCCTCTCTCGGCCCTGTTGAACCCTCCTGTCCCCTCAACACCAACCAGACTCTCTCCTCCCATGCCTGCCTTTGCGACAGCCCCCTCGGGTATCGGTTCCAGACGTCAACATCAGCAGCAGTTGCCTCCCGCCTTGTCCCTCTCGTCGTCCTCATCCTCGGTCTCTTCATTCGCAACCTCGAGCCACTCAAGACCCTCATCGACATCCTCTGCTTCCTCGACATCCATCTCGCAGACTCTTCCCGACTCGCCCCTCCAACCGACTACCCCTCGCTCTGCAGGCTACAAGCTCACACTGGCTCCTGTGACTCCTACAAAGCCATCTACTCCCATTGCACCCGTGGCGGTGGTGGCTCCTTCGCCCACTACGCCTAGATTTGGGATCAGAAGAAAGAGCTCGACGTCTTCCTTGCTGATGATGATGATGCCTCCTTCGACGCCTACCACTCCTTCGACACCCACAGGAACAGGACACACAAAGACCAAGAAGGCGGCTGTCATCCAGTCCTTGGCTTCGGCCTTGACCCGTCGTTGGTCTAATCACTTGGGTTCTCCTTCTTCCCCTTCCTCCTCTTCGTCTGCCTCTGCATCCCAACAGTCGCAACAACAAGGGTCGAGCCGCAACCAAATCGAGTGCCTCTCATCCATGTCCCACCAGAGCAACAGCAGCACCGGATCCGGTAGCGATATGATGATTGATGGACAGTCACAAGTGCAAATGCGCGAGATGGGGTGCAATGTCCCACCCACCCCTACTACGGCAACGACTCCTGCTACGACGGCCACGAAGACCACCAATGGTGGAAAGGAGCCAGAGTTTATCTTTTCTCCACGACCTTGTTCCCCGCCTCTGTTGGAGACAGCTCCCCGGACGTTTGGAGATCTCTATCAGGCCTTACGCATGGAGGGGATGAAGTAGTTGTACTTTATGTGTTTTTTTTCTCCTTTTCTTTCTTTTTTTTTTTGATGATTTCGTGAGGACGAAGAGACGTAGTTCTGTTTGTTCTTAACGCAATGCCCCTAGTGTAGCCATTTCTCCTTGGGACGCCACCAAACCCCCCACCAACCTGTACATATATCCCTCTCATGTTTGGCTACTGACCTTTCTCTGAACAAAATATTATGAATAAAAAAACACACAGACGATATTTTCAAAAACCGCAAAAAAGCGCTGCAAAAAAAAAAAAACATGAGCCTTATGACATCGTTGGCATGCATGTTGGGAGAAAATGACATGTGGCTATAGTAAGCTACTCTCTCTCTCCCCCCACCCCACTCTTGCTGCTTTGTTGTTTTGGTTCTTGGGTAACAGATTCAACCCAACCTCCCAACCCTAAACAACCTGAGAATTGGCGGGAAAAAAATAAATCGACGAAGGAGGACAAGGTAAGGATGAAAAATAAAATAAATATTAACAAAACGGCAAAAGGCCCACATCAGCGCCTAAACTCCAAAGGATTTCCTTAACCGCCAATGTGGCGGTGAAGAACGATTACCAAAACAAACATATTTCAATCCATTGTGTTTGTTGGTTATGAAATACACGGAGGGATTTTTTATGTATGGTTACAAGCAAAGAACGAATGATAAACGAAAGAAAAAGAAGGGACGGGATAGGTACTATGAATAAGAAAGAGATATCAATATTTTTGAGGTGAAGTGCCAATAACAGCTAAAGAAAAGAAGAAAAAAACGAAATGAAGTAGAAAAAGGTGGAGTGGAGAGAAAGAGAAAGAAGAGGGGTGGGGGGTATATCTAGAGTGGGTGACGGATATCGAGGTCCTGGATCCGATCGTCGTTAGTGTCTTCCTCATCGTCCTCATCGTCCTCATCATCCCCACTCTTCTGCTGTTGTTGCTGCTGCTGCGCCCGCTGCTGCTGTTGGCGCAATGCCGAAGAGGACAAAGACCCACCCCTGTTCTCATCCTCAACCTCTGAACCCGACTGTCGCCCATTAGCGCCAGAGCCTGCCGATCCTCCAGCCACGTTAGAACTTGACACCGAGGTAAGGGTCAAAGTAGGAAAGTTAGGAAGGGGCAACCCATGCTGAGAAAATAATTCCTCAAGCACCCTGAACCGTCTCCAGATCTCCCGGCTCTCCGCCTGGACCTCCTCCATCCAGCGACGGGTCTGGTCCAACTCCAGGACGCGCTGTTCCATGTCCTTGATGTAGGCCTTACGCCGGTTGCGGAATGTCCGTTGTGCGGCTCGGTTCTGGGCCGCGCGACGCGGGTGGGTGATGTTGCCTATTGGTGCCGACATTGATGTGATTGTCGTTGTTGCAGCGGCAAGATGAGCGGTGGTGGGGTTCATGATCATCATAGGTTGTAAGAGAGCTGGTGTAGGGTGGTTGAAAGCTCGGGACATAGATGAGGCGGAGGACGGTCCAAACATGGAGGTGGCGTGCATGGCGGGTGCGACCGTTGCCATAGTCACTGCAACGTTCGCCCGAGTAATCGAAGCCGTGCGTCGAGAAGATGTCCTAGTTGTCGGTGTCGCCACAGTTTTTCCCATCCATGAGGAAGCTGCTTGGGCAGAAGGAGGCGACATCATGGTGGCTTTGGTGCCCTTGGCGGTTCGAGTGTCTTTCCCAAGCCGTGACCGAGTCGCGCTCGTCGTCCTGCTCGAGAGTGTTTCAGAAATGGTCTGTTTCGAAGAGGTCGCTGATTCTGAAATGGCGGAGGTGCTGGTAGGATGCGGCACCGTCATAATCGTCGTCGCAGCACCTCCTGATGCTGTAGCAGCACTCGTGCTAGTAGAGGCACCAGTTAGGGAGGAAAAGGGTTCACCGGCGGCAAAGTCCGAGAGAGCAATCCCTGCTGCTGCTGCTGAAGCAGATGACTCAATTGAAGTAGGCGACAGTTGAGCCAGGGCAAGAGCCTGGTGGCCAGAGTCCGTCCGCTGGCGCTTTGGAGAAATAGGGTGTTGATGATGATGTTGCTGGTGGTGGTGGATCGACCCCATTCCAGCTCCAGTTCCAGTTCCGGCGCCCATTGAGATGGAGGAGTAAGGGTGGTTATGATGCTGCTGCTGCTGCTGTTGGTGGTGACCAGTAGGGTTGTGAGAGGCAGAGGAGGCGGAAGAAGAAGAGGTACGACTTCCTTGGTGTTGAAAAGAGGCCATCATGGTAGCTGTGTTGAGCTTTTGAGACCCCGCCGCTCCGCTCCCTGCCAATGAAGGTTCCTCCTTGGTGACAGTGGTCGAGGTCGTGGCCGTGGCCGAGATCGAAGAGTTTGAAGGTGGTGGAGGTGGAGCGTTAAAGAATGGCATCGAGGAAGCGGATCCAGTAGTAGAGGAGGTCGTAGACGACGTTGTGGACAAATTGGCGGGATTCGCCGAGGTAGGGGATGGCATCATCAATCCAGAGCCACCGCCAGGAGTGTTGTTGCTGCTTGAGCTGGCACTGACAGGGGTCGAGACGGAGACGAGCATGGAGAGGGATATATCAGAAGAAATCGACGGCCGACTGCCAACTGGAGACGAGGAAGAGTTGTCGTACATCAACGACGACGGTTGATGCGGGGAAGGATGATACTGCTGGTAGTGTTGCTGTTGTTGCTGCTGTTGGTGGTGTTGTTGCTCGAGAGCCTGTTGCTGCTGTTGATGCTGTAACCTCATCTGCTGCTGCTGCTGTTGATGGTGGTGCTGCTGTCGTTGTTGGTGGTGCATTAGAGAGACCTCGTCATAAGGCAGCATCCGTTGTTGTTGTTGTTGTTGTTGTTGTTGTTGGTGATGTTGTGAAAGGGTGGGGTCGTGAGGTGACCGTTGAGTGGGTAGAACGTGATGAGCAGTTGTTGTCGCTTGCGCCATCCCTGCTGCCACCGCTGCTGCTGCCACCTGCTGTTGCTGCTGAGGTGTGGGAGGAGACTGCAGATCGAACGAAGCATACATCATGTACTCCATGCCGCCTTGGTCCTCGGTCTTGATGGCTGGGTAGGATGGCGATGGAGGTGCACTCATGTTGTTGACCACCATTGGTGAGAGGACCATCGGGAAGTGCATATTTTGGAGTTGAGGGGAAGGTGTGGGTGGGTGCTGGTGCTGTGGTTGGTGTTGTTGTTGATTATGAGGATAAGGCTGGAAGGCAGTGGGGGTGGTCTGAGAGTGGCGGGACGGGGTTTGTTGTTGTTGAGGAAGGGATCGTTGCCGACGAGGAGATTGGTGGTGCGACAGTGGTGATGTTTGTTGTTGGTGTGGATGGAAGAGTTGCTGTTGTTGAGAGTGGTAGTGGTGAGGATTAGGATGAGGGTGGAGAGGAAGAGGATGGTGTGAAGAAGAAGAAGAAGCAGCGGAAGGAGCCAGGACGTAATCTTGTATCGGAGGAGAAGAAGCTGACGGCATAAAATGTTGCTGCATTTGCTGGGACGACCTCTGTTGCTGGTAGGGGCGCTGCTGCTGCTGCTGTGGGTGCTGTTGATAGTGGTAATGGTATGCTGCTGCCGCTGCTGCCTCTTGCTGTTGTTGTTGCTGCTGTTCTTGCTGAATAAGTGTGGCTACGCCTTCCTCCATTTGGGCATGCGTCGTCACATTGAAGAGGTCGTTATTATTCGGGAACACCATAAGGCTCTGTTGCATGAAAGTCGCCAGTGTCGTGAGTGGAAAGGGACGAGGATGAGAGAGTAAACACTGCTGGGTGTACTTTTTCTGAGCCGCCGAGTGAGATTTCGTTGTTGGGAGTGTAAGATAGGGTAAGGTTGGTTGCGAGAAAAGGTTGGTGTGTTGACTTCGGGTTAAAGCAAGAGAGCCGTCGTGTTGTTGATGCTTAGTGGTATTATTATTGTTGTTGTTGTTGTCGTTGTTGTTGTTGTTGTTGTTGCCGTTGTTGCTGTTGGGAGCGTGTGAGTGTGGTACGTGTGCGTGTGAGTGTGAGAGTCCTGACTGGTTGGTGTTGACTTTGCTGCTCTCTCGTCGTCTCGATCAGGTTGCTTGTTGGAAAAAAAAGTGGTTATCGTTTCTGGCTTCTCTCTCAAGACTGTCTGGTTTGTGTGCTGTCCTCGATCGGCTCTCTCCGTTCTGTGTTGTATTTTGAGTCGCGATAATATTCGTTTTGTTTGTACTCCTGGTTTTGAAACGCGAACGAGGGACAAAGAGACAGGGTGCAGCAGCAACAGCAGGGACGGACGGACGGAGAAAGGCAAGGAAGGGCAAATGGGAAGGGATTGTTGATCTAGGTGGCATAAAATAACAACGACAGAAGAGAGAATTGTGAGCACAAAGAAAGAAGCGAGAGGGAGGGAGGGAGGGAGACGGAGGATAGAATGGGGCGTGTGCATGGATCAGTCGGATTTGAATGTGGCACAGCATATGGTAAGCGAATGAAAATAATACATAAACACTAACAGGCCAGTATGAAAAGGAAAAATAAAAGGAAAGGCAGGCTGACTTATTTGCATTATTGACAGTTCGAAAACCCCAAAAGAACACACCAGGCGCTGGGTAAAGGGATCAAAAAGGCAAGGAAAAGAAAAAGAAAAGGGCGCAACAGGGGTCAGAGGAAGGGTATTCGAGAGAGAGAGAGGAGGATGGGATAAAGATAAGAAAAATGAACATGTGGGTCCCAAAGAAGAACGAAAAAAAGGGATAGTGACGATGATGCCAATGTCAATGCTGAATGACTCGCTGCCATTGTCGATTGTCGACTGCAACTGGCATTGTGTGAGTGTGTGTGTGTGTGTATGAGTGTGTGTGAGTAAGGATAGAGGTCAGTTGGCTGGGAGTCCGGGGTGGATGGGATCGGTTGGTCGGGTCGGTGGAGTTGAGTAAGTAAGCATTGAGAAGGGTGTCTTTTCTATCGTTATTATTTTAACGATGTCAATTCAATTCTTTCTTCACTGTCATATTTTTTTAGTCGCCCACATGAATGGAACTCTGTCGCTCCTCCAAAGGTCAAATAAAAAGAGAGAAAAGGACAAAAGAGCAAAAACGCAACGGTGCTGGAGGAACTAGTCCACACAGCAAACACATACAGAGAGGCACATAAACCCAAACCACATTTGGAAGATGGCTTCTCTATCTTTCTTTTTTTTCGTCCGCTTCCTCCTAATCAAAAATGACAAGCCAGACAAACAACAATGCCATTCTGCTATTGCTTCATTCATTAAAAAAAAACCGGCCGGACACATCCTATTTGTCCGCCGACCCATCTCTCTGTCCTTTTTTTTACTCATTGTGCAGACTTCTGTTGAGTCTTGCTTGGTTGGGCGATCACTCACAGTTGTATGCAAATTTCATTTGTTTGTGCAGAAAAGGAAGGGAAGGGCGATTGGAAAAAAAAGTGCCGATCACACACTTTGTTTTTTTTTGTCACGTTTTGATTGAAGGAAGGGAAAAGCAGGCAGGAAGGCAGGAAGACAGGGGGTAGAAAAGGGTCATTTGGGAAAAGAAGAGAGAGGAACGAAGGAAGGAACAGATCGAAGGGGAATATGAATGAACTAGGGTTAATTATCTTGCTTACATAGTGTCACTTGAGGACGACACAACGGTCAAATAAATGAAAATGTATGACAAAGGGATGTTGTTAAGGTAGGTTGGGTCAGGTAGGGTAAGCAAATAAAGTGAGGATAGGACGTCGTGTGTGCATGTATTGGTGGATGTTGTGGATGTTGTTTGCTGTTATTGTTTTTGGCGGGTAAAAATTGGCGACAAGAGTACGCAAGGTAAGGGTGCAAAAGAGGGGGAAGAAGGGTGAGAGGGATGTCGATCAATGCTCGGGGGTGTCGATTGGGTTGAAAGGGTTATAAAGTAAGGTGTAACTTGGGTGGTGGATGAGTGTGGATGCTTGAGAGTGAGGTAAGTGAGGTGAGCGCGATGAGCGAGGTGATGGAAAAGAAAGAGGGGGCCAGTTGTGTGTACGACGATACAGTATGGCAATGAATAATAGTCATAGAAAAGTAGCAAAAAACAAAGAAACGAGAGGAAAGGAGAAGAAAATAAAAAGAGGGATCTTGCTGACGAACTCATCCGAAGTTATATACTTTTTTTTGTCTGTAGTTTGTTCTTCTGCTTTGGAGCCATGTCCCTTCTTTTAGTTTATCTGTGCTTTGATAGAGAGAAGAAGAGGGGTATTGTCAGTCAGGATGGTTGCGAAAAAGGTTTGACTGGTCTGAAAGCACCATAAAAACACAATCCAAACGGACGGTGTGTGTGTGTGTTGTGTGTATTGTCGGGGGAAAGAGAAAGAAAAGGGACGTTGATTAAGAATAGTAGTTATCGTATTCAATTAGCAGACAGGCAGAGAGGCTAAGAGGCATCCAAGGAGGCATCCAAGGGAACAAAAGACAAAAGTGACAACGGAGAAATGGGTCCAACGCACCACAACAACAACAATCCTCACTCACTCACAATCAGCACACAAAAAAAAATGATGGATACAAAGGAAACATGTAGCACATTCACATTCTCACATTGACTTCCACCATCCATCCTCTCTTTTCTCACCTTCAATCTCCCTCTCACTCTTTCGTTCTCTTGTTTTCTCCCTCCCTCGATGGTGCTTGTACCCTCTAATCGCTGCTCCTTTGTTTGCACAGGACTCACCCTCCTCCTTTCTTCTCCTCGTTCAAATAGAGATTATTTGGACATTGGGTTCGATTGAATAACACTCCGACTCTATTCATCCCTACAGTAAACTGGCCTGCAATTGAATAACTCCTTCATTTTATACTCTTTTCTATGAATCTCTTCTCCTTCCTCTTTGAATGAATTCCCGTCTCTCAGTCTTCGCGTCCCCTTTTTTCCTGTTCATTTTCAATTTACTCCTCCTACTGTGCCTCCATCTGTCTGTATCTGTTGTTCACACCACTAACTCATTTACTTGCTTTCATTTATTCACCTCCTCTCTTTCCACCTACACCCCCTCCCTCTTACCTCCTCTCTCCTTCTCTTTCGCTCCCTCCCGCGCGCTCTCCCTGCCTTCCTCTTTCTTTTCCAATCTCATATTACATCAACACACTCACATACCCACGCAGGCAATGTTGTCACTCTCAGTCTTTCTATCTTCGTCTTTGTCTCTCTCTCCCCTCTCCCGCCTGGCCACTGATGGGTCTGCTTTACCCCCCAGAAGGGCAGCCCATCCTCTCCTCTCCGATATGCGTGCGTCTCCCATTTGCTTAACATGTGGGTACCGCAAGTCAATACTCAAAAAAATCAGGTCGTTGAATCTCCTCACCCCCTGTCGTATCCTGGGGCCACAATTGAAGAATTTCATTTCCAAAACATGCCTCAAGCTGAGAGAGCGAGGGATGGAAAATAGGAAGACAGAACGAGAGAGAGGAAGAGAGAGAAAGAGAGAAAGAGAGAAAGAGAGAAGGGGCCGCAGAACTTATCCTCGTAGGGTGAACAGTGATCCCTAGCTAATTCGTTTCACACTTTACCCATCAATCACCTTCGACTGATCAATGAATGATCCACCATCATCATGACCCTTCACTCCTCTTCGTACCTCTTTTCTTCTTTGCTTTGTCTCATCCTCATGCCAAATATTATTAATTGACTACCACCATCATCATTTTTGTGGCTTTCCTGCTCTTAACTGATAATGAGCCAAAAAAAAAAATAGGATCCGTTGTCAAAGGGTCTTCTTCTGTCCCAGTATCTTGAATCCAAGGGCCCAGGTCTAGACTGGTCATCTCCAAATCCTACCACCCTCCTTTTTACCTCCTTTCTTAGATGAGAGCCGCAACGGTGAGAAAAACGCGCAACCAACTGGGATAATTAACGATTGCGGACTTAGCTATCAAGAGATGCTAGTTCTTTTCATTTAACCATTTGTTCTTCCACAATCAACTATTTTTTTCTTGGCCCGAACCACATCGATAGCATACCAAAACTTCGGAAATGAACAGGATGCAAAGGCTCAGCAGCAGGAGAGGGATCAAGTGCGTACGTGTATGTGTGTTTGCGTAGTACCCTGGTATTTTCATGCTCCTCACTCTCTTCATTTTCGCGCTTTTTTTTCACGATCCTTGTAGTATTATCTATTACCTGCTTTTTCAAAACACCTA